CCCCCCCCCCTGCCTCCCTGCCTGGATCGCTCTCCGACGAAGCTCTACTGACGGACTCCCTTAGTCCACGAGGTCGACCTCTGGGATGGAGGCATCACCTTCCACACCCTCTGCATCATCCTGTGTGCCATCTTCACCGTCATCTCCTTCATCCTCGCCGGCATCCTCATCGCCGGCCACGCCCTGCACTACAGCCGCCCCAACGAGCAGCGCTACATCATCCGCATCCTGTTCATGGTCCCCATCTACGCCCTCACCTCCTTCCTGTGCGTCTACTTCTACAAGGAGTCCGTCTACTACGAGCTCATCGGCGACTGCTACGAGCCCTTCGCCATCGCCTCCTTCTTCACCCTGCTCTGCTACTACATCGCCCCGGATCTGCACTCCCAGAAGGACTACTTTCGCCAGATCCAGCCCGTCCCCTGGGTCTGGCCCTTGCCCTGGCTGCAGAAGTGCTGCGGCGGCGAGCGCGGCTGCTGGCGCACCCCGCGCTCCGGCCTGACCTGGTTCAATGTACGTCCATTGACTCCATTCCTCGGCTCTCTTTTCCTGACCATCTAGGTCATCTGGATCGGTGTCTTCCAGTATTGTTTCCTGCGGGTTGCCATGACCATCATCGCCGTCGTCGCCCAGTACTACCAGCTCTACTGCGAGGATTCCGACGACCCGGCCTTTGCACACGTCTGGGTGAGTCTTCTTCTCTCCTGTAATTCCCAATCATTACTAATTAGTCCCTTCCAAAAAAAGGTCCTCATCATTGAATCCATCGCCGTCACAATCGCCATGTACTGTTTGATCCAGTTCTACGTCCAGATCAAGAATGACATTGCCCGTTACCGCCCCTTCCTCAAGTTGCTGTGCATCAAGCTCGTCATTTTCCTGTCTTTCTGGCAGTCGGTAAGCTCCCCCCCTCTTACCACTATATCTACCTCGCTTACGTCCAGACCATCATCGATTTCCTCACTTCTTCCGGTGTCGTCAAGTCTTCCGCCAAGGTCCACCTGCAGGATTGGAATGTCGCCCTGCCCAACCTGCTCATCGCCATCGAGATGTCTTTCTTCGCCCTCCTGCATTTCTGGGGCTTCCCCTGGCGCCCCTACATGATCGGCAAAGACCAGCCCCTGACCGACCCTACGGACCCGACCGCTTTCCCCGCGCACTACTACGGCCCTGCCCGCGCCCTCTTCGACGCCTGCAACCCCTGGGATCTCTGCAAGGCGACCGCCCGTGGTTTCCGCTGGCTGTTTGTCGGTCGCAAGTCGCGTACCGCCGATCCCAGCTACCAACTGGCCAACCGCCAGTCGGTTGAGGGTCGACAATAAAACACCCGGCTTGCTGATTGCATATTGTATATTGCATATACCATGACATGATGAGACATGATTTGAGTAAATAGACTATATAGTATCCTATTTATCCTATTTATCTATTTTTATATTCGAGGTCCTCCGTACCTCGTGCAATGATGACAAATCACGAATCACGTGCTGTACACATAATCAGTCCGACCGTCTCTGAATAACTTCATAACTTCACAACTTCACAACTTCACAACTTCATCTCTCCCCATCCTTCCATCTCCTCGCCTCCCCTTGATGGCGAGAAAACGGCCAGTCCAGGCCGACAGCGAGGCCGAGCCACCATCCAAGGGCCTGCGTCTGACCCGAAGTCGCGTGTGTAAGAAGAGCCCCCCTCAGCAAATAGACAGTGATAATCTATTCAAACAATGACTGAAATTTAGGCGCCGAATGCAGAAAGCACAAGACAAAATGTGAGACTCCGCCCGGCGAGACGGCCTGTGTGCGCTGTCAGCGCCAGGGGGTGGCCTGCGTCGCGTACGATGTCTCGCAGCAGTTTCTGACCGACGACGCGCAGTGGAAAGCGCACGCCACGGCCGAGATTGCGATGCTGCGAGGTGCCGTGGAGCATCTTCTCCGTCATACCGAGCAGCCTGTATTGGCTTCGTTCTCAGCAGACCCTCACCTCCCAATCTCGCTCTCCCGCTCGCCCTCCCCCCATGAAGAGGGCGAAGAAACGACAGCCACGGCAGGACGGCTGGTCTTGCCGCCGATGCGCAGTCTGTACGAGCTGACGAAGCTACAGAACCTGCGGCACAGCGCGGGGACGCGGCCCAGCGCGGCGGTGATGGAGCAGGACTTCATCGCGCAGGGACTCGTCAGCCGCGAGACGGCCGAGGCTCTGTTCGCGCGATTCCAGCAGGTCAACAACCGGCTTCTCTGGGACGGGATCTTACTCGCGTCGCCCGCCGCCTCGCTCGATGCCGTGCGTCGGGCCTCCTCGCTGCTGGCGGCCGTCGTGCTCGCCGTTGGGGCCCTGCATTCTCCCGGCCGCGAAGAGGCCTTTCATCGCAGCTACGATGTCTTTGTCGCGCTTGCCCGCCGGTCGGCGCTTGCTCGTCGCCACAGCCTCGACGACGTCGCCGCCCTGTGTATCGGAGCGTTCTACCTCGCCAATCTCAGCTGGAAGCTGTCTGGTCTCGCCTCGCGCATTGCCGCCGAAATCGGCCTGCACCAGGCTTACTCTCGTTTAATACACGCAAACAGTCCTCACCATACCGATCGTGATAATGATATATATCTTTCGCACCGCCGCGTCCGGCTCTGGTACGCAGTCTACGTGTGCGACCGACAGTTCAGCATCGCACACGGGCGCCCACCCGCCAGCGTCGACGACGAATCGACCCGCAACCTGCAGCGGTTCCTGCGCGGACCAGCAGCCGAAGCAGGCGACACCCGGCTCGCGGCACAGGTCGCGCTGTGCTCCATCTTAACAGACGCATACTTTGCGTTTGGCAGCGACGCGGACCGACCCCTAGGTGAAACCGAGATGGCCCGGCTGCGCGACTCGACCGCCGCGCTGGACGCCTGGCGCGCCGAATGGCCCCCGCGCGCACACGACTGTCCCGCCGTGCGCTCGTACCCGGCCCAAGCGCTCGTGCTGTACTTCCATTTCGCGCGGTTCCAGCTCAACTCGCTTGCTCTGCGCGGGGTCTCGGCGCAGTCTCCTGCGTTGTTGTCGAGGGAACACCGCGCTGCTGCCTCCACGGCCATCGCGGCGGCGATGAGCACCCTCACTCTGATCGTTGACGATGACGATCTGCGCGCTGCGTTTCCGGGCGTCCCGGTCTTCACGTATACGATGGTCGCGTTTTGCGCGACCTTTTTGCTCAAAATGGCGGCGACGTGGGGACGTCTGGCGTCGGGAGAAGTATACCCCGATGAGATTGTCAGTCTCGTCCACCGATCCGCAGATATGTTGGCCCGGGTCGCGGCGCATGTCAACGAGCGCCATCTCGCCCGTCACATCGCGACGGGCATGGCGGAGATGTTGCAGCAGTTTCGGGCTGAGCAGGCCGCGCAGGACGCAGACAGCCTCGGCTTCGCGCTTCACTCCTCCTCCTCCTCCTCCTCGGCTCCTGTGCTTCCGCCTGCCAGCGTCGACGAGTCTTCGGGGGTTTACAATTTCCGTGATCTCGAGGGCACGTTCGGCTTTGGTCTGGACGAAACGCTACTGGGGGAGATGGCGGCGGACAGTTTTGAATTGTGGTGAGAGTAGAGTATACTCTGTATATACTGTACTGGCAGACGAGATGGCCAAGAGAATACGTATATAATACTATTACTAGCCTCTAGGGTTGCAGCAATGTCTGAATATGACTACTTGTAGATCAATAGATCAAATCTTTTATATCAAGTATTACAGTGACCATGATGTCATACCATCGTGTATGTATCCTATTCTTCTGCCTGATACCTATAGTACTAACTATACTATAAGTCTGTAGCTGCTCAGAACTGTTCGAAGATCAATAAGACATACTCTGTACTGTCCACTGTGATTGGCCTGTCCATGTAATTCAAGCTGCGAACGTTATCAGCCGGGAAGATATGATTGGTGTGCCGAAGCGGAACCCCGGCTCTCGGGCCGAGACCAATCAGCGGGCGCCGGGAATTAACGGTCTTTGGCACTAGTCGGACGCCACATTGTACCTCTTTGGGAATAGCGTGGAGCCCAGGGGTCTCTGCCACGTTCGTCATGGCTGCCGATTGGAGGGGATTCAATACATTTACATATAATGTTGGCCAAGCAGGCCTGAAGAGGGAAGAAATGGCGGATGCTAGATGGATACTGCATGAAGCTAAGGAGGAGGCGCGGTCGTGCCACTAGCCAGAGCCCTCCACATATAACTCTACCATTACTATCTTCATCTTCTCTATCTCTATACCTATACTCACTCTATACTCACTCTATACTCATTGCCATGCCTTTCAACTACCCCCACACGATGACCGACCCGTTCTTCTATCCGGATCTGAACGGCGTCTTCCCTACTGTACGATTTGCAGTTCTTTCTATGCAGTCATAATGTTGATGTTAAGTATAGGTCTCCTCCCCCGTCTCCGACATCGACATGCCATACCATCTTTCCACTGCTGCCCCATTTTCCGACGCAGCGTTTGGCGCCTGGTCCATGCCGGACTCGGACGAGAAGAAACGCAAGACTTTGCCCGACACTACAGCAGAACAGCAGGAGGTAACCACCGAGTACAACTGATGTATTTGCAGTTTATCTGCAGTTTGGTTAAATCGTGGTAGAAACGACGGGCGCAGAATCGTGCCGCTCAGAGGGCATTCCGCGAGCGCCAGAAACGACACACGCAAATCCTCGAAGATCAGGTCTCCCAGCTCAACCAGAAACACATCCTCCTCCTACAGTCGTACGCCAAACGGTCGGACGAGATGAATCACCTCCACGACCGGATTGTCCAGCTGCAGCTGGAGATTGAACAGCTGCGTGCCGCGGCACACAATGAATCTTCTTCTCCTTCTTCCACTGCTTCTTCTCCCTCATCTACAGATTCACCGTGTAGCAGTCGGCACCCGTCAAGAGCGTCCATAAAGGATAATTCCGGGGGCCATCTTTGACATACGTTTCTATTCCGTATATCCCTTTATGTTTGAGTACTAGTTCTAGCGTCATGATTGTGATTTATAGATTAGCCAGACAAAATCACCTCAACTAATCTAAAGGAAACTCTTAACTTGGAATATCATACAGAACAGAGCGGCGTCCGAAATAGGCAGTTTGTGGCGTTCTGGAGCAGTATCAATAGGATAATAGGATAATAGGATAATAGTACAGAGTACGTATTTATACTACGTCATGCATCGCAAGTAATGCCCCACTGAGGGGTACTATCTACTTCTACTATGTACAAGTACTCCGTCCTCCGTCCTCCAAATTCAATACCATTTCAATGTCCCTGGAGATTGCCTGCTTCAATCTCCCCTCCGCCCTGCTGGCCTGCGCAGCCGGTGCGACGCGCATCGAGCTCTGCGTCGACCGTCCCCAAGGCGGCACCACCCCGCCGCTCCCTCTTTTCCAGGCGGTGCACTTGCAGAAAGCAGGCCATGTCAAAGTCAACGTCATGATTCGTCCGCGCGGCGGCGATTTCGTCTATTCCGCCGAGGAGTTCAGCACGATGAAAGACGACCTCCGCACCTTCAAATCCGCGGGCGTCGACGGCTTCGTCTTTGGCGTGCTCCATCCCTCGTCGGCGGCGATCGATATCCTCCGCAACGCAGAGCTCGTCGCTCTCGCTACTCCGCTGCCCTGTACCTTCCACCGCGCCTTCGACTGCATCCCTCCCGACGCAATGCGGGAGGCCCTCGACCAGCTTGTCGGCTGTGGGTTCCGCTCCGTTCTGACTTCGGGCGGGGCGCCGGATGCCTTTGCTGGCTGTTCTGTTATTGCTGACCTTGTGGATGCCGCGCGGGGGAGAATCGATGTCATCGTGGGGGGTGGTGTGCGCGCAAGTAATGTCGCGCAGCTCGTGGTCGCAACCAGAGCACCATATTTTCATTCCTCGGCCATTCTAGACGGAGAGGTCGCTTCTGCGGAGGAGGTGAAGAGCTTACGCAGATTGATAGACATATCGTCCGATTCTTAATGTGAAATGAGTTGAAGAGACATGTTAGTGCTGCAAGCCAGCAATTAGTGGCCGTTGCCCATGCTCGGGTTAGTTGAGCTAGGTTGCCATTCGCGCAGATACAGATCAATCGCCGCCCAGTCTAGATCTTCATGCCATGCCCCCTTTAGCGGCGGGCAGGTAGAGTCTATGTTTAGAAAGAGGGCGTCAAAGTCCGGGTCCATGTCCATGTTGATAGCCGGATCAACCCTCGATGCTAGGGTGCTGCCGCCATCCGTGGAAGACATCGTGGGAGGCGACGGGAAGTCCTCAGTAGGAATGGTCGTCTGATAAGGTGACTCCATCCATTGAAGATTGCCGTAGGATGACTGAACCTTGGCAAGGATCGCAGCCAGCACCTTGGCGGCATGATGCGACTCGCGCGACCGGTGTCGATCCCCACACACGATACTGTACGCGTTCTTGAGAGTGGTGATCGTTTTGTTTTGTTCTGTGATTGGGTTGTTTCCCCGCGAGACGAGCAGGTCCAGACACACTATCATGGCGGCCAGCAGGTATCCATTGTTGGAGATCGTGTGCGCCATGTGCTGCTCGTTGTGGAGACGCCCGCCCGGCTGGATCTCGCGATGGATGCTGGCCTGCTGGTCTAGCAGCTGCAGAGCGGCGGTGACACAGGCGGTGCGATACGCACCGAAGCGCGGGCTGTCCCGCTCGCAGCTGAGATAGACGCGGTGCAAGATGCACACGCTGCGCAGGTGCTGCTGCTCGAGCATGACGCGGTACATGATGGTATGGCCCTGGTCCGCCAGGCTGGAGGTGGCGATCGCCCGCGCACGGAGGCAAGCAGGCACCTGCTCGTGCAACTGGTGGATCTCCCCGTCGACCTTCCGGATCGCCTCGTGGTCCGGCGGCTGCCGTGGAGAGAGCGCCAGCCGGACGGCACGGCGGAACAGGCGGACCTGACGCGCCTTGTGGCATAGGTAGGTCAGCAGGGTGGGCGTGGACCTCACTGGGACCGGGGGCAGTCCGGGACTGTCTTCGCTAAGCTCGCCGTCAGCCAGATCGCGGGGGAAATTAGTGTCGCACTCGTCCTCGTGAGTGATTGGCGGCATGCCTAGCTGGAAGGAGAAGAGCACATCAAAGGCCTCGACGTGGAACCAGACGCGACGGCGCATCTCGACCTGGAAGGGGCTCATGGTAGGAGACAGGCGGGATGGATCGCGGTGATAGCCCATCCGCTGGGCTTGCCGAGTAGCAAGGCCAAACAGTGACCAGAGCACAGGGTCCATGTCCTCGCTTCGGGTGTAGTTGTTCGTCGCGTACAGCACCATCGCCTCGACCACATATGGCTGGGGACGCATATACTCGCCGGCGACTAAGCACTCACCGGCCTTGGCCATATATTGATCAGCAGTGTTGTTGTCCGCTGAAGCCAACGAGCCGGTCTTTACGGCCTGTCTGGCGGCCAGGTATAGCATCGAGAAGAGCATGCTTAGCCAAAGGAACGAGGCAGCCTCCGGATCAGCCCAAAAGGCGTCGAGCTCACGCTGAAATTTGGGGGCATGTATAAAGCTGGCTGTCATAAAAGTCACATTGAAGTAGATGGCCAGTAATCGGTGCACCGTCCCTGGGGCAGGCAGCGTCGCCAGCACCTCCTGTCGCGTCACAGGCTGCTGGTGATGGAACAGAATCTCCATCCATGACGCGGGCGAGTCGCCGAAAGATGACGGCGAGGTGTTGGGAAAATCAGGGTCCGCCACGTCAAGGCATTCTTGTACCTCATGGATGCCCTCGAGGATGGCCTTCCAGTGTGTCGGCCCGCTGTAGGAGCTGTCCGGGCGGAGAGGGACCGAAGTCTCAGAGGCGGGACTTGAGTTTGCAGGAGGGGAAATTGTCTGTCCATTATCATTTGACTGATTGGAGCCAGTCTCTGCGGTACTTTCTATTGTTGTCGGCATAGAGCCGTTCGTGGCCAGCGTGGTCACCAGCTGCTCCAGCTGATCAAGACGCGCCTGGGCATCGCGGGCTGTCTTCTTCTTGCGGTGGACGACAAATTCGCATGACGCAGCATCTCCTCTAAACACACACGCCTCGCAGGGCTTCTCGCGATCGCATTTGAGCTTGCGTAGACGACAGTTGGAGCAAGACAGCGGCTGTCGGTTGCGTCGCGTCCCACGCCGCGCCTCGTCCGACGACGCGGAAAAGGCACGGAAGACGCCGGTGTATTGTGTCAGATTGACCATTTCCTCGGCCGGGAGTACCTCAAATGGAAATGAAATGAGCGAGATGGGGGAAGGAAGAACGGAGGAAGCAAATTTCCTGGGCGTCGTCGAGTAAGACGGAGATAATGGTTACCCAATCAGGAAGGCCTTAAATCCGGTGACGTCATGTCAGTATATAGGCGCTAGCCCTTTTCAGATGTTTTCGGATATCTCTTTCTGCGAATATAAATACTCGAGGGATTTCTTCAGAAAGGGATATCCAAATACTCACATCAATTCATCAAGACAAGATTCATATACCATCGATCTCTCTCTGTTTTCTGTGCTCTCAAAATGGCCTCAGAGATGCCCTCCAACGTCGCCGCTTGGCTCGTCGCCGAAAAGGCCAATCCCCTCGAGATCAAACCATCCGAGTTCGCGCTTCCTGCTGCGGACGAAATTGTCATAAAGAACAGCGCTGTGGCTATCAACCCGATCGACTGGAAGTTGCAGACCATGGCCCGCTTCCCGCTCCAGTACCCCGCCGTGCTTGGGGAAGACGTGGCAGGCGAGGTTGTCGCTGTAGGCCAGAATGCAGCCTCGCGGTTTCGCAAGGGCGATCGCGTGGCTGGCTTTGCGCTTGGGTTCACCACTCCGCGCGCCTGCGATGGTGGCTATCAGCAGTACTCGGTCGTGTTGGCGCGGCTAGCATCGCATATCCCGGAGAATCTCTCGTTTGAACACGCTGCCGCGATTCCGCTGGCAACGGCGACAGCGGCAGCTGGTCTGTTCCAGAAGAATTACCTCGCTCTACACCCGCCATCTATGAATCCGACCCCGACCGGCCAGACGCTGCTGGTCTGGGGCGGTGCCTCGAGCGTTGGCAGCAGCGCGGTGCAGCTGGCCGTCGCTGCAGGCTATGAAGTGTTCACGACTGCCTCGCCGCGCAACTTCGAGCGTGTCAAAGCGCTAGGTGTCGCTCAGGTTTTCGACTACGCCGCTGATGACGTTGTCAAGCAAATTGTCACTGCGTTAGCCGGGAAGAAGCTGGCAGGAGTTCTTGATGTGATCAACAAGCAGGGAGATGCCATATCCAAGTGTGTCGAGGTGGTGCGCCAGACACCTGAGGCTCGCCAGGTGATCTCAACGGTTGGGCCTATCCTACCGAAGCTAGAAGGCATCGAAACGATCGGCATCTTCGCCAGCACGATCAAGGACAACGAGGTGTCACGAGTGATCTATGAGGACTTTCTACCAGCGGCACTAAAAGGTGGACAGTACAAGGCTGCGGTTGACATTCGGGTTGTGGGACACGGACTGGAGAGTATTCAGACTGCGCTGGACGAGTATGCAAAGGGGGTGTCTGCTACCAAGTTGGTGGTAACTCTGTGATAAAGTAGCCTATCCAGATCAAGTTATTAGAACCATACAAATAGACAGGATATTTTTTCTAATCAATCTCACTCTGAACCCCCAGTCTTCAACGTAGCCAGATCCCTGCAGAGGTGGCTTCAGCCTCGAGTCTCTGAGACATATGTAATGCTGACACATTAGTGTAGTCTATACCAGGATAGAGACTGAGATGATGCGTGATAAGACAGAGGAAGGGTAGGCAGAAAAGAGTGCAGTTCTTGAGATAGAGAAAAGAAGAGGAAAGAAGAGAGAGAGAGAGAGAGAGGAGTTGACCATGTGACTCTGACCATGTGACTGGCCCCGTGACTTTCTGATCTTCGACAACCTCAAGACTTTCTCAAGACTTTCCAAAGACTTTCTCACATCTTCACACTGACTGATAATTGACACGAGAGACTGGATTGCAAGAGTACAACACAGGTTTCTCTTATACAATCCTCTTGATGCGTCTAATTTGTACAGATTCGACGACGCCTTTCCCTCCGGTGCAATGCGTGGACCAAGTGACGTTTGGCGATGTCTACCACCAGGGGCATTATGATCCCATGGAACGCGAGGTGGAGGCGTCGGTGCACACCAAGACCTGGTATTGCATGGGACTCTAATACTCTCCTCGAGCAGGAACAAAAGGAACAAGAGGAACAAGAGACGCAGCAGACAAACGTCATTCTTTACTCGGGGGTCACCAGGGGATTGGGATTGTGTGGTCAATTCAGTCACCCAATAAATTATATGGCAATGCCTAGATTGTATGGCAAGTATCACTCTATAGAACAAGGTCTTCTGCTGATGTTGCCCTCATCAATACCTCTTTTCAGTCCATCTTCTGAATGGCTACTTTGATAGAAATCATCCCAACCAGAAAGAACTATACTCTCTTATATCTCAGCTCTCCTTTGAAATCACCATTAAATCATACTCAAGCAGACCAGATACTGAGTATGCTCCATAGTAATAGTATAGCGGTAAGAATGACCTCACTCTTGAATATCATCACTCTTGATTTTCTCAATGCTGAACATCTACGAGTATCTCCTAGCATCTGTCTGATTCCAGCAGAATGGTCGAGCCCGCCAACTGTCGCACGTTCCCCGAAGGGACGGTATTCAAGAACCGCGAAGGACGGGTGGTGAGCATCAATGAAGACAACTTCCGCCTGAAGCGTATCATCGGCGAGGGATCGGGTGAGATGCAGAATGTACGGGCGGCAGTTTTTGAAGCCGAACATGTCAACGCAGGCAACAAGTTGGTTGTCTTGAAAATGCATTACGAGTGAGTTGAGGAAGCATGTTGCTACATACAAGAGCTGAAATATATGGAATAGTCTTTATCCATTTCATGCGCATCTGTCTCGCGAGCGTTACCAGGAAGCTTTCGAGGATGAAGCAGAGGTCATCCAGGCTATTAGCGGATCAGGCCACTCACCACAATATATCACGCATGGGCATATCATGCAGACGGCGGACGACCCATATCCAGATGATGGCGAGATCCGGATTCTGGCCATGAGCCGGATGGAGGGCGTGAGGTATCCGCTCATGAGGGAGGCAGGGCTGGTCCTGTTACCAGCTGATCTCAAAATCATCATGCAGCAGACCGTCGAGACATTGGAGTGAGTCGTGATCTATTTCCCACCACGGACCATTTCTTGTCCATTAATTACTTCAGGTATATGCGGCAGCAGGGGTGGCAGAAGGATATCGAGCCTGATGATGTCTTTTATAATCCGGATACAAAACATATGTATCTCTCCCATGTGTCTCCAATCAGTCTCTGATGAGAACCAGCCTAATGCTTCTAGGTTTATCATAAAGCTATCCAATGCAGACCCATCGACGAATGATACACCGGTGACTGAGGAAAGCGACCAGTTGAGCTTGGTTCGCAGCCTGCTCCAGGACGATGCGGAGATGATGATGCAGTATCCAGACGCATATGGGTTGGATGTGAGAATTGAGCAGGAATATCTAGAGGAAGAGTAGAATAGGGGCCATCACTAAGCCCTAAACCCTAAGTGTGACATATAGCAACCCTGATGGTCGTCCTGCACAGCTTCTCCTTCACAAACCTCTCCTCTTTCATATAACCCATAAATTTCTCCTCCCTTACACAACTCACAACCTCTTCAGCTGCAACGAATACACCTGGAAAATAAACGTAGCAACTGGGGATCTTCCCTAGTACTGCCTGCTGGATCGTCTCCCAGACCTCACTGGAGCATCCCAGCCAGGCTCTCTGACTCTCCCAGAGCAGGGATCGCCTTGGCCTCTCTTTGCCGCCGTGGTCCGCCAGTTCACAGACATCTTACTCGCCAACCAAAGACCTGCACAGCCCATCCCACGCGAGATGTGGCATGTTGGGAACGAGAACGGGGTGGTTGCACGGTGGATCGAGAATGTTGCCGCCTGTGAGGTTCTGGGTCTCCCCGAATCTAGGGAGCTCCAAGCTGGTGCCGACTTTTCTAAGGACTACAGACAGGGCCACGAGCCTGACCTTATCATCTTTAGAAGCCCCAAGAGAACCGTCTTGGTTGCTGAAGTAAAGACTGGAACAGCGACCTACGAATGCTGGCTGGAGACAACTTTAAAGAAGGTCTGGGGTATGTTTTTCGGAGAGCATTGAAAGAACTGGGGATGTTGACTATATAGGCCAATTGGGATTTCATATGGATAAATGCCACACCAAGTATGGAATACTATCACCACATGCAATGCGTGCGGCAGTCATGAAAATAGCTTGGAGGCATCACCTACACATCAGTGTACAAGAGGCCATGCTCTACATGGACTATCTGGCTGAATGGGAAGGGTGATGCCTTCTACTCATTGAGCTGGGAGGACTTGGTGAGTATATATCTCTGGTTATCTGGATCTTCAACTGACCGTGATAGATTCAGAACAGAGTGACGTCTATCGAGAGAGAGAAGTACATTACTACTATATGACTCTCTGATCATACCAACTGACGGAAACGAGACTGGGGGTAAAGAGTGCAACACTGGATCCTTCGGTGAGTTCACCTCTGTACAGATTGAGCGAACAGTATTGAGGCATAGAGTATCATTTCTAACCGCTTCTTCAGATTCTCCAGCGTTGCTTTGTTCTCCTCCCACCTGCGCATGGCCTCGTCATAATCCTCATGAGACACCCAGCCGTCGTCTCCAAGAAGCGTCTCTCGCAGAGTTTCAAAGTCAGCGAATACATCCGCCCAGGCTTCTGCCTGCTGTCGACTTTCGTCGATCTCCGTTTTCGAAAAGAAGATAGGACATGGTATCGCCGACCCTCGCCGTTGCATGATCCAGTCCCATTTCTCGTAGATCTGGATCAAGAGTTCTCTGAGCGGAACCGGACCGTCCTCGGAGGACTGCCCGAGGATATGGAATATGAAGGTGGTGGTCGGGTCCTCGTCGTTTCTCATCTTGTCCATGGCTCGGATGAGAGGTGGGTTGAATTTCCTCGACGCCAGTTCGTAGAACTTCTTCAGTCTCAGCCTGCTCAGTGCAGACTCTGCGTGCTCCCTTGCAGCCGGTGAGAGGGATTCAAAGTCTTTTGGTAGCTGGGGCTGGACTGCACCCCATGGATATGGGTCGTCACAGTCAAATACGGAGGGAAACTTGGCCTGGATGAACAACGGGGCTGTGTACACTGCCTGCCAGTCGATGATGCCGGAGATTCGAGTATGGTCGGATGCATCCACGAAAATATTGTTCGGATGGAGATCATGGTGTAACAGGACGGGAGAGAGTGTGTCTTCTGGTGGTAGGATGTGAGGAAGCACGGCGAGGAATTGCTCAAGGAGGCGAACATGAGTCTCACGGCTCTGTGGAATCCTCTCTGGAGGTACGGCGACATTGCTGGATTTTTGAAGACGTTGTACGCGAGCAATCTCACGGTTCGCGACAGCCGTCAGGTACTCCTGCGCAGTTCTCCCTATGGGTACTGTTAGATGTGATGGAAGATTGCGATAAAGAGTTGAATGCCACCCACAAGGACCGCGGTCAATATCCAAGGCTTGTTTTCCGTCTTCCCAAAAGGACCGCTGGGTCGTCGGACCAAACACAAATTCAGATGGAACGGTGGGATCTGCCTGAAACCCAATGCTTGTGTCCTGGAGTGTACTTCGATAATACAAGCTGCCGTGAAGGGAGAATCTCGCTTTGACCAGTCTCCGTTCAACATCCACCAGACTTTTCACCAGACCAAAGCGCTGTGTCTCAGCCATACCATCCCAGACCTCGTTGAGCTGTTTCCCCTGCACCCGTTCCATGAGAATATACTCTGCACCCACCGGGTTAGGCTGTGACGAGCTCCAAGAGAGAACCCGCGGAACCGGTATATCGAGAACAGTTCGAAGCTATGCAGAGAGAGTCAGAAATACCAATATCCATCACGATTCTCAAGTTAATTTAGAGTCACTTACAAAATCCAGGGTTGCGACCTCGCTCGCCACCACGTAACGTGGATGACCCGCGTTCGGGTTTGGAATCCTCGCCAGAACCTCCTTGCCATTCTCCATGTGCAGGGAGAAGACCTTGTTGAAGAGTCCCTCGGGCAGCTTGTCCATCTTCATACATCGACTGCCGACTGCCTGGCCGGCGATGCGCTGCAGGGCTGGAATGTCGAACTCGATGTATCGTTTGTCCAGTTGCTGCTGCTCGTTGAACAGCCAGCGACCGGAGGTGTAGCTGAAATAGTTGTTTGTCCTGGCAGATCGGATCGAGTGGAAAAGGCGAGCATGCCTGATGGAAATCATTCTGAAGTAGCAGACCGATAGTAACAGATATGCCGGAGGACAGTTTATAAGGCAAGATGGCCGAGTTGGTCTAAGGCGCTGGAGTAAGGTTCCAGTCTCGAAAGGGGCGTGGGTTCAAATCCCACTCTTGTCATTTTTTTGATGCCCGATATTATAATTGGGGAGACTCTATTCAAGGGGAATAGACATACCGATGTATTCTTTTGGGAGCAATGAGATGAAGTTGAAGTTGAAGTTATTGAAGTTGAAGTTATTGAAGTTATTCAAGACGAGAAAGACAAGCCTGCGCTAAGCCTATCTAGGAGCCTAGCATCGTAGTAAGCAGTCTAAATACTTTTAATACTTTTAATACTCTAAATAATTAATATAATACTCTAAATACTCTATAGAATGCCTTTTGATAATGTAGATTATAATAGAGTCATTGAAATTATAACTAAGAGATAATAAGACAGTAGATCTACCAGCTGACAGGCATCCACATCTTGACTGCATTAAGAATCCGGTATTATTCTAGATTGTCCATATCAAAATAATACTATGATAAACCATTAGTGAATATAGTCTTATGAGGTTATAGTATGTACTACCCTATGTACTATACCCTATGTAGTATGACTGAGATGACTGAGATGAGCATACTGGAACACGTGACATACCCCTCCTCTTATCCGCTTCTATCCTCCTTTATCCTCCTCTATCCCTCCTTCTTCATAGTGAGAATCCCAACAAAGGAAGAGAAAGCGCGGCCTCATATTCTTCCCGAGGTCTTCTATTTATCTTATCGTTGGTATTTCTATTTCCCTCTTTCCTCCTCCTCCTCCTCCTCCTCCTCCTCCTCACCACCACCACCACCACTACCTCACCACCATGGAAACCCCCCTCGCCCAGTATCTCTTCACCCGCCTGCGTCAGTTGGGACTGCGCTCGCTGTTCGGCGTCCCTGGCGACTACAATCTCCGTCTCCTCGACCATGTTGCCCCTGCAGGCTTGGACTGGGTCGGGAACTGCAACGAGCTGAACGCCGGGTACGCCGCCGATGGCTACGCCCGGATCAAGGGACTGGGCGCCCTCGTCACCACGTTCGGCGTGGGTGAGCTGTCTGCCATCAACGCCGTCGCAGGCGCCTTTACAGAACGCGCCCCCGTCGTCCAGATCGTGGGCAAACCGCCACGCGCCACGCAGGACGCCCGGACTGTCGTCCACCACACCCTGGGCGACGGCGAGTACGGCCACTTTGCTCGCATGCACACGGCCATCACCGTTGCCCAGGCGAGTCTGCGAGACCCGCAGACGGCCCCCGCGCAGATCGACGTCGTGCTGCAGCAGTGTCTGCTGCATTCCCGGCCTGTGTATATCGAGATCCCGGACGATCTGGTCGACGTGCCGGTCTCGACGGAGCGGTTGAAGACGCCTCTCACGCTCGATATGGATACCCCCTCGCAGTCAGACGAGGAGGTGGTGTCTTTCCTTCTCGAGCGCATCCACGCGGCGAAAGCACCGCTCATTTTCGTCGACGGCGAGAGCCGCGCGTTCAACCTCGTCAAGGAGATCAACGAGCTCGTTCGGGCCACCCAATGGCCTGTCTGGACGTCTACATGGGGTAAGAGTCTAGTCGATGAGACGCTGCCCAACTGCTATGCGATCTACGACGGCGAGTGCGCGCCGTACAAGACGTACTTCGATGCAAGCGACCTGGTGCTCTGCTTTGGGCCGCACTACAGCAATACAAACTCGAATTTCTTCCAGGCCATTCCTAGTCCGGCCGTGACGGTGAATTTCACGGGGACATCTGTCGGCACCGCCAAGAAGACATTCTACAATCTGCGCGTCAAGGCAATCCTGTCTCGTCTCCTGGCGGCCCTTGATACTTCAAGATTACCGGTGTCTTTGGTAGTAGCGACCGAGCTGGCACGAGTGGAACAAGAAGGAAAAGAACCTACCCTTCCACTGCAACTTACCCAGAAATCTCTGTGGCCTGCCATGGCCACCTTCCTGCGTCCCGGCGACATCATCCTCACCGAGACCGGCACCTCAGCATATGGCCTCCGCAGCATCCGGCTCCCAGAGCAGACGCGGCTCTTCGGTCCAGCAACCTGGCTATCGATCGGGTACATGCTGCCCGCGACATTGGGGGCGGCTCTCGCCCAACGGGAGATCCAACAGGGCGAGCACAACGCCGACTTCACCACCTTCATGCCCTCGACAGCCGAGGGCCGCACCATCCTCTTCATCGGCGACGGCAGCCTGCAGATGACCGTGCAGGAGATCAGCACCATGCTCCGCGAGAGGCTCGATATCATCCTCTTCGTGGTGAATAATGACGGGTACACGATCGAGCGGTGCATCCACGGCAAGAACCAGGCGTACAACGATGTCGCGCCCTGGCGGTACCTGCTTGCACCGGCCTTCTTCTCTGCATACGGAAACGAAGAGACAGACGTTAGTGAGTCATCAGAGAGTCTCCGGTCAAGGAATACCCTCTACGTGAAGGATGGCGATGATCTCAGAGCACTCCTGCAGAATGAACATCTCGCGGACGGCAAGGGACTCAGAATGGCGGAAGTGCGTCTTGCGCGCGAGGATGCGCCAGAGGGAGCTCTTACAAGGTTACTTGCTTTACAAGAGTAGCTTCTATTCTAACGATTGTAAATATGATCAAGTGGAACTAACTATAGACAACGAGACATTAAAAGATAGAAGATTGAGATCAACACGGAGAGTAGAACAACCGAAGTGCAGTCAAGAGACTGTCAGTATTAGTTAGAGTCAGTCAGCTCCGTCCATCCCAGATAAGCGACCAGCTCCTCGAAGCGGTCCAGGGCGGCATCCAGCTCGAGATCCTGCACCAGCACGTCCGTGAAGGTCGAGCACACGCGGAACAAGACATGGCGGACGGCCTGGGCGACGGCGCCGTCGACGGGCGCGGTCGGCGCAATCAGCTGAGCCTGGCAGCTGGCGATGACGGCGGCCGGGTCGTCAGGGAAAGAAGCATAATCGAGGAAGGGGGCGAAGAAAGCCTCGAGGTTTTCGTACAGGGCATCTTTCGACTCGAAGGAGGTTCCATCCGCGTAGGTCCGCAGACGGGCCGCGTACCGGTCGATGATGTTGTCCGTCACAGCCTGCCAGTTGAAGACGTCGCGGGCGGGCGATTCAGAGAGGATCATGGCGTCCAGGTCGCGCTTGATAGGGTCCAGCGAGGCCCGGGGGACGTCCTTGAGCATCGGGCGGGTCGCGTTGTTCGGGAATAGGTCGATGTCGTAGCTGAATGCGCTCACCATGTGCTCAAAGTCGATCACGGCCTGGTGCCCGCGCAGATCGTCGTAGCGCGCCGTGAACCTCAGGCGGCCGCCGTGTCCAGGGCCGGGGCCGAAGCTGGGGCGTCCACCGGGGCCTTCACCGGGGCCTTCAGGGCGTCCACCAGGTCCACCGGGACCATGTTCTCCAGGACCATGCTCGCCAGGACCATGCTCGCCAGGACCGTGCTCGCCAGGACCATGTTCTCCAGGGCCATCTTCGCCAGGACGGCGTCCACCAGGGCGTCCACCAGGGCGTCCACCGGGACCGCGTTCACCAGGACCATGCTCGCCAGGACCGTGCTCACGGCCGTGTTCCCAGTCGTCTCCACCAAAAAACCCACGTTTCCCAAACTTGGAGCCAGACTCTTCCAGGCTTCTCGTTCTCTGGCGAGGCTTGGTCTGGACAACACGTACAATGTCCAGACTGTTCTCAAAGTCGCACATGATGATCTCAAAGTCGCCCTCGGTGCGCAGGATGCCATCGATGCGTCCCCCCCAGGTCTCGCTGGCCATCTGGCACCCCAGCCGGGCACGCTGCTGATCAGGCGCCGGCCCGCCGAGGCTACCCTCGACACGCGGGCCCCCTCTGAAATCGTTGTTGATGGTGTCGTTGAACAGGATGCGGTCCTGAGACTGCGGCGAGCCGCCCGGACCGGCCGACATGCCGTCGATATAAAGCAGACGAAGCTCCTTGGCAGTCACATATGTGTGCAGATACCCGTATCTTTCCTCCCCGCCGTTGTCCCCCCCATCGATCAACGGCTGCTGCGTGCCTGCTCCTTCTTTCCCTCCTGCTGCCCCTCCCGGCGGACCACCTCGCGCCATCCGGGCGAAATTCAAGGCATGCTCGGGCTCAAAGGCCACCCACTGCAGACCCGGGATGGGCTCGGGATGGCCGGTGCCGTGGTAGAAGCGCGTCCCCTGCGGCACGCTGGCCAGGAAGAAGGACACGCCGTTGGGGAACTGCGCCAGCTCCGGGTGTCGCATCACGGCATGCACGGCGTTGAACAGGTGGTTGGCGTTGGCGGGCCCGTCATTCTTCCACCCGGCGGCCAGACCGGCCAGAAGCGGGATGGCAAGCAGTTTGTTCACCATTTCTCTCGATGATACTCCTGCTTTTTCACTGTCGGTTGGAGGTTCGCAGAAGCGATCGTGGTCGGGATCTGGCGGGGGCCGAAGGAAACACTCGGCGACGCGCGTCCGTCACATGACTTGGCGCCGGTCGGCCCAAGATAAAAAGAAGTCGGCGAAGCCACGGATTTACGGGGCAAGAGATGAGTCCGATGTTATTTATAGATTGACTTGTTCTTGGATATCTCCGATGTATACTCCGTACTGTGTGGTGTAGTACACTGTACGTCATCCATGGCCGATTGCTGGATTCCGACAATACAACGGAATCTTTGCCTGTGCCGGTAAAAGCGACAGGTTTGTATCGTAGGAGACCATCGCAAACCCGGCGTTCCCCTCTAGCAATCCGTCCAAGGCAAAGGACCACTCCCGTCCGACCAGCGGTGCGACGCAGTCAAGAAACCGGCGGTCTAGTCCGTGGAGGAGCCATTGGTCCGAGCCGCGACATACAGGCACCCACCAGTGAGCGAGGACGAGGAGCGCAAGGGGCTGGCGCCGCTGCACGAGGGCTACAAAGGGCTGCGCGACGATGGCTGGCCAGGTCAGGATGACGTCCCAGGTTAGAGGACGCAGCGCGACACCCGTATAAAATGCGTGCAGCACTGTCAGGGCAGAGAGACAAGTCTGTACTTCGTCTCGCGGGTATTTGGTTTCGCAACACTGCCACCTGAGCAAAATGAACAAGCCACGGATGCGCTGAAGAATGCTCCGCTCTGGCAGTGAAGAAGAAGAAGAAGAAGAAGAAGAAGAAGAAGAAGAAACCGGATTGCAGGCAGTCAGCCACTTTTTCATCGCCGTGGTACGTAAGTGGACGGCCGTTACAGGCTGCAGGCTCCAGTACGCACGGATGGCGGCGAGGAGCGAGGAGACACCGTCGAGCGGGTCTGTCGATGAGGAATCTACAGGCGCTGCGGTCGCGAGAGCCGCCAGCGTGAGAAGGATTTCGAAAAACGCAAAGCCCTGTACCGCGGCGCCGTTTTCAAGCGTGATGCAAGCAATGGCGGTGGTGAATTCACGCTTGGCCTGGGCGTGGGCGCGGCGCGCCGCGGCGCGCTCACCCTGTTTCAACAGGGCTGCGCCGCCCGTGCTGTCCTCCAGCAGGGAGACGCGATGAAGCATCCCCAGCGCGCACAATGATAGCTGAAAGAACCGGTGCTGCGTGGCTAGTAAAGGCGTATCGATCGTCCAGGCGTCCATGAAGCGCTCGCGCGTCAGCAGCAGTAGTGTGAGCGAGGTGTAGTTTAGGAAGTGGGCTAGCGCCTCGGGAATCTGCAAAGATGGCTCTGGAGGCAGATCCCCTCTCCTATCAAGCTGTTAGTTTATTAAGGTGGGCCGTCAAGGGGTACGTAGTACCTCTTCTCTTTCTCGTCTTTCGTGCCAGGTTCGAAAACTACCCGTAACGGCCGGTGTCCAATCACCCCCCGAGCAGCTGCCAAGGCAACGTGCCGCCCAGACCCGAGCGTAGCGACATTCTCGCAGCGAAATCGTACGTCCAGCTCATCGCGATATCCCGGACAGAGCTCGCTGCGGCGGTGACAGCGCAGACACCCAGGGCGCGTGAGATCACACTAGAAAGTCCAGCACACGATCAGTCACTGCCTCCACAAACCTCGGGGACACTCTCTACCTTTGTGCGTCGTCTGCGACAGGCGTGGCAGTCTCTGCTGGGACGACCGACGTTGGGCATGTTTGGACGACGTCTGCGAGACTGTTCGAGTCTCTGGCGATCTCGTGACGCGATCACGGGAAGGCCGGTTTACCCGACGTAAGCCCGGGCTTCCCAACCGGGTTAGTGCGTAGCCTCGAACCAGGCAACAAATAATGCCTGAGGCAGCTTTTTCAGGAACCATTTCTTGCCTCAGGCAGAAAGTAATATGACGTCACTTGTCAGCGCTGAGCATCCCGTTTGGGAAGGTCTTTCGACGCTAGCCCCCATTCATCCCGTCATATAAAGCTTTACGAGCCAACAAACTCCTCTTTCCAACCGCAGAAAAAACAAGAGAACAGAGAACAGAGAACAGAGAACAGAGAACAGAGAACAGAGAACAGAGAACAGAGAACAGAGAAATGTCGACCGACCGAGAAAAGTACCCTGAATTGTTTGTGCCGGACCGCAATATCGACCCGCGCACGCGTTCGCGGGAGGTGCCCATGAAGATCTTGGCGCTGAGCATGCCCCGGACGGGGACAATGTGTGAGTACTTGTGTTGGCAGGAAGAATGAATACTAATTGGTGTTGAAGCCATGCAGACTGCTCTTGAAACGCTAGGGTTTGGCCCGACGATCCACGGCTTCAACCAGTGGATGCATGTGCAGGACACGCGGATGTGGCAGGAAGGACTGGAAGCCAAATTTTTCCTTCCCTCTCAGGCAAAGATGAAACCCTTTGGTCGACAAGAGTTTGACCAGCTACTGGGCTACTACGAGATTGCCTCGGATTTCCCCTCGATCGCGTTCGCAGAGGAGCTGATCGCCGCGTACCCGGAGGCGAAGGTGGTGATTGTCGAGCGCGACGTGGACGCGTGGTACGAGAGCTTCCACGACTCGTTTATCAAGTACATGTTCAGCGTGGCCGTGTCGGCGTTTGTCCGCCTCGATACGCAGATGTATACCTTCCAGGAGATGACCAACACCTGGGTCCGGGGCAAGTTCCGGGCGAATTCGCGGCGCGAGCTGGAGCAGAACGCCAGGAAGGTCTACCGCCAGCACTACGAGACCATCCGGCGGGTGACCCCCAGGGAGCGGCTGCTGGATTTCAAACTTGAAGATGGCTGGGAGCCGTTGTGTGCGTTCCTGGGTAAAGATGTCCCTGATGTACCCTTTCCACGGGTCAACGACCGCCAGGCCTTTGCGGAGCGGAGCGACCTCATGCTCAAGATTGCTGGGGGGAGAATCCTCCGGAAGGGCGTCATTTTGATCACTGTCATGGTGGCAGCAGGGGCCGTGTGGATGAAGTATAGTTCATTAGGATAAGCTGGATTAATCCGGCTGCTAAATGTCAAGTCTAGTACTCCATAGGAGATGTCACCCTCACTCTTCAAAGGTAGAAATAAATCATCTCATTGAGGCACCCCCCACCCTCCACCCCCCGGAGAGTTGATCTGAATCCTCTCGCCGGCTTTCAACTTGATGACAGCTTTGCCTCCGATATTGATCTTCTCCTCTTTACCATGCTCGTTCCTCCGAAACACATAATTCACGCCTGCCTTACCCGGTTGGCCCCCCGCGAGCCCCGATGGCCGCGTAGCACGGCGTTCAGACAGGATGCTGAAGGTGAGAGGGATCCTGGCCTGGACTTCTCGCGTGATGCCGTTTCCGCCGCGGAACAAGCCCTCGCCGCCCGAGTGCAGATTGATCTCGTCTCGGGTGATGATCACGGGCGTTCTCCGTTCGACGACCTCTGGATCCGTTGCCCGCGTGTTTGTCGCATGCACGTTGACACCACTTACGCCGTGCCACGAGGGTCCGGCACCGGACCCTCCACCGACGGTCTCGGAATAATTCCAGCCTGGAATCACTTGTCCGATGCGGGGATCTTTCCCGCCCATTCCCCAGCCGAGTGAGTTTGCGCAGCCCTGTGAGTCGGCGGCCGCATTCAGGGCCTTGAGCAGCACGTCGGTGATCCGCTGGGAAGCGATGGTGGATCCGCAGATGGCCACAGAGGGCGACGGGTTGAGGATGCTTCCCTCCGGAACGCGGATGGTGCATGGGTTGAGACAGCCCTGGTTCAGGGGGATCTCCATATCCACCAGGCAGCGGAGCACGTATATAATGGCTGAGTGCGTGATGGAAATGGGCATGTTCATGTTTCCGTACGTCTGGGCCCCCGTCCCGGTAAAGTCGAACAACGCACCGCCTTCTTCATCCAATGTGATGGCCACTTTGATCTCGGTGCCGTCGTCGAAAAAGTCAGACGCGGTTAACGGCTGCGCCAGTCGGGTGTTGTGGTACATTTTCTTGAGCAAGGTCCGGATGGCAGTTTCGGCAGTGCGTTGGATCCCCTCCATAGCCGTGTGGACTCTGGGTAATCCGAATTCATCACAGAGCTGTTGCAAGAGTCTGATCCCGCGCTGGTTGGCGGCAATCTTGGCCCGTATATCTGACAGATTATCGCCCAAGCGTCTCGTCGCGCTGCAGCCCGGATACTCGGCCGCTTTGGCGAAGAGAGCACGCACTTCATCTTCGAGAAAGACGCCGCCTCGCACGATCCGTGCGGAATGCACCATCATCCCTTCTTGCCAGAGCTCCGTCGAGTCTGGGACCATGCTCGTGATGCCGATCCCGCCGATATCGGTATGGTGGCCTCGAGAAGCGACGTAGAAGATGATTTCGCCGTTGTAGAACGCGGGTGTGACAACTGTCAGATCCGGGAGATGGGTGCCTCCTGCCTCTGGATGGTTGGTGAGTAAGACATCCCCCGGTTGTAGGTCGTCTTTCCACCGTTCGTGCTGGTATTGGATAGCAAACTGCATGCTCCCCAGATGGACAGGGATGTGTGGTGCATTGGCGACCAGCCCGCCATCTGGGGCGAAGAGGGCACATGAGAAATCCAGTCGTTCCTTGATGCTTGTGCTGATCGAGGTGCGCTGTAATGTATGGCCCATCTGTTCGGCGATCGCCATAAACCGGTTTGCGAAGCAGGAGAGCAGGACAGGAGACACTCCAGTCTCTTGAGAGTCAACTTTTGCTTCCTCTCCACGGTCAATCACCACATGCTCTTCGGTGATGATGGCCTCGTATCTGCTTTCGACGAGAATGGTCTGAGTCTCGTCGGCGATCAGGGCTGGCCCTTTGATTTGAGCCCCCACAGCGAGTGAGCTCAATCTATAGACCGGGACATCATGCCAGTCATCATCGAGGTAGACTCTTTGCTGTCGCTCAGGTGTTGCAGACACGGTGTTTGCCTTTGCGAGAGCGATGCTCTGATTGATCCGGACACCCTCACGCGGTCTCCTTGCCACCGCTCGCACCCGGATACTATCGACAACGATATCTCGTGGAGTAGTGAAAGCAAACTCACGGAGATGCTGTGCGGTGAACGCTGCCGAATAGTCACCATTTTCTGGCTCTTCGACGGCAAGACTAGTATCCATTCCACGGTATTGCAGGTTGAGAAAGGTAGTGTACACGATCGACTCCTTATCGGTGACTCCTTGAGAACACAATTCAGTCTCCAATCGAGCTTGGAGTTCCTTTTCTCTCTCTCTCAGCAGTGACATCGTCTCGTCGTTATGAGTGTTGTGATGTGATAAAGTCAGCGAGGAGGGCTCAGTCATTTCTGCGGTTGTCTCAGCCAGACTGATCCCGTACGCAGACAGCAGGGAGGCATAGCGATGAATAAGAATACGATTGATGCCCAGATTCGAGGCAATCGAGCAGGCGTGTTGACCGCCCGCGCCCCCAAAGCTCACCAGGTGGTGGTCAGCCGTAAGGAACCCCCTCCCCTCCGTCTCGTTGCGAATTGGGCGGCACATGCTCTCATTGGCGACCTGGATAAACCCGGCCGCCAGCTGAACGGGACTGAGATCTACTTCTTCTGCCAGTTCAGTGAACTTCTTCTCCACGACGTCTCTATCCAACGGCTGATTGGCGTCTTCGCCGAATATTGCAGGGAAAGACGTCACATCCAGTCGACCAAGGAAGAGATTCGCGTCGGTGACAGTCAAAGGGCCGCTTTTCCTATAACAGGCCGGACCGGGATGAGCACCAGCGCTCTACTCATTGTCAGCACATCAAAAAAAAAAAAAAAAAAAAAAAAAAGAAGAAGAAGAAGATTAAAGAAAGAAACTCACCTCCGGCCCTACAACTAGTAGCCCATTTCTGATGAAAAGCATCGACCCACCGCCCGCCGCCACAGTCGCGATATTCAACATGGGCGCGGCGATCCGTCTGCCCGCGATGGTTGCCCCCTGGACATGATCGAAACGGCCGTCGAAGCGCGAGACGTCAGTGCTGGTGCCTCCCATATCAAACCCGATCAGCGGGGTCCGGGTCTCTTCATCATAGCACGCTCGGGCGACGCCCACAACTCCGCCCGCCGGACCACTCAGCAGGGCGGCATTGCCTGTATACCCCGGTGCCAGGCGGAGGCCGCCGTCCGAGGCAATGAAATCGATTCTCCGCGGGGGGCATTTGAACCCTGCGAGGAAGTTGTCGACGTACTGTCTGACGACGGGGGAGAGGTACGCGTCCGTACAGACGGCGGTGGTTCTCTCCAGAATCTTGATCCGAGGGGAGATTATTGACGAGAGAGAGACGGTGAAGCCTTCTTCTTCTGCGATGCGACCGGCCAGACGTTCATGTTCTATGAAATTAGATGGACACGTAGATAAGAAGTAGAAGGAAAAGAAGGGAAAGAACACGAGGGAATACCCTGGTAAAGATGGGAGTGAAGAAAAGCAATCGCAACGGCCGTAAACCCCTGCTTTCTCAAATCTCTGAGAACAGAGCGTGTCTGATCCTCATCCAGTCTGCGAATAATACGAATCACCTCTCCACTGGCCGTATGGACGAGGTCAGGGTCATTATTGTCCCTCCAGTCTGTCTGCACAGGCGCTGGATCCAACTCGTATCCTTCAGGCGTCACACGCTCGTCGATCTCAACGACAGTATCAAACAACAAGGAGGGTTTGCGGATATTCAAGTCAAACAGCTTCGGGCGGGACTGGTCGCCTATCTCGCTGAGATCCCTGAATCCCCTGGTGGTCAAGAGAGCAAACCGGGCGCCCTTGTGTTCCAGGAGGGCGTTTGTGGCCACGGTTGTCCCAATGCGGCAGGAGCCTATCATATGGTTTAGTCAGCCCTAGCCCTACCCTAACCCTAACCCTAACCCTGGATCTAAGCCTAAGCGGGAAGGCTCCCTACCGATGGAAGAAGCGTCCAAGAGCTCGTCCTTGGGGATGCATCTCCCCTCGACGATCTCGAGGACTCTTCGAATCGCTTCTGTGGGCGCATCACGGTAGTTCTGCGGGTCGACAGACAGCAGCTTGAAGACGTGGACGTCGGACGTCTGAGCGATCACGTCGCAGAACGTGCCTCCGCGGTCTGCTTATTAGACTAGAATATATATATATATATAGGAATATCGGATCTTACCGATTGAAATGCGAATACCGTGCATTCTACAGAATGATAATCCAAGGATGATATGTAGTAGAAAGGTATGTGTATGTGTTATATACGGGAGCTCTACGCCTATCGTCATTGGCAGGATGATGGCGTGATAGATAGGCATACTATATAACTATATCAGTCTTCTAGTGATTATTTTCTGGTTATATTTCTATTCATTTTTCATCTTTTGTAGAATGAAGCTTCTAGGCTATCTCTGGGACTCCCTCGACGACAAACCCGTCGAGGAACACCGCCTCGTCCGGCGGCTGGACACTTTCTACCTCATCTGGGCGTGTCTGTACTACTTTGTCATGTACCTCGACTCGACCAACGTGTCGAACGCGTACGTGTCGGGCATGCAGGACGACCTGCACATGTACGGCAACCAGCTGAACATCCTGACCACCTGCTGGACGGTGGGATATATCCTCGGCACGCTGCCCTCGCAGCTGGTGCAGATGAAGGTGCGCCCCTCGCGCTGGCTGCCGGCGCTGGAACTGCTCTGGGGGGCGCTCGTCATGTGTATGGCTGCTGCACCGAACGTGAAGAGCCTGTACGCCCTCCGGTTTCTCATCGGGCTGTGTGAGGCGTCGGCGTATCCGGGCATGATGACGCTGTTGGGGAGCTGGTACACGCCGCAGGAGCTGGGGAAGCGGTCGGTGATTTTCCAACAGAGCAGCGCTGCGGCGCAGATGTTTTCGGGGTATATATCTCTTCTTTGAATGATCTTTGGAATGTTCGGTGTTCTAATGTATTAGCTTTCTTCAAGCAGGCATATATAATGGGATGAACGGAACGGCGCACCTCCCCGGCTGGCGCTGGCTGTTCATCTTCGACGGCATCATCTCCATCCCCATCGCGCTCGCGGGCTTCTGGCTCATCCCGGACTCTCCCGCCACCTCGAGGGTGTTTTACCTGAACGAGACAGACCGGCAGGTTGCCCAGACGCGGCTGCAACGCGTCGGAAGAGCGACACACAAGGGATTCAGCTGGGAGGTCTTGCGTTCTACAGCGACCAAATGGCCTCTTTACGTGATGGTCATTCCATACGTGTATGTTCCCTATCTACTATTCATATACCGAATCATTGCTGACTGTAAATCTCAGGTGCTACGTTCTTGCTCTCCATATCGCATCGTATATGAACCTCTGGCTGGAATCCCTCGAGATCTATACCGTCGCGCAGATCAACGTGATCCCCTCGGGCGGGTACGCCGTGGAAATCGTCTGCGCCCTGTGCTTTGCGATTATCAGCGACGCGATCGGCAAGCGCTGGCCGATCATCATGTTCGGCGCCGCAATGGGATTACTCGGCGGAACCCTGCTGTCCGTGTGGACTGGGATCCCTGTTGGATTGAAATATGTGGCCTGGTTCCTTACCTTTGCGCCCGTGGGTACCGGGGCGCTGCTGTTCGCCTGGGGGAATGAATTGTGTAGCGGTTCCGCCGAGGAGAGGGCCATCCTTCTCGGGTGGCTCAACACAATGGGATATGTGTTCTATGCGTGGGTGCCGGTCCTCATCTACCCGGCCAGCCAGGCGCCAGAGTATAAAGTCGGGTATAAAGTGAATGCAGCGCTGTGGGGGGTGTATCTGTTGGGGATTCCTGTCATTCTCTGGTTTGCACGCCGGTTTCCCCTCGAACAGAGGGAGGATCCAGAGGTGGAAAGTGTCACATTTGATAAGGTGTAGAGAATAGCTCTAACACTGTATAACCAGCATACCTTGTTGCTTCTTGATGAGAGAATGCCAGAAAAGGAAGAAAGACGCCAATGATCACCCCCACGACGATCCTACATCATTCGTCAGTATAGCAAGACATTCTATATGTAGTATGCGGTACCATCTTATAGACACGTTGATATCTTCTCATTCGGTCTATCAATTGTTGTCTTCATCATACCAGTCCTTGTTCAAGCGCCCAGTTCCGGCCTGAGAACGGTCAGATGCCAGTGATAATGGAGAGGAATCCAAAGGGCCCTCTGTTCTTACCGCAGAAATCCACCAAGACGAAGCTGTATGGGAATCGGACACGATGGCATCCAGCATGAGACAAGAACCGAGTGTCGATCAACCATAGAAGATCAAAGTGCAGGAAGCGATGCTGCAGGAGGGGAATCCCTAGACAGAGCACAGTGTAAGCTTAGAAACCACGAGATACATTCAAGCTGCAGGCTCCTACCACGATGGACGTTGTCTTCGTCGCGACGCAGTTTATTGGGGCGATTCCCATTTCCCAGCCCGCCAGCCCACGTGATCGGCCTGATTGCCTTGTTTGCAGCGGGCACAGCGCGCAAACTCCAGGCACGCTCAAGAGGCAACACCTTTCTCGACCGGGTGAACGAGGAGGTCTTTCATGCCGTGTAGGCAGTACGTGCTCGTGATGGCGTTCAAAGATACCAGTGGCGAGACTCATACCACGCTCCTGGGCCAGCTGTTCCACGGGGAACGGCTCGACGTGGCCCAGACGGTGAACAAGCTGAGCACGCACGACAAGGCCACTTTCAGGGAGAACATGCGGATTGCGAGTGGCGAGACACATGGAGAGGTTGAGCTGCCCGAGACGGCGCCCTTGGTGTATCCGGATATCGACAGGAGTCGCAGGGAGACCAGGGGAGGTGGAAACGCTCTTCGCGCTGGCTGGCAGAAAGGCGAATATAGAATGGGTGAGTCTACATCTATATCTCTACTTCTATCACATTCTAATTAATAGGCATCAGAACACCCACTACCACCCGAACAACGCCCCCCATGAAATCGCGCTTCAATGACCCCAACCACCCGGCGAACAGCGGCTCGTTCATTGCGTTGGTCTCTGGCAGACACATCCCCGTACCCGGGATCGACAGGATGATCTCTGCGACGAGAGAACAGACGTTCTGTATTTTATGGTGGTCAATTTGCCGACGCAGGAGGAGATGTGGGCGAGTACTCAGTGAGTAATATAGTTGTTCTCGTTTTGGACCAACTGGACACTTATGCTACAGCTGACTTGGGTATAGTGATAGTCTACTAGCATTGTCTGAAAGTAATTCATAATTATATAACATAATACTACCAATAATACGGAGTAATTGATCCTTTTGGGGCTGTGTAAGTACTCAGTAAGCACCGTCAATAGGTTGTTACTTCAACTAGCCATTTAATTCGCTTAATCCTGTAAGATGAACCAATTGACTATAGGTAAAGTTAATAAGAACTTAGTATTGTCGTATTCTCTGCAGAACTATTGAATTACGCGAGCCACCAAATCAGAGCGTATTAAGCCCAGCGCCTATCTAGTAAGCCCAACGCCTATATATTCACTGCAACACCAACTACACTACCTACACAACATAACAACATACTGCAATGCCCTCCATTCTGATTGTTCCCGGCTTCTGGGAAGGCCCAACGGTCTTCAGTGCCGTCTCTTCCCTCCTGCAATCCCAGGGATACACCGTCGAAACCGCCGTGCTGCCCAGCACCGGCACTGTCTCGCCCGGCAACCCGACCATGGGCGACGACATCCTGTCTATCCGCACGCACATCGAGCGCCTCGTGGTCGCCGGAGAAGACGTCCTGCTCGTTCTCCATTCCGCCGGCGGGTTTCTCGGCAGCGAAGCCATGCAGGGACTCGACAGGAAGACGCGACACGCTGCTGGAGAAACAGGGGGGGTGGTAGGGATTGTTTTTTTGGCGGCAGCGGTGTTTCCCCAGGGATATACGCACCAACCCTTGCCTTTTGCTGTCGTGGAGGTATTTTCTTTCTCTCTCTCTCTCTCTCTCTCTCTTTACATCTACTTATCCATTTGCTGGTCTCATATTTATATTTGTTGATGATAGAACGGCTCTTCATATTGCGCGCAACCGGAAACCATCCTGTTCAACGATCTCTCCGAGTCTGACAAAACGAAATGGCTGGCTGTGTTGAAACCGCAACCGGCGCACGACTGGGACGGAACAGTCTCGTATACAGGCTGGAAAGACGTGCCGTCGGTGTATCTCATCTGCGAGGAGGATCAGGCCATTCCAGTGTCTCTGCAGGAGCAGTTGGCGGCGCTGGCGGGGAGTTCAGTCCAGCGGTGCCGTGCAGGCCATATGGTGCACTTGAGTCTGCCGGAGAGAGTTGTTGAGGTTGTCTGTGGTTTGATAGATTTGATAGATGGTTGATAGATAGATTCTGATACTACAGTAAACCTACTCTACAACACCATACCAATATCCATCAGAAAATTAATATGGCTTCTACTGATAAAATGTATTACTACATCTACTGCGTCTGGAGTAGATACTATAGTATTCATGATTATTATATATTTTCTATTTAATTTACCATCAGGTTAAATTCGATAATATTAGAAAACTGTTGATCCCATCAATCAGTTCAACTCTAGTACCTTGACTCTACAAGTTGACACCACAAAATCAATTGAATACCAACTGTTTAGTACTTGATATACATATTCTATTTATATAAATCTATATCAACCTAATATATGTACAGAGTAGTTATATGTAGTACAGTGATAATATCCAGCTTCGTCATCTCCCCACTCAATCCACCAATAACAAACCACGGCTTCACTGGCCACGCGTCGTCTCCTATCTCTCTCTCGTCCGATCAACTCCAATTCTCCCTCTCCTCTTCACCTCACTTCACTTCATCTCCATGTGATGACGGCATGACTACCCATCGTCGCAAGAGCGCCTTCTTCAGAGCCCTGGTCGCCGCCGCTCTCCTCGTCTGCGCCGCCCTCGTCGTCGTCCTGTACTCGCGCAGCGCCCCGCTATCCGATCTCGCGAACCCCCTCGTTCTCGGCAGCAGCACCAGCAGCACCAGCAGCAGCGACGACGCCGCCGACGTCGACCCAGACGGCGAGAATGGCGGCTGCAACGTCAATCTCGACCGGCTGCGCGCGTGGAACGTGAACGCAAAATCGGAGCTGACCTCGGTGCAGTATTCCCGCATTGAAATCACCGCCAGCGCGAGCAAGGACTTCAAGCAGTTCCCCGACAGGCTCGACACTTCGCTACCCGCGTACCGTCAGATCTCGCTCGCGAACAAACGAGACCACTTTGAGATCCTCCCCAACGAAGCATGCGACCCGCACGTCCATCTGCACGTCCCCTTCAACCCGTCGCGCGCCGACGCGTCACACATCCTGTTCGGCGTCGCGACGACCATCACCCGCCTGAACGAGTCGCTCGAGGCCTTTGCCCACTGGTCGCGCGGCACGGGCGCCCGCATCATCGCCGTCGTCGAGCCCGACGAGAATAAAGTGCTGGTGCGTCGTCGCGCAGAGGAACTCGGCATCCACCTGCAGATCTTCGAGGATCGCGCAGAGTACCTCGACCGGTACTTCTCGCTGGTGCGGGTGCTCTTCCAGCAGCGCACGCCCGACACCAAATGGGTGTCTTTCATCGACGACGATACCTTTTTTCCCTCCATGACGAATCTCGTCCGTCGGCTGGACTCCTATGACGCCTCCCAGCCGCAGTATATCGGGGCCTTGTCCGAGGATTTCGCTCAGATGCATGTATGGGGGTACATGGCGTACGGCGGCGGGGGGGTCTTCCTCTCGATTCCGCTCCTCACAACCTTGAACGAAGTGTACCCGGATTGCCGCAAGTTCACGGACACGGGCGACTGGCGTCTGGCCCGGTGTATATACACGTACACGACGACAAAATTCACCTGGGAGAGGGGCCTCTACCAGCTCGATCTGCACGGGGATGCGTCCGGTTTCTACGAGTCCGGACGACCGTTGCCTCTCTCGCTTCATCATTGGAAATCCTGGTTCGACGCGGATATGGTGCAGATGAGCGCCGTGTCGGCCGTGTGCGGCGACGCGTGTCTGCTGCGTCGGTGGCGGCTCAACGACGACTGGTTCCTCGTCAACGGATTCAGTCTGATCCAGTATTCGAGTCTGCTGGATGACTTGCTCGGGATGGAGGAGACGTGGGACCGCAGCATGACGAGAAAGGGCAACGAGTTTGCCTTTAGTCTCGGCCCGCTTCGGCCAAAGGATACGGGCAAGCTCTCCCTGCGTCTTAAGGAGGCCGTTGTCGCCAAGAAAGTCGTCAGGCAGTATTATCTCCATGAAGGAGATGAGGAAACCGAGGCGCAGGTCGTCGAGGTTGTCTGGCGGTTGAACGATGATGATAGCTCTATGTAATATATTTCATATAATTTCATATACATTCATATACATTTACTATCACTCTTCGTAGGCCGGCGGCAGTTCGAGACGCTCGAATTCAGCCATCGAGACATCATACCCCAGATGTCTCTTTAGTAATTCATGCGTGACGAACCGTTCAGGCGTGTTGCCCTGCGCATCGACAAACGAGACGTGGTGATTCACCTCGCTGATCCGCTGCAGCTCGTTCGCATGCCGATGGTGGTGCGGACACCCGTCCACGCCGATCAGGAAGATGGTGACATGCACCCACGACAAACTGAGGAGGTCCAGCTCGAACTCGTCCATGTCCGTGGCCTCGCCGTCAAGCAGGAGGAGGAGGCGGAGCATGGGTGTCTTCGGCCCCGCCTGCCACCCGTATACGGGGTGATGCGTCGCCGACTGCGCGTGTTTCTGGAAATGCAGCTCCTTGACCATCTGCCAGCCTGTCATGACGCGGGTCCCGCCCCCGAACCGGATGTTGTTCCATTGCGTCTCGAGATTCGTGTGGTGGATGTATCCCATTGGCGTCGCGTGGCTGGAGAACGTCACCAGTTCGTACCCTCCTCTGTTGCGGTCGTGGTTGATCATTGCATCCGTGAACCGGCGGACTATCGCTTTGGCGACATCTAAAAAAAATTAGCATGTATCCACTAATCAATTTTATGTGAAAAAATTTACCCTTATTCTTTGGCTGCGTCGACCGTGAGTACCCCGTTATAAGGTATCCGTCGTAATTCGGCCTCATGGGAGTAAAGTCCATCGACCCAGAGACGTCCAGGAGAATCATGGTATCGTCGGAAGCCACCTCGGGCGCATCGTACGCCCGGAACGGCGGCGGCATGACCTGCTTCGAGTATCCGTCCGAGGTATGTTGCAGATGGCAGGTATCGTCCGCAGAGAAATACGCCGGGGGTGGTTCCACGGCAGACGCCATGCGCCGGCGCGCCATGTCCAGCGCGGAGATGAGATCGGGCTTCATGCGCGCGGCTGCAGAGCCCTCGCGATGGTTCAATACCCAGTACAGCCGTTCTTCGGCTGTGTCTTCGTACCCGCGCCAGGCGGGGGTGATGCCTCGCCATCCCGACGCGGCCTCGATGCTGAACTTCAACGGGTTCGAAACCAGGTTCGCCCATGCGACGGGGATCGGTTCGAAGTACCCCGCCCGCAGCAGATGGAGGTACTGGATCGGTTGGTTCAGGCGCAGGCCGGAGATCTTCTGCCTCATCCCTACTTTCTCCTGGTAGGCGACGACGATGTGCCGCCACGTGGGATCCGGCCAGCGGCCCTCCTCCTCCCTGAGAATCGCGGTGCGCAGTTCTGCCGCGTGGGTCTTTTCGTTCGCCAGCCGCTGCAGTTCTTTTTCTTCCGGTGTTCTGATCGATAATGCCCTTTTCAAACCCGCGAGTTTCGACGGCTTGCCGCTGCCGCTCCGCTTCTGTCTCTCCTGCGCCAGAGTCAACTCCGCCATGGCCGACTCCAGCGCCGCGCCGCCGTCCCAGATGCTGTGTTTTGGTTCCCGGCTGTTCACGGCGTTCTGCGCCTCGGCGTTCAACCGCGCGTTCAACGAGATGGTCGAATGGATCGAAGTCGCGTACATCTGGGGACTGATCCGCGGGCCAAACATACCCGTATATTGCCGTGAAAACGGCGAAGGGATGTACATGTACGGATTACTCGCGAACACGCTCCGGTCGCAGTCGCTGTATGCCTTTTCGCCCGGGTACATCACCGCCGACGACCACAGGTTCTGCACGCCCAGCCGCGTCCATTTCCGCCGCTGGTACTGGTGGATGTCGCAGTTGCAGTATATGTCTACCTCGTGCTCCGGTTCGATGTCGCTGTTGTAGATACGGTTGTTGATCTGCACCTGCTGCAGCAGGGTCTGCATTTCTTGCTACTATCATTAGAAAGGGCAATAAAAAAAAGGCGTTCCAAAGTACCTACCTCATCGCGCGCTCGCACCAGAGCGGCGTGGATGACCGGGTTCGTGTGCGAGGGTACGTATCCAGCAGGAAGCGTGTACGCCGGGGGAAGCACATCATTGTTTCCATCGATCTTCTTGTCGATCGGTTTCTCCCCGCTGGTCTTGGCGTCTGCAATCTGGGCGTTGGAGTATTTGTCTGGATCGGCATAGAAGCTCTCCACTGCTGCCTGGATGCTCTCCGACCCCTATGACGTCAGTCCACTTGGCACAGCAGCGGCGAGAGAGAGAATTGTTCTACCTCAAGGAACACAAAGGCCTTGCCCTCGTCTGCCTCTGGCGCAAAGGCCAGGAACTCTGCAATCGTGCTTTCGGAGGGAATCATCGTTCGCTGAAGACTTGAGAATCTGTGCTTCAGAAAGGAGGATGGCAGACTTGGTTTTGAGGCCGTCTGTTCGAGTGTTTCCCCTCAGTGGCTGTGCCGGCGGCACTTTCTTCCGCGCCCTGTCTTTACTATTTTTATATGAGGCATTTGAGGCATTTAAGCATTTCTGGTATTACTACATGGATACTGGGTATTTGCTATAGATACCTATGGAAGTATTGAATATTACAAGTAAACCAGGTAAATGATCCTCCTAGTATTTTGTGTAATATACAATACTCTATTGAGCCTAGGATTGCTAGTATAAATTGTACTATCTACACCTTACTGGATAGAACAAATCTATTATATTTGACGGTTTATATCAATCGCTTATTGTCTATCACCTACTGTACCTATATTAATAGTTTATCTCTCAAAGATTCTGATTTGGCGCTGTCTGGTCAGACTGGTTCTACTTATGCTTTAATGCTTCAAGGACAGGCTATGTTGGAGGCATCTCATTTCTAATTGTCTAAATACAAGAGCTTATCTCTGCCTGTCTCTTCTTCCATGGTCTCACAGTCAGTTTTACTCTTTCTGTATGTAGTAGATGAAGTCTTTATAAGTCTATCTTTGGTACTATTTGTCGGTTGATACGAGTAGATATACCTTGCCTACCAATAGTATCTCTTGGATAGCCAGTAGCATGGTTTACACAGTCTACGAGTCAGTCCGGACCGTCCATTCCACTTATGCTGCATTCTCTTTGGTTGTCCATCCAGTCAACGAGATTCAGCCTTGCGATGGTCAGGCAGACAGACGCCAGGCAGAAAGAGACCCCCGCGGCAAAGCGACTCTGTATCAACGCATTGGATCTCTTCAAAAGTACGATTCATCATGAAGTCAGCCTCGCGCCTAGCTGCTACACTTGATTTAATCCTCAGCTAGCCCTCTCTTTCCTCTATTGTATACTAATCGATCAATCCTGTCAACAAAACCAGCGCCTACTCAAGATGAAATTCTACCTCGACGCGGCTCTCTTCCTCGTGAATCACGTGTTCCTTCCCCCCAAAGTCCCTGGCGAGGACGACACGGACGACCACCACGAGCAAATTCTCGTGGATCTCGTCCTCTCCAGTCTGAGACAGTTTCGACGCCATCTCCAGCCTGATCAACATGGATCCATCCATACCGCGATTTCGATGCTTGCCACGTTCAAAAAGATTCACGATTCTCTTGGTCGCGAGACTGCCGTGAACAATATCGCTCTTCTAGACGCTCTGGCAGTCCTGTCGAAGAACGGTACGTCCTCTCTCTCTGTATTACGATTGTAACTGCTAATCCCTCGTGAATCCCAGATCATATCCTCCTTCATATCCGTGCCCAGAATGCCGGCGTCCTCATCTCCAATACACCTGTCGGTGAGATACACGTTGAAGCCTTCGAGCTCTCACCTACAAACGAGGCAGCCATGAGCACGGCAGGGAGACTCCAACGCACATTTCCTGGTCCAGCCGTTGTGATCCCCGCTGAGACAGCTTGTCAAGCTTCCTTCCACGAAGCTCTTTCTCACACCCTCTCGCGAATGAGCCACCAGTCCGTCCCGGGAACTCTGCCCAGCGTTCGCAAAGCCCGCCAGAAACACGCCGAAGACCGCGACACGGTGCATCCAAGGGCTGTCACAGAACTGCTATTCAGCGTGCTTTCAGCCGTTGGTGAACCTCTCGACGTCTCTCGCGTGGCAAAGAACTGTCGTGACGAGGTTGTTTGGGAGGATAGCCGGTTCCCTTGGCGGAGATCGCCTTTGTGGATGCTGCTCCGGGTTGCAGTCCAGCTGATACTCAGTCGCAGTGAACATGACCTGTACAAACGCTTCATGATGTTCTTCATGGCCAAGGTTCTAGAAAAATCGGGTCCTCTGGTGTCGAGTGACCTGGTGTACGCTATGACAGCCAAATTGACGCGCCGGTGGATGAAGCTTCGTCCGCCTAACACTTCCGACAGTCAATATGTCCAGGCAGTGATGAAGAAGATGAATCAGGCATTACAAGACAAATGGGAGACAGTAAGCCTGGCACCAAAATACGATTTGGACGCTTTGAAAGATCTCGACTTTGGTCAAGATACCTATACTCGCCTCCCGCTGCTCGATGACTATCTCGACCGGTTCTCACAACGGACAAGGTTGGTACCGACAGTGGATTTTGAGCCGACATCTGCTCTTGCCCAGTTTTATGGTCTGCCCGTAGTTGGGTCCTGGACAGACAGTCGGGCGCAAAACCTTGCTGCCGTTGAGAAGTGGGTAGCCTCTTCGCTGCCAGGATGGATTGAAAGGTATATTCGTCGTAATGATACCTGCGGTGAATTGTCAACCCTCCTGAGCAGTTACCACAAATGTGCTTTGCTAGAGTATACCGCCAACCCAGAGGGAATTTCCATCATGGTATTGACTCTCCTCGAGATTTGGATAGCCTGTGATATGTCTGCGACGGCTATTTGCCCTCTTCTGACCGAATATGACCCCGATGTCCCCGAAGTCTTTCTCTCGTCACTCGTTCTCCCTCTGCATAACCATATGGTTCGTTTGGGGCGTGTGGAGGAGTATATTTCCAGCAGGAGGCAAAATGCCACACTTTCGTCAAATGCTCTCTACCACGAAATTGGTACACACACTTGTTTCTCAGTACGGTATTTCCGCCAGTCGAGCAGTCACCAATCACTCCTTGGACAGATTGAAGAGCGAGCCCGACGAGCCCGGCAGGCAAAGAGAGAGGAACTCTCCCGGAAGAAAGAGAGATACCGTGATTTAATGGACAAGTTCAACCACGGAGGATGCAAATATGTGTGGCAAACTGACTCTAATGGATATGAATATGAACAGCATTTATCACCTTGCGAGAGATGCCGTTATCAGCAAGAGGCTAAAAATATGGACATTGGTGTCCACGAATGGCCAGTCTCTGCAAGTAGGATGCAAGCAGAATCAACCATCTTCGAACTGCGGGTGCCCATGGTCTTTGCCAAGTGGCGGGATATCACCGTCTTCATCCGACTTGACGTGCTCGGTATGGACTATACGCCGTCTCCCAGGCCAAGAGAGAGATATCTACTTCGCAAAGACCACGGACTGTCTTCGTTCTATATTCCTATGAACAACAGAATCGTTCTTCTGTCGCAAACCAAACCCCATGTCGTCACTCACCGACGTTCCATTGCAGTCTCCATCGCTACAGAGGAAAGTGTCTGTGTCAACAACGGGCTACGCTATGAATATTTTGATGCAGCAAAAGACTGTCTGATGAACGCCCCCCAGCCAACGGAAGAGGTTGCACAGAACTGTATGTTTAAGCTCCCAGCATGCTCGGCCGCTTTGCAACCCTTTCTCTTTCGACCTCCCTCTCTCCCCAGCGGACTCCCCCCCAATATAGTCATCGCAAAACAGTCCGATTGTCCAATTCATATGTCGTTATCAGAGTATCGGGCATTAGTGATAATCCCATTGGGTCTGCGGATTCAATGGCAAAATGTCTTGTTGCAGCTTGTGCAGCCGGGAGTGGACTGGAAGAAAGAGGAGACAGCAATTTTTGTCCGCCAGGTTCTTTACCAGGCTGCAGAAAAAGGCCCAGATGATCTACGAATTGCCCACGCAATCTTCAGAGACGACGACTTTATAGAGAAGCTCCTTGAAGCCCTGAATGAAGCTTTCTCTCGCATCAAAGAGAACTGGGAGTCAACCTTTGCCCTGAGTACGTTCATCGCCATTGCAACGCGAGCCTTGTCCCTTTCCGACCATTGCACTGAGCAGATTCTGGGCTACCTTCAGAAAGTCCGAGCTGTGGCTTTCCAATGGGTTACCCTACTCAAGGATAAGCGGGACAGTGCTCTCAGCGATGACGAGAGAGCAGATTACTTTGGTCGTGCAGCAGAAATAGCCCTTGTTTGTCTGGATTCATTCAATGTAGAAGGTTCTTACCTGTCGCACATTCTTGGCTCCCCAGAGGCATCAATATTTCTCAAGTGCATGATTGTCGTCCACGAAGGCAGCCGTTCTTTATCACCCTCTCCAGGCTCAATAATATCCATTCTGCTCTATCGCTGGAAACGCTTGACGTACCGCGTTTATCCCATTCTCGTCAATGCCAACGATAGTCTCAACGAAGCTATCATGTGGGCCTGGTCGTCATATACACCGGGTACATGGACATGCCAAAACCATTGGATGGCAGCAACCACTGACGGTCTCTCTGTTCACTTCGATCTGCTTACCGGGGAGCTCCTCGTCAACGGGCTCCCTTTGGCTCGGCTACCAGCCCAGTATGAGCAGCACAGGATGTATAGTACCCTCTTTGGCCGAGCAGCTCTCGAAGTGATGCCCTCGTCTCTCCAGGGGATGCGCTTCTCGGCGACAAAGATGTATGCCGGATATAGACTGCATCTAGGGATAGATTGGGGAAATGAAACCAATCTTCTTGTTCGGGCAGTTAGAGAGACAGACGCATATGAGCTCATTCCTTCAAGCCTCTTTCATGGCGAACTTCCCATTCATTTCGAAGAGGACTATGTTCACTGGTATAACACGGTACAAGACTGCGTCGAGTTCCGTCCCAAAAATAACCCGTGGGCTTCTTCTGCCGAATGGAAACTAATCAACGGCCATGGGTGGCAGCTCGTCAAAGGTGAAAAGGCTTTGATATCCGTTCATAGCAAGACAGCGAAACAGCTTTCCACCATTTTCAATCCCCTAGCAAGTCCCTTGCGTATACACACTTTCTCTACGGGATCCGGCGTGGAGATCGACCTTCCAACTGTGAAGTTAGGATTTACGCTAAGCCTGGGAGACTCCTCGATTTACTCTCGCCAGTTCCGTGGCATGACCATTTCCGCTGATCAATCTATCGGCACTTTGATCGGCCTCCGGAATAAGCTACTCCTACATCAGAATGGCCGGAAACTACTCATTATCCCCGAAGGAGATGCCTCTTGGAGAGGACAGGATGATCACATATCTGTTTCTATCAACACGGATACAACTGCTAGAACCCATGTCTACAGAGTTTGCAACCATCTTGGCCGGCTTCGTGACAACGGCAGTTTGCAAAGCAAACTGTTTCTATCCTATCTACATGCCTTGACGTCTTTCTGCCTTCCAGATCCATTGACAGGGCGCACCGGCACGGAAGAGGCAATTTCCATCCTGAAATCGGCAGCAGTGCGTTCCTTTGACCGACTGTCACAGGAAAATATTGAGTTACTGCAGAAAATCTCTTTGCTGACCCCGGACCGAAAATTCTATCCTGCAAACGAACGTGTCATGCAGACCGTGGACTGGATTTATGGGTTGAGCTTCCTATCTCAACATCCTGATCTATATTACTCGGTTAAGGACATCTTCGGCCGTGTCTCACGATCGAGAATCTTTTATCCAGAGTCAGATGAAATGCCGGTACTAGACCACGTCGATCCCTATCTACTTGATCGTGATGCTCGACGAACCTCTGTGCTGCGAGTTGCAGGGTTTGGGGCTAGCTATTCCATCCGGGGAGATGGTGACAGTATCTATACTGGGCGGGATAGACAGGCATCTCGTGGAAAGGAAGCCTTCACATTAGCCAGGATGGTCTACGATGCACAGTCTTATCTGCCGTATTCCGTTGGTGATAAACTGGACAGACATTTGTGGAAGGCTTTGCTTGGATGCGAAATTCTTCCACCTTCATGTGCACTGGATCTCAATATCCAGTATGATGCCCAACTACTTGAGGAATCATCAATGAGAAATCTCCTCCCCTCGTGGAGCGTTCTCCATCGCACTCTTTCCGGCTCAGATCTCAATAAATATCACCTCATGATGTTCTTTGCAACGCTAGCCTATGCACAAGACGCCGATATGGATATAATACAAGCAATTGCTTCCTTCTCCATCATTCCCAAGTTGGGCGACATTTTTCCTCCGGAAGTTTATATCAAACCAGCACATGGAGCGGAGTTCAACAAGCACAAACTGATAAATAGTCTCCAATCCGCTGTCCGCCCACTATCGGAATGTCCAGGTGGAAAAGTATGGCCGATTGGCAAGAAGACAAGAAAACGGGTTGAGCGCTTTCAAAACCAGTCTCTTGACCAGCTCGCCAACGCCTTCATGACGCAGTGGCCATCTCAAACCCCATATATCCCTGCCGATAGCCTGGAAGCGTTTTCCGAGTATATCAGCATTGAGAAGGCATTGGATATCGCCAGACAGAAATTCAAGGTCTGGTTCGATAACTACCACTTTTGTCAGTACTTGCGTTGCGTCAGTGATGTCCTGTGTGCTCAGGCCGTTGAACCTCCGGTCCCGCCAGTATTCTCATTTGATGCCTCTCGATGGCCTGTTAATAAGCACAAAGGCTTCATTGGTGTGAATGATCTATTCCAAGCCACAGTCCCTGCTATCTCTCCATGTTCCGACAATTTGACAGGTTTGGTTTGTCGCTCCGAGACAGCCCAAAAAGAATTACGTCTTTCTCATCTATTGAACCAACTTGATGAACAAGCCGCATCGCGATACGAGAAGAAGTACGTCCGGGATCTGAGGGTTTCCCTTGGTGCTTTGCAGAGACAACAGCACCAAGACATCCTTCAATGCAGTGGAAATGTCGAAGAGATCATCATCAGCTATCGGATTACGTGCCAGACAAGAGTGAGCTCAATATACGATGCTATCCTCTCCGCTTTAACAACCCACCCATCTTATTCTTTCTCGTCGAGCCACTGGCCACGAATCTCTCCGATTTTTCTTCTAGAACAACTTTCGCAAGAGAGATGGCATCAACTTTCCGCATGCTGGAAAGAAGCAATAGTCAGCTACGGTATTGCATTGACGGATCTACAGCGCGCTGAGAGGCTGCTAAGTGTACTTCACTCTCCCTTCGACCTTGTCCGTGAGCTTCGAAATTCAGGGCATACGAACTGGAGTCCGATCGAACATCCCGACTCGCTCCTCCTTGAAGTTGAAAGTGGAATACTCATCCGCGATGTGCAGGAGCAGATCGCCAGTGAAATGAGAGACCCCGGCTCTGGTGAGAATACAGTCATGCAGCTCAACATGGGCGAGGGCAAATCATCTGTGATTGTACCTATCGTTGCGTCCTTCTTGGCCAATCGGGAAAAGCTTGTTCGTGTACTGGTTGCAAAACCACAATCTGCGCAGATGTTTCAAATGCTCGTTTCCAGCGTCGGGGGGCTAGTCAACCGCCAAGTTTATAAAATGCCGTTTTCTCGATCGCTGCGATTGAATAAAGGGGAGGTTCAACGAGTCTACGAGATTTGTCACGAATGTATGTGTACAGGCGGAATTTTACTTGTCCAGCCCGAACACCTCCTCTCCTGGAAGCTCATGGGTCTGGAAAGAATGATCGGGGGCGAGGAAAGTGTTGCAAAAAAGGCACTGGATGTTCAGCACTTTTTTGATCAAAAGGCCCGTAACATCGTCGACGAAAGTGATGAAAATTTCAGCGTCAAGTTCGAGCTTGTCTATACCATGGGTACGCAAGGTCCAGTCGAGTTTTCACCCCAGCGGTGGCTAGTCATACAGCATGTGCTACGACTGGTGCGTGCCACGGCGCCAGAGGTCAGAAACTCCCTTCCAGAAAGCATCGAGATTATTGATTCCCCTGTTGGAAGCTTTCCTCGCACGCGTTTTTTGCGCCTCGATGGGCAACAACATGTTCTCGAGAGAGTTGCACGCCACATCTGCGAGACCGGTCTTCCTGGTGTCCCTATTGCGAGGCAGCCTCAGTCCCTTCGTGAGAAGATTTTTCGATACATCACAGTGGAGCAACTCACATCTGAAGAGATTTCACGGGTTGAAGATGATCCGTTTTGGGAGACAACAAAGCTGACTCTTTTACTACTGCGCGGCCTTCTTGCCGGCGGCATTCTGGGCTTTGCTTTTGGCACCAAACGATGGCGAGTGCATTACGGTCTAGATGAAAAGAGAACCCCACCAACCCGACTTGCTGTTCCGTATCGTGCCAAAGACAACCCCTCACCGCGCTCGGAATTCAGCCATCCAGATGTTGTGATTATGTTGACCGCATTGAGCAGCTACTACGGAGGACTTACTGACGAGGAACTCTACACCACCTTCACCCATCTTTTACAGTCTGATCAAGCGAGCGCTAACTATCAGTCTTGGGTCGACGATGCGCCGGATCTACCATCTTCCTTCCACCAGGTGGAGGGCATCAACCTACGTGATAGAGCTCAGTGTATCTCTGTCATCTTTCCCAAACTACGCTATTCCCAGGCCGTCATCGACTATTTTCTGGCAAACCTGGTGTACCCGCGCGAGATGAGGGCATTCCCGTCGAAACTGTCCGCGAGCGGATGGGATATTGGTAAAGAAACGACACACCCCACGACCGGGTTCAGCGGGACGAACGATGCGAGGACAACACTTCCGCTGTCTGTGAACCAGATTGATCTGCCGGAGCAGCGACATACAAATGCGTTGGTTCTGGAGTATCTTTTGCAGGAGGGGAATAGAGTGGCCTTGATGGGGAGGCGGGGTGTGGGTGCGCAAGCCACAGCGGAGGCTACGGGAGCTAATAATAACGCTGTGGAACCGGAATCTACCGCACAAGCAGATGCGGGGGCGGGGACAGGGGCCGGGCCGGACACTAATGCAGGGCGCCTGCTGGATATGGTGGTCTCCATGCCGGAGCAAGTCCAGGTCATTCTGGACGTTGGGGCACAGATCATCGAAATGGACAACGAATCTGTTGCTCGCTCCTGGCTGCACCGGTCTGGCGCGACTGTTCAAGCGGCAGTGTTTGTTAACAGCTCCGACGAACTGTGTGTGGTTGATCGGCAGAACCGAATAGAACCCCTGCAAATTTCGCCATTTGCGACGCAGATGGATGTTTGTCTGGTGTTTCTCGATGAGGCACACACGCGGGGAATTGACCTGAGGTTGCCGAAGAATGCCAAGGCTGCGGTCACTTTAGGAGCGGGATTAACGAAGGATAGACTGGTTCAAGGTATGTTCTGCAATTCTTTCGCTTTTCTTTTTTTTACATTCTTACTCACAGTGTAGCCTGCATGCGCATGCGCGGTCTCGGGCATGGACAGACCGTGGTCTTCTGCGTACCGGAGGAGATCCAAGCAAAGATCACGCCGGAGCCTAGATCGATCACTGTGTCGGACGTCCTCTGCTGGGTCATTTCGGAGACAGCCACGGATATGAGGAGGAGTATACCATTGTGGGCGGCGCAAGGGCGGCGGTTCCAACGTCAGGAAGCCCTATGGGAAGCTGATGTGGATTCGGTACATGCACAGCTATTCCTCGAGGACGAGTCGCAATCACTTTCCGAACGGTATCAACCGAAACAACAAGAAGTGATCGACACTGCTCCTGCTGATGCTATTACGGCTCGCTGTCGTGAATTCGATAATTTGGATCTTGCAGCGCACTTCCACGAAGAACAGGAGCGCGAGCTTTCGCCGGAGATCGAACAGGAACGACACGTCCAACGTCCACCACCGGTTGATCCAGCCAAGCACGCCATCCATCCAGACGTGCATAGGTTTATATCTACTGGAATGAAAGCTACCAGCTCTGCGTTTATTCCAGCCTTTGAGGCGCTGGAAAATACCAGCATTGCCGGAACATTCGATCTGAGCCAATTCCCTCGGAACCTGTGGGTAACAGACGATTTTGCACGCACCGTTCTTGCTCGGGGGGCGTCAGATCTGTATCAACGGGGAGTCCAATGGATCATCACCAGCCAGTTCTCCATGGTGATTGTCTCTCCGTACGAAGCGGACCAGCTCATTGACAGTATCAAAAAGTCGACCCATGTCACGCTCCATATCTATGGGCCCCGTCAGAACCAGCGGTTCCGATCCCTGGACAGTTTGGACTGGTATTCGGTTCCTTCTGGACGAACGGTACCGCGCGAGTCTATTGTTCAGCTGAACCTGTTTGCAGGACAGCTGTATCTGGGTACGTTCGAGGAGTACGTTGAGGTCTGCAACTTCTTGAATCTCGCATGGGAATCAACGAGAGACGACCAGCGCATCGCTGCGGATGGGTTCATTCTGGACCAGACCCAGTCTCGCAGATTCAAGACAAGTCCGGTACAGTTTCTCAGGGGGCTGCTACAGAGTATTCGGGCCCATGGAGGAATGGACAGGACCCATCTGGGGAGGATGTTGGATGGGGTGTTGCTGAGCAGGGGGGATTTCGAGACCGTCCATTAAAAGATTTTGGCTACACAAGACTAGACTTTTTCATACTAAAGTTTTCAAGGTGATACAATTCAGAACAATCTTCTTCTTTTGTCTCTTTAGATACATGTGTTCATCTTGCTCCACTTTTATGCTATCAGTAGCTATACGAAGGGTGGCTCATCGCTAGTGTCCCCTCGGCCCTCGTTCGACTCGTGAAAATCTATCCTCTTCAAGAGCAGTGGCTGTGGGTAGGGTCTTCATTCTATGGTTAACGAGACTTCTTGGTATTGGTTCCCTTTTTTTTTAAAAAAAAAAAAAAAAAAAAAAAGTGCGTGGGCATCGCAGTACGTTGGATAAATATATATTTAGCATAAGAATCTACCACAATAGAACATCATATTTGAATACTAGCCAATTGGCCATAGACTGTGTTTATTAGGTACTACTTTACCAACTTCAAGCACCCTAGATTTCCGTTCCACTATTAATTGTAGCTCAAGTCAGTAAAGATGCCCTCAAACCTACATCTACCTTCATGTTTCTTCCTTGACCTGGGAAACCTGCATGTCGATGCCAGTTCATGCGTCCCTGCTTCTAGACCAAAACCGATCGTACACTGGAATATCTAATGTCTAACTAGAGTGACAGGGACAGGAAAAATAAAGGGAACAAATAAACCGAAAAAATAAACGGTGATTGATGGGTGGAGTGCTAGAAAATGATATCCAAAATAGCAGTTCCAGTATTGGATGGCAGTTAAAAGTCCAAATTCCTCGCCGTGTTATCATCGGATAGCCCTTGTGGTTCAGTGGTAGCACGTTGCACTTGTAATGCAAAGGTCCTGAGTTCAACTCTCAGCGGGGGCATCCTTTCTTTTTTATTTTTTTTCTCTCCCCAACTATTATCGAGCGCTCATTATTCATACATCGAAGATGCTTTAATGGAGCTCATATTATTAATGCAGATTAAACTTTCAATTTTCCTCGACAACAGAAATAATACCCAATCTAGTGAAGAAGTAACTATCATCAAGGAGTAGAAGGTAGGTAGGTAGATAGAGAAAGGGTATCTCGCTTGCCAGAATAGAAAGCGGTGGGAAAAGTCAAAATACATGAAAGTCGCACAATAAACAAAAAACCTCATGAAACACTTTCCGCACCCCGTCTTCAACAACGGCCGGATGGTGTAGTTGGTTATCACGTATCGTTAACACCGATAAGGTCCTGGGATCGAGCCCCAGTCTGGTCATTGCTTTTTGCTCCTTCATTTTTTGAATTGCTGGCGTTAACCTCCTGTCATGGCTATAAGAAGTTGCGGGTTCGATTCCCGTGGCGGGAGACCACAGCAGACAAATATTAGATACCTACATTGGTAAGAAATAATGCAAGACTGTGCCACATTTTTATCCATCTACCTCCATGTCCTCTCCATCCATACACATACCGACCTTCAGGATTTTACCCACTTGATCATGTTGAGAACCCGAAGAATCAAATCTTGTAGGTCAGACGAAGGATATCCAAAGACATACCAACCTCTAAACTTTCCATTGACTGTCTTGTACGGATATTTCCTCTCTATCACGCCAAATGAAATTGTAGATGAGTAGGCGTCGCCCGAACGGCCCATCTTGTTTCTTGCCAAACAATTCAAAATCAACTCTCGACAAAGTATAAAAGCCCAGCGCCCCTCTATAGAGATAGAATAGCAAACTCCAGCAGGCAAAACCCTAGAACCCCCAGCCACTGGTATCCCCGTTCCAGACCCGCTCCCATTTGTAGTCCGGCGCTTTGGCTAGGTCATACTCGGGTAGAAAGGTCATATCCCATTTATATTCGGTCTTTTCGAGCTTCCATTCAAGGAAGCCGATGAAGTACCTAGTGTCGCTCTATTAGAAGAGAATGCTAGAGATAGGTAGTGTACTAACAAGGTCTTTGTCTCCCCATTCCACACCAGATTCCTTGGCCCAGCAAACATCGGATAGTATCCTAGAGTCATCATCTGGCTGTATCCACTTACAAAGGCTGTCCGTGCCGCATCACGCTGCTCGCGTAGTAACTCCCAGAAGGGAGACACATCCAGACTGTCACCCAGGCGCACGCCAGGAACAATCTCCCAGACTAGGTAAGTGAGGTACCCGCCAGGAACGAGGCCATCGTCGTCATACTAACTCTCCAACCACACTAGTAGCTTAGGTGTAATAGTTGATCCTGCCCGAGTCATGGTGCGGAGGGCTTCTAGTTAAATGTGGGTATATGATCTTGCCTGCGTAGCACGGACATGCACGGGTTCAACCTCGGTGCCTGTCCAGGGGATCTGCTGGTAGATTCGCGTCAGGGCCTGTTTTCTCGAGTCACGTTCATTCTGGCAGAGAAGTTTTGCAGCGGCGAAAAAGGGTCGGGAGCCACGCTGGACGGCTTCTTCGCTCATCTGAACCTCCTTTTCATTTCGCTTGGAGATGATTCTCCAGGAGGAGCGCGTGGGTGAGGTCAGCGAGATTACGGTGCCGGGGGCGACCTGGCTCTTTCGAAACCAGGAGCATGGCTCCATCCATGGCTCCATCTTGATAGTAGGAAAGCATTTTGTAGGAAAGGAGGGACGAAAAGGAACAGATAAAAGAGAAGAAACAGGGTGTATCGTGCTGGAAGCCGGTTGATCTGCCTTTCTCCCTGTTCCACAGTTCGGGCTTAGCGTCGTCGATCACCCGCCCAGCGGAGCCCTAGTTCTGTGCCCTGATTTCCTTTTACAGATGTTTGCAACCCGTCGACAACATTTTGACAGCCTCGAGGCACTCGGAGTGATTTCTCTTCTTCTATTATTCACTGGCGATGAACCACACGTGCGCAGTGACCATGAACCACCGCTATTCTGGCCTAGTTACCAAGATGACTATATCTGTTGCTCGAAACACTTCCAGCCCCGAATTCCGGGCCAAACAGAACTTCGAGTTCAGCGTTACCGTACGCTGTTTGGGACACTTCTTCAAGGCCGACGTTGTCGCCATGCTTAGCAGCTGGAACTTCAGTGAGGAAGCCCTACAGCAGAGATCTAGTCGTTAAACATGGAAGAGTGAGGATGAGCATGGCGTTTAAGGCCGCTTCTAGCAGCAAGTTGGACAGGCAGTGATAGCCGCCTTATATCTGGGAGTCGATCTCCATTTTGGAGATTTCAAAACAGTCTTCTCATCGTATTCCAAGATCCCTGATGTCCTGGGCATCACCTTCACCGGTGAGCCAATAGAGGTCGGCAAGATGAAGACAGCCTGGTCAACGGGGAACGATATCCTAGATATTCATATCTAGAAAACAAGGAAGGATGAGCTGCGGCACTTGCTCGGTCAGCCCCAGAGTGATGGAGTTGATAGTCATTGGATTGGCATTTACTGACTCTTCTTTATAGGCCAGCCGTGCATGTACATGCATGACCTACACCTAGAGCATGGCTTTCTCTCAACTCAACATAAGACCGTGTCTTGACACTGGCCGATAGGCAATTCTCTCCAGAGAGGTGAAGTGGACAAGGCACACAACTACTTGAGGTTGATAACTGAGATGACGTCATGTCTACTCTACATATTCAATCAATGATTATGTTTCTACCAGGCTTAAGTCTCTCAAACTCTTTTCATTATTGCCCACGATAAAAGTATCGGCCGTTCAGATCGGCCAGTCTGGCCAGACATGATGATCTCTGAGACGAATCAAAGCTTGAACTTACAATTTGCAGTTATCAGCTGATATCTGTATATAAGTTTTTTGAGAGCATGACAGAATAGCGTTTCTTCCGAAGGCTAAATATACTTTATTTATAAACCAGGTCTAGATCTCAAGTCTTACAACTCAAACTCTCGAGTGAAGGCATCACTCTGCTATATAGCACTGTATGTACGGAGTATACAATCTAGCCAGTTTTTCTAGCTAAACAAATACATATCAGACACCTCATTCAAAATGCCTACTGGGTCTTGTCTATGTCAAACAGTGCGATATCAGTATGAAGGCAGTCCTGTAAAGAAGGTATACCCCAGCCTTTCTAACCCTAGTATACTTGCCTTGCTAAAGACCAGACAGGCCCTCTGCCACTGCCTGACCTGTCGTAAACTGTGCGGCAGCGCCTCAACAAACCTGTTGATCCCCGCCGATAAGTTTCATCTCAAGAGCGGCTCCTTGAAAAACCACCATGTCGACCATGAGAGCGGCATGCAGCTGACAACTGCCTTTTGTGATACGTGCGGCGTGCAGGTGTACAAGACTGGAGACCGCCCGGAGTTCGAAGGAATGATTATCCTCAATGCAGGGACGGTGGATGACGCTGCGAGCTATAATAAGATGGCGCCAGATGCAGAGCTATATATGAAACACCGTGCTGAATGGAGGCCTCCTTTGGCGTACGCAGCGCAGAAAAAGACGTTCGATTGATCTTTCCTATCAAAAAGAAGTCATGTCTTATGCATTCAGATTGAATCTTGGGAAAGAGAAAAGCAAAAAGTCCATGAGGAAGTAATGTGTGAGATAAAAGATAGTCAATACAATTACTTGAAAAGGTCTTCATGTACCTTGTTATTAACACTCGATTTAGCACTACCAGCATAACTGACTATCCCAAGGAAGATGATCTAGCAGTCATAAATACTACTAATACACCAATATCAGCTTTGTACTGTTCATTTCATTTAGACATAGATACCTGCGAGATAGCATCTAACTAGAATCCAGACCTCGAATGGCCATGTGCACTCGATCTAAGCTTGATCCTATTCTCAATAATATAGAAAGTAGAAAGAACCCGAAAATTTGGTACAAAATGTAGCCAGCAACAGAAGAAACCCTGGATGCACCTTCTACTCCTCTCTTTTAGGAGTGTCGCTTTGTCTTGCAGCCCTAAAGGATCGTAGCAGCTTTGCAGCCATCATATGTCCGTTCCTCTCTGCCAACCTCACCGCTCGTTGGTACTGCCGCTCGCCATTGCCAACGAGCAGAGCTCCTTCCTGGACCAGCATGTAGAGCATATCGATTCGACCATATTCTGCAGCTCCCTCCAACGCCGTCCGGCCGTCGAATCTCACAGGTTCCGCATTGACCTCAGCGCCTAGGTCGATCAACCTTCGGGCGAGGCCCAGGTATCCTCTGATGGCTGCAATCTGCAACGCGGTTGCACCCCTATTGACCACAGGGGGACCGTTGATATCAGCGCCATGGCGAAGAAGCATGTTCACAAGCTCCATGTTTCCCCTCTCCACGGCAAGCTGCAAAGCCGTCCGCTGGCCGCGGCCAAGGTAATTGACATCAGCGTACTTGGCTAGACGTTCTACCATCGAGACTTGTTGGTGGCTCACTGCGGCCTGCAAAGGGGTCAGGATTTCTGTTCGGTCCCTATTTTCGTAATCTGCCACTTTGTATGGGAAGTCCACGGCGACGACCTCTTGGTTGACGTCGGCCCCCGCCGCCAAAAGCTCCTCCATGGCTTCTTGTTTATGGAGGATCACTGCAATTGCCAGAGCACGGCCGCTAGCTCGGGGGTCCCAGAGAGCTGACTGGAGAAGAACCTGTAAGATGGACGTTGGGTCGCCTAGCTGTGCTGCTAGTTCTAGGACTGACTCCGGAGCACCAAAAAACCCAACCTCGTCTCCCCAGGAGCTACCTGACCACCAAGGCGCCCCGGTGGGATCGACCCCTGCTTCGAGGATGAGCTGCAGCAGGTCACATCTGTTCTTGCGTATCGCGGCCCCCACTGCAGTCGGGGCGTTTCCCTGAAAGCCTGAAAGGAGGCGTCGCAGCAAGTTGGTATCGGTGAAAGCCTCTGCACAGAGTCTGACTGCCGAGGTGAGGGCACGATCCGTCACTCTGGCTCCAAGATCCAGAAGAGCGTCTACAAAGAAGAGATTGTGTGATTCAATGGCCGCTTCCAGGGGTATATCGGACGCATGATCATCGAAATTGAACTCGCTATTGAAAAGGAGGAAATGCGCCAGATTATAATCCCTGGCTGAGAGTGCCGCTGCGAAGATACGGTGCCCGCATTCTGCCATGATCGACTGCAAGATGCCGTTCTGCTGCAGATAGATTGCCACGTTAACGTCTCGAATTTTCTGCAGCTTTTTGCCGAGCATCGTCGCTCCAGCATTGCGCAGGTATTGTATTAATAATGCGTCTCCGTTCTCAATGGCCGCTCCGAGAACCGTTCCAGGGTGCTGCCTGTATTCATCGTTCAGCCGTGCACCCGCCTCGATCAGGAGAGGGATCAGATCGGTTGCATTGTTTTTCACGGCCAGAAAAATTGCCGACGGGGGAGCTTTGCCAGCGGACAAAGGTCGATCGACCCGGGCGCCATTATCTATCAAGAGTCTGCCCAATTCTACATTCTTGTGCTTGGCGGCCAGTTCGAGCAGAGTCGTATCTGAGTCACTATCAGCAACCAAGATATCCGCACCCTTTTGGATCAGAATTTTTGTGATTTGGAGATTCCCTCGATCCACTGCTATTGCGAGAGGCGAAATATAAGGCCGCCCATTCGGATCCGGGTTGACATTCGTGCAGGCTTCTAATAGAAGCCTGAAGATGTCGTCTACCCCGCGCTCCCTGATCGCTAACCCCAAGACCATCGATTCTTTTCCTGAATAGCCGCCGAAATATATTTTCTCCAATATATTGACTTGGGCGCCTTTGGCAAGCAGGAGCTGCACGGCCTCAAGCCTGCCAAAGATCACAGCTCGCGCAAGGGCGGTCTGCTCCCACTCCGAGTTTCGTGCGTTAATATCTGGACAGGCCTCTATGAGCCTGCCGATAAGGCTGATATGAATGCTCCTTGAAACAGCCTCGGCGAGGAACGCGGGCGTCACCGTGGCGCAATGAGACAGGAGGATATCTACCGCTTCTTCATTTTCAGATATAAGAGCAAAGTAGAGAGCCGGGAGTGGACTTTTCGAACAATTCACGTCCGCCCCGTGCGATAGAAACAGTGAGAGGAGCTTTGTGTTCCCATTGATGGTTGCCGCAAACTGCAGGGGTATGAGTGCGCCATGGCGGACGGTTTCGATGGGGGAATTCGGATCCATGCCGGCTTTCAGCATCCTCTCCACTGTGTCTGTATCGAGCAGCCGTATTGCGCTCGCAAAAACCTTCTCCAGTATAGCCCCAGCTGTGGGCTCTGATATAGCCAGGATGGTCTCTAGATGCTTCGCGCTGTTCCATCCCGATTCATGGAACAGCTTCATGACCCGTGTGTCGTCGGTCTCCATGGCTTCGAATGACGTGCCGGTTGGATTATGGGATGCCAGGTTGTTCGAGAGCAAGTACAGCTCCAGGGACAGGCGGTCCATGTTGGTGTGCTTGGAACTGCACAGGCTGGCGGAAAGGTCGCAGTGCTGGCCCTCGTATTCTTCAGGCATCAAGACAGTCAGAGCCGCGGTGGTGCGGGTGCTGCTGTCTATTCCCGGTGGGGTGGTGAGCCTTTTCCAGGGCAAAATCGAACTCAAGCACCGTATCACCTCGTGGTTGAGGGTGTATGATGAAGTGTCGGCGTCCCGGGGGGACGCCACTGTTAGTGAGGGCAGGAGGGACGGCTGATCTACAGCAAATTTAGCCCAGACTCGGTTTGGATATGGAAATCTGACTATTCATACCTGGGTCATGCTCTGGCTGCAACAGACTCGAAAATCGCAGCCATGGGAGGGATGCATCCCACGCCAGACGCATCCCCGGGGATGCTGGCGTGCAGACAACAACCCCTTCCGGCGTGACCGGGGAGGAGACTACAGTCTCTATTAGCTTCCAAGGGACGGAACATGGGCGGATTATGAGGCTTACTGCTGGTTATTCGGTCGATGGTTGACACAAAAGCCTTTTTGTATGTTGCTTTCCTCACCTTCTGGGGCGGTTGCTGGACCCCGTCAAAGTACACCTCGCTGTCTTTCTTTTCTCTTCTTCGTTTCTCCAGTTTCCTGCCGACGAACTGCCAGTCCTCCAATGGTCGTGTATTATATTTCAGAAATTTCCAGCTTTTAAGTTTGCGTTCGTACTGCTTGCGTCTGTATCTTGGTGAGTTCTGCAGAGCAGCTCAGCAGCATGGTATGGCAGCAACTTACGTTCGATGGAAGGCGTACATGGACTCCATGCGGTCCATAACCTGCGGTAAAGGCATATTTTCCTGGATATAGAGACGCTCGATCTCGGGCTTGACCGATTCCCAATCCGCGTCGGCCATGGTTCCGGGGTTGAATGCGATGGAAAGTTGATGCCACTAGGCTGGGGTCAGCACGATTTAAATAAAAAAACAGGTTGCTTCAGCCTGATTTCCAAGGTCCAGGCCTCCTTTAATTTTCGTGATGGGAACTGGCCGTGATTGGTTGATTCTCAAATCTCCATGCAGCCTCGCCGCATAATACACGATATAAAACGATCTGGCTGTTGATTGGCTGGTTCCCAAATACCCATGCAGCCTCTGTCCCAGATACCCATGCAGCTTCGCCCAGCAAGACGCCCGCAGGCAATATGGGACATTCCTAGTGGACCGTTCTCAAACCTCCGATATTGTTCATCCAGAAACCACGGCCAGGGCTTCGAGGGACGTAGACAATCGTTTCAACTCGGTGCAATAAAAAGCACACCATGCTCCTCCAGGTTCATCGAAGACATTTTTCCTTTGCCCTCATCAATCACCTTGTTTCTGCAGCGTATTGCACATCATGGAGCGACCGGCTAATCAGAACGTCTTGACCGAAGACTGGGATTTAACCAGCGGTTTTCCAGATCTTGCAGCTCTTCCACTTCTCGGGCTGGGGACAGCTTCTGAAGCCGACCTCTTCGAATACTGGGCAACAAAGAGCACTGGGCTCCAGGGCCCTCCGCTGTCTTCTTCGGCGTCTACTGGAATGCTATCCCTCCATCCACAGAGCTCGCCTTGCAATGCCACAAACCACCAAGGTCAACCGAGCAGTCAAGTGCCCCGGTATGTCGGATGTGTTCACTCGGAGAGGCTTTCCTAACTGAAGATCTATAGTCAGCCAGCAGTCTTTCGATGCAAGTGGGAAGGCTGTCGCTATTCCGGGTCCTTCAACCGCATTGGCGATCTCCTGCGCCACGTTCGAAACATTCACGTCTGCCCCCGGTCGTATCCCTGCCCGGTGCAAAGCTGTGGGGAGATCTTCAATCGAAAGGACAACCTTCAAGAACATATGAGACGGCGTCACTGTGACTGAAAAGAGCGGGTTTCTGTTGGGAATCATTCTGAGAAGGTGCAACTGGAGGTTGTCTTCATAAGGAAGGATCGCAGAAGTAGCGCTAGCCCTGAATAGGAAGGCGTATTTACCGTAGCCTGCCTCAGGCATCAAATTTGTTCATAGCATACAGAGTAGATGACTAGGAGGTATTGTATGTCTATTAGTTACTCTAGATAATAAGTAATAAGTTATAAGTTCCACTTACGACCTGGATAGACAGTCTATAGGAATCAATTGTTTTTCTACAATCTGTCGTCTCTGTCTATCATATACAACTGTATATGAATATGTAAATGAAATCTACCCTTCCCACCTCCGCCTGCTGGACGTCTTACTCGACCGTCGCTGCCGCCACTTCCACTTCCACTTCCACCCCTATCATCACCCCTTCGTCTGTCGTCGCCTCCACGCCTGTCATCACGCCCTCGTCTATTGCCTCTCCTGCTGTCTCATCGTCTGCGTCGTCTGCGGTTTCTATTCCTTCCATTACTCCCTCGAGTCGCATCCTGCCCAGTGCTGTCGCCTCTCCTTCATCGTCTGCCGCCGCTGCCTCCTCGTCCTCTCGCGCTGCCTTGTCGTCGTGGCCCTATCCCCGTTCTTCGGTCGCCGTTCCTTCCAGAATTCCTTCCAGCAGACCCGTTTCTTTGTTCTCTCTCTTCTTTTTCTATCTCTCTTCTCTCTTCTTCCGTCCCTGCTGCGTCTTCCACTCCAGTCCGTAGCATTCGCTCTTCTCCCTGCGTTCTCACCGGCACACCTTTGTCTGATACCACCACCGCCACTACTACCACCGAGGTTCCTAGACAGCCTGGACATACTGGCCAATATGAAATTACTGGGGCTGTACATACTGGGGCTGGACAGGCTGCCTTTTTCTTCAGCTTCTAACAGATGCTCTCTTAAATATTGATGATTATATAATACTATTAATTTTCATATTCTATGAAGACCAGGGGTATCATATTTGTAACTTATTTTTTCATTTTTAGAAATAATAGCATAAAACTTGGGGTCCATTGTGGTGATGAAGATGGACACACTCACGCTCTCTCGCTCAGCATTGCGGGGAGTCTAAAGACTCCTGTAGTATGGCAGACAATCTCTATCCAGCTCCTGCATTTCCTGATGTAAAACGAAAGAATAACCATAGGTTCGTTCAGTGGCAGTCTGGTCTTATTATCGGCCTATCTATTACTCCGTCGGAGTATCTTTTCGGAGTATCTATGTATCCGCTGCATCTCCCATACCCGATTAGGACATTACATAAGCAAGTGAGATGACTTCTGATGACTTCAAGTGACCAACACAACCTCAGGTAAGACTACACGATACAAGATGGCACGACAGGCATGCGACGAGTGTCGACGGCGTAAACTACGCTGCGACGGCCAACAACCGCAATGCAGCGTGTGTCGAGAGACAGAGACGCGATGCCAAGTGACGACGCAGCGGGGTGTTCGGGGCCCGAAAAGGGGCCATCTCAAGGCCTTGAAGGAGCGGCTTGGTCATCTAGAGGCTTTGTTAGAGGGGAACACAGATGTGGAGAGTACCAGCACTAGCAGTACTGCTACAGCCACAGAGGGAATACCATCTGCTCTTCCCCTTACGAATTTGATACAGGCTGAATTGTGAGATTCCCGCCTACCCACCTGTATTTATAGCTAATGTGAAGGGACCAATTATATCTTGACCGTGTGCATCCGTCGATTCCGATTCTTCATCAACGACGATACCTGGCCTGGTCTAGATCCAATAATGGCAAGACACCCTCACGGCGATGTTTACAATACGCCATGTGGACCCTGGCAGCCCTGCTCTCTGCTCAATTCCGTGAGCTCATCGAGCCGTTGTATCGGGAGACCAAGCAGATGCTGGAATACCTGAGCCAAGACAGCAACGAGACTGATAGTCGCGAACTGGCTCAGGCGTGGGTTCTCGTCGTGGTCTTCGAGTCGATGCGCACATATCATCGCAAGGCATGGATGAGTGCGGGTCAAGCTTTCCGACTTGTACAGGCTATGCGATATCATGAGATTGACAAAATTGATAAAAAGGGTGAGACCACGGATGATATCGAGGTCGAGGAGAGACGAAGGGTATTCTGGATGGCCTACTTTCTTGACCATCTCATCAGCATCCGTGATGACTGGCCTATTACTCTGAACGAGCATATAGTATGACATGGTCTTGATTTCTGCTATTTCCAACATGTCCTCTTCTAATATTCCCTCTAATATAGATCTGCACACGGTTGCCTGCCCCCGATGAAGTATTCCAAAGTGGACGTCATGACCCAGGACCGTTTCTATCAGAAGCGATGACAGAAAAGAGTCTCACGGTCCGCTCTGCCTTCAACGAATGCTTGATCCTGGCGACCATCTGTGGCCGTGGCTTGTTGCAGAGCCAACAGTATCATATCTCCAAGGCATACGGGGATATAACGCCAGACTGTGAGGTCCAGAGGCAATGGTTAGATGGTCTGCTGATGAATAGACTGGAAATTATGCACTCGTATCCCTCTCCGAATGAAATCTATGATCCGTTATTACTCTTTGCCAACATTCTCGGCCAGGCGACAGTCGTCTACTTTTGTAAAACGAGGTCTGCTCAGACTGACCATCGAGCCTTGGAGGCGTCGACGAATATCATCCGTCTTGCTGCCACACTGCAAGACCTGCCTTTTTCAAAGGTATCCACTAGACATAGATTATAGCTTTGAATATACTCCGTACTGACGAATCCAGATACACCCCTTGATGCCTCTTCCGCTCTTCCTTACCGCCGAGTTTCTATACGAGCATATGCAGGAGGAGCCGTTTCAGAGGCGTATCCAGGAACTGTTCTATATCTTCCGCGAGCTGAGGAATGTGAATAACCATGAACAAAGCTATTTGGATCTCTTGCCAAAGTCGTGTATCTCCAAGACCGTCGATTTATTCACTGCAGTAGAATAGATATTTCAATAGTTATGATTCTAGTTAGTTTATTATTCTATTGACTTTCTATTTATTTTCTATTAACCATCTATCTATTAATTGCCATCCATCTGCTGTATTATATTCTCCGTTCGGAGAAACAGTCGGAGAATATCTCACAGAATAGATTCTCCGGCTCACTATAAAGTCTCATCTCTTCTACTCTCCTACTCTTCTTCTCTTCTACACTCTTTCTTCTCTCTATACTCTATACTCCCTCATCATGGACACTCTTTCAAGCCATGGATCCGACTTTCTCTGGGCCGTCACAGGCATATATGTCGTTTCATTTGTACGTTTAGTATCTTCTATCCATATATAATACTAACAACATCAGCTCGGTCTCCTCACCCTCTCCTTCACAGCCAAAGAAAGTGACCGTGTCTTCCACTACCTGTTCAGCTTCATCCTGCTCCTCGGCGCCAGCACATACTATGCCCAAGCCGCCAATCTGGGCTGGATGACCGTGACTGACGAACAAGTCAGCCGCCAAGTCTTCTATGCGAAATATATCAACTGGGCTGTATCCTTTCCCTCTCTCGCACTTGCTTTCGGCCTTCTTGCTGGTGTTTCATGGACGACGATGATCTGCAATATTGCCATGGCGGTCTATTGGGTCGGCACCTATCTGGTCGCTGCGTACACTTCCTCGGTGCATAAATGGGGGCTTTTCGCCTTTGGGACGTTTGCCTGGTTGATTCTGGCCATGAGCACGCTCAACGAGAGTCGCGAGGCTGCTGCCCTCCTCGGCGTGGAGAGGGATTACCTCTTTCTCTCTGTCTGGTTGAATCTTCTCTGGGTTCTGTACCCGGTGGCGTTTGCCTTGACGGATGCTACTCACCGGATTGGCGTCACGGGGGGTGCTGTCTTCTTTGGTGTGCTGGATATCCTGACCGTGCCTGTCTTGGCTTTGGCTTTTGTCCTTGTCTTCTCTCGTCGGTGGGATTACCGCAAGCTCAGTCTTGCGTTCAGCGACAGTCGTCCTAGTCGAGAGTCGAGAGAATGACAGTCCTTCACAATGAGACTGGGCCCTTTGACAGTATGCTTTAGAGGCAAGAGATAGTTGAAATTCCTATATAATTCTCTTTCTACACTATTCTATCACATACGACCACAGGGTGTGGAAAATAGGGCTTCCCGTCCGCTCAGCCGTACTCAAGCCACACGCCGGTAGGTTAGTAGTTGGGTGGGTGACCACCAGCGAATCCCTACTGTTGTATGTTTTTTTCTTCTATACTTGGCCGTTGATTGAGTCTATTATACCTGCCATTGAAAGTAGTAGTTATATACCTAAGTGTCCTGATGATTATATGAAGCCATTGGTGTGTCAATAGGACATTTTTTCTACAAGACAGAATCATAAGAGAGCAACATGAATTAAGACATACTTTGAAGCAACAAGAACGTAACCAGATTACCGAGACAATCACAATTTCATAACGTTTCCTCAAAATCCCGAGACAATACGCCGGTACGATTCAGTTGAGCTTCTTCGCCTGACCGGGCTGGTCTGGAATTTCAAAAGTCACCACTCTCTATCTGGGACTGCCGGATCTCAGTGGGCAGGACGAACCCAGCCTTGATCAAGGTGGGTTGGCATTCGGCCGGGAAATCTCCACCCACCCGACACAGGCTCTGGAAGTTCTGGAAAACCAACGCTTTAGCAGTGGCATCGTGTGGACGTCCAAGGCACAGCGGGGAGCCGGACCAGCCGTCCGCGGGGGAGAGGGACGACCCGGTATGCCAAAGCAGGAAGCTGTTCTGAGACCGGGAGTCTCTGTTCCAAATGTATCCGGTGCCTAGAACAGTCACTCGTTTGTAGAGGGTGCCGTCCGCAGTGCCCTCGATGGAGCGCCACTTGTCGATATCAGCTTGGTGGGAGACGGTATAGACAGCCTGCTGTTCCAGCGCGGCAGAGTAATCGCCCCAACCAGTCACCCGAGGGTACCCTGGTGGACTCGTCACCTCCGGGAGAGACTCGTCAGTGATGAGAGAGAGATCGTGGTCGTATCCGATGGGGTAGGGCTTGCACGCACTCGGGTGATCGAAGGTTCGCGTAATGGTGCCGATCTAGCGCCATCAGTAATGTAGACAAGGCCATAGGATTGCCAGCTCAACTTGAGGTTTACCTTCTGATGAGCTGCTGCGAGCCACACTTTCTTGCCGATCGAACAGTTGGTAAGCTTATCCGAAGACCTAAGGTATGGGGGGGTGACTTCCTCTGCGTTCACCCGGGCTGGGCGATAGCCCATGAGTGAGGCCTTGACCCGGCCATAGAAGTTGCGGAACCAAACGCCCATTTGCGAGACCCGAGACCCACTCGAATTAATGACAAATCCATGAGTGACGGTGGTGATGGCGCTTGACCCATCTGACAATCGCAGTCTCAGGCCCATGCATCCGGCTTGGGAGAAATCCTCGTCGTCGTTGGCGTGGCCAGCGACTTCCATTCCAGCTGCAAGGGAAGCTGCAGTGCAGCTGTAGTTTTGCACGTCAAAGAAGGCCCGCATCCCGCCAATTTCGCACGGCCAAGCCTGCTTATACGCAGTTTTAACCTGGCTCATCTTCTCAAACAGAACGATTATAAACCCTGCGACCAAGACCTGCACACCGACAGCGTCTGGGAACATCTCCCGCATCACATCCAGGTCCCCAGCGGTAAAGAATCGCCGAGGATTGATATCGCGTGTGAAACATGGCCTCTGCGACGGACGCGGCGTCCGAGGTCTGATCACGCCTGTTGGCAGGAGGTCGCTGTAGTCGGCAGGGAAAAGATGGATCGCCCTTCCTCCAGCTTCGACCTGCTGAGCAGGACCGTTGATCAGCCAGACGGGGGACCCGAACACCGACTCGGACACCCACACATGGCGAAAGGAGGCAAGTGCCGGGTGGTAGCTCCTCACCAGCGCCTCATTGTTGGCGTCGACAGCCATCGCCATGGTTGCCTGAAATGTGGCCGTTTCCTCGGACAGAGCCCATTCGCTCGAAGGGGTCAGCGGTATCAGACGGAGGTTGAAAGGAAAGTTGTAATTCGGGTCGGACACGTTGTTCTGCTTGTCCTGATCGACTGCTGGGATGGGAGGGTAGGGGAAAGGCTCGATCTTCCGTCGCTTTGCTGCACTCTCTGCACGTTCGGCCATCGTGGACTCGACGGAGACTATTAATTTCTCAGGATATCACCACAGATCAGCATCTAATAGAGAAGGAGCTCTGTATGTTCCACATACCTCAACAGATTGTGGTTGAAGCGAAGCAGAAATGGCGATGTAGAGAGAAGTCTGCCAGAACCTGCCGGAAGGTACCCAGGGTGGTCGTACCTTCCTCAAGCTCTCTACATGTGACCACCTGTACTTGAATAACTGCCTGCCTTTTAGATATGGATCAGTTGATTTCGTGTCTTTTTGCTTAGCTGTCACCAAGAGGAGTTCCTACCATGGTAATAAAGCTGATGGCCTAAATCCAATGACATCACATAAGTAGATAACTGTCGAGGTTCCATACTCAATAATATATACTTCCATATATGACAAGAATTAATAAACAGACTGAATTACAAACAGATTCAATCATAAACAATTTAATCATAAACAGATCATAAACAAGAGAAAAGCACACGCCTCAGTTGAGTGGCCGTACACCATGTATAAGAAAATAGCCTTCCTGATGCCGATGCCCTCCCCTGAGCTTCACCTCCTGCGAACACTGTCTCCCCCTGAAGCGCGTTTTTCTTCCACGTAGATCATAAATCTCACCGGTGACACCGGTGACACCGGCAAACCAATATGCCAGGGCCTGTGGCGGTATAGCATATAGCTTTAAATTCCCATCAGCTGTATGAGTAGCATTCAAACTCCACACCCTCCATTCACCGCCCAAACCATCCCTCAACACCCCGGAAACAGGGCCCAACCTGGTCGACGTGTTTCGGCGGGGGGTGGGGATAAGAGCACTGGGAATGATGGCTGTCGAAATAGTGATGATTCAGTGGATAGCTTCTGATACATGGTTGTAATGTTATCTTACCATTTGCACTGGCTCTTTGCTGGGAGCAAACTATCCAACGCCCTTCGTCTGGGACATGGCGATGGCCTTGCTGGAGGTAAGGCATGGGAGGCTGGTGTCTGCTTGCGTTGTGGTGGCCCCTATGGTGATGGTTAGGGGTAGACGATGGGCCGTATCCCCCCGGAGGAGCAGCTATCGCCCGCTGTCTATGGTGGTCATTATTCCTTCCTGTCCTCAGATTGTATTGTTCATTGATGTATTCAATTCTCAAGTTGCGTTGTTCATTGGCGTATGCCATCCTCAGATTGCACTGCTCATTGGCGTACCGCACCCTCAAATTGCGTTCCATTCGGTTACCGGCTTCAGGGGATCTTCTGGGAGGACCATACGGGGAGGGCATGTTTAACACATGATTTAGATGAAGTTGATATGGAGCAAATAGGTTCAAAAGAAAGGCCTCAGGGTAGATCTTAGGGTAATTGATATTGAGAAGTTGCAAATCCAGCAAGACAGGACAATAGACTTAAATAATAGATCACTCTCAAAACTCGTCTGCCTGTTTCAATAAGTTAGGAGTCCTGGGTTTGCGGCTGATGTAGAGGAAATCACTGCTAACCTATGAATCTGGAGCAGACATTGAATCTGAAACCATGAGGGCGACATAGAATCCAGATGAGATCAAGATCGAGCGCTTAAGCACTTGCTATAAAGTGTTGAATTCAATCATGAAGGTGTTTCTGTTGGCGCTAGACGGTGTACTTTATGCAGGAGGCATCTCTGGTATGCCAATTGTAGGCACAGCCTGATTCTTAAAGTCCTTCCTGCAGGTTTGAGCCTCGGCGCTGGATCCAGGGTAAGGATGGGAACAACCCTTCAGCCTTGTATTAACAGCATAGATATTTCAGTAGTAGAGTAAATCAGAATAATCAATAGGTCTGTCATATGCTCTAAGTGCATAGACTAGAATTCACATCTTATGAGATCCACTTATTATTATACCTCTAATTATAGTAAGAGGAAGATAGTATATTGAAACTACCTTATATTCTAATAGACTTAATATTTTATTATATTAATAGTAGAGATTTGTGCTGAATCTGAAGTATAGATCTATACTTCTAAGATGGATATCTCTCTCTATACTATATGCACCCTATATACTCCTATACTATTTATAGTACCCAACTGACTAGCCATCTGCCTATTCCACTCCCTACACCATCTTGCACCGCTGTTCAACCATCACAGTGGCTTTTCTGCATGATTAGGTCTCTATTTTAGGCATTTATAGTTGATAGATAAATATGAAAATTAACTAGATAGCTGTTTTCTCCCAGCATAGCTCTTAGTCTATAGCAGGATTATCATAAAAGTGTGCCATAAAATAGATAATAGTACTGTTCTACACTATATCATGCTTTATCTAAGCTGATTAGGTACTGTTAAATCTAGTATGATTATGGATATTAAAATTCTATATAATATAAGATTTTATCAGTGCGTGTGCAGAGAGACGATTAAGGTGAATAAGTAGTACTCTGTATGATCCAGCTTTACTCGCGGGTCAGCCTAAAATAGGTAGAGATATAATAACTCTGGTAATAGGTATAATCTAAAGTAAGATTATAATATGCATAACTATTCCAGCTGCTATACTGCCAGTTACTTGAATATACTACCCCAGCTGGATACAACGCCTAAGAAAGGATCTGAGCCTGTTTCAACCACTGATACGCCTCCTCGTAAATGCTCCGCGTAACCTCGCTCTGCCTTGACTTATGGGCAAACCCATGCGGACACCCCCTGGCCAACGTCCACTTATACCTGCCGACCTGGAAGTCCTCCTCCTGCTCCGCGCCGACTCTCTCCTCCAGCCCTGCCAATGCATGGATCATCTGCTGTGCCTCCAACCGGAGCATATCCCACTGCGCGCCAACCATGTAGATCCACGGCGGCAGCTCCTCGCTCGCCGCATACACCGGACTGAGCAGCGGATCGCGCCGATTCTGGCCTACATTGACATACCCCCAGTCCAGCCACCAGGCCGTGCGTTCCAGCGACTCCGAAGGACCGTCTGTGTACGGTCTGGCAGCCAGCTTTTCATCAGGCGGGTGACTAAAGTCCACGATGGGGTAGTAGACCACCGCAGCCTTGATCCGGCCTTTTAGACCGGGCAGCTGCGAGGCCGACAGCGCGAGGGTGCCGCCTGCGCTGAAGCCGCCGATAACAATACGTGAGGGGTCAATAGGGAGGGAGGCGTCTGCCAGCACCCCGCGGACCACCTCTGCCACATCTAGAGTGGCCGTGGGGAACGGGTGCAGCGGTGCCTTGCGGTAGTTGAGACTGACGACCAGCATACCGGTGCGGGCGGCCCAGGCGCTGCAGAAGGGGTCATCGACGGTGGCGTCGCCCAACGCGAAGCCGCCGCCATGAATGTTCAGGTAGAGCGGGAGCAGCGGGCGCTGGGCGGCGCTGTAGGAGCGCGGGAAGAAGATGCGAGCTTCCAGGCTGGGGCGGCAGGCATAGCGCTTGGTGAGGGTGGGTTGGGTGCCTGGTTGGGGGCGGTGGATGAGGCGGAGGTAGAGCAGGTAGAGGGCAGCGAGGGCTTTAAGCAGCCAGAGGAAGAGGAAACAGCTGAGGCGATGGGAGAAGGAGAGGCGCTCTTTGGGGAGAGGAGGAATGGAATTGTCCATGATGGGTTGTTGGTAGAAGCAAATATTGTTGAGAATTGGCCCCAAATGGTGGGACTCGCAATACTAGCTCACCAGGAGTTAGTGATCTAGTAATATTTGATCGGCTATTAATAATGCATATGTATTATTTTTATAATTTATTTCTATATATTAGCTGTTTGACTAGACCACTGAGCTTCTAAATGTCAAGACATTATATAGTGCCCTATATGGTCATATATTTAGTACTGAGGTATATTGCTTATATATTTTTATAAATATACCGACAAACACATATACCCGAAGGACTCCTTTCATACCTGGAGAATATATACAGTGACCCGAACGCGCAAGCTTGCGCAGTAAGATAATTACACCAGATTCGACAGGGGGATTCGACTACTTTCCAGAAGTTCCTCCCCTACCTTCAGAAAGAATTTGTGGATGCTGGTGTATTAAACTGGCCAGATAAGGCAAAAAGGCAAATACTATTAGATGTAATCAACGACGATATAACTACCGATCTTATAAGCCGTGGTGGTATACCCCGTACCTTTAGAGACCTTGTAGCACGATTATATAAAATCCCAACCGATCGTAATACCCTAAACTGGCGTTGTAAAAAGAGTCCTATAATATAAAAGACTGCGCTAAGGACAGTATGTAAGTCCCCTAGTTATGATGAAATAGACTGGACCTCAATAGTAGTAGCGAAGAGAACAGAGATCGCTCCTACAGATAAGAAGAAGAAGGTGAAGTGGATAGATGATAAACAGATAGAACGTTGACGAAAGGAGGGAAGATGCTTTTGGTGTGGGAAGAAGGACTATATAATCAAGATATACCCTACTTACCCCTAGCACAACTAAATAAAACTATAATCTAAAGAAAAAAAAATATATATATAATTAATGTATATATATATTCCCCCCAGAAGAAAGAAGAAACTATTAAGAGCGAAGAGGAACGGATAACTACAGATGAAGAAGAGTCGGGAAAAGAATAGCTCCTGTTCCCAGTTATGACCAGGAGCGAATGGATCTGAAGAAACTACTTAACGAGCTATCTCCCCTTTTTATATTATTGACACTAGAGTAAATAGAATTAAATTTGTACAAGCTTAAGTTGATAATAGCTGTCAGTCTTCCGCCACAGTCAGTGGACAGATTATAGACTCTCTAGATCTCCCGTATATTAAAATTCCCCCCCGACAGTTAAACAGAGTGGTTACAGACTAAGGAATCAATCATCTGATATACTACCCACTTCGACTTAGATATTCACAGATATCAATAAGAGAAAGTTTTTGTATATATCTATTATTGAAGTATAGACCGAGAATATGTTTCTCGGGACCCTATGGTTAAAGGAAGCAAACGGATATTATTCGGCAAGCTGCCTTCTGTTACGGTATTCGGTATGATAGCCTGACGATCTTGGATGATGCCCAAGGCAGTAAACTGCGGGGCAATCTACTATTTATCAGGCCTACAAGGGCCCTGGGTTCCAAGTTCCTCAAGTATTAGTCTTTGACTAGAAGACCCTACAATATTACTGTGCTGACTCCCTGCCGATATCTATCCGATTCACCTATTCCTCCGGTGCTACCCGAATCTAGCAATCGTCTTACAGCTCCTAGGACCAATTAGACAGATACCCTGTGACTCGTGAGGAGGGCTTGCCTTTCTCTCCTCCTGATTCTTGTACTAGTGCAAATTGGTTTTCATTTTGGTTTTCCCTAGAGTGGGACCGGCGATGTCCGTCTCCACAATCTTCTGCAGGCTAAAGACTTGAAGGGCTAGCTACTGACGCAGCTATAGAACGGGCTGTGGTTCAACTTGAATCGCACGCCCAAGATAAATTCTCTATTCAGCGGAATCAGCCAGCTCTTAGAGCTACACCAAGGTGCAGTGGGTGTAGTGAGATTGGCCATCATATCAATGTATGTAAATATTGCTATATCTTGTCGAACATTTGAATCAATTGGGGTTGATTGAGGTATCTTTAGTTGGGTGTGCCGCTCGGCCAGCAATCACGTTGCTACTTCCACTTCAAATGTCACGTCCACACTGCATGTGTGGGCAATATCTCCACCTGGGCACGATGAGCTTGAATCGGCCGGAGTAAGGAATTCTCTTACACATGTGCGCATTCTCCATTTTTTGAGCTGGCACACGTATGCATATGGGGCAAAACACTAGACTATAAGTGCCACCACTTCCGTTCAATCGAACAGGCATCTCCGATAATCAGAGTGTGTTTCCGATCATCCACTAGTTTATTTGCTACAAGGGATCATCCCGGTGTAATTTGTATTCTGTTATCCGAGTCTCTGGATAGTATAGCCGAGGTATGTAGGGTGGACTCTACTTTCTCAGGGCAGGGTAGGGCTGGGTTTACAGTTCACAATACATATTGTGAACTTTCGGCTCAGGTATCGGAGGCCCAGCTCAGGTATCAGAGCGGCCAGAAAAACTCTTCGCTCACCTATTAAAATCTGGCCCTTTGGATACACGCACTTTATGACATAAGATAAACTAATTTCTTGATTAACTAATCCCTTAGATAGTTCTCTAGGTAGTTCCCTAGGTGGTTCCCTATAGAGTAGGTGATCCCCAGGTGATTCCTTGATTAATTCCTCAATTGATTCCTTAATTATTAGAGTTATAAGGTGTTATTATATATATATATATATATTTAAAGCCTATTATTATAATATTAATTATATTTATTTATATATAAATGGTTATATTCCTCTTCTCATAAGGTGTTATTAATTATATATAATTTAACTATAACTATATAATAAAAATTGAGGAATTAATCAAGGAATAAATTGAGAAATCACCTGGGGATCATCTAGGGATCACCTAGGGACGTGGGGAACCACCTGGGGAATCACCTAGGGATCGCGCCTAGGGGGTTACATAGTAGTTAAAAGTTCATCTCATATCATAAAGTGCGTGTATCTAAAGGGCCAGGTTTTAATAGGTGAGCTGACAGTTTTCCTGGCCGCTCTAACTAATACCTGAGCCGAAAGTTCACAATACGTATTGTGAAGTGGAACCCGGGCAGGGCTACTAGTAGTACGGGATGGAGCTCCGAGTCGGCAAATGCCTATATGTATGTATTGCCAGCCCCGGGGCGTACTAGGGACTCGGACTATCCGGAATCTGTCTTGATCTCTGAATTCAAGCATCTAATATGATTTGCAAATGAAATAGCAAAGAATAGAGCACTAAAAAAGGAGGCCTCTATCTCTAAGAATGTCAAATGTATAAGAAAATACATCTGTCATTCAATTCACATACGTAATGGCTACAAAGAAAAAACATTCCGTGCCAAGACTGACGTGGCATGATGGACTGTCAAATACCACCCGACCAGTACAGACCCGATAGCACCTACCTAGCTTGATGAGGAAAAAATGTTGGCCAAGCAGGCCTAGAAAGGGAAGAGATGGCTGATTGTTGCTATTGCTGCTACGGCTCGGACGCGAAGCAGGTGGTTGTGCGGTGCGGGCCGCGCCACGCAAGGCGACGCTAAGCCTAATCGGGCACACAGTTGAACATGGGCTAGAAAGAAGCTAGTCCTGCCCCTGCCCTAAAATGCTTAGCCCCTGCCCCACAATGCTTAGCACAATGGGGCAACGCTGAGGACTGTGGTTGTAGTTTAGACTTATGCTAGACAAAGCTGGCTAGCTAGTATATCTTTGTCAAGGAATCATAATGAATAGGTAATGAGTCTGAACTACTTCTCTAAAGGCTCAATAAGATGCTTTTTAACTTTCCCCTAGTTCCACTAACCAAAAGTTGCAGATTACATAGATCTGTATAGTATAGCCATATTTTACTTCAACAACAATATCTAGCTTTCAGTAATATTCAGGTTCTCTTAAGCCAATGTACTTCCCTGTAACCAATATTAAAACACTTAGAAACCTGTTGAAGGAGGCGGCGAGCTATCGCTAATATGATTCAGCTCTACGAACAAGGGCACTGTACTATCAGCAATATCAACTCATGAATAACGAGCCCGTAACCCTCGCTATGCTCGGGGGCTCAAGGGGCCCCACCAAGATGTCGGGTGAATCGGACTGGAGACCAAAGAAACCTAACCACCCCTGTATGCTGTAGGCCTATTAGATATGGCCATTAATTAGGCCTATTGAGCAGGCCTATTGAGTATAAAGAGATGAATTCAATATATATAAAGGTGTTTTAGGTTCATAGGAGTCCTATTAATGTAGTGAAGGGCCTATTGAGGACCGGAACATGAATAGAGAACAATAGAGACCAATAACATATATAAGACCTCAAAATTTCCCATGATACTCAAACTGAAGCATCATCTCATCCTACCCCCCCCCCCCTCCCCCCCCGGGCCCCCCGAAGGTGGCGACCGGTCCGGCCCCTGCGCCCGGCACACTTGTATCAACTCATAAATAAAACCAAGAATTGCCCCACTCCGAAAATTATCCTTAGTCTCTTAATACAACAAAGGGTTCAATGTTCCCAAGTAAATACACCACCATGGGTAGGAGGACGCGCTCGTCGCTGATATAAAACCCCCCAAAGGCCCACTGCCATCATTCTCTTTATTCTCCCATCAATCATTCTGATCAACCAATTCCTTTCAAACTATAGTTACCTTCAATCTCCATCAATTCTTCTCTCTACATCACGTCTTTGACAAAAACAAATAAACATGCATTTCCTCCAGACCGCCCTCTTTGCCTTGGCCGCTGTCAACACCGTCTCAGCTTGGGATCTCTTCGCCTGGCATAGCAAGTCATGTGGCACTTCGAGCGACTCGCTGTACGATGTCGAAGGCTCTACCGAGACCGGGTGCTTCAACTTTGACATGGAGGATGGTTATCGTATCCACGCGCTCAAGGCGTGGTTCGATGAGGACAAATTCGAGTTTCAGATCTACCCTGCCGCCGACTGTAAGAAGGAGGGTATCTGGTACGGTACCGAGATCGGAACCGGCACCTGCGAAGTCTTCGAAGAATGGTTTTCCGATGTGGTTATCTACTCTTTCAAGGTGACCGCCCTGTAAGATTCCAGGAGGATTTTATAAAGGGTTTTGGGGGGGGATGTGGCAACAAATTTTCTTGTGTTTAAGTCTCTTTCTCTCTCTATCTCTATGTGTGCTAGTGTGTTTTAAGTATGTGTGCGGAAGAATTATCAGAGGACTTTTAGACCCAGATTATAATATCTTTTCATAAAGCTAGAAAGGAAGTGGGTATATGTTTTACTAAGATTATAGGTGCTACTGAACTCATTTACTGTGATAAAACTTCCCCTGTTATAGCTTATTGCCCTTAACCAGTAGGTGAATTAACTTTAATTTTCTTTCTTTAAAAATGGAAACATGGACCGACCTTAATCGCTTCCAGGGTTCCAAGGTTTAAGCAAGACAGAGTGATAAGGTTGAAGAAAAATCCCAAGGTCAATAAACTACATAAAAGTTATGCAAAAGTGATGTAAAATTGGGTTTTCTTGGGACCCATAATGGAATGTTGGGGTTGGGTTGGGATTCATAGCAATAGTAGCTAATATGATTGATATAAGAGACATCTAGATCATGGATTAGAGAGTAGGTATATGCCATATGTAGTCTCTTAGAGCTAATAATATATTAAGGATATTAAAATATGATAAACTGCCAACCATGTGGAAATGAAAGGTCATATAGAGCCTTATGGGAAAATAATCGGCTTGGTTAATAAGTGATGCTAATTTTTGGGTAGGAATTAGCTTGGTGCTGATGCTAATAGCTACTTTATTATAAAATAACCTCTATGATATATTAGGGCTATTAATAGAAACATGGGTTTTAGTAGACCTTACAATACCTAATTTAATATAGTATTTTTGTAATTTTGGAGCATATCCGGTGCTAGCTTTTTATAGCAAATAGTATTTTCTTCCTGTTCCTGTTGTTCTGGTAATCAAGGGTGAACCCATATGATATATAGACCTGGCACTCACCCGCCCCGCGGGTCTGAGATCAGGAACCTCCACCCGCACCTCCAAGGGTGAGGGTCTAACCTTACTGATCCTGACCCTTACCCTGACCCTCCGAGGTTCCCTTGAGGGTGACCCTCAACGACCCTCATCGACCCTCAAAAGCCACGCCTTACCTATTTAGGATACGCTTTACCCAATTAGGTCGAGTAACTAAGCAATCTGACATCCAAAGTTGACAAAAACGTGACTTTTTTTTAGCTAAAATCAGCCACGTGGGGACCCTGAGGGTCACCCGCGGGTAAGGGCCAGGTCCAGTGATACAGCACAAGCGTTCCCCTCGGCGAGCTTTTTCTGAATATTTTCTGGGAGCATGGACTTCCAGCTAAGGACAAAGATGATTAAAAAACAGCAGGCCTCAACGAGCGCCCCTAGACCATTATTTATATTAAATGCGAATACTGTAATGGGTCCTCTCACCCATTCTCACCCTGTTCTTATGTCTCTCACCCCCAGTCTCTAGGATTCTCACCCATATCACCCTCACTCACCCTAACACAAAGCGCGGTGCTGTTTTAAGCCCGAGGGCTTCTTGAGAATTGACCGCGTTTATTATGTGGCTTACTTCATCTTTCAGTGCCCCCGGAAGAATGCAATAGAACATGAGATAAAGTGTGCCTCTTTCCAACAGTCATCTCAGAAATCTTAATCAATTTAATCCTATAGGTGATGTCCAATAAGATATATATTCATGTCTCCATAAAGTATAGTATTAATGAGTTACCCACACTGTTTACATTAGTGATATAATACATCTATCACTAATATTTAAGCAGATACACTAGATTAGTGGTCATATATAGCTTATCAATTTAATAAATGAATAAGAAACCTATATCAATATTTACCTCTGAGGTCTTATTACTTAAATATACTATAATAAACATTCAGGTCATAGTAGAGACTATTTAGGGTGATAACTATAAAAGTCCTAGAGTCTTATATATATTTAGTTAATAGAACAATTAATGGTGCTCTTCTTGACAAAGTCCTGCATGATCTTCTTATCAACATCTTTGATCATTAGTGTAATACCAGCCCATTGATTGCTGCTGAACATGGCTTCATACTCTTTATACTCAATCCTGCAAACAATCTCCGTTTCGGTCTTCTTGTTCCCGATCGCTCTGAGGTTTTCGGTCAAAATGAAAGATACAACACGGACGACTATTCCCATATATCAGTACGCCTTTTCGTCTTGGACAAGGGTGTTTTAAGCTCATACATGACATGACAGTTTCTGCAGCTGGGATATACTCGTATCGCTGAAAGACAATGGTCTTGATCTCATTATCCTGTGTGGCGTGCTGAGCGGTATCGACAAGCGCCTTCAGCACGACCTCCAATGCCTGTAGAACAGTCGAAGTAATGCCAACAAAGCCCTCGAGCACTTTTGTGATAAGCTGGACATGGAAATCACGTTGGGGGCATCTGATTTCCTTGGACACAGAATGATCCACGCTTACTGAAAGCCTAGAAGCCCCCATCTTAGCTTTCATAAGACCGCCACACGCTTTGAAATAAAAACAAAATAGACCTACCATGGAGTCATCCTCATTTGCTTGTCAGCGGCGCGAGCGCAGAACGAGCTCCTGAAACGAACTCACCGTTCGCTGTCGTCCCTGGGAACTTGAGAATGGTTTAGGACCGCCAGCCACCATTGGAGGCTGATCCAACGGCGGTATTCGGTCACCTCATCCATGTATTTCTTCAAAACCGAAACCAAATAGAAGGAGCATTTTCCGCAGCTTTCACGGCCTCTTTGGCTGCCTCAATTGCTTCTGGCCTAGCTTCCTCATACCCAAGGGCTTTAAAGTACACATCTTCATTGGTATTGGGCTGGGGGAAGTCGTCAAAGGAAGGCAAGGGGAGCCCATCATCTGCCACGCGCGCAGCGAGGAGACCCAGATCCGTCATTTGTGATGTTTTACTTGAGAAAATGAGGAACAAAAGCACGATAGGAAAGCCGGTGATCGTAGTGCTGAAGTGATTACTTTGACTTTGTGTGAGCAGGTATCTAGGAGGCAGGCAGTTTATATCTCTCGCCTTGGGGGAAGCGGGGGCATGGTAACGCACACAGTTTTTATTCTTCTCAATGAGGGCGATGAGCCGATAAACTGGGATTATGCATTTGAACTCCAGCCATTTTCAAGTCTGAAATAAAACTTTCACATTCTATAGGTCCATAGAATGACGAGGCTTGCGAGCTGAACTTCATGGCTCACTTGACTTTGATGGGATTGGAGAAGCCGAGAACCAATAATCAACGTCTGTTGTATCGTTCAAAACAAAGAGCACCATAGGAACGAGAAGGTAAACTCTCTCTCGTGGAATAGTTCTGCACTGAGGGGAAGATATGCTTCTCTGCCAGTGATCCATATCCTTACCCTTTGTTTCGAGAAGGCCGAGGTTGATGCCCGCCTATTTGCTTAGATGGGACCCAGAACTTACGGGCAAAATAGTCATTCCAAGAAGAGGCTTAAATCAGTATAGAGGCCATAAAGAAGATGAAACAGAAACGAACCAAAGGAGCTGCTTTAGCATGTCTGATATAAAGGTTTCCGCTATAATACAAGGAAGCAATGAGATGCAGCCGTGGCCAGACAGAAAGCTTACGAAGGCTCAGGAAGGAATCTGGTAACGACTTTGGAAATGTCCTGATTAGTCCCGAAGGATGCAAATGTCATATTTGGCACCCTCTTTCGATCTAACGGTCTTCTTATCGCGAGCAGCCGAGTTCAACGATTGTACAGTACAACTCCTCAATAAATATGGACCAACGGGCCAGGCTGACAAGGGTACCCTTCCTAGTATACATTAAGCAACCATATCACATTGACTAGTATATCTCTGTGTATTCACTACTCCAATTCTTCAAGATGTCCTGGAAGAAGTCTCGTAATTTGGTGGAGGGTCGTCAATAAGATCAAACGGGTTGTCGTCGTTATATAGAATGAGTCCCATCAAAGAGGAATGACTAATCCGGTAGAAATACCCATTGTCCTTACCAAGATCAAAAATCTGGTTGTAGAAGGATTTCTTCTCCTGGCTGAGCTCAAAGCCCCTGGCATTCTCACAACAATGACACTCAAAAGTGCAATGGCCCGCGGCGAATTCCCGGTCTGGCCAATTCTGGCGATTTGAGCAGCACCCACACCCTCGTCTACAGCATCCTCCTCTCCTTGCACAATCTTCACGCAGCACACGATGCATATACCATCTCGGGTGTGACCGCCAGAAGTTGACTCCATGAGTAAATGGGCATTCCTGGAAGGCAGATCTCACCACCCACCATTGTAGTTCCAGTTCCCAGTAGCGTTTATTCTCCTGTAACAGCTCCACCTTTATATCCTGAATCAGGCCTGCTTCAGTGTCAAGTTTCTTCTGATAGCCCGCCAGCTTGTCTTTGAGGGCCATCTCACGCTGCGTACACTCCCGCAGCTCGAATTCGCACTGGAGCAGCCTGTGGATACTGGCAGCATGTTTGATTTCAGGCTCAAGGTCATCCCAAAACCGCCATCGCTTCTTCTGAAGGGCGTTGATCTTTTCGGGGTTCCCTAGATCGGGTTTCCAGGTTAGATAGTTGGCCATTTTAGGTATTCGATATCACGAGAAATGCAAGGTGAAAATGAGTAGTTCTTTTGAACAGAGGAGTAGGTAGATGTCAAGTTATAACCGGTGCAGTCTGGTGGTATCTATGATGTCAGCGTCAATTGCCCAATATAGTCTGAGTCCATTTGATCCGGAATATAGGGCTAGGGCTTAGGGCACAATGATAGGGCAACCATCTCCATATCGTGTCAACGGCCGCGCAACGTAGGACGAGGAAGATCTTGATTAGAAGCCGGCATGATCAATTATTGAACCATGAAGCTAATAGAGGTAGTATACTCAAGGAATTGTTTGAGGATTCAATCCAGGGGTCAGTCAAGTGATTAACTTCCTGGGCTGCAGGTTTTCACCTGAATGCTTAGGAGAAGGAGAGGGGAAAAGAGACCAAGCAGTGAAGAGAAAAGTGACTGGAAAATGGTAGGAAAATATATATCCTAGAGCGAAAGAGGAAAGGTGCAAAGTGATGACAGCAGCAAAGTAGCATCGTAGTTGCAGTAGAATTTTAGACCTTTCAACTCGCAATATCAAAATCATCAACACTATTACTCTTCCAGCTTCTGATCTAGCTTCTGCTCCAGCTTCTGCCCGGGCTTCTACTGCTTCTGCTAGTTCTGCTACTTCTGCTGCTTTCGAAAAGGACAAAGAGGAAGACGATGACAACGACAACGACGGTGACGATGGAAGATATCAAAAACGTCCTAGCAGCTATCCAGGCAGCCATAATCACGCTGTCTGAGTCATTTTGGGAGTCGTGGGCTACGTTGCTCGCCATCCTGAGCATGTGGCTCGTCTTTGGGCTCGCGTGGCAGTGGGAGACGTCGAAGAACCGGTAGTAAGTGACTTTCTCATCCTTCTTCTTAATCTTGCAGTGAGGATGAGAATAGGGGAGAAAGATATTGTGCCTGTGCCGGTGCCTGTTGCTTATGGCTAGACCTCTTAGCATATATTTGTTTCTAACTAAGAATAGTGATTACCACGAGCCCGCCGCCCCCGCCGATGCTGCCGACAACGCCGCCGCCAACAAGGAGATCACCGAGGCTATCAAGACCACTGCCGATTCCATCAAGGCCACTGCCGACGCCCTGAAGACCGAACCCCGGCCCGCCGCCTGCCCTGAGGTTTCCTCCTCGGTCGAAAGATGAGCAACAGTGCACAATATCAACGGAAAATGGAGGCTGGCCTCCCCAAAGGTAAGTCTATAAGATAAGGGTTTTCTGATATTGATTAACGTATGTATGCAATATATTCCAGGTGACTTACTGACCTGAAATGTCAATATAGACCCGGGCCGTTGTACCCTGTGATCGTGAGTTTCGAGGTTTTTTTCTGCCTGTACCAATCTCTCATCTGTGAAACCCCTCGCTACTCCTTCGATACTGCTCGCGATGTCGTCCAGACCGACGAAGATGTTCGCGCCTACATGGAGGGAAACACGAGCGTTTCGTTTTCTTGTTTTCTAGTAATTCTGTGATACTTTATTCAATGGCAATTAGTTGAGATCGATCATGTCAAGACCTCTCCAAGGTTCTTCTAGAGACTGGGCATAAAATCATTCTCAAGCTAGATAGATACTATCAGAGGAATAGCCCTGTTGACTGGCCTGATTCGTCATTGACACTTTTTGTGACCAAGTAGTAAAGGACACCCTCTCCAAGGACTTTCCAATAGATACCTAGGTAATCAGGTTTCCATGTTCGATAGTCGGCCATCTTGAGTTTTGATATGGAGTGATAGTCATTCACCTCTATATAATTCTCCTTATCCATGTGAATGGTACATGCGACCACAGGGTGTGGAAAACAGGGCTTCCCGTCCGCTCAGCCGTACTTAAGCCACACGCCGGTAGGTTAGTAGTTGGGTGGGTGACCACCAGCGAATCCCTACTGTTGCATGTTTTTTTCTTTTATACTTGGCCGTAGATTGAATCTATTAGTTATAAATATGGATTGAGCCGTGGCAGACCTACACGTACCCGACGTGTAGGTCTGCCGACGCGCCCGGCCGTGCGCAGCTTAGATCAGCAAAGGAGACGGGTAGCCAATAATATATTAACCTAACTAACTAAATACCTTTGAGGCTTGGGTATCTGTAATATAGGTGTGTGAAATAGGCCTAGACCCTAATATTAAACAAATAATAGGAAGGATCAATAGGAACACGTCAATAATGGAAATAAACCTGTATATCTGAAGGGCCTTTATATATTACTCGATGGTCTTTTATATTAAATATAGTTCTAATCAAACTCCAATACTTCATCATTAACCTGTTCCTTAATATAGTTCATTATAAAATAGAGTATGAAAAAGACAGAAACAAGAAGCACGCGCAGTTTAATTAATTATTTAGTAGGAGCTTCTTCTTCTGGAGATACTCATTAGTCAAGGCACGGCCTAGCTGATAATGAGCTTCTCCAGGCCTCCAGTACTGATTTGACTGTGTTATTGCCGCCATGACTTGTTGCATCTGGAGAATATAAAATTGCATCAGCGTGTCCACCTCCATCGCCAATACCAGGCTATACTCGACGCAGCGATTGAACTGGTGAAACGCGGTGACTGGATCACTATTCTCGGGCGAGCATGGAATGTCAAGGATTGTTCCTTGGCCATCTCCCTGCCCAAACCCAAGGAAAATATTTCCCTGCCAGTCGGCGATAGACTCAAACGCCCAGGTGAGCCATGCGTTGTATTCGACAATCGTGTAGGGATCCTCTTCCTGCTCCTCATTTCTTCCAAAGGCCCCTCTGTACTCTGGGTTATACCCCTCGTAGTAATCCTCTTCCATCTGTTCAAGAACAGCATTGGGGGGTGTTCTGAACTGTTCATCAGGGGTGATGTGAAGTGCCTCGACCACGGCCATCAGATAATCAAACGCCTCTCTCCTTGTCATATTGTCCCGAGTGATTTTCGTCTCCAGCGCCTTGACAATCTCCTGGCGTGGTATAAAATGTCGGTAGGTCGGATTTCTTCCATTGACACTGGGGTGGGCATCAACCTGAACCCAGTGCTTAGTGGCTGTGTAGTTGTAGGCTTTGTCTCGCACATAATGGATAGTCGCGATATGCTCATCCAGCCACTCTAACCTGCCCCTAGTCTTGATTTCCTCATAGGAGTAGGAGACAAACATGGCGAAATATAGATTATATCAATCCAGTGGTGGAAAGAAGAGGATTTAATAAGAGTTAAAGCAATGTTTTATGAAAAGCTCTTAACAAAAGAAAAAAAGGAGCACAAGGTGTTGTTGAAGGAAAAGGGGAGAGATGAATAAACACTAATTATAAGAAGGTTTATCTAATGCAAAATAGAGTGATAGTGATGATACCAGTGCCTTTCTTCCTGAAGGGAAAAGAAAGCGATTGCACCCTAGAGGCCAGAACTTGTCAAGGTTTGGCGGGTCGTCAGGGCCATCCCGCCCGCACCCACTCAGAGCACATCTTCGGCTCGCCTATAGTTGCTTTGACGTACTCGCTTTAATATAGCCGCGTATGTATATTTACCTCCTCCCTTTGTAGTTTGAGGAATATTTTAACTTGGAGAAAAAATTCCACAAACGTTATACAAGTGTCAAACTGCTCAATCCTCAAGGTTGAATTATTTCCACAACAAAATTGAAGCTTGGAAAAAGAGGAGACGGTCTTGAACCTCAACTTCATCATAAGCTCAATGTTTCAGTCACTAGGGGGCTCTAGCCTCTTTGGAAAAAGCAGCATAAGAGATTCCCAAGAGAATATTCGCTGGGATGAAGGAACTACACAAGCCAACCAGTCGCTTGGAAAAGACGACGAGAAGCCTCAAACGTTGCAGGATATTTACTACCTCAATAGCCTGAACCGGTAAGAAAGACATCACGCACTCGGAAGAGAGAGCAATGGCAGTTTCCACTAACAATATCGTCTTCAAAAGAACATTGGTAGCAGCTTGGGACCTACAAGACCCAGATCTTGATAAGCCCAGCAAGCGAAGTCGACAGCGGGCCACTGAGAGGCTGGGCATGGGTGGCGACCGCCGCAACAAGGTGGCGAGGCAGCATATTCTGCCCGGGGGGAAATATCGAGGTATACAAAACCATCCAGCCATCATTGAGTTGAGTTAATTCCAACAGCGATTTGTAAACTCTTCATGGGATTCTCCGGAAGCAAAGGGTTTGAGTACATGGGAACAGGCTGGCTGATCACACAAGACATTGTTGTGACTGCGGCTCATTGTTTGTATGACAGTGATGGTGGGTACCTGCGATACATCAAGGTCTATATTGGCTATGAGGGCCCTGAAGACTCGGCCTTGAGACGGAACGCTTGCGAAAAGCGCCTGGGGAAGATTGCAACTATTCCTGCCGAGTATATAAAAACAGGACATACCATTCACGACGTCGGCTTTGTGAGTAGCCAGCCTACTAACACAATACATTTTTAGATCTATACTAACGCTCTGAAGATCAAACTGGAGGAGCCGTTCAATAATGTGGAGCCTTTCCAGCCAGAGGAAACTCCTAAATTCTCCAAGGCAATGAATCTGGGGGTTGTTGGTTATCCTGGAGATATCGAAGGAGGAAATGAGATGTATGAGCATTGGGACCAAACGGATATTGACTTGGCCAAGAATGGGCTTCTCAATTACTGGATCGACACGGAGGCGGGAGAGTCAGGATCTCCCATACTGCGGGAGATTAGAGGAACACAGAGATTTGCGCCGAGTAAGTTATCCTCCCCTCCCTGATCTGTCTCATCGTCACCCTCTGGTCTAATTGAATTTCTCTATGAGTAGTCGGTGTTCACACAGATGGCGGCTCCCCCAACTCTGGCTCCGTAATCGGTCCATTGGGGAACTCCTTCGCAGACTATACAGCAGCGATCAAAATCAAGCAGACAAAAACCCTACCTCCAGGCGCTGAGAGAATGCCCGTCCCCCGACTTGTGGGCGCCCGCAACCTGGAGTACATCACTATTCCGGCGTCAAAGGGTAGCGTCACGCCAATTGAGTCTTATGGGGAGGACCCAGCAGGCAAAAGACACGGCAAAGAAAGTTCTGCGATGCCAGGCAGTATGTTTGGATCTGTATGGCGCTCAAATGAACATAAAGAGGCCGGAAGGATCATTTCAGACCTTGAAAGTCCAACTAAAGGAAGGCCCGCTCAGCATGAAAAGGCCAAGGAGGCTGCCAGACGAGTTAGAGACCTTGAGAGTGGGTTATCGGGCTCTCGAAAGAAGGAGTTTGGTCCCGAAGCGCACGTCTTCATCAGGGAGCTTGTCAATTACATGAAAATGCATCGCGGGTTGCCCCTACCGTATAGGGCGGACGGGGTACAACATTGGGATCCTCTCCATCTACCTGGAAGACAGGAGCGAGCAGGTTCCAGGAGGACAGCAGAGATGTACACTGGACGCCCCCAGACACTACCAGCAACAGCATACAAAGAGAGTGGACCTCCTACTGGAGAGACACAGGAGGACCTCATCAAACAAGTTGATGAGCGAATGCAGACAGAGCAGGGACCACAGACTAAATTCTTCCTCAATTTCCCCCCCAAGCTGACGGGTGAAGCCAAAAAGGAGCTCCGGAAGACCATGCGCTATGTTCAAGAATGGCAATGCTGGGCGTACGGTCTGGCAGCATTGAAAACTCAGCAGCAGGTCAGACAAGGAAAATTGACCGCAGAGGCCTCTCAGTTGGGTGCAGTGAAGCGGTCGACATATGAGAATATGGTGTATGATCATATCATGCGCAGTAGTCCTTGGTAAGTGTATTCTACTCTATATATTCAAGATGGCTTCTCCTTTCTGACTCTAAGCACACCAGGCTTGCCAAGACAAAGGATGAAGTGCAAGTAAGAAGGTTTAAGGAAAGCAAGGCAAACTTCCACACCTCACTCATTCAAGCTGTCATCAGTGGTTTCACACTCCCCGGCGAGTTCATGAAGACCCTCCATGAGGCCTTGGATAGCATTTCGAGTGGGATTCTCGAAGTCAGCAAGAAGTCTCGGAGTGTGGAGCTTCAGTATTTCATCATGCTCACAAAATATGATTACGAAAGCTTGAGTGAGACAATTCAAGCATGTGAGTGTCAAGGATAACTTTTTGTTTTCTGGGCTGAACTGACTTACTCTCCCTATTCTAGCCATCCGAGTGATCAGCTTCAAAACAAACGCCAGCGTGAATTCATTTACCTTTGGCAAGAGTAGTTATGCTGATGTTGATATGGAGTTCACCTACCATCAATATCAATGCAACTTCAACACCGAGCTGTATGGGAGCACCCAAGAAGAGATGAACCGCAAGGTGGTGGAAGCAGGGCGCAAGTTTAGCGGACTTAGTGTCGATGACATCGACCTCCAGGTTGAATCAACGTAAGGGTTTCACCAGCGTGTTATATCCTGCATTCATTCTAGTTTCCTCTCATCATTAGCCTATACAATACGTCTGACTTTTGAAATCCAATCCAGTAGTAGCTCCCATGAGTCTGTGGGACGCGTTTACGATCCTAGGCATAAGCAATGCGCTCTTGTGCAGGATACCGAGACAACCTATGACAGTATTGTGGGGAATCTAGCACAGTTAACTAATGTACAGAAGGGGTTAGACAATGACGACGCCGATATACTGAACACCGAGTCAGTAGATGCCGGAGTTGCTGCATTAATTGGTATGAGACTAGCTATGCAGGGCCAGCAGCAGCTGAAAGAGGTACGTCTCCCATCAACTGCGAGTGGAAGATGGAATACCTATTCGCTGACTTGAGAACTCTAGGTTATCCCTCATCAAAAGGAGGAAGTCATTACTCAATTCCCGCAATATTGGCAGTTAATAGGCAGCCTGGTTTTCAAGCAGTTGTTTCCGGTTCGTCCCACGCCTAACCCCTCCCTCCCCCTTCGACAGGACGGACCATTGACAAAGAACATTAGGACACGTCCATTCCCAGGGCATTGCGCTTTCATACAGCCGAAAAGGATCTCCAGGGTGAACTTGAAAAGCAGATCGATAAGACACAATCGATGGAGAGGGTACGTTGTTGTATATTTCCCTGCAACTGCGGCATGGATGCTGATGGCTCATGTGGAAATACAGCATAATGAATCTCTCCTGCATGCTTTGGATGCGGCCAAAGCCAAAGCAGACGCCCAAGAAAAGGAAATTATGGAAGAGAGAGAGATAGTCAAGGCACTTCGCAAATTGGTCTCTAGTGACAAAATTGACGATGAGTTGAAATCAGCCGAGCTTCAGATTGAAAAATTGAAAGCCGAAGTTGAGAAAGTCGAACATGACAAGAATGACGCCGAAGGACGCGAAAGAAAGCTCAAAGACCAACTTGAAAAGAATGAACACCCATATGCCTTTCGACTCAAAAACCTGCTATCGATTCCAGGCTTGACGAACTGGGCCAGAAGGGGAGTTGTGGATCTGGTAACCGACTCTGACACTGAAAGGCCTGACGCCTTTGAATCCAAGGAGATTCGATTCGGTGATGATCCCTTTCTTGAAGACATGGTTTTCATGAAGCCTAATGTTCTAACTGGGATCTCTGGACTGAAATCTGCCAGCAAAAGCCTTGACTTCAGTACCATGCCAACAGATGTCGAACTAGAGGAATTTACACTTTTCCATAAAAGAGATTGCCTTTTGCGCAAGTTCACGGTCAACTGGCTTGCTATATCAGACTTCAATGCCGACATTATGATCCGTCGGTGTGACCTCGACTGCAGTGACATCGCGGAGGGTGCGCTAGTTATCGAAAAGGATATCCAGATGCTCATTCCCCATAAGTCTGGCATCTATACCTACATTGATACCCTCCGTACCGCTTCCTCGAGTCTGGCAGAAGAAATCCAATTCAGATTGTCAGTAAGTGAGAATTACAGGGTAGTCACTGACTGGAGTTTGAATTGCTTTACGAGGATTGGATATGTATATCTGGCGATTGGTCAAGGAATGAACAATCGACGAGTCAAGGCTGGATATATTGAACATGGCTCTCAACTTGGGCCTTTACATAACTGGACTGTGGAATTCGACAAGGAGTTCCCATTCACCGAGCCACCCGCTGTCTTTATCGCTCTGAATTCCTTTGGGAAATGCAAACCAGAGCTTTTGCATTTCAGTGCTCGACTCGGTTCAGTGGACATGCAGCGAATGGAGGTTACAACAAGCAAAGATTGCAATGTCGGAGGTCCTGACTTTGTTAAGTTTCTGTGGATTGCCGTCGAACCTAGTGCCCCCGATGGGGGGCCTTGATAAATTGATATGAATAGAAAGAACTGCTGCCTCATGAATCAGAGTCAAAGGGCTATTTTATACTCATGTATGCTTTCCTGTTATAATTTCTAATTAGATAATTATATCTAATATTTTCAAACATAAAATATATTTTTTCATCTTTATATGCTGGTACATACGACCACAGGGTGTGGAAAACAGGGCTTCCCGTCCGCTCAGCCGTACTTAAGCCACACGCCGGTAGGTTAGTAGTTGGGTGGGTGACCACCAGCGAATCCCTACTGTTGTATGTTTTTTTTCTTACTTGGCAGTTGATTGCGTTGAGTATTATTTATTTTGTTATTCTATTGTTTTTATAATATACTGACTGACTGACTGCTCTAAACCTCACTATAATCAGGCGATGCCCATTTCACCATCCAGTCTGATAACAGGACTTCAGCAGCAGTCGGTCGATCTTGCGGTCGAAATGATAGCATATGGCGCATCAAATCCAGAAATGCAGCTTTCTCATCTTCCTGGATCTCATCTCTAATCTTCTGTCTCCATTTCTGGATACAAACCTCAAAGGAACCCTTCAGACAAGGCCATCTATTCTCTTTATATGCCTCAGTCGGAGAGCCATTCTCATGGAAAAAGCGAGATCGCCCTTTCCAGGTCTGCCACCATTCAGATGGCATAGGTCCCAGGACATCAACATGCTGGCTCACTATCTCATCGTCGGGCACAAAGTCCGTGCTAAAGATCGCCTTCATTCCCATGATCTCCCAGATTGCCGTGGCCAGACTCCAGATGTCCATAGAATATGTAAGTGGAGACTGTGGTTCGAATTTGGCCTCTGGAGCTCGAAATGCAGGTGGTGTATGACAGTCTTTCCCTAGACGAGGGTTTGTAGCAGGTGAAAATGCTTCACCAAAGTCACAGAGAAGAAGCAGGTGCGCGTCGGATAATGAGAATTTCTCTGCATATTTCCCTAGAAATAGAGGCACAACAGCCTTAGCGGGGGCATTGGGGGGAACCGGCCCTCCATCACATCGTGTAATTAGGACCGTGTCTGGTTCTCCGTATTGCTCATATAATTGCGAGATAGAAAGCTGATCAAAACTTGATGGAAGTCTAATTAAAATGTTGCTCAAATGGATGTCTATACATAGATCAGCTCCTGGTTATAGAATAAAGCAAGTCATATTGACAAACCTCCATGAACACAATTTCGTGAATGCGTATAAGCAACAGCTTGAGCAAGTCTATAAGATAATGCTCGAGCGAACTTGAGGGGGAAAAGACGGCTAAAAGATATCTCTCTCAGATTGCATTGCGCAGGAGCCGTCGCATAGCAGATGTTTTCCATTAGGACCTTCTACCCGAAATTCATCGAGGAGAGACGGTACTAAGCCATGTCCAGGGTGTATAAAAGATGGAGCAGAAAGGGCCTTCAGGACTGTTGTCTCATGGGGAAGCGAGTCTGCCGTATTGACCTTAACAGCGACATATCGCATTAACTGAGTATCTTGAGCAAGCCAGACCGTTGAATAACCGCCAAAGCCAAGTTTATCTACAATCCGATAGCGTTCGTGTAGCAGATCGTCGATCATAACTGGATGATATCCGCCAGGCTGGTATTCTTCCAGTGTTTCCACCCCCTTGATCCAATTATACTCGATGCGATGGTTTGCTGTCATTCTAGGGCTTAGCTGGCTGAATGACCGGAATCCGCTCTTGTTCTGGCGCCAGATGGATTTCAAGCCAGAGCTTGTATTCGTGAATGGTTTCCAGCAATAAGTCATCGTGGACTGATTGTTGGAAGGTCTGGAAGTGTCTTTGAGGAAGAGGAGGTTGTTATTTCCGGGGGTATGATTATCCGAGGCAAATTACCCCTAAGACTACAGGTGTATTCCTTTTCTTATGATTTCTTATTCTTAGTGTATAAAATGATTGAAATAAAAGAATTCAAGACCATTAAATGCTGTGATGACTTTTCTTCAGAGACTTTCCCCTGCTCAAAGGATCTCGCCCATTTCCTCAGTCCTGTTTCTTCCATCCCGCCACCACTTATCAGCCACTCCGCAAGCATTCCATGAGGAATTCTTTCGAAATACATCTCAAAGATGGATGTAGGTAATTCAAGTCTTGATTTTGAATTTATGCCAGTTATTAAGTGATAGATTCAACGAGAACGACCGCTTAAAGGAACGATATGCCAGGTTTCGACCCGCAGAGCTCCAACGCGTTGCCGGCGAAGCAATACAACAAGACTGCTGCCCTGGCATTGTTAAGCTTGCTGAAGGAGGGTTTAATAAAGTGTTTTTGTTACAAGCTAGGAATGGCCGTGAAGTCATCGCGCGAATCCCCACTCCTATTGCTGGCACCCCCCATTACACAACCGCCAGCGAGGTGGCTACAATGAACTTTCTGCGCGGTGTCCTCAAACTCCCGGTACCAGAGGTCTTGGCCTATTCAACATCGTCAGACAATCCTGTTGGAGCAGAGTACATTCTGATGGAGCGGGTGGAGGGCGAGAGTCTTTCTTCCCGGTGGTTGTCTCTCACAACCGATGAAGTGAAAGATATCATGACACAAATCGCAGATATCGAGAGGAAGATCTTTGAATTTTCTTTCCCTGCGTATGGAAGCCTTTACTACAAGAAAGACCTTGATAGGGAAACCCAGATCCCAATTACAGAAGATTTCTGTATCGGCCCTGTGTCTGCCCGACAGTTTTCGCATGGTGAACGGAGCAAAACAAAAATCGACCGTGGACCATGTGAGTAAAGAATAAGACATGTTACAGTTTTAGAAGACTAATAATGCTATAGGGCTTTCACCCGAGGACTGTGTAACGGCCGCAGCTCGTCGAGAGATGGCTGTTATCCAGCATCACGCGAAACCTCAGCCTCGCAAGAGATTCCTTTTACCAACTGCCTTTGATATCCATCCTTCTGAACATTCTTCACTCCTCTCGCAATTCCTGCAACTTGCGCCTTTTTTGATCCCTGGTTCCCATAGCGTTCCCACGCTGAGACACCCTGACTTGAGTTTAAGCAACATTTTACTGGCTCCTGGGTCCACGAAAATCACCAGTATCATCGACTGGCAGGATGCTGTTGTGTTCCCCCAGTTCATGCAAGCAGGGTACCCTGCGTTCTGCGAGCATGACTCCTCACAGCCCCAGAGCCTGCAGATTCCGTCTCTCCCTGATGGTTTCGATGAGATGCCCCCCGATCAACAGAGACACTCGAAGTCTATCTTTCGGTTAGAAGAGGCCAACCTCTACTATACAGCAGCGACAGGCATACACAATGAGAAACACATGGACGTGTTGAAACTTCCTTATTTTGGAATGCGGCAGTATCTTCTCCAGCAAACAGGATATCCCTGGGATGCAGATGTTATTAATCTACGTGCTGCAATGGTTGGCATCACAACCCCATCAGTATGGAGCTGCATCTCCTCGGCAGTTTGTCCAGTAGCGTTCAGCGATGAAGACCGAGAGAGAGCTATAGCGGAATCACAGGAATGGAATGAGTCTGAACAGCTATTGTCTCGGGTGAGAGAACATCTCGGTATCGACCTAGAGGGGGGGACTGAGCCGGAGAACTTCGAGAGAGCAGTGACGGCAAACCAGGAGTTTCGCATGGAAATGGTTCGGCAAGCAGAAGCCGAAGAACGGGAGATATGCTGGCGTAATTGGCCCTATAAGGATGAGGGGGACAACAGCATGCCTCTATTATAAAATAGTAGTGAATTTGAGAAGCCCATCTGGTGACAGTGGCTACTCATCTTTCTCGGTAACAGCGATGAAACATGAGTGAATAGAGATCAAGTAGAGTATATCAATGTGAATATATGACTCCAAGTCAACATATAAAAGACCTCATTATTCTGTTGACCTGCATCCTACTAGATGCTCTTCAGTTTGAGCTCCCATTTGGTCTTCAATATTCTAATATACTGCTTACCACAAACATCATGGCATAAAGCATGGTGGTGTGTATATATCTCGGCTGCTGGCTATGGATTTTGATGATAATACTAATTCCTTTATAGTATATCCATGAACCTCTATTTCTTCTCTAGTACCATTCCATGACACCAGCCGATTACGAGGGGAAGATCGCAGGGATCTGGAATTTAATTCACTCTCATCATTCCCCCAAATCAGAGAAATATGTTCACCGCTCAAGTAATATGGTGTCTTTGTGATATTCTCTTCTATCAGTGGCTTCCTGCACTCCCGATATGCCCCCTATCGAGTGCCTTTTCCTCATACGCAGTGCAAGCGGATAAGCAGAAACCAAGAGGAGGCTTTGATCGAAGGCGAGAGACAGCCTTTTTGCTACATCAGGGACCTCTTGCCAACCAGAACCTGGAATCATCCCATCTATGGGATTGTGGCAGTGGGAAGAGGGGCTCATGTCTTCATCTGGGACGAAAAGTGACCGTCAGGTGGTCCGCTGGCGAGGAGCTTCTCTCGACTTCATATCTTGGATCAAGCCCACCTCATCCACAATCGCCTTGTCGATATCAAACTCCATCACACTCAGTGCCCCTACCATGTTCCATGTATGTAGTCATCCATGGTAACTGGACATGTGCGGGTCATAGGCAACATTACTTTCTTTTTTTTCCATTTTTTTAATAGAACTCAATTGTTTAGACCTAAATATTACCACAGTGTATGGCTGCTGTGTGATATGCGGCCTCAATACCGCACCCGGGGCAAATAACGAAGAACTGTACCGCGAAGACCCATCCTCGAGACGCCCGGATGGCTGTGGCTGGACGTGAATGAGCTGGAAAATCGGTTCTTCCTGCGAGGGAAGCATTACTGGCTCAGCCTGTTCCGGATGAGTAGTTCTTCTTCTTCTTATTTTCTTCTGGATAAGTTTGCTGAATAAATGACTGCTGTCTAGTTATTTATGATCCCACCATGCGCTGCTATCGCGTCACCGGCGTTGGCCAGGAACTCGACAAAATCAACGGCCAGGATTCTCGCTGGGGATATTTCAGCGTGGCGAGGGAGTATAACAAGGCATTCCTAGGCGTTCCTGACGAGACAGATCCCGGGATGCTCACCGTCTATCACCCGCGTCTCTCATGGTGGAACATAGGAGAGCAACTGAAACGAGACTGGTGGACACTGATTCTGTGCGTACACATGCGCTGCTGGACTCTGGCACAACGTATTATCGGCTGCACAGTCGATTCAGAGCATCTAAACCCTGTCGCGGCGTTACTGTTGCGTCAGGCGCGGGATAATTTGGATCCATACGCGGATCCTCGGCCTTTGGTTGGTATTTCCTTTTATCGGCATGCAAGATTGATGTTGACATTGACTTTTCTAGAGGAACCATAGAAGATTGCCAGCATGAAGAAGCTCATTGAGAGTCACAGTAAGGAGAAGAAGAAGAAAGAGAAAAAGGAATGTTCGCGAGTCTCTCTCCTGCCGTATGAAATCCGCTGTGCCATTCTCGACCACTTGGACTACCAGGCCTTCCCTCGACTGCTGGAGGCCATGCAATACCCGCTGGAAGACTCATACTGGCGCTCGCGGATGGCCGTCTACCTGCTCGGGATGGACGAAGTCGTCGAGACGGTACAGCAGCAAAAGGGACCGCTCGACTGGCCTGGGTTGTGCGTGGCGACAGAAGGCCTAGATGCCTCAACGGATGCCTTCAAGCTCCGCCATCAGGTAGTCAACACCCTACAGGAGGTCAAGGTACAGCTTTGTCGATACTTGAAAGGAGAGCAATCGATTTCCCTGCCTGATGTCTTGAATCAGATCCAGGATGAGATGATACAGGAGTTCTGGGAAGACCACGAGGTGCTTCTCAAAGACTGGGACTGGGTGAACCCTAATATGATGCAGTGTCTGATTGATGCAGGGTTTCTACCTGATTCTTCTATCTAGCATCATAATTATCTGCAGGTAAAGTAAAATGGATATTATCTGTTATGAAAAGGATGAAATATAAAATGCTATACACAACATCCTACTCTCTGTTCCTCATAGGGATAAACACACCATCAAAAACATACACAGTAATAGTATATTAACTCAATCTACGGCCAAGTAGAAAAAAAAACATACAACAGTAGGGATTCGCTGGTGGTCACCCACCCAACTACTAACCTACCGGCGTGTGGCTTGAGTACGGCTGAGCGGACGGGAAGCCCTATTTTCCACACCCTGTGGTCGTATGTGATAGAACAGTATAGAAAGAGGATTATATAGAGTGTAGAATAAATCCAGAATAGTTTTTGGGAACGCCATTAGCTTGAGTCCAGATATCACCCTCTAAAAAAGTACGCTTTAAAGGCATCTTTGATTCTTCTTATATCTCCAAGTCCAACATTCGCCATTCTTCTATACTCTTTAAGGCTTTTGTATTGTGGAAAGAAGACATCGATTAGCCTACTTGCACTCAAGCATAGAAGCAAGTTTCTATAATAAATATATAAATAAGATTAGTAAAGCATACAATGATATGGCAAGTTAAATTGCTGACCTATTCTCTATAAGCATCTATACAGACCATACATAGTACAAATTAGGCGTCTGATATTCCATGCTGCCTAATCAATAATTAGCAGCCTAGTCAATTTTTCTGATCCCCCTTCTATGCCCCCTATCAGGTCTACATAGTTCCTTCAACACTCCAAACTGTCTTAAAGGTTCACTTAATCCTGTGTTCAAGCACTATGAGGGTAAGATATCTATAAAAAACTTGGATAGAGAAAAGACATCAAAGGCAGCGTTTTGCGCAGCCGCCATGCCCCCGCATCTAGACCTATAGCATCGCCAATCCTGTGTAGACACATCACTGCCCCCCTGTTGAGCCTCCTGCTCCAAGGCCGAACGCTGAAAAATATACAATAGCCATATATTCCATGTCTTGACTTGATCTTGGTGCAAATTAGTTTGAAACCTTCTCATCTACCATCTCTGGCTTCTGTTTTGGTCAATTTCATCTTCATTGCTTTGAAGACTTCAAGCTTGTCTTGAAAGAGAACTCGACTTGGAATGTCAAGTCTTCTGCAAGACTTTCTAGTGGAGCAGATAAACTGACGAGATACCAGACAAGAGATCGAGCGAGAGCTTTACTCGAGGTGAATCGAAAGCAACTCCTATGAGAATCACAGCGACGAAATGAGGTCTAGCGAAATAGAGATCTTTCCTCTGCATTCAGCGCGAATCGGGACGGACGTACCCTATGACAGTGGAGGGAGTCAAACTCGAGGAGGTGGTGGTGGTGGTGGTGGCATTATTGGCGGGGGACAAACGCGTGGAGGAGTTTCTGGTACAGCAGACCCAGCGCCTACCAAGCCTGTCTAGACTACCAGGTCTATCCAGGACAATTGAAATAAGATCTTCCTGAGCTCTGCTATTATTCCAATGCAGATCTTATCAATTTGAATTGACTTCCTTTTCCCGGGCATACTAAAATATGTGGGGGTAGCAAAATGCCAAAGCAGAGCTGACTCCAACTAGATTTTATGGTCTTATAATGTGATGTGCTCTAGAGGGCGCAGTTCTAGGATAACCATATTTATCTATTCTTATAAATAATTATCTATCAAAGTCAGCCTCACATGCGGCTATCAGCCCACCTTATGTATAGTGAACTAAAAAATAACTATGCAGCTATCAAGTGCCTTATGGCCATATGACATTAAGTAGATAATCACTATTTCAATAAGCCTTAAGCTAGAGGGGACTATATAGTAGATTTTATAATAAATAGAGCTGAGACTTCTGTTTGTTCATTGCGCAATTCCTTATTATAGATATATATATAACTACCCTATACTACCCACATGATATGATTTGCCCCGCTGCGGGGAAACAAATAGACTTCAATATGCTTTCCTTGTCCCACTTTTTTGAAACCCCATCAGGCCTAGAGCAATCATTGACTATGTTAGTATACACTGATCCACTTGATCAAAATCATGTCTCTAGAGTCAGAGTTCTATACTTAGAATCAAGATATAAATCACAAATTCTCTGGATGCTTTCAAAAAAGATCATGGATCAACGATCTTTGGACCGTGAATTATATGAAGCTGCCGAGGCGATGGATTTGAAGGAAGCCAGAATACTCTTGGACCGAGGAGCAAACCCCACTGCATTGGCTGTAGCGCGGGATAAAGGTTTCAAAGACGTGGTGGAAATTCTTGAAAGTGTCGGCGCGACTGAGTGGCGACCGGCTCCAAAGGATAGTGATTCTTTTCCCTATTGACATGTTCATTTTTCTTGAGTATGCTGATCATGAACTGTCTTCTATAACATTATGATGTCGCTCTACATTTATAATTATATAGTAAATATTTGTCTGGGTTGTCTTACAGCAGACTGGCTGGTATATAAATGAATTTTTAATTGTCTACTACTATAAGTAATACTGACTATATAAGCTATAGAATGGTTTACCACTTGATATATTTACCTCCTAGAAGAGATAGACAAGCCTGCAGTTGTTCCTGTTTCTGCCTCAGGCCATATTGCCTGACGTCACAGCCCATATCTCCACGTGACGTCTGCCGGCAGAAAACATTGGCGGTAACGCCGCTTCTTTCTCCTTCAGCAGACAGACTCATCCCCCCCTCTCTCTTTCCAACCCTCCAGCGCAGTCGAAAGCGAAAGCAGCCATGGCCGATCGGAAGGGTAAGAGGAGGCTAAGCAACATAACCCCGAACCCACCCCCAGTCACCCGCAGATCACGTCGTTTAATGGGACAATCACCAAACACCCCAGGCGAGGAGGAACCTCCTCAGCCTCTTCGAGCTGCCTCCCGCGAAATGTCCACAATCAGCGGTCTTTCTGCCGTGTCAACTCAGCCTGGCCAGGAGCCATGGGCCGAGTTAAAACAGAGGGCCAAGGCCAGAATCACCAGCTATAAACCAGCCCGTCGTGCAAACGATGATAAACTACAGGACTGTCTACGCTGCTTTATCGATATTTTGCCTGCAGATGGCCAGGAGTCTATTGCTAGGGATATTGCTGACTGTCAAACGGACGAGGATCTATGGAGGGTGTACCATAACCTCCTTACTGGATTATTACTGCCAAGCAAGTTATCCATCAAGATGCTATATCAACTAATGAAAGACATAAGCTAACTCCGTTCAAGTAAAGGCAGCTAGTCGGACTCCCTCTGTGACCTTATACCCCCACACCAGGCGTCAGAGAAATGCAGACATTGTTGCCAGCACTTTTCCCGATGAGTCGGAGCTCAGAGTGGAAAGGTTTCGCAAGGCTTGTCTTGAAAGAGATAGCCAGCGCTGCGTTATCAGCGGGGTCATGGACATTGAACATTGGGAGAAGATCGGCTTCCCGAGAGATATAGAGTCAGGGCACGTCGAAGGCGCACATATAATACCATTTTCATTCGGTTCCTGGGAAGGCAAGGTAAAGAGTCACTCCCTCGCCCACGTCGCCATTTCAAGCTGATATGTTGATATCTCCTTAGACTCTGCCTGACGACGCGGGCCCTAAATGGGAGGTTCTGGTGCGCTGCTTCCCAGCAGTGCGACGACTGGGCATGCGCCCAGAGACTATTAATGATCCTTGCAACGGCTTGACCATGTTCAGCCCTCTACACATGGAATTTGGAAGCTTTCAAATGGCCTTCAAAGAGACGGTGAGCCCACGTCAAAATTGCGCTCTGCTCTCTATCAAATATGAAGGTTTCTAATGAGGAAATCCCGGCTAGGACACGCCTCACCGCTACCTGCTGAAGACATACCGCAGATTTTCTACATCCTTGTTTAAACATATCCCCCAAAGCCCTTTTGTAGAGCTTACAAGTACTACTGGAGACACCGCTCGACCGAGCCCAGTTCTGTTGAATTGCCATTTCTACCTTGCAGAAATTTTGAACGTGTCGGGGATGAGTGAATATATTGAAGAGAAGATACAGGACTGGGAAAGTCTTAAACTTGCTCCAGGAGCCGGTCAGCTCCGGGCGGATGGGTCAACCGATGTTAGCCGGTACCTGCAGGCTGGTCTGTGGTCTTTGGTCTCTGTATCGTGATTCTTGGGAGTCTAGCATCGGAAGAACAGTTGCGCGACTCAAGAGAGCCAGGCCTCTTGACATTGCAGGCTCTCGCTGGCCGGTATGTTGCCCATTTCAGGATATGTGATCATATCACTAGACTAATAGCTCAAGTACAGCTAAAGAGAGAGGAAGCCTGTTTCCATACCCTGTGGTCATATGTCATAGTGATATACTAATAGTGGCTTATATAGGAATAGAATGAAGCTTAGTTGAGTACAATAGTGGAAAACATCATGAAATATCTACTACTCCGCCAAATCCACTCCCTGGTTGGGATACCCCTCGATCGTCCAGCCCGAAGTATTATACTGCGCCGCCCACGCGTGGATCTTCCAAAAGTCGCGACAGGTATGCCGGACTGCGAAGTTGGGCATCCACGGCGCGCCGCCGAGTCGCGGGCCTCCAGGACGGGGGATGTGAACCAGCGGGGTTACGTCGCTGTGACACATGATGCTCTATTCATTTATCAGCATAGACCATATGTAGTTGGTGGAGGCCATACTTGTCTAAGATAGTCGATGCAGTGGTCTATTGATTAGTTAGTAAGGTGAGTAACCCTAACCCTAACCCTAAGAGACGTACCCATGTGCATCTCTGCGTTGATGCCCGTGGTAAAAGTCGAGGTGTTATAGATCAGCCGGCGCAGCGAGTTGAGACAGTGAAGCTGGTGAAACACCTCAAGATGGATCAAAGGCGTGTTGTCTGTTGGCGACGAGGGCTCCGTCTCTTGGTCCAATGCTTTGAACATGCTCTCGTCCAGCGCGATGATGCCAGCTGAGATAAATCAGACGAAAAGTTTCTTTCTTTTTTTTCTTTGTCAAGACATTCACAGTAGAGAAACTCACCATTCAGCAGCTCATACCATTTGAGGTTGTTCTCCGACGACGGAGGCCCCTCATACTCCGTGACGGGGTGTTCTCGCGTGCCCATCCCGCTCATCTCGAAGACAACATCATGATACTCGATAGCAGTCGCCACGGGAGCTATAAGTCAGCCATAATGATTAAAAAAAAAAGGCTACCCTGTACAAGAGCCGAAAGGCATACCAAACTCAAGGGCGCGGAGACCCGGAGCGCTCAAGTCTCTGCTATGGAAGATATACCACGCCGCAGATAGCCACAACGCAGCCAGAAGGGAGTGTATGGCGAGTGCAACGGGGTGGGAGAGTATCAATGGGCCGGACGAGGGTTCTAAACTAGAGCTCTCGAGCTCGCTCTCTTTCTCCTCTAGCCGGTCATACCGGGGATCACTTTTGAGGAAGCCGAATCCTCCCATGTTGAGGAGTTGATCATGTCAAGAGGAACTTCGTCAGAGTTTCTATTTGAAAGTGTATTATTTGATGTTAATGTCTCACTATATTCCTTTGGGTTACATCCAAATGGGAGGCCTGGTTTTCCCCTCAGTGATAAGCATGCTTATCAATAGACCACTTTTCTTTTTGGTAGCGACGATTGGTTGTATTGCAAATCCATCCCTGATATAGCTAGTTTGCAAGGGTATGCCATATTTGATGTAGGAACTAACAAGAAACAAATTTGGTCCGGATGATGGTATTGGTGCTGTTGCGGTCGATCTGCTGCGCGAGGAGCATGGACTCACAGTGTGCCGTGTGCGTGTACTGCGCAATATAGTCATCAATGGGCCAGCCGTGCAGCAGCGCCCGATGCATCTTCCGCCAAGCGTACGTGCAGTGCAGCAGATGATACTCCCACGAGACGAAAAGCTGGTCGTATAGGCCCGCCATCACAGCGTCTCGCGGGGCCGGGGATCCGTCGGCATCCGTGAACCATTGCCACTCCTTCAGCTCGAGAAAGGCCTCGGTCAACTCCGCATCGTAGCAGTCTGCTGGCAGCCAGGAGAAGCTCATCGGGTCAAAGTAGCAGTCTAGAGATGCAGCCTCCTCGCGTGACGTCCCGCAGTGGGCGGCGGTGCGAGATGTCGATCCTTTGTAGAGACGAGGGGCGTAGAGCAGGCTGGCAATGAGGAGAAGAGTGGTCAGAGAGAGAAGGAGAATGACAATGAGACTGGCAGTCGGCTTGCTCCTGGATGTCTTCTTCTGCTTCACGCTCGTCGAAGACTCCTCAAGGAGAGCTTCAGTGAGTTCCTGGTCAGATTCCTCCATGTTGTGATAAGAGGAGTCAAAGAGTGAAGAGGATGAGATTAAACCGAGACATTCCTGCATACACCATTAAATAGATGCTATGATAAGGTTGCTTTCTCCAATGAGACATCTAGTCTGTCATCCCTGCACATGTCTCCATCTATGTTGTAACTGCAGTATCTCATCTATATTACCTCCTCAGTCTTACTTTGAAGGCTATAAGTAGTCGTCTCTTCCCTCTTTTCAATCCCTCATCATCATCATCTTCTTCAGCAGCAAAAACAACAATCACCTCCTCTTAAGCCTTCCTATCAAAATGCGTTTCACTGCCATCCTGTCCAGCCTCTTCCTCCTCGCCACCCTCGGCCTGGCTGCCCCCATCGCGGAGCCTGAGGATGTTGTCGCTGTAAGCTCATCATCGTGTTTCATGTCAAGTGTCCAGACTAACAGCTGTCAGCGGGGTGAGGGTATCGATGCTCGCGCGGAAGAGACATACTGCTACATCAAGCGTGGCAGTGAGAAGAGAGAGGCTGACTGTGCTGGTATAAGACCTGATATCCCTCTTTTAAGAATACTCACTCACAGTTTCTAGTCCCCTGATAGGAGGAGCTGAGTATTTGATCGTGGTGAGATGTAGATAAACCACAACATAGTAAATACATTTAGTTATATCAGGAAGTATAGGAGAGTAGAATCCATAACCTGTGATAGATACAAGAATCAGGCTTAGAAATCATACACTATATGACTATCACTTATGTTTTATTATAATTTGAGGGTAATTCATCAGGCTTAGGAGTCTCCAGAGCAGGATTACTTATATCTTGGTAGTGTTGTTCCACGGAGACTTTGATAGTACTCAAGTTAGATAGTAAGAGTCCAGTAGATCAACACTAGCCACCATATTTAAGAATATGTTCTTGACTTCAACCCTTCCTCTTTCCCTTCTTATACTACACACCTGTTAACTTCATTATATTATATCTATTGCTTTGGTGGGTGACTTTGGTGGCGATGTGACAGTCAAGGGTTGATCTGGTATTTAAATAACCAAATAGTAATTTAACTGATCATAGTATAGTTTGGATAACATAAAGTAAAAGAAATGATAAACATATCAGAACCATAGAAATTATATAGCCAATTTTGTCTACATGTAGAACATCTCCTAGGTAACTGTATTTATAAATACACACCGCCCAAACAGACCTCCTGGATAGCCGCCCTGGATAATTATTCCTTCCTCATCCAGCATAGGCAAGGAACAAATTCCTCTCAATCAATGGCTACACGAAGTCTCTATGGTAAACCGCGCTTTTGCTCATTTGCATCACGATCTTGTCAACGGTTTCGTTTCAATTATAGAGCAAAGAATCTCATGAATCCCCCCCGAATGAATGAGGGTCAGTTTTGGGCGTCGTCCCATTGATACAGAGCTGATTTCAAACCAAGTTTCCATTCCTTAAGATGAACTGTTCTCATATTCCTCGGGTCGGTTTCTCTATAACGAACAACTACGTCTTCTTGAACGACATGTGCTATTTGATGTTGCTGCACTTGGCAGTGCTATCGCAAAGCATGTCGGCCATGGGAAGGTCAAAAGCATCGTCAAATTGAGTGAAGGTGGTTTCAACCGTGTGTTTCTAGCCACCATGGAAGATGGATTCCGGGCAATTGTCAAAATCCCATACCGAATATCCGGCCCAAAGACATATGCAACCGCGAGTGAAGTCGCAACCTTGACGTTCCTTCGCTCCAAGGGGTTTCCAGTTCCTGAAGTCTATGGTTGGTCTTCTACAACAGAAAATCCAGTTGGCGTGGAGTACATTATTATGGAACATGCGTCAGGGGTTGGTGCGGATACTCGCTGGTTCGACACGACAAAATACCAGAAAAAGGCACTGGTAACCGGCATTGTCGATCTTGAAAAAAAGCTCTTCAATATACCATTTGCTTCTATTGGCAGTCTCTATTTCAAAAAAGACCTCCCTCGTGAATGGCAGGGCCAAGTATACCAGCCAGGCACACCAGATGAGCACCGGGACTCCGAGACCTATTGCATTGGGCCCATTGCTGACTACATGTTTTGGTATGGACAACGTGCGAAGCTTGGATTGGAAAGGGGGCCTTGTATGTGTTCGACCAGATATATATATATGGAAGTGTGGTGGATGATTTGTCCACCAGCTAATGCTGATAGGGAGCGACCCAAGAGAATATCTCCTTGCAATCGCCACCAAAGAAATCAAATGGACTGAGCAATTTGGGAAGCCACTGGAATGCGACTTCCACACAATACCATTTTCCCTGGGGTCAATTCTCCCGGGGATTATTTAGAACTCCTTCAGAAGTATCTGGCAATTGCTCCTTATCTCCTTCCAAAGGATCCCGGGGATATCTTGAATCAACCTACTCTTCGCCATCCTGGTGAGTTTTCCAGATAGCCTCCGGACTAATAAGAGACTAATTTTTAAGACCTTACTTTCAGCAATGTCTTTGTTTGTCCAGACACATTCAATGTCACCTGTATTATCGATTGGCAACACACAATTGTTGCCCCATTGCTTCTTGCCGCCGGTTATCCAAAGCTATTTGAGAAGCCTGATCCTGATGAGCCTTCAACAGAGCTAGTCCCGCCGAAATACCCAGACGGCTACGATGCAATGAGCCCAGAGGATAAGGCCCAAGTCGACGAGCTAATCCGGCGTCAAACTTTTTTCTATCTTTATCGTGTCTTCAACGGGGGACTAAATAAAGTGCATCTCAAAGCTCTACAGGATCCCTTAATTCTATCACGTCAGCATCTAGTGGATCTTGCGGGCCGACAATGGTCAGGTAACCTCATGACATTGCGAGGGGCTTTGATACGCATGCGTGACATTTGGCTTCATGTCCCGGGAAAGGATGAAAAACCCGAGTGTCCTATTGGATTTTCGGAGCAAGAACTCACAGAGCAATCTGAGAATGAGCCAATGTGGTATAACTTGAATAAACTCGTTGATCACTGGCGTGATGAACTAGGGGGGCTTTCAGAGGAAGGATGGGTCCAGACTGAACAGTACAACTATGCAGTTGAACAAAACAAAGCCCTCCAAGTAAAGTTTTCTGAAGGTGGAAGTGCAGATGACCTTGAGAGAATTAAACGTGGGTGGCCTTTTCAGGATCATGAGGAGTTCTTTTGATGGATGTTTATTCTGCTGAGCTCATATAAGCTCAGCTGGAAGATGTTTACAAGAACCTATAATAGAAGTAATCACCTTAATGCACCTTGAGAATTTAAGGTATATAGACCTGATTCTTAGTCTAAGAGAAGGTAAATTTAAGATACAACAAATAGTATCAAAGTATGTTATGAAATATAGTATAAAAACAAGCAATACCTGCTTACAAACATAATCGATTGCATATCCCGGGTAAGGGCCAGTATGGGGTCTGGGGTATTTTTAGGGCAATCCTGTAGGATCTCAGCATGTAGATCATCAATTATGACTTGACTATATATTGGCTAATTAATATAGCCTTGTATAAGTATAAGTGAAATGTGATCTAGCCATCTTTTACTACAAAGAAACCAGGATAGTGGATTATACCATGAGGGTGCAATCATTAACTTAATTCTCAGTCCAACTCTATACAGAGAGATTAATATATTGTCATACTATTATTATGATTCCATCTCATGATAAGACACCCCCCCGAGCTCAACCGGAACTCCTTCATTCTTCGCGGTCCCTTTATCCGACACGGTGGGCAATTCACTCGATGCATTCCGGCCTTTTTGTCTTTTCCGATAGAGGAACCAAGCGACCACCAGACTGATCACCAAGACACCTCCTATGGCGACACCTACCCCGACCCCTATTTTTGCTCCATTTGACAATCCCGAGGAGGACTTTGATGTCGATGTTGATGACGATGTCGATGTCGATGTAGCTGATGCTTGTGAGGGAGATTGTGCGGTAGTTGCTGTAGTTGTAGCTGTAGCCGTTGTAGTCACTGCCGTCGACGAGGCAAAATCCGACGACTGCCACCGGATCTCGACTCCATAAGCGTTGATCAGGCCGCTGCTGTCTAACGAGGTGGTGGCGGTGACGACGGAGCCGGAGCTGGAATATGTATAATTGAAGGCTGTTTGCACGTTCGCCCCGGGGGACCATTGGCAGATCTCGCTCATGTGCATCAGGCTCTGCCATGCTTGTAATGTCGATGCAGTGCTTGCAGGTCGCACCGAGTACGTGTTATCCGAGTCTCTAGAATATCGGTCTCATAAGTGAGAGCTCAAGATTTTATCAAAAAAAAATAAAAAATAAAAAATAAAAAATAAATAAAACTCACACCGGACAGCATGTGGCGATGGTTTCCACGGCGTCATTCACAGAAGCCGTCGTGCTCGTCGCGATGACATATCCACTGGGACAGATGCCTGGAGAGAAATACGTGGTGGGAGACCAGCCTGATGGGAGGCATTCGGTGGTATTCCCGGGACCCAGATTCATCCATGCTCCTCCGACGCTGGTGCTCACCACCCAGAGATCACTTAGACAGGCCGTCGGGGGGGTAAATGTTGTTGTTAACGGAATGGCCGCCATGTTATCTTTAGAGGGAAGAGAAGGAAATGGAAAAAAAAAAATAGATTCTAGTTGAGTGTTTTAACTATTATGAAAGATGAAGTTGAAAACACTATTTATTATAGAGTAGTAGTGTGGTGCCCAAGTATTACAGAGGCAAGTGGTTATTTAAACAAAAGCATTGGGCAACCCATTCTGCACACTTGGATTTATCTAGTTTTTTTAATTTGGGGGGCTTAGCTTATTTATTTGTTTGTTGAGTTTTGGGGGCCGCAGATCCTAGAGTCCATACTGTTACCCAGTAATCAGTAATCAATAATCACTCCGTACTCTTCAAGATGATACTAAATACTAGTAAGTAGTAAGTACTAAGTAGTATGGCCAGCACAGAACACGGCTCCACTTCGCTTAGTTTAGCTTAGGGACCAACTCTTGGCAGAATGAGGGGACGGATCGGCTAGCGTCAGGGCTGCCCTATGGGGTCTAGTGAACCACGGATCAAGTACTGTATGGGGTATAGTCAGCTGGGGACATGGCAGGTGCACGAGCCATCTCCTTGCAGGACTTGGTTGATTGGGTGGCCCGTGTAAGTTTAATTTCAGGGGAAAGTAATAATAAAAACCTTCTCTATGCAGATATACATATGAAAATGCTACAAAACAAACAATAGTAACAGTTATAGTACATTAACGCAATCTAAGCAGTATACACATTACTCAATCTACGGCCAAGTATAGAATATAAAAAACATACAACAGTAGGGATTCGCTGGTGGTCACCCACCCAACTACTAACCTACCGGCGTGTGGCTTGAGTACGGCTGAGCGGACGGGAAGCCCTATTTTCCACACCCTGTGGTCGTATGTACTAGCAGCGTCTAGATAAAGGATTATATAGGACAGAGAGCGATAGCAGTTAGGACTATGGGGTTGACCATTGTAAACTGTCTAATTAGTGTATTTAGCTCGCGGTGCTGCAACCATAGCAGAATATACTTAACTAGATTTATAGATTAGTCTTTGACATCTGGCTTTGATTTACTATTTACCTGCTAGCCTTAAGTAGCCTTTGTTACCAGCTCTGCCTTGTCTAATAGTTTACAATAGTAAGACTCACAACTATATTTGATAAGCTCAATAGATGAAACCTCTTGATATCCTATAGTTGTATGCTGCATGAGCTATTCCCTATAATACACCCCCTGGAGCATCCTGGCCTCCACCTTCTCAGCCTGGTGTAAGACTCCATCGCTCTCGCTCAGCGTGATGACCACGAGGTCGTATCCGATATTTCCATAACGCATGTTATCGATATCCGTCCACGCCTGACACTGGGGCCAGATCAAGGAAGAAGAACGCGGGTAGTCCTGTCCCTGACCGGTATAGACGGCGCGGAAAGCGATTTGGAAGTCACCGTTCGTCGACGGGGGGGTGTACAGGTTCATCGGGTACAGGCGGACGCTGGTGCTTTGGTATTCCTCCATTTCAGTGAAAGCGGCGATGAAGTCGGTCCCGTTGCTGATCCACTCGTCGACTCCAATGCCCGGAGCATCGGCGGAGCTGGACAAGACCATGCTCGAGTTCAACCCGGTGGTGCTGTTTGCAGCGTACCGGCCTGCAAAGAGGCGGGCAGTCTCGTTCTGCGCGATGGAATGCAAGGTCGGGAAAAACGCCTCGGCCAGGAGATTCGCCAGGACCAAGACGCTGTCCACGGGAGCTGTCTCGTCGGCGGCGAGGATGCTGAACCCAACCTCCCATTCGGGAATGACGGCAAGGATGCCCGCGTAGTAACCCCCGTCTCCGGATTTGGTGTACACGTCGACCGCGTGCGGGATGGTGGGCATCTCCCAGCGGTAGATCTCCCAGGGGGCCCCGACGGCGCCGTGCAGACTGTTGGCGAAGCTGTGAGGTTTGAGCCAGCGGCGGGCAGTGGCAGAGGTCATGTTCAACGAGGCGGCGCTGGAGTTGGAGATCGGCCGTGTGGCCTGGAGGATGGCGCGGCCAATGACGCCGAGATCGTGGGTGCTCGAGTAGATCCCGCCGAACCTAACAGTTGAACAATCACGTCAACTCCTCTGCATGGTATACATCGATATGGCAGACGTCTGGATACTATGTAGACTTACGGAGTTCCACTGCCCAGGTCAAAGTTCCAACCGCTGGTGGTCTGATTCCCGGGAATGATGCCAATGTCCGTGTCATTCGGCATCGAATAGAAGGTCGAGTTCAGACCCAGCGGCTGCACGAGAGCTTCATCGAACAGCTCTTCAAACGGCTTGCCGGTGATCCTCACCAGGGCAAAGGCGAGCAGTTCGTACGCGCCGTTCGAGTATGCGGGATATGAGGCGGGGGCGTATGAGGGGGGTTCGTTTCTGAATCCGTCGAGGAATTCTACAAACAAAACAACATGAGTATTCAGTCGGTGCTTGGTAGAAAGTGTTTCTAGATTCCACTGTTGATACGAGTAGGATGATTACCTGTTCTGTTGCACGGCGCTTCTTGATCCCACACACCCTCGCCCAGTCCACAGGGGGGGATGTTCTTCTCTGCCAGAGGGGGGAAACCGTACAGCAGGGCTTCATCGCCCAGGATACCGTAGAGATCGCCAAACGCATCTAATCATTAGCAAGGGATAGATATAGCATGAATTATATATATATATAAAAGTGTCTTACAATCATGTGGAACCCCGCCCAACTGGCTCGCAAGATCGCCAACCGTGACGGACTCCCAGTCCACCTTATCGACGATATCTCCTTTGGCTTGGAGCAACTCGGGAACCAAGTCGGTGATGGCGTTCGACCAGTGATGATCCCCATCATGGACGAGCCAAGTCAACACGGTGAGCAGCTTGGACACGCTGCCGAGACGATAGACGCTGTCTGCCGAGGAGAGCTTGGAGCCCACGGAGCCATTGGCAACAGACGGAGCCGTGTGGTCATATTGAAAGAGAGGCTCATCTGAATGCGCAGAGAAGAACTGCACGGAAAACGTCGTGGTATTGATCGGGAGAGGCCCAAGAGGCGAGGTGCCGCTGCTGAGACTGTCCTTGACGGTGGAGGTGAAGTTGTCGGCGGCAGAAGAAAAGGAGGCAGCAGAAAGATTCCGTGGGGGGACAAAGAGAGGGCCAGTCAGGGGGCAGTATTGAGTGGTAGCTGCGGCCAGGGAAAGGGAAGAAAGAGAAGCAAGAAAGAGGGATATCATGAGTACTAGAATTGAATAAGATATACTAGAGATGTAGTCTTAACTGAGTGGGAATTGAGTGAAGCTCATTGAAAACCCCTTACCTACTTATATTCACATCAATCCTCCTGTCTGTCAGCAAATGCTGATCAATAAGAAGAGTCTATACGATTGGTCCTGTCTTTTTACTCCAGACAATTACATCATCTCTCCAGCAGATCTGCTAAAGGGCCAATCAGGGACTGACAGCATTAATTATGATGATATTATGTCTTAGAAGTGTCAGTCTATATGAATCAGTTATATTAAGTAGTAAGCAAGGTGATATCATAACCATCAGCTTATTGAAGACACACTGTCAAGTTTCTCTCCACCTCTTGGAGGATATGAAAGATCCGTTGTCTATTCTTTAACTGGAGTGAGACCTGCCACTTTTCCAGGACCTTCCTATGGATCACAAGCACCGCAATTGATGCCCAGTTGACTGTCCCGGGCGCTGCGTCCTCCTTGTCCCGGATTTCAAAGAGAAGATCTGTCGGCATCATCGCCAGCCAGTATGAGGCTGGAAGAACCTCATTAAACGCCCACAGCATGTTTCGGACGCTGACGACGTCCAGATATTCAATAACCATATATTTGATCTCCAGCGGAAGGCCAAACTGAGTGGAAAGGTAGGCAAAGCCGATCGACGACCCCGTCGTCTTCACACTGGTTCGCATCATCTTATCCACCACAGGGATATGCACCGGGTCGTAACAGGGGCACATTGCAGTTGAATACAGATTGGGGCGTCTTCCCGTCTTCCAGTATTCTTTCAGTGCAGCAATCACTAGATCCAGATGCTGCATTCGCTCAGAGCCAAGCTGTCGTTCGAGAAGCGTCCAGCATCGGGAATGAACCGCGTATCCCTTCACTATGTTTTCTTCTTCTTCTTTTTCTCGCTTACGCCTCCACCGGGCCAACGGATGTCGCATGGGAGATACCGTGATATACTTGTTTTTCTTGTACGCCGGTGCCCCGATATATGCCATCTCCGAGTCGGGAGGGACAAGCAGTAGGCATGAGACTCGTGCACCAACCATATCTCCTATGCCGGAGAGTTTATACGGTTGACCTGGTCTTTCGAGAACTACAACCATTAGCATTTCCTTCTTTTGGGGGAGTGTTTTAGTATGTCTCACTCATTCTGAACAGGGTGTTCCAGCGTCCTGGCACCCGGAAAGCCCTCGACAGCTCGGATGCCGACATATCAATGGCAAACACTCTTTTCTCCGTCTTTCTGGATTGACGTCGCTCTTTCCACATTTGCTCCCATTCCTGCTTTTCACGCACGAGCGGGGGAGGCTTTCCGATTCGCACATAATGGCGGGCCTCGAGGGAATGGCCACAGATCCAGCAGTGGTTGGGACCAGCCTGGGAGTAATAATAACCCTTGGGCTTACGTGTCATTTCGGGCTCACTTCTTACATGTTCGTTCCTTTGCGACTTGGGTAGGTACACATACTTATAGTCGTGTTGTAGTGACATAACCCTTACACTTGGAGGTATAGCTGTAAGACCAAGGTAAATTCTAAGTTTAACATGGGTTTCTTTCAAAAGAAATACCTTCTCACTATCTCCTCTTTACTAATAGAAACATTGCCTAATTGTCTATTTACTTTATACCTGACTTAGCGTCGTCCTGCTTCACCCTTTCTTGTCCGCTCTACAACCATATACACCACACCAGCACCACAGGGTAGGAACTGAGTATAACCATTAACTAGTTACTACTTTCAATGGCAAGTATATTAACTCAATCTACGGCCAAGTAAAAAAAAAAAAAAAAACATACAACAGTAGGGATTCGCTGGTGGTCACCCACCCAACTACTAACCTACCGGCGTGTGGCTTAAGTACGGCTGAGCGGACGGGAAGCCCTGTTTTCCACACCCTGTGGTCGTATGTGGCAGAATTGTATATTTGGAGAATTATATAGAGTGAAACGAATATCATGGACCCTCAGAGTGGCCATCAGTCTGGAGGCAGACTCTTTTACGGTGATGGATTGATATCAGGGATAGTTATTGCTGTGTAGTGAGAAATATTCTAGAACCTATTTATGGGGTGCTCTATGTTTAGATGAAGGCTTATCACTTTGAATGTAAGATATATACTGTATACTAGCTAGTTATATATTTAGCTATACAACTAGCGGGTATTAGAAACTTTCTAAATGATATTGCTAAACGGCTACTTATGCCTTAGGCTACTTTATCCCTAGGATATCTCACACAGTCTGTAGTATAAAATTGATATTATCCTATAACCAGTCTACTACATAATACTTCCTAGCATACCTAGGTATCTACCTAAGTAGTTACTGAGTACATTCACTTCCTACTATAGACTAACCATTCTGGGATAGCTTAATGCAGCGCGATAACACCGTTTTCCAGATCAGGAAAGGCGGATCCGGAAAATGAAGCAGCAGCACCAGGAAGCCATGTATATAAGACAGATAATGTCTTCAAGATGTTCTTATTATTTACCACTTCCATACTCATCTTCTCTCATCCCCTTCCATGTCTGCCATCTTCTCTCTTCAAGGCAAGGTTGCCATCGTGACCGGCTCCGGCCGAAGCAAGGGCATCGGCGCCGCCATTGCCGCCCTGCTAGCCCTCCATGGGGCCGCCGTGGTGGTCAACTTTCTCTCCCCTGCGACAGCTTCACAGGCTGAGGGTGTTGTCCGCGGTATCGCGCAGCAAGGCGGGCAAGCCGTCGCCGTGCAGGCAGACATCTCGACAGAGGCCGGGGTGCAGGCTCTTGTCGATGCAGCGGTCGAGCTTGGGGGAAAAATCGACATTATAGGTGAACAAACAAGCATGATCCTACCTACTAGGTAGCTTTATGGAGCTATTCGATCTGATACATATTAGTTAACAATGCGGTTGCCGGCTCCTCCGGACCAGCGCTGCAGGCCTCACTAGAGACCATCCAGTACACCTTTGCAGTCAACGTGGCCGGACCGGTGCTCCTCATCAAGGCCGCAGTGGCACACATGCCGCCTCGTAGCCGGATCATCAATATCGGGTCCATCGCGTCGCGGATAGGAGGTCCCGGCTCGGCGCTGTACGGTGCCTCCAAGGCGGCCATGGACGCGCTGACGTATTCCATGGCGTGGGAGGTATGCATCAGCCTTGAATTGGTAGATATGACTGATCATGCTAATGCCGAGTGCTGATTGACAGCTTGGGCGCGACCACGGCGGGATCACAATCAACACCGTCGCCCCCGGCCCTGTCGATACGGAGAGTCTGCCGGCGCCGGTGGCGGCAAAGATACACGGGGCGTTGATCCCCATGACGCGCGTGGAGGAACGGGTCGGAACAGTGCAGGAGATCGCAGACGCAGTGCTGCTGCTGTGTTCGGAGAAGAGCCGGTGGATTTCGGGGCAGTGCATTTCTGTCAGCGGGGGGATCACGGGCGGAGTGTAGATGTTTTTGTATATCATATTGAATCTATTGTCCCGTTGGATTTGTTTCACCTTACTATGTCTTCGATCGCATCAGTTGGCCACAGCGAGCCTTCGATCCAAATGATATCTTTGATTGAGTGGATGGCGTCTCTTCCAGTTAAAATCCCCAGCTGAAGCATCGTTTGACATATTGCATCCGGGTGAGGCCTGCAGCAAAGAGAGACCGTGATAAGCGCCCACAGCCACAGTTTCAAGCAGACAGCGTCGCCTGCAGGCGGAGAGCTCTCAACTAGCGTAGCGAACTTGTCGTGCAAGGGCACCATCTCATCTGCAGAGAGCAGAAACAGATCTCTCTTCAAAGCTGCCAGGAGGATCAACAGCGCAAGACGAGCAGCCTCCTTAGAAGACTGCACGGGAGACAAGAACCCGGAGGAGGGCCGAGATAGCGACAGCAGCAGGCGGGTGGCCGGCATGAATAGCTTGATTGCCATAACATTGTCCTCCTGTCTCCAGAATGTCGGCTGCTGGCCTGTGTTCCTCTCTACAAACGCAGCGATCGAGCAGACGCTCCGGAGGGCGATCGCAAGGTCTGTAAAGTCCGTCGATGCTGCAACTAGCGAGCGAACAAACCGCGACGGGGAACTGTAATCCACCTCCTCGACATCGGCGGCCATTGCCGTGAAGCGCGGAGGGAGGTCCTGGACAGCACACCCGAGGACATCGAACCATAGAATGAAGAGGCGTGTATTCAGGTCCAGCCCTTGATACCCTCCTCGAAGTGTAACGATACGCTGCAGTCCGGCGACGTGAATTGCCCAGCGCTCCCACGTACTGACATAGAGCTTTGGAGAAGGGTCAACAACAGTTCGTTTCTTGAGGGTAGGAGGCAGGAATACTCACATCATGGCACAGCATACCGAGAATCGCATTGATGATGCCCGCGCCGCGGCATTCTTGCGGACTGGCCAGCCGGCGCGAGACCTGCGCCACGCAGTCCCCGTAGTAGGCCAGACACTCGGCGCTCCTAGTATATTGGAATCCATCTGGATGTGCCTGCTGGTCCCAGAACATGGCCGCGTTGGCCAGACACAGCGTAAAGGCGCTGCGGTCGGTCAGCGCCGCAGCGAACCAGACACCGCGGAACGGCCGGTAGACAGCCTCACTGGTCACTAGCGAGCGTTAATACCTTTTGACAGCAGAGGAGATAGATGCTCCACGCACTAAACTGGAGCAGCTGTAGGCCGCGCGAGTCGGGGGCCGTGGGGTAATACGCGGTGTTGGCAGGGTCCAGCGCCCGGGGCACAGCGACGGCGAGCTCCCAGCTGGGCAGAGCCTGGCGTGTCCGGCGCGCCCGGCCAATGTCGCGCATAACACGCTGGCGGATGCATCGCTGCGTGTGTTTGGCCTTGATCGCGTCGGGGTGCGAGATGGTGACGAAGACGAGGTCCTCCATGGTCGTTGCAGGTTGTTGCTCTTCATCGGCTGACATTGACCAAGCAATGACTAATCAGGGGCCTAAGGCAACAACTATTGAATCTGCCAGCGTAAATAGAGGCATTCATGGGATTCGTTTATAATAAAGTACTCTCTACAAGTCTATGCCTCAGTATCGAAGACAGCGTTCAAATGGTGACTATCAGATGCTATTCCCTGATTATCTAGATAATTATGGAACGGAATATGCGCATGCTAATCCTGAACCAACTCCATCAGTCGACGTGCGTAGTCCCGGTCTGCGTCCTCAGGCAATGATGTCCCTGGAATACACAGCAGCAGCTGTCGGAGGATGGGAAACGTGTCGAACTCACTGCCTGGGAGCACCGCGGCGTCCAGTGAGATCTGGTTGACGGAAGGATAGATAGTCTCATCCAGACCAACGGTTGTAATGATCACCTTCTTGTTTTTGGTCGGCCAGGCATACTGCTGCCCTTGCGTTCCGCTCCGGGTGCTTGTGGTACGCTTGAGAGGTGCAAGTACTTCAGATCCCAGGCTGTCGTCTCCCTCAAGAACATCACCGCGAAGACACATCATGAGCCCAATATGATGAGCTGGAATGTTCATCGCTGTAACTGCACTGTCTATGGAGGAGACAGCTTGGCTTTTCAGCGAGTTTGTGAGACGGTCATGTTTGCGGTTCTTCACTTGGATGACCAAGAACGTCACCTCGTCATCGGGGAGCTTGATGGGGACAAGAACGTCAGCTCCTGGGAATCTCTCTGGCAGGAAGAGAGCTGCTCCTCGGCGGTAAGCAGCGTGTAGCATAGGCAAGGTTGGAGATGTTTCAGCCCGAATGAAGTGGTTGAAAAATACCTGACCATCCTGCCAGAGCGTGAACATGTCTTGGTCGCTTGCTGCCCGCATTCCAATGTCTTGACAGATCTCGCTCCCCAAAAGCGAGCAAAGAAACCTTTGGAAGCGTACAGGGCACGGATGATTTTCTGGATCGGTGGCATCGAATGCAAAGAGCAGAATCAATGCTGCAACCATCTCGCCAATATCTCCCATGTTGATACTCCCCTCAAAGCAGGCTCGGGCGAGATTTTTCACCACATAGAATCGAATTGCCGGGTCGCGCATTTTCTCCGCCGCCGTATGTGCCAACACTGGCTCGCTAGGTTGAATAGTGCGCATCAGTTCCCTGCTTGGGTTGATGTAAAGGAGATATCGTAGCCAGCTTCCAACGAGCTCTTCCGCCAGAGAATTCTGCGTTACGTAGAAATTGACTCTATATGAAAACAGAGCCAAGGCGTGGCTTGGACTGTTTCCTATAGTTTTCTGGCTCGCAAGCTCCATTACCTCTTCAAGAGAGCTCCCTGTATCCAATCGGCCCCCCCATAGAGGCCTGCCGAGTTTAAATAGCTCCCTCTTTGACTGGTCTGAGCCGTCAGGCTCTGAGCATGGCCGAGAGGCAAAGATATCCCAGGTATTGATCGCATTGACCGGGGGGAAAAGCGTGTGCGGAATTGAATCTCCTTGCTTGATGGTTTTCTGACTGGGGTCGTGGCATAGCGGTGGTGAGAAGGTTCCTACTTTCGGTGTCGTGTCCAAGCAAACGGCAAAGTAGTTTCCCACAAGTCGTGTGAGGTCAGGGCTATCCTTGTGATTGAGCCGCTTGAAAAGGTTGCGACAGGCCTGGCGGAATGCACGAAACTGAATGCATCCTTCGCTATCCAAAAGAGCGCGGGCCTCATCGATACAGATGATGGAACGAGGCTTTTTAGCATCTCCTGTCTCGTGTAATGGTAGCGGACCATCGTTATCGCTATTTTCCTGAAGAAGGTCCCTCCAAGTCTGGAGAGACCTGGATCGGTTGGCTGGGTACCCAACCAAGAATTTGACAATGTGTGGGCTTTCGAACTTGGAACCCATATGGATCTTGACCGGATGAGAGCAATACTCCTTGAACAGATTCTTCACCAGTTGGGCGATCTCATCATTGTAGTCCGAATAAAGATTCAACGCCTGCAAGTTGTAATAACCGGCTGGCGTGATCCCGACCTGTTCGCAAATCGCAACTTCCCAGATAGACACAGCAATTGTACATTCCCAGAAGGCCTCACACTCTTCTAGACCGACTCGGTAGGGGTCAGGTAGACAGTCAGCCAGGGTGGAGCGACGAGGGTAGCCCTGAGATCCTCTGGCCGATAAGTTGAGATAAGTTACATACTGACCGTGTCCCACGGCCATCTGCTCGATAGAGAAACTCTTCCCAACCCCCGACGGACCGACAATTGAGGTGTATGGGGCCAGATACTGCTGTCGATTGTAGACCCGAAAATATCTGCATATTGTCTCGTAGATGGATGTGCTCGGAAAAACGCCGTTAGGCAAAGACTTTTCCGCCCGGTGGAATGCCCGCTCGACGGACTGTGACGGGAATTTGGGCTTTTCAGTAGGCAACAGCTTTGAGAGGAGATCGATAAATTTGTCTTTGTGTTTGATGCGGATCGTAAAGTCAACTTTCTTTACTTGAATCCACGTATAGACCAGATCGTCCAAGGCAGCTGGGTTCAGGGGCTGAGAGTGATCAACTAGAGGTATATTCGCCCACTTGATTGACCTCTTCTCGGATTCAGTAAGGAACCGCTGTAGGCATTCGAGATCTCGGCGAGCATGATGCAAGATACACTCCTCCAAGCCATCGAAGTGCCTCGTACAATCATATTCGAACCACTGGCAGTCTTCCTCAGAGAACTCTGCAAAATGACCGAACGCCAACGGGGTGGTGCATTTCCTCCAGTCTGATTTTTCTGTATAGCTTATCTGGCTGAGGGACTTGTGGGAAACGTCCACTTGTGATGACGGTTGAGATGACGGAAAGGGTGACAAGCCGGCTGAAGCAATCTTCTGTTAGCTTTTGACGCGGAGAAGAAAGGGTTGGGTACTGATGGGAGTTACTTCTCTGTCGTCTGGAAGGAACGCAAGATAGATCATTATCTCCAGGTCTTGTGTTTGCCATTGTCGTTCCTGGGAACCGAGAGAGGAGAGAGTATAATGGGAGATGGAAGAGAGAGAAAAGTGGAAGACAGAGGAGAGAGGGAAAAGGGAGGAGGGGAGAGAGAGGAGAGTGAGAGGGAAAAAGTGACATAATTCATTTGATGAGCAGGCATTCACTCCTATTTGCCATATAATCCAGGCATCAAAGTGAGATTTGCCTTATTTATTTTATCCACAATATTAATCTACAAAATATATTATGATTTAAATACTAATGTTCACATCTAAGTTAAATTTAAGACTCTCAATTCAATCCTCCTTGAGTCCATATATCCCACTTACCGCATTAGGCAAGACGTTCTGCCTCCAGCGTCAATGTTTGTTACCCGCCTGCTTTCTCTCCCTTTCTCTCTCTCTCTCTCTCTCTCTCTCTCCCTTTCCCTCTCCCTTTCTCTTTCCCTTTCTCTCTCCAGCTTTCTTCCTTCCTCTCATCTGTCTCAAACTCATTCGATTCCTTGACAACTTTCCGTTCAATATGTCTCTTTCAGACAGACCTGTCCACCTCTCCAACGGTCGGCTGGGGTGTAGCGTGCACTGGCTCATCGTGTGTCACATCTGCATGCTGGATTTCAGCTTCTTGGGTGACTCAGACGAAGACTCAGACGAAGACGACGATTACGAAGATGACTATTACGAAGACACCAGTGACGAAGAAGAAATCGAATTGACAGACGAGGGCGAATCGACAGACGAGGACGAGAAGAAACACACCGTCGGTCGTATTATCACCAGCTGTCCCAGATCGCATCTTGTCCGCGGTTCAGAGCTTCGAGTCGGCACCGGCCAGGTCATTCCCACTAGATTCGAGCCTCCGGTCGTGCACGCTACACCGCAGCAACTGTTCCCCCCCGGCAAGAGCACGGCAGCCTTACCGCCAGTCAACCGCTTCATTTCTCAGACCAAGGACACCCAGCTTCTCATCTACACCGACGGGGCGTGTTTGGACAACGGCGGTAGGAATCCCCGAGCCGGGTGCGCGTTCGTCTTTAAGCCTTCCACAGGAGGACACGCTGGACTGAACGGGTCTATTTGCTTTCCGCTCGAGAGCAAAGGACCAACCGGTGAACCACATCCGCAGACAAGCAACCGCGCCGAGCTGCGCGCCGTGATTGCCGCCCTACGGTTCCGCGCGTGGGATGGAGAAGGGTTCCGCAGTCTCGTCATCGCCACAGACTCCGAGTACGTCGTTGAGGGTATCACAAACTGGGTGCGCGGCTGGATCAAACGGGGCTGGAAGACTAGCCTGGGGGCGCCGGTCAAGAATAGGGATCTCTGGCAGTGTCTGCTGGGCGAGATGGAACGCTGGCAGGAGCGGAATTTGCAGGTGCAGTTCTGGCGGATTTCTAGGGATTCGAACACAGAGGCGGATAAACGTGCCAAGGAAGCTGCTCGAGGGGGATCCAGGGATGAGTTCATGGATACCTTCGGCGTTTATGTTTGAAACCCAAGTATTCTAGTCATTAGTAGTGAGAATACTGACGAGAAACTCACGACTTGTAATCGCCATATCTATCTGATTATAGCCAACTCTTTCCTCTCTATCTTTCAATCTTGTTTCCTAGACAATTTCTATCATCTGCCTGTCTATTGACTATGAATATGCTCTTGGTGATCTTATGAGCAACTTGTTTGGAATATTTCCTTGACAGCGTGGAACAAATGAAGTTTGGCAAAGTTGAAGCATAGATAGATGGGGGTACGCTATTAATGAGAGCAGAGTGAACCAGAGTTGGAATTTGATCAATGATCTCAATGATCAACCCTGTGTAGAGGGAACCCAATAGCTAATAAAAGCTACCTGTAAGCCAAATAACGCACTATCTATTTAAGCCATGTCCAAGTCCTTAGCGACAAAACGCATGTTGTCAATGATATCATCTAGCTCATGAAATTTGTCGACCAGTTCCTCGATCAACGCTTCCAAGTTGGAGAGCTTCGACTCCAGGGATTCCTTCTCTTGATGATTACTACCTGATATCAATCATATTTCAGGTTGACTAGAGTAAGACCACCAACGGCCTCTGTTATTCTGACTGCCTGCAATGATGCTGAGCTGGGCAACAAATGAGCAATTCTGGCTTGTAAATACTATATATATGGCTACGATAAAAGAGTAATAACAGCATTGATGTATCACTATTTTGAGCTAGCAAAGTCTGACCTACACCGCGTTCACAACCGTTCAGTCTCAATTACCCTGCCGTTTGTGAGGTCACATCTAGTGGTTCCCTGTTTCTGGCAAGTCCGCAGTGAGGACTTCAAGAGACAGGGTGTTGTCGTCTTCGCGGCGGTCCCCAAGCTCGATCTCTTGAGCACCCGATCCCGCCGTCGAGTCAGGCTGCAGGTGAACCATCCTTGGCCGGTATCCGTGGTACGTCGGAACCCATCGCTCGGCCAGAAGTCTGTAGGCTTTGTCGGCCACGGCGTTGGATTTAGGAAAGTTCAAGGGGAATTGCCATGGGAAGTACGACTTGCCGTGTGATCCTCTCGTGAGAAAGTGGGTGTCGTGAATGTTATTGAATGCGGCAAAGAAGGCATGGCAACCGCGACAGGAGAGTTTGGAAACACCAATGTATGTGTATGCGGGACTCTCGTTCCGGAAGATGTCGAGCAGGATTTTGATTTCGCAGTGCACGGAGATGTCCCGTGGAATGTCCGACTGGGCCATGAAGCGTGAATCTCCACGAATGACATTCAGATCGAGGTCATAATCAGTGGGTTGTACACTCGCTGCTTTCTCCAACACTGCTTCCCACTCCTCAGGGGTATTGGGGACGGCAGCGACCTTGGTTGACATCGATGGAAGGTGTTTAGCCCAGCACTGCTTATTGAGCAGGGCTTCACAGTGAGGTGATCTTGTTGCTCGGACCAGTGCACCAAGATGGTTGATGAGAGAGTTGACCTTTATGAGATAGGTTTCGATGGAAGGGAACTTCTCGTATCGCCGGCTCTCAGCACCAACCACGGGCTTCGTTTCAATGAAGGCTTGCGTCGCCTTCTGGGTGTCTTGCAGATGGATGACCAAGCTTCTCCACTCTTCCTGATCGCTGAACTGGGGCTTATTCTTGTACAAGTGTACAAGACCCCGAATGCAGACTCGAGTCTTGACGAATGGATGGGCTTTCGGAAGATCATTGTGTGGGATGGATAGGAAGGGTTCCAGCTTGGAGTGAATCCGCTTTTTCCACTTCTCAAATGAAAAGTCAATGCACATATAGACAAGACTGTTCGTCAAGCCCATGGTCTGCTGATCTGGAGTCACCTCGTGAGACTGGGTAGCTTTGTTCTTGCGATAGCTAGACGATACCTCCTGCATCTTGCGCAACATGCTCTGTAGGTGGTTCACAGTTGCTGTGGGCACCTCGGAGTTTGTGGCGACGCGGAAGGTCACCGATGTATCAGCCGCACATTCCATAGCAATGGCTACAACCTCGCCTCTGGGCTTGGAGACGCAGAGACTGGCCAGTGCATCTAGAACTGGCCGCAGGCGAAGCGGATTGCCAATGGGGGAGTTGGCCGGAACCTGGGGTTGACCTTCATCGTCCACCTGCACTCGCCGGCCAGGGGCTTGAATTTTATCCCGTTGCTCGACCTTCTGGATGGCAGCCAGGAGGAATTGAAAATCGGAGGAAGATGGCGCCCCTTCCAGCGGCTTGGCCTTGCGTAGTTCTGCTGGTATCGCATTGGCCGGCATGATGGTGTCTGCCGCCCGGCTTGCACCTCGTCGTAGGTCTTCCTGACGCGGGAGATCTTCTACTGGAAGGAGATATCTAGCCCGGGATTCTCTGAGGCCCCGGTGCGATCTGCGATGACCTGGAGATGCTGGTGCTCTACCGCGGGGACTCTGAGGTACTCTGCCTGGTCTGCGCCCGCGCTGTGAAATGGTGATGACACACGCTATCCCGAGTTAATCCATGGTTAACCGCAACCTTACATCATTATCAACACTTACAACAAACAAAAGCAGCTTCAAAAGGGTATCACTCTTCTACCATGATCTTCTGTCCGCACAGAACGTCTTTCGCGAGTGGTGGGCAAATTCGAGGAGGGAGGGGATTTTGGCAGTTCGACACGCCTACAGCCGTGGTTTTGCAGATGAGAGAGAGTCATAAAAGTAAGAGCCTAGTCTGGATGCAAAGCTTACTCTAGCAGTGTTGCAGAATCTCAGGACGTGATCGAAGACGACCGTTCGAAAACGGTGAGGCAGAGGAAGATGCACGAGATGAAGGGCAGTTGAAAGAAGGCGTCGTGGAAGAGGAGCTGGTGGGAGACTCATCTCTTTCCTTTTGTTTTCTTTCTTTCTCTCTCTTAAAAGAAGTTTGACAAAATCTTGGGGGACCACTAGACCGCTGAGCCACTAAAAATGTCCAGACATTATTAGAGCTTTGATATGGTCATATATTCTGTGACAAGAAGAAAGTGCTAGGGTGGGGGAAAAAGGAAAGCAAACATTCACTTCTTCAATCTGTATCTCTCACTTTTGCTTCTCTCACTTTTACTCAAGTACCCACCACAACTTTGGCAATTTATCACTGGCCAAGATTGAAAAAAAAGCTTCACTTTACTATTCAAGTAGATATAGTGACACTCATATTAGCAAGGTCTGATCACTCGTAGGCTTACGCAGTACTGTATTGGTTGCCATGGATGCAAGAGCCTAGAGAAGGGCTCTTGAAGAGCTTTTCAGCTTTATCTAGGTACTCTGGATTTATCCCACTCTCCTTATATATTGCTTTAGATTGTTAGGCTCAGAGATGAGCTATGGTATGTAATGAATAGAGAAAAGAAAGAGCAATGTTCTAAATGTATTTCTATTGGATGTGATAGCTTGACTGGGCCCCTGGCGAAAAAGGCCTTATCTATTTATATCCATAGGAAAATATCTTTATACCAAGTGCCTAGACTGATACAATCAGATTCCTTATATTAGACAAGCTGGCGCTGGGAGAGTTGCAAAACACCAGCCCCTACAGTTTGGTGATCACCTTAAGTAAAACTATAAGTCTTATACTTATTAGTTAATCTATTAGCTCTCTAGAAGCTATAGGGGGCTTAATTAACTCTTTCTTAGGCTTATCTAACTCTCCTCTACCTAATTTAAAATACTTGATAAAATAGTAAGGATAGAGGGCAAAATTTATAACTAACTATATTTATTCTATATGGCTTAAGTATGCTAAGCGGACGGGAAGCCCTATTTTCCACACCCTGTGGTTGCATGTACTATTAGTATAGTGAGACTAAAATATATAGGAGCAAATAATTTACATGAATAGTATAACTGTAGGAGGAGTCTAAATCGCATGAATATTATAAGAGATATATTGCTGCTTAGATGAAATGACTTAATGATGATGGTTCCTTTAACTCTCTTATAAACCCTTGTCGCATTTCTTTACTCTAGCATCTAGTAACTAATAGGAAAGGAGTGAAGATATATATATACCACCTACTTCCCTGGCTATTCTTCTAATTGCTGGTTATATAGCAGTTTGCTTTGCCTCTTCTTACAGTATGGCTGATATCAGCTGCTGACTACAGGATATCCATTAGGATAAACATGATCTCTAATCTAAAGATATGAGCAATTCTAAGTATCACTATTAATATAAGCTATAATTATAGCTTTGTTGTAACCATCTATTTCATCATATCTTTTCTGCCAGTATATAAAACTGAAGAGTGAAAAACTTAGGATCCAGCTCACTGCAGTAGAGGGTAAACCACTTAGTTATAAGGAATTATAAGTATAGCTGGTAGTTAGTAGTCAGTAAGAGAATAGAATATTCTATATAGCTAATAAGTAACCTGCAGTGTGTTAGAGTTTCTCTCTTTCCTGGATAGTTACCAAACAAACGGCTGCCTGCGCCCTTCCCCCCCCCAAGTTTCCCTCTTACCAGCTTCTCTTCTCCATCACCACTCACCCACTCTCCCTCCATCAAGCATTCCTCGAAAATTAGATCCGCATCTTTCTTGCCTTTTCGAAACCGACTTCTTCCTTGATCATTTTGAGCATCATGCCGTCCAGCAGGAGGACCAACCGCGGCTCAGACACGGAGCTCGTTTGGGCCTCCTCAGTCCAGGAATTCAAGGGGTCTTTCCAATTTGTGCAACCGAAGAAGCCCCCCGGCAGGGACAGACGCGATCGCCGTGCTCGGGGATCCAGCGAAGACGACGAAGGAGAGGCAAAGGAGGGCGAGACAAACCAGGATACCGCAGAGAAACAAGCGACCGGTGAAGGCATCGTGGAGTCGTTCATCGACGAGGAACTGCGGGCTGGGGGTCCTTTCCTGTGTCCGTTGCCTGCCACATTCAGGTCGTTGTCGGACCAGGTGAGCCGATATGATGATATCTTCAACGACGACGGGATGAGAGAGGCTGTTGAAGCAATCATCAAAGAGCATGGGATTCAGCGCAAGACCTGGGGCGTGGGACTACGGAGGGCAGACTGGTTTCCCGAAGACGACCCGATCGTCACCCTGCTTATTGAAGCCACAAAGACGGCGGTGGAAGACAAATGGGTTGAGCTATCCAAAGCCTTACGCAGGTTCCTGATTATGCGGGGGTTTCCAGATGCGAGCGTTGAAATAATTGACCCTCGCGCGATGCTCCCTCGATTTACTCACCCCCTCCTACGCAGTGATCAACTGTTTCCACTCTGGGACCAAATTCTGTCCATCATCCTTGACTCTATAGATCTCACAGACATCACTGTGATCTCCTGTTGGCGGTATGGTGTTTCCTCAACCACAGAAGAGAATCCTCCAACAATCATTGTCACTGTGAAGCGTGACTCAATCAGGACGTGGAAGCCCCTTCGAGAGATGATAGTGAGTATTCTAGATACTCACTATCTTGATGATGTCTCAGTCAATATTGAGAAGGGTAGTGTGTTTCAGTGTATTAGCAAGGCGGACGTTCGTCTTCCAACATCCCTATGGCAACAGGCAAAGGCCTTACCTGGTGTCAGCCTTGGTAACACCCTGAACACAGATTCTTCGGGCACCTTTGGGGGGTATATTGAACTTCAGAATAAGAAGGGTGAATGGGTTCGCTTTGGGCTGACATGTTACCACGTCGCCCTTGCGGCTGATAAGGCTCTAGACGATAAAAATAAGCAGGGTGAGTGAACTCTATCTAGTTACCACAGATCACACTATTAATATCTATACAGTTCAGGGCGGTTGGCACATCAAGGGGATTGAATGGGAGAACCATTCTGCGAAACAGATACTCACTCTACAACAGGCAAGCTACCAAGACCTACATGATGAGAAGGAAGCTCTTCAAGAGCGCATTCATGAGATCACTAACCCTGAGTTCCTTGAAAGCCGCGCTCTGGCAGCAAAGGGAGAGCTCTTCCCGCCCTTCAAGAAGGTCTATGAACATCAAGAATATAATCTGCACAAAGAGGAGACCACCCTAACCCAGATGGATACCTTGGAAGAGCGGCTAATTGGTTATACTATATGTGCATCAGGCTTTCGACGCAAGTTGATCCCCGGCAGTAAGGATTTTATGCACCTTGACTGGGCGCTCCTTATGATGGATAAGCAGCGTATGGGAACCAACAGGGTAGATGCATATGGAGCACCCCGCTTCAGTCTACCAGACGTCACTATCGGCCAGCCAGTCCAGCCAGAGCATGGAATGCCCGTTTATAAGATGGGGCGATCAACTGAGTGGACTATGGGCATCTATAATGGTCTCAAGGCTGCATATATCGATACAATCAATGAGAAGGACGAGACGACACAGGTTTCAACGCATGAAGCTGTTGTGTGTGGAGTCAAGGGTAGAGAGTTTGCGGACAAAGGCGATTCGGGAAGCTTTGTGTTCACCACGAATATGCGGTTTGTCGGCATGATTTCCGCAGGAAATGGCAAGGGGAACGGATACATCACTTTGGCATCTCATCTATTTGAAGATATCATGGCAAGCACAGGAGCTGTTGCTGCTCGTCTCCCACTGGACTAAGCAGCGCAGTCTTTTTTTGGCCTATCTGCAGACTCTATCTTCCCAATAGCAGTTGACCCCTGCATGATGTCTTAATCTAATATCTTTCGACTGGACTCTCCTCGTTGCTATTTATGGACTCTACCCTTTATAGTGAGAAGAGAGCGACTCATACTCGATCGAAGGTCTCTAGTATGTTAGAATATAGAGTAACCTAGGCTATGAACACAGCACTGTCGTAATCATATATTTCATTATCATGTCTCGTAGCAAGGTCTTACGCTATTAAAGAAAGGAAGATATCCCGACGGCGTTCCTGCGCCCATCCACTACTATTCATTCACGGGGTGCTTCATCTGCTGCTGCTCATCCTCAGCTGTGGTAGTCTCGGTCTGCGCAGGGCGAACATTAGATGAGACGATTGCTGGCTGGAGACTGCTCACCGAGAGCAGGCGGCTGATGTCTGTACTGCCGCTACGGGCAAGTACCTCGATGTTGCCGTAGTCTCTGAAGGTCTTCTCGATGGCCTCGCCGCGCCCTGTGGCGTGAAGAATGCTTGCGATCGCCGCATGGAGCTGCAGAAGAATCGGGGAAGGCAGCTCCTCCCGCCCGTCATGGGCCACAAGGGTAACAAGCCGACTCTGCGGCAGTATCAAGTCGGTAGACGCCATGACGGGCCCAAACGTTTTGATCTGATACTGGTTCGGGGTCTCTGTGGGCTCTAAGGCGAGTTTGAACAGGCCAAAATGCGAGTGCACGCCGGCCTCCAACATCATGACGTTTCTGGGATCGTTTATGTTGCGGTATTCGAACCCGAGCCTCGACCGAAGGCTCGGGAAGTAACGAAACATGTTGGTCCAGACAGAGACAATGTAGTCGCGCTCCACATGATCCCGGAAGGTGGCCAGGCTGAAGGGCACAATGTGTGCCGCTTCAAGGAAACCCAGTGGCTTGCCGTCCGGAATGTCCCTGTTGTTCCAGTCGAAGACGCCGGAGACGACACATCGATTCCCGTCTCGGGGCAGACAACGATCACGGAGTTCCTGCTGCTTCCGAGTCATAGGCTCCTCGACCATGCCGCCAAGATTTTCGATCGAGTCCTCCAGCCCAATTCGAGGGGAAGGCGTGACGGATGCTGTTTTGAGGCCAGCGGCCTTCAGCGGGGTGAGGAGGCCAGTAACGACGCTCTCCGCCAGCTGGCGGACCTGGCTGTCAGAGGCACACTGCAGAATGTCATCCGCTAGATGTCTCCGGCCATCTGACGGCAGATACTTGAACACCTGCCTCAGCAGGTTCGCGGTGTCGTCGGAGGGGCTTTCGGGTGAATACACTTGCAGGCGTCCACGGACGTTGCGGCATTTCAATGTACAGGGTAACATCGCTGGTCGCCTCGCTATGAATTCCCCTGGAAGGACCCATCGTGTTCAGAAGAATGCGCTCGAAGTGCGATGGATGAGGTGAACACTTGCCTCGTTCCGTGGTTCGTTTCCCTTGCAACCAGGGAGTCGACGCCTGAGGCATTACTTGGTAGCCTAAGGCACGCGTCAGGGTCCGATGAGTCAGCATAAACAAGAAAGTCACGTGATGAAGCCATTGCCGCACTCAATATGAAATGCCGAACAACTGTCTCTTTCACAATATTCACTGCTGTACAAGGAATAGGACCAGAATGAGTTTAAGCAAGAACCTCTTCCCAGGCCTATGGAAAGTAAGTAATGAATATACAAGTAAATAGATTCAGATTTCTAATAACCTGGTACCTAGATACTCTACACACTCTCTACTCAGTAAGCGAGTGCATCTGCAGGCTACTGGTTGGTTACTATTCATATTCAATCTCCATAGGGCTGTGGAACAGATTAATCTTATTGATTTGGAATTCTAAACTTCGACTGAAACAAAACATGACGTAATCAGTTGGGGGCCATTTCTTACCCCCCCCCCCAGAGTTCCTGCCGAACATTTTCTCTTCACTCCATCTCGCCATGGTGTTTCGCGGACGCGTGTCGAGGAGCTGTGAGAACTGCCGAGCAGTGAAGCGAAGAGTATTTCTTTCTCTCAATAAGATGTAGTGATCAAGCTGACTGTCTAGTGCGACCAGCAAGTCCCCCATTGCGGCCAATGCCGACGCATGGGCGAAGACTGTCCCGGATACCGCGACGAATGGGAGCTGATGTTCCGCAACCAGACAGACATGACGATTAAACGGTCGAAAGGGAAATCCACCCGACGGAGAGCGGTCGTGAAGACGCAGCAGAATAATACCAACAGACCGGGTCATGGTCTGGCGCCGGGCGTGGATGAACTCGGCGTGAACTACTTCCTCCACAACTTTGTGATTGGCGGGAAATCCCCCTCGCATGGCTATCTGAATTATATCCCCGCCGTCTATATGGCGGACGGGGAACACCCGACCCTCGTCAGCAGTATGGCGGCTGTGGGACTGGTGGCCCTGGCGCGATCGACGCAACAACCGGAACTGGTGCAGTATGCGCGCGCAAAGTACTCCGAGGCGATCGGGCACGTCAACCACGCGCTGGCCTCGCCGACCGAATCCGTCAAGGACAGCACGTTGATGGCGGTGATTTCGCTCGGGGTGTTTGAGCTCGGGTTCGACGTGGATCTCTGGGTGCGGCATGTGCAGGGGGCCGCGGCGTTGGTGGTTCTGCGAGGCAAGAAACAGTTCACGAGCAAAGCGTCGATCCTCATGTTCAACCAGGTGCGCGCCGATATGGTCATCGCCTGTCTGCATACCGTGCAACCGTTCCCACCGGAGATCGTCGAGCTGCAACAGGCTGCGACTGACCATTCCGATACATCGAGTGCCTTTTGGTTACTGGGTGTGTTGGCGCCCCGGTGTGCGAATGTCTTCCACCGGTTCACGCGAAACACGGGCGAGATCCCCTGGCTGGAGCTGCTGGAGGAAGCCACCGGCGTCCAGGACGATATCGAACATATCGCGAGTCTGTTGGAAGTGCAGGCGCCGTATACCACCACCTACGAGTCCACGGCGGATCCGGACCGCGTGTATAACGGGCGGGTGGACGTGTATGCCTCCTTCTGGGCCATCCGGGTGTGGAACAATATGCGCAATTGCCAGATCATCGTCAGCCAGATCGTGTGTTCGCTGTTGACCACTGCTCTTGACACAGACCTCGCTCCAGACCTTGCCCCAGACCTGAAGGCGTACTGCCGGGCGAAGCTGAAGGAGACGCTCCAGTTACTGGTGAAAATCGGCGACGATATGCTGGCCTCGATTCCGCAGGCATTAGGATTGACCTCGGGGAGTAATACTATATCGACACAGTCGAAACCTCAGTCGAGTATGAATCCATCGCCTCTGCCCTCGCACACCAGTCTATCCGCCGGACTCATGCTCCTCTGGTGTCTGTATACCGTGGGGATGTCGCCGGTGATCACCAGCAAAGCGCGGCGGTGGGTGATTCAGCGGATGACGGATATCGGGAAGAATGCAGGGATCAGTTTTGCCTTGCATCTGGTCAAGGATCTGGTGCGGAGCGATGAATTATTAATTGACAGTCCATAGGGAGATCAGAAAAAGATATGAAGAACATTATAGGCCGCTTGTATAAACCCTACTTTACTCCTATTGATCGTCCATGAGTACTCTGTAGCATCTCTACCAACTTCTAAAGCCTACCTACTCTACTCTACTGGAGAGGTTCCAACAAGATAGAATCCTCGCCCAGTACTGCTCCGGATGCATCCTCATATGGCCGACATGCGGTGAACCATGGAACATCTCCAGGTCAGCCGAATAGCCCAGCTGTCTCACCCTGGCGACGTTCTCCTCCAGATCCTCCCACCAGATGATCTCGTCCTCCTTGGAATAGAGATACAGCCGATGAGCGTCGCGCAAGGTGATTGCATGGTCGTTGAGAACCCGCGTCGCCCACACCCCCGACGGCTCCGCGCCCCGGACACGCTCCCACGCCCAGTTCGACCACAGGAAGACGTACCACAGGGCCTGCGTGATGGCGACCGGCCAGGGGAAGTGCTTCGCAGTGCCCACGGCCATGGCGTGCGACCAGCGACCGACCTGGCTGGCGAAATCTAGACTGCCGGGCGTGGAGTCGCACACGATCAGTCGGTGAGGGAAGCGATGCTCTGCCCCGTGGCGTTGTTGGTAGGCCACCACTGTTGCCCCGGCGAAGATCCCGCCCGTGTTGGACATGACGTGGAGGAGGATGCGTTCCTCGCCGTTCCCACTGCCTGTCGGAGTAGGGAAGACCAGGTCGATGATGGGCATCATGGCGTGCACGCGCGATTCGAGCCCTTGGTTCGACGCCTGCAGGGTGCCTGATATCACCACGAGGATCCGCGCACAGGGGAACAGCTCGAGATAGCCGTCGGCATACTTGGAGACGTGTTTTGGCATCCCGTCGCCCCAGCCGAAGATGATGATCGATGTGGGTGCGTCGGGGGTGCTGTCTTGCATTGCTTGCATTGCTTGCATCTTGTCGTGGCCATCGCGGACATACACCCTGTCGGATAACGGGGTGAAGCCGGGGAATGGCAGTGGTTTGGGAGCCATGTCTAGTCTTGATAGAGTTGAATAAGACTACAATGAATGGTTTTTGAAAGAATAGCTAGACTTGTTGGGAGATTAGATAAGTTGTTGAGAATAGTGCTTACTAGTCTGATCTTATGCTTATGCAGAAGCTAATTATGCATATGCATATATTATATACTTACTAGTTATATACTACTTCTTTCTATTATATGAGCTAGTAGTCATGTCTAGGTAAGTATAATGATCATCTATTACTCAAAGGGAGCTCCAACTTACTATACTAAAACAGTATATTATAATCTTCTTATTACACTTTATTACATTATTAATCTAATCACTATATATTTACTTACTGTATACACTGCTTAGAATTATACTACTAGGAATATATATCTGTTCACTATATAAGAACTTGTATTCATGCTTTGTCCTGGTAGAATGTAACTATTAATTAATCTAATAATGGCACAGTAAAGAGTAAGATATATAAGCATCATGCATTTTATTTAAAAACTATAATATAGTCCTTCTACAAAACCTTATATAAACTAGATATTATTAATTCCAAGGGTTGACTGTCATTCAGGTCAAGTCTGCAGAGCCGATTTCGCAGCGGCTCACCGAATATCCAGAGACTAATCGATGGTGCAACCCACTAGATGGTATTAGCATCAGATAATAGTCTAGTCCAGCGACTCGTATTCACTGTGGCGTTAGGAGAATGAGACAGAATCACCTTCATATAGAGTATTCTCTCTATTCTTTCTCTCTATTCTTTCTCTCTATTCTTTCATCTTTCATCTTTCATCTATAGTATTCATCTATCATCTTCATATTTTAATAAGCTCCATTACTATAGTACCAACAGTGGAGTAGTTCCAGCATAGTACTCCGTGATATTGATATTTTAGCTCTTCTTGGCGTGGAATTCGCCTAGATTTTCTGTATAGAGTTAGTCGTTATCTGATCATCTGATAGTCCAACACTATAAAATCTCAGATGTCTACAGTCACTCCATTCCAATCTTCATCAATGATCACAGTGAGAGAATCGAAATGGCCGACTCTGAAGAGCCCCAAGTTTCCCCCCGCGTGCGATGGATGCTCTGGACGAGGTATTCTCTACTCTACCCTACTCCTATACTGATCGCTGATCGCTGATCGCTGATCGCTGATCGCTGATGATAGCTTCGCCCTGCTCTGCTACGTGCAAGGCGTGTCCGAGCTGACGCTGACCGTCTACCTGAGCACGGCGGCGGCGCTGTTCAACGGCTCGGTGCAGTACAGCACGATCAGCGTGGTGGAATCGATCATCAGCGGCGCGAGTAACCTGGTGTACGCGAAGATCGCGGACGTGTTCGGGCGCCCGCTGATGCTGGCGGGCTCGCTGCTGTTCTACATCCTGGGCGTGATTGTGCTGAGCAGCGCGCACAACATCGCGACGCTGTGCGTGGGCATCGTCTTGTACGCGTTCGGCAACACGGGCATCAGCTTCGCCATCTACCTCGTCACGGCGGATCTGGTGCCTGCGCGCTGGCGTTGCACCATCTCCAACGTCACCCTGCTGCCGTACGTGATCAACTTCGGCATCGCGTCCAAGATCACCGCCCGTCTGGTCCCTCTCCACTGGCGCTGGGGCATCGGCATGTTTGCCATTCTCGTGCCTGTCACCGCCGGCCCTCTCGCCGCCAGTCTGTACTTCTTCTCGCGCCAGTCCAACAAGACAAGTACACCGCCGAAACGCAGTCTCAACAAGACCGTCCGGGCGTTGTGGCAGCTGGATCCCCTGGGATTGTTGCTGGTCACGGTTGGCTTTGGTTTATTGTTGCTGCCGTTGACCATCGCCGACGAGGCCCCCCACGGCTACGCCAGCGGGTACATCATCGCCATGTTTGTGATCGGCGCCGTCTCGCTGCTGCTGTTCCCGGTGGCCGAGTGGTTCCTGGCGTTCCCCGCGATCAACCTGCGTCGCCTGGTCGCCTTGGGCAGCAGCGTGGATCTCCTGGTCGCCATCGCCATCGCCGTCGCCGACGCCATGTCCGTGATGATCAGTTACACGCCCGCCTACAACTGGGTGCGCGTCACCTTTGACTGGAACGTGCAGGACGCAACGTACTTCCTCGACGCCGCGTCGCTGAGCGTCGTCATCTTCGGCATCGTCGGCGGCTTCGTCGCCACCGTCACCGGCCGGTATAAATGGTTGACCGTGTTTGGCGGCGGCGTGCGCTTCCTCGCCCTGGGCCTCATGTACCGCTACCGCGGCGCCGGCTCGTCCACCTTCCAGATCGTGTTTCCCCAGGTCTTGCAGGGCCTCGGCGGTGCCGTCATGACCGCCAACCTGCTGGTCGCCTGCCAGATCGCCGTCCCGCACGCCGACGTCGCCATGGTCACCGGCCTGTTCGTCATGTGTGAGGGTGTCGCCGATGGTATCGGCAGTGCCATTGCCGGTGCCATCCAGGGCAAGCTCCTGGGCGAGCTGACGCGCAGCCTGAGCGCCGTGGGCGCCTCGGAAACCCTCATCCAGGCCATCTACGACGACGGCGTGCTCGCCCTGGCGGATTATCCCCTGGGCTCCACCATCCGCACGGCCACCATCGAGGCCTGGGAGCGCAACACGCACCAGCTCCTCATTGCCGCCCTCGTCATTGCCGGCGTCAACTTCCTGCTCTGTTTCTTCCTGCAGGACCGTAAGCTGCCGGACAAGCATAACTGCATTACCGACGAAAAGGCCGGTTTGCCAGTCTTGGATGATAGTATATAGATAGTATATACAAGTATATACAAGTACATAGTGTATAATCTCATCTATATCAACTTATCATGATATATATAAACAGGATAGAAAGTGTACGTGGGGCCCCACACCTCGGCTACAGCCGAGGCCGGGGTCTCTCCGAGCGGGGATAGAGTATATCTTCCATAGTTCTCATTCCTCATCTAGCTCTCATCTCATCTATTCTCATTTCTCATCAATACATCATGAGCAAGCAAATTATCCTCCACCTCGGAACCCCCGTGGAACACAATACAGCCCTGTACGAAAGGCTGGCGGCGCAGTTCACCATGATCCGCCCGTCGGTCGAGGAGCGCCAGCGCGAGGCGTTCAAAACCGCCTTGAAAGAACACCGCTGGGGCGATTTCCACGCCCTGATGCGTCCCTTCTGGAACAACGGCGGCGAAATGGGCAACTGGGATGAAGAGCTGATTGTTCTCCTCCCCCGGACGGTCAGGGTGTTTGCCAGTGCGGGTGCAGGGTATGACTGGGTCGACACCAAGGCATTGACAGAAAAAGGCAAGTATAGATGGATAGACTGCAAGTGATGAGTGATGTTAAGAGCATAGGCATCGTGTATTGCAACGGAGCAACCGCCTCGACAGAAGCAGTGGCCGACACGGCCATCTACCATATCATCAGCGTCTTCCGGAACCTGAACTGGTCGGCGATGGCTGCCCGGTCGTGCGACGCCGATCAATGGCGCGACGCACATGCCAACACGCAGCGCACGGCGTGGAACCCACAGGGCCATGTGCTGGGCATCATCGGTCTGGGAAACATCGGGTATCGGATTGCGCAAAAGGCGTACAGAGGCTTAGACATGAAGATCCATTACCATGACCTCTTCCGCAAGAGTCGCGAGGCAGAAACCGCCGTCGAGGCCGTCTACCATGCTACCAAGGAGGAACTGGTCGCTGTCGCCGACTGTGTGCTTCTTGCGACACCCTTCTCTGGAGAAGCCCTGGTGGATGCCGCCCTGCTCGCCAGGTTTAAGACTGGTGGCCGGCTGGTCAATATCGCTCGCGGGGGTCTGGTCGACGAGGACGCCCTGGTGGACGCCATCCACTCGGGGCAGTTGCTCGGCGCGGGACTTGACGTGCAGGCCACGGAGCCCTTTGTGAACCCGAAACTGGCGGCGCTGAAGTCTGTTGCGCTGACTAGCCATACGGCGGGGGGGGCCATGGAGACGCTGATCGGGTTCGAGCGGCTGGCAATGGAGAATGTGCAGCGGGTGTTGGGGGGGGAGAGTCCTTTGACGGCTGTAAATGGGCTGTCTAGATGACTGATGGGTATTCTCATCTATATAGTAGTACTTATACTATACTATTATACTAAATATACTATATTATACTGTTGATAGCTCAAGAACAGTCGGCTTCTCATCTTCCGGATCAAAAACATCGACCTGGTAGTTGGCAAAGTCCCTGGCAGCGATGCCCTTGGCAAACAGCAGGTTGATCTCCTCGTAGGAACGGTCCTTGGTCTCGGGCAGGCGGAAGTAGGCCCAGATAAAGGTGAAGAAGCAGGTGCCCGCCCAGACAAAGCCGGTGTAGCCGCGCAGGTTCCAGGCGGTGGGATTGATAAAGTAGGGCTCGAGCACGCCGACGACGACACTGACCAGGTAGTAGGCGTTGCGGGCGAGGACGACGGTCTTTTGGCGGAGGCGGGTGGAGCCGATCTCGGCGGGGAGAGCCCATCCCAGCTGGCCGACGGAGAGCTGGAAGACAACGGTCCAGACGAGAGTCAGGACGGCCTGGGCCATGCCGATCTGGTGCTCGCCCGTCTTGACGTTGAGGATGCCGATGAGCATGAGGATGACGAACATGAGGGCCGTGGACCACAGGTAGATGGTGCGACGGCCAAAGTAGGGCAGGACAAACAGCCAGCTGAGGTAGGAGGCGAACAGGGCGAGGGCGTTGCCGCCGACGTTGAGGTCGTAGATCTGGTTGGTGCCCAGGCCGACCTGCTGGAAGAAGTAGGTCGAGTTGTAGGCAAAGGCCATGCCGACAAAGTACTGCCCCATGAAGCACACGCAGGCGATCTCGGTGCGCCAGCGCTCGGTGCCCTGGAAGCACTGCCAGTACGAGGTCTGCACCTTCAGCTGCTCCTTCTCCTGGTTGTCGGTGTGGATGATGAGGGCGAGCGTGGTGTCGATCCGGGCGGCCGCAGCCTCGGCGTCGTCCCCCGCGCCGTGCAGCCGGGTGAGCGAGTGGCGGGCTTCCTCGATCCGCCCCTTGCGCACCAGATACCAGGGCGACTCGGGCGCAAAGCACAGGATGGGCACCAGCACACACGGCCAGAACCACTGGATGGCAAAGGGGATCTTGTACGACCACTTGGTCGGGTTGTCGACCAGGCCTGCCATGACGCCCGCCGCGATCAGCTGGCCCGTGATGAAACACATGTTCGTCCAGCTGGTCATGTAGACGCGCAGCTTCAGCGGCAGCACCTCCGAGGCATACGCCGGCGACAGCGTCGCGAAGATGCCCCAGGGGAAGCCGCAGAACAGCTCGCCGACCAGAAGCGTCGTGACGTTGGTCGAGAAGAAGACGATGAACAGGAAGGCGGTGAGGGCGACGAGGGCGCCCAGCAGGACGCGTTTCTGCCCAAAGCGGTCAACGAGGAACCCGTTGAGCAGCGCGCCGAGGAAGGCGCCGATGCCGGAGGAGTCGCCGATGCCGGCCTGCCAGGGGGCGGACACCTGCCAGGTCTTGTCGGCGGCGTCGTACGAGCCAAACTGTCTGGCAAAGGCCGGGTAGGCCATGAAGTTGCCCAGCAGGATGGTGTCGTAGCCCTCCATGATGACGCACAGCGAGACGACCAGCGCCCAGAAGACGGCGCGGCGGTGGTTCCGGATCGCCTGCCACGCTGTTTCCTGGTGCTCGGCCTCGTCGGCCTGTTTGGCCTGCGAGTTGAGCACGGTGCGGTCGACCTTGGGGGCTGCCTCGACGTCCATTATGGTGTGTCTAACTAGTTGACGGAGATGCCCCTTCTCTTCGATCGGGAACGACCAATTTATAGCCGTCTGCAGTAGATGCCTGGAAGAGGCCAGACCTCTACCCCACGGGGAAGGGATATCGGACTAGATGGCAGCGGTCTGATTGGACGCTCGGGAGAGGGGAAATACTCCACCGTACCGAGCGGTGGTGCTGGCTAGTCCTGCCTCGGACTAGCGTGGCCGGCCGGGGTAACCACGTAATCCCCGGCACAGATAAAGAGACGCCGGCCAAGAGGATGGCGTCGGGTCTGCTCGCGGGTTTGTACGGCGGCCATTGGTTGTGGATGTGTTGGGGTGTCTATATTCATGTTTATGTTTATATTACACGTCTGCAGGTGGTACTAGGTGGTACGTTACGGAGTACTCCGTACTATCCGATAACCAAGTAGAAGATCTATAGTATTAGTTATGTAGTACAGTACTAGTTAGTTACCTCGGAACTACCTAGTAGTTACTCTAGTTGTACTGCATACCTAGTATATTATACTAATCTAGGATCGGCTTTGCGCTCTTCTGATTGGTATAATGCATAGTAGATTAGCTGATGTCGTATATACCTGGTCTATGTCTATTGTCTCTTATTCCGTACTATCTCTTACTATCTCACTCTACTTTCCGAATATGCTCTTCCTCCTCTTCCTCACCTCCGTCGAGGCCCTACACAATGGCCTCTCTCGCACCCCAGCAATGGGATGGGTAGGTGATCTGCACATGTATTGATGAATATTACTCACAGTAATAGAACAACTGGAACTCGCTCTACTGCGACGTTTCCGAGAGTCTCCTTCTCGACACCTCGCAGATCTTAATTGACTCCGGCCTCCGCGATGTAGGATACCAATACGTCGTGCTGGACGACTGCTGGTCCGACGGCCGCGACGAAGCAGGTCGCTGGCGCGCCGATGCAGACAAATTCCCGCACGGCATGAAATACATTTCCGACTCGCTGCATGCCCGCGGTCTGCTGTACGGCATGTACTCTAGTGCAGGAGAGCTGACGTGTGGCCGATACGGTATGACCATCTGCTCACTGATGACGGCTGAATAGAAAACTAATACGAATGTTCAGCTGGCTCCCTTGACCATGAGAAAGAAGACGCCCAAAGTCTGGCCGACTGGGGCGTGGATTACTTCAAATACGACAACTGCTATAACCTCGGCCGCATGGGCACGGCAAAACTGTCGTTTGATCGATACAATACCATGGCGCAGGCTTTGCTCGACACCGGCCGAGAGATCGTCTACAGTATTTGCAACTGGGGGGAGGATTACGTCCATTCAGTGCGTACATCTATAGTGCACGCTATATTTCTATATGTTGACTGTTGATGCTTGTCAGTGGGGCATGTCGATTGCCAATTCATGGCGCATCTCAGGCGACATCTACGACTCCTTCGCCCGCCCAGACCCCATCTGCAGCTGCACCGATGAACGCGATCCGCACTGCATTGCCCCCGGATCCGCCTGCTCGGTCCTGTTCATCCTGAACCGTGTCGCGGCATACTCGGACCGTGGACGCCCGGGGGCATGGAACGATCTCGACATGTTGGAGGTTGGCCAGGGGGGGATGACGGATGAGGAGGTACTTTGATTCTCTACCATACCTTAACACTCGTGCTGATCGACAGTATAAAGCACATTTCTCCATGTGGGCAATGGTCAAATCGCCCCTCCTGCTCGGGCATGATCTCCGCACCATGACCGCCAAAACACTCAGCATCATCAACAACCCGGCCATCATCGCTCTGAACCAGGACCCGCTGGGATCGCCTGCTATCCGGATCGCGCGCAACGAATCCGTCCCCAAAGACGGGTTCGGCGTCGGTGAGACGCACGTCTGGTCCGGCACCCTCGCCAACGGCGACCAGGTCGTCGCCCTGCTCAACGCCGCCGACGCAGATCTCCCCATCTCCATCTCGCTGGAGGAGATCTTTGTGCGAGCCGGTCCCGGTGGACGAGCCGCCCAGACGAAACAGGAGTGGCTTGTTTATGATCTGTGGGCGAACCGGATGAGCGAGACGCATGCGCACGCAATTCTCGACGCCGCGGATGACGCTGCACGAGAGGCTGTCTTCCGGTCGGTCAACTGGTATAATGCCACAGAGCTTCCCTATGTGCAGGGTCTAAAGGCTGGAGATACCCGTCTGCTGGGTGAGAAGATTGGCTCGGTGCTCGCGGGGGGGAAGCTGGAGGCTCTTGTCGCTCGCCACAGTGCGAAGATCTTCCGTCTGCGGCCGGCCAGTGGCGAGGTCGTCAAGCCGTACATCCTAGGAAAGGATGAACTGTAGATTATCACGCAGAGTGATATACCAAAAATGTCTCTCAATGTATGAAATTATTATAACGCCTCCCGGCATAGTGTTCTAGTATATACAGGTGATACACAATGTACAAACGACCCTCTAGGTGGACTTCGGGCAGAGACGCCCGTTGGTGTTCCACGAGTAGGGCAGCGGGTCGGTGGTCTGGACCTCCCAGTCCTCGGCACCGACGGCGGTGAGGGCAAAGAAGAGACCGGTAGGGTCATACTCCTGTTTGAGAGCGTAGAGGCGCTCGTAGTTGGAGCCGTAGAAGGATTCCTGCAGGTTGGGCTCCAGTAGATCGCCCTCGCTCATGTAGGCGCCGGAGTCGGGGGCAATCTCACGCAGCACATCCATCCACTCGGTCACGAAAAGCGACAAGGTCTCAACCACGTCCCAGCTCGAGGTAAAGTTCCACTCGGATCCGACGATGACGTGCGTCAGGGTGTCGCGCCATGCGGGCAGCACGGCGTTGTCCGTGGGAGGGTCAACGGCGATACCAGTGCCACTGATGTGGAAGCCGGCAATGAACAGGCCCTATAGATATGAGCACTAGAAGAAAAATGAAAGGGCGGAGGAAAAGAAGAACTCATACCTGCTCAACGGCATCCCTGTAGGCCTCCCAGGTCTGTTTGAGGAGCTCGGTGCTCTGGAAGACCTTGCGGGGGAGCAGACGGGAGGCAGTCTTGACAAGATCGGTTCCGACGTATTCTTGGGGGAAAGCAGCAGACCAGGCGTCGTGGCTGAAAATTAGCTGACTTCACCATAATATAAAGGGGAAAAGGAAAAGGATGAAAAAAGACGTACAAGTTGTCGGCATGGTTGTACCACGGAGTATAGGTAACGTTAAGGTTGTCAAGAACCTTGAACCAAGGAGCCAGGAGGGCCTCGGTTTGGGCAACGGTCTTGCCCGGAGCAACAAAGGATTCCATGCGGAAGTAGTAGGCATGATCACCTGCATATTCGGTGCCAACCTCGTCAGAGTCGGCACCAATATAGTAGTAACCATAAGTGCCGGCATCGACAAAGGTCTCGAAGTTCTCAAGGTACGACTCAATAGCGGCCCAGAAGGCATCCGCACTCGGGGTGTCGCTGACGGTGAAGTTGAAGGTGACGGTAGTGGTCTCCAGCTGAGGCCAGGCCTTGACTGTCAGGGAGGTGACGACACCAATGGTGCTGCCACCGCCGCCACGGAGCATCCAGAAGACATCGGCGTTCTCCTTGGAGTCGGCAGTGATGAAGGTACCATCGGCCAGAACAACTAGACGTTTTAGTATTTTTCAACAAAGGCACACACACACACACACACACACACAGAGAGAGAGATTACCTTCCATGGCCAGGACCTGATCGGCCGCCATACCATACATGCTAGACAGAGGGGAGTGGCCACCACCGGCAGTGTAACCACCGCCCATACCGACGGTGACAGCCTCGCCGCCGACAAAGGTCTTGCCGATGGACTTGCCGAACTCATAAGCCTCCCAGACCTGGATACCGGAGCCGAACTTGGCGGCGGGACCAACGTAGCCGTTGGCGGCCGTGAAGGTGGGATAGTACTCCTTATCCTTCAGGTAGTGGGTCCAGACGGTAAGACCGCCCTTGCCGGAGGCCTTGCCGTTGAAGTCGTGGCCGGTGTTTTTGACTACAAGACGAAGGTTCAAGTTACGGGCGAAGTTGACGGCCAGCTGGATCTCAGCGACAGTGGAGATGTTGACGGCATAGGTGGGGTAGCCACCTTGCTCGCAGCTGTCGGTGTAGCTGTACGGAGAGGGCATGCAGGTACGGCCCTCATACAGGGGCAGCATGATGGAGGTCGGGTCGGCCATGTGCAGGTTGGAGGTGAGCCAGTCGGCGGTGATGGTCGCGCACTTGTCAGCATTGTAGTTGGGCCACTCCGGGTAGCAGTAGGAGGCCAGCGGCACCGCTTTGATCAGATTGCCTCCCACCAAGATATCGAAGAGGTCCCAAACGCGCTCGCTGGGCCACCCGGCATCCCCGGGCATCACCTTGCAGCTGTGTTTCACGTTGCTCCGCTTCTCCACGGTGGAGTCGGCGGAAGTAGAGTTGCTGCTGCTTCCAAACGCAAACAGGTCGGCAAGACTGTCGTTCTTCAGCGCCGCGCAGAGTTCCGCAAGCACCCCCTCCGTCAACTGCACCCGCTCATAGGGAAACAGCGAGGGCGCCCCCGAGGCGGCCGTGGCCGCCACGGTGGTCGCCGCCGCCGTCAGAGCCGAGCTCGACGACGACTGCGCGCGGGCAAGCGACGCGCCGGCGGCAATAGCCAGTCCCCAGACACCCTTCATCCTGCAGGTATACAAACAAGAGAATGGAAAGAAGAGGAGAGAGGATTTTGTCGAACTGGTCACGCAATGAGAACGGCAAAGATCTGCTATTTAAACCGGTCAGCGTCTGCTCCACCACGTGGCAGGGGAAGACTCATCAGCCCATCCAGCGAGCAGGGATAGAGAATAGTCTTACTAGCATTCAATAGTTGACCCGCCACCACACTCTACTGCCCGTTGTCGTGCAGAGGGAGGGAAGGGGGAGAGAGGGGGGAGGGGGGACAGAGGGGCCGTCAAGAGCCGTAGAAGCCCGTCAGCAGCATCCAACTCGCACAATAATACCCAGGTACCTAATACCCTGCTGCTAGGGCATTTCGCTGTGGCCAAGGTCCCCGGTACCTGCACCGGAGAACGGCGGAACTTGCCCCGTCGGGCGTAGGGCGCGCACCGGATCCCGCCTGGCCCAAAGTTTCCCTGGTTCCTTCCGCCTCGTCCCACACTGGGGCGAAGGACGAAGGACGAAAGGACGAAGGAATTAAAGCCTGGTCTGTCCGTGGTTCGTTCTGGACGACACGATATTGCGGCGAGGCGACACGTGGAGAGCAGTCGATGACTCCATGAGTTTGTTCTGCCGATCGCGGGATCTGTTTGCAGACACGGACAGATTTTTGCAGACTGCTTTTTGCGCTGAGTTTGGCCTCTCCTCCCCCCGAAATGAACCTCCACTCAATCTCACCAGCTGGACTGACAGTGGGACTGCCAAGCGTTCAGGTATTGCAGAGCCAAAGAAAAATGAGACAAGACCAGGGCGTCTTCCCTTGTTCCGGCTTCGGAACGCGGCCGTCAGCCGTCTCCCCTGCGCTAGAAGGATCCCGGTGTTTGGAGAGTGGGTTGCTCTGCTGGAGAGACCACTGGATACTATTAAGTAAGTACTCGGTGTAGTCAGTACTCACTCATTACTGCCAGCACCGAGTAACTGGCACTGACTGGAGTCCTGGACCGTGGATGGGATGAATCAGAAGAGGGCCCTCGAGTACCGTTGAGCAACAAGCTTTGCAAGTTCGCGCGCCGTGGAACTCTGACGAAGCAATAATGTAGCAATAATAACGCGAACCCGAGGCGGGGAACCTGTTGGTTATCAACGCACTCGGGGCGCTCTGAGATGATCTCTTTTTCTTTCCTCCACCCGCCCCTTCCCATCTCTCTACAACACAGCTCGTACTCGCATGGGAGAGAGTGTGCGAGAGAGAGAGAGAAAGAGAGATACAGGAAGCTCTACAGAGAGCAATGCGCTCTAGCGACAACCTGCAGGCGCAGGCCATCGGCCTGATCTTTGCCTTTCCTGCCGTTGCAACTGCCGCCGTGGCTCTGCGTATTTACAGTCGTACGCTGACGAGGACATTCGCAGCAGGTAAGTTCTGGTCTTCCTCTCACCCCCTCCCCCCCCCCTCGTCAGATTCCATGGCCTGACTGAGAATCATGTTAGATGATTGGGTCATTTTTGCCGCGATTGTGAGTTCCTTGCACGCTCAGACCTCAGATCTGGAGGATTAACAGATCGGCAGGTCCTATACTGGGCGGAGACTTTCACGTCATACAAAGGTACGATCAGCATAGCGAAGATATTTTTATTTCTCCCGATCAATATCAGTTGATGACGCTGACCGTGTTACCAGTAATCAAGTACATGTACATCGGATACAATGTCTGGGACATCCCCGATGATTATCCCATCGTTCTCGGCGATAAATACGCCTACGCGGTGCGCACAGAACAGAAGGGATTGGCGAAGATTCAGTCATGTACTAATCGATGAATACAGACCGAGCTCATCTACAATCCCATCCTGGCCCTCGTCAAAACCTCTATCCTGCTCTTCCTGCTTCGTCTGACCGGCCAGAAGAAAGCCGTGCGGCGGGCCATCTGGGCGCTGATCATCATCAACGGCGTCGCTGCCGTCATCACATTCCTTATCACTGTTTTCCATTGTGTTCCCATCGCCGCCAACTGGGATCCGGCCAACCATCCCAACGCAAAATGCCTCAACTTTGCCAACTTCGTCACCGGCACCGCCTCAGTCTCCATCTTTACCGACGCCCTCGTCTTGATGATGCCCACCTGGATCGTGTACAACCTGCAGATGCAACGGAACCAGAAGCTGATGCTGATCGGCATCCTGTCTTTTGGTCTCTTGTGAGTACCTGCCTGCTTCCTTTTCTCTCCATGTTATACTGACAAAAAAAGAACCGTTGCCGCAGGCATCATTCGCGTTATTCTCCTTGACAACTACGACCGGAACATTCCGACCAACTACACCCACTCTGTTCTCTTTTGCATGTCGACGATTGAAGTCGGCTTCTCGTTCGTCGCTGCGTGCGCCCCCTCATTCAAGCCACTCATTGCACGGGTCATCCCCAAGCTGTTCGGCGACTCATCGCGCCGGTACCGCAACGGCTCTGCCAGCGCTCGCGGCCGACTAGGCTACAACCTGGAGGACATGTCCAACTTCACCCGGCGCGGGCGCGACCAGAACGTGACGCTGGTGGAGGCCGGCGACGGCGAGCTCGGCTTCGGCCCGGCAAAGAAGGAGCCCAAGAACCTGATCACCATGACCACCCAGATGGAGGTGACCTGGGACCAGGCCAATCGCGAGGAGCAACACACCAGCAGTACGGAGAGTCTTGTTCATGCCAAGTAGGCGGGAAAGATTTCATCTGCAGTGCACTACATATTTTGCATCCTGTATATATTACATGAATTAGAGGTATAAAATACTGTCTTGGACAGTCTGTATAAAGTTGAGGCCAGGATTGACAGAAATCCATAGTGTTGCAGGGGTCCAAACCGGTCCGAAGCACTACTTCCGCTAGTCCAATTACTGCCTAGTGCCTAGCAATTAGACCAGGGTACATACGGCCCCACTACATACCTAATGCAGTTAGCATCGCCAAGAGAAGCAAAAGTTTAATAGTCGGAGTTCCACCGGGCCAGCTCCGAGACAAGACTGACCAATCAAGCTGGGCGGTGCTCCACACCGGCCGGATTACGGAGTAACTCCATAGACTCATTATTCAGTCAGTGAACCATGGTAGTAGTAGTTACTTTAAAGCTCCTACGTCTAGTCTCTGCCTCTATAGTATATTAATGTCACTCCGTCCCACGGAGCGATGCCCAATATAGTAAGATCTTCGATCATTTCTACCATCCCCCCCCCTATCCTAGTTGTCTAAAGACTTTCACATGTAAGATGTTGTCCTCTTACTACTTAGTCAACAGTCTAGACGTGAGATGAGTCTTGGGTCTTGACATTCCCCTGGCGTGTTCTATGCTATTCCATCTTCTTGGCGTTGCCGCTGAACTGCAACTAGTCGGCAGTACTGATTCGGAATTTCTTACTATATAGTCACCCAGTTTAGATGTCGCACAGTTTTCAAATTTACCTAACTAGAATGCAGGGTGCCTATAGATAATTAGAAAATACATCTCACTCTTAGCTCTATAACTGTATAACTACTTGAGATATAGAATTAAGATCAACTTATCAGTGTTCTAGAATTAGAATACATCTAAAGATACAGTGAAGGACCCACTGTGATCGAGAGTATATAATTCCAATCATTTATTCCAAGGCACTTGGCATAAGAGTACCTAGGTAGATAAATACTATACCCATAAGCCTGAGATTAGGACAAGTTGACAATCTGCAGGAGGGTCCATGGATTTTAATCCTTCTATGATTAGGTGTCTCTTATGGGTCTTATTGAGTGCTAGCTGATTGGGAAGAGGTAATCTGACAGCTGCAGGGATATTAGAATTCTTTAATAACCTTATTCTAGGACTATCTCATAGTTCTTAATTCTATATATATAGAAATATCTATATATATATATAAAGTGTATACTTTAGACTATAATCTAGGTAGTTGCTAGATAGATAGTTACTATGTAGTAGTCAATCTTTAGCTAAAGTTAGACTATTAGTCCATTCTAGATGTTTATGTCTAATTATTGTATTTTATGTAGAAGAATATTAATGGTATCCTTGCTAATTAATTGATGACATCATTTCTTCTCCATATTTCAGCCTCTTGTTGATGCTTCCTCCTATAATATCACCGACTATCAAGACGTCGTCCGATAAAAGTCCGAAAGGATCATATGAGAAGACAGAACCGTGCGGGGTACCATGGAGTGCGGAGTACATAATCCATCGTGTCTTCCTAGAATAATACCGTCAAGCTCTTTATTCTCCTTCCATCCTCCACGAAGATGAAGAATTCTGTCTGGGCTTCGCTGGCCGTCTTCGGGGCCGCTGCCTCAGGCTCGCTCCTCACGCCTCGCTCGACAATCCTCTACGAGAACCACGGCAACTGGACGGTAATTCTGCAGATTGAATAGACTCCTCCTCTATATTGACCATCAAATTATCAGGCCCACGGAGAAACGCCCAGTGCGATTCTCTTCCTGGATCCCGCCAGTGAGGCCGAGGCACGTGACATCTGCGCCAGGAACGGCGAGGAACTTCTCGACGCCTCTCACTTGGACGAGTATTTCTCCCTGTCTCCCTCCACTCCCTCCTCTCCCTCCTCTCCTAACGCACTGGCTAGGTTTTCCACCCCGCTACGCTACCAGACGTATCTGGGCAATCTCCTCCCAGACCAACCGCTGTGGCCGGTCTCTTCCTCGGCATCACGCTCGTCTTCCTCGGAACCGAAACGCCCCTTTATCTGCACCAACACGGCGCCCCTCGTCGACGCGGTAGAGACGGAGTTTTCCCTCTTCCCCAAGGTCAACGTGTCCAGCAATGGCACGACGTACATGGGCGTCCGCGACCATATGAGCTACCGGTTCCTGGGGATTCCCTTTGCCCTGCAGCCGGTGGGGGATTTGCGTCTTGCCTACCCGATCCAATGGTATACCAACGAGACGGATTACGTCTTGAATGCGACGACTTGTATGTATACCATCTCGCTGTTCTGAGCCATCGTAACGATTGATTAGATGGACCGACCTGTTCGACGAGCGGGGGGTATTTCGCCGGCAACTCGTACGGACTGAATCCATGGGGAAACTCGGAAGCTTGGTAGGTTTTTCTAATTCTCCCCCCTCCTTTTTTTCTTTCTCATTTTAACCATTTTTCTAGCCTCTTGATGAACATCTTCACTCCCTATCTCCCCGGCGAGACCCCCCAGAGCGAGACGCTCAAACCGGTGCTATTCTGGCTACATGGCGGCGGAGGAACTGCAACAGACGCTACGTATGATGGAGCGAGTCTGACCTCGCGGTCTGATGTTATTCTTGTCAGCGTCAACTGGCGGCAAGGAAATTTCGGTGAATCTCCAATCTTCCTCTCCATTTCCTGTCTCGCCATATGCTGATTGACAGGCGCTCTCTCCTTCGACGACGGCTACGTGGATGGAAACTACGGCATTGCGGATATCGTGTCAGGTCTGCAATGGGTGCACGACCATATCGCCCAGTTTGGCGGCGACCCGGAACGAGTCACCGTCTTCGGCCAGAGCGCAGGCGGCGAGAGCGTCATGGATATCGTCCGCTGTCCTAAAGCCGCGGGGCTCTTCTCGGGTGCTATCATCCAGAGCGGCGCGTTAGGCCCGGCTGTTACCCAGGCCGAGGTGGTGAATGTGACAGGTATGCTGACCTGTTGTTTTAAGTATATTCCTTTTGTCTTTGTCTTCATATTAATGTTTTATAGTCCCTGCTGTGGCTGCGGTTTGCGGTGACGCAGTAGGCGCAGAACGACTGGGATGTCTCCGCAACTTGACCGTCGACGAGTTTATGAATAACATCAGCTGGTCGATTGGCGACGGGTACGCCAATATCGACTCCGGGGCGATCGTGGATGGCATCTGGATCGCCAACCAGTCGGTCGCCGCGGCGCAGAACGGCCAGTTGAATCGTATCAACTACATGGCTGGCGGAATGCCTGAAGAGGGCGAATCGTAAGTTTGTTTGTTGCTTATCTATTACGATGGCTATTTACTCATTGGCAGACTTCTTGGAACCGCCCTTTTGCCGAACGCTACAGACTTCAATACCACGCTGTACTCGCTGGTCGGCACGGATTATTACCCTCTGGAATGGGCGGAGCTCGTCGAAGAATCGGGTCTCTGGAATAACGGCTCCAATGAAATCAATCCTTGTAAGCCTTTTTACTCTACATTAGAATGTTGATTTCAAACTCATTGATTTACGCATTGCAGATAACAACACGATCAATGTCTTTACCACCGTCCATCTGACCTGTCCCGGTGAACAGTTCATCAAGGCAGCCTTTGAAGCGGACGCTCTGCAATCCTAGTAAGTTCTTCATCTTTACTAAACCGCCAAGATCAAAACTAATCTGCCAAGCTACTACTACAATAATCTCCGCGCGTATGCTCTCTCCTACTTCGATCCCTACGATCTATGCACCTTCCCCGTGGGAACCGAGCAACCGTACTACCGCTGCCACTCGGGCGATCTCTACCAGGTGTTCGGCAGCTATTACATCTTCGACCAGCCCATCCGTGCGCCGGAGGATATCGGCCACACGAACCTCCAGCAGGACTTGTGGGGGGCCTTTGCCCGCACGGGCGATCCGAATCCCGAGCGGGAATATCTCCGCGCGCGCGGCTATCACGATGCCCTCGCCCTGAGGGACGAGTTCTTCTGGGAGCAGTACCAGGGTGGCGAGGCTGCTAACTTGGATTTCCCGAGTCCGTATATGAGTGCGTTGCCGTGGTTGGACAAGTGCCAGGTTGTTGAGGAGCTGTACCAGCTACCTTAGACACTCGAGAGGAAGATCAGCTTTGAATGAGGCATTTGATGTGGAATAGCGTTTGTGATTGAGTACCTAATTATCACGACTTATAATTAATTCAGTATCATAGGTAGAGCGAGCTCTTCCATTCATTCCTCAAAGCAGCCAGGCACCGAGTAGAACAAGGAGTCCTCCCACGCCGGCACCAACTCCCACCCCAATCTTGGTCCCCTCTGATGCTTTCTTATCAGAAGATGATGACTGGTTAGCCGAGATACCGGAACATGCAGACTCTCCGTCGTTGGCGAGATGTGTACGATTGACTGCCTGATAGTAACCGGTGCAGTTGACCTGCGTGCTAGAAGTGATGGAAATAGAGTCGACCGATTCAAGGACAGGAAAATGAACACTGGAAGGAAAGTTTAGTATATCATACAATTACAGTACCAGCGGACTCATACTCGGTTATCTCCCCCGTCAACACGATCTTGCCCGCTCGGACGAGATGGGTGAAGTTGAGGCTCAATGGCGCAGAGGGCTCAATCTGGATTGTTGCGTTGGTTGCTTCCACGAGCGAAGGGAGTTCAATGCTGTTTGGTCAGCGCTGACTCCTATCTTTCAAGCATCTCGACAGTACCTGCTGAAATTCCCCTGTAGATTCAACATGCTCCCAGCTTCTTTCAAGCGTGGAAGAGTGAGATCGATTGCGTCGCCGGAAATGCCAATTTCGATCGAATCCTGCACAGAATCTAGCGCCGGCAGGGAGATCCTATCAATAAGTTTGTGCTGTCTGTTGCGCTGAACGCGACTTGACTCACCTAGATAAAGATCCGGTGATGCTGAGTTCGCTTGCGTAGCGCAAGGCGGGCAGGTCGACGGCAAAGGCATCGGATGAATCGCCATTCGTGAGCTGAAGGAACACAGTCACGTTTTCGAGCTTTGCCATATTCACCCTGCCAGATTTAACCCAATTTTCCTTTTTCACTGGAGGAGGGCTGTTTCATTCGAACCACTCACTGCAACGAGTGCCCGGCAATCTCTAAAACTGCTGCGGAGCTCACCTCGGGCAAGTCTACTGTCAGAACCGTGCTGCTATCCTCTCGAAGGGACGTGATGGTTGACAGATTGGGCGCAGATATGTTTCGAAAATTCGTCATCCCAGAGAAATCCAAACTGGAGCACTCCACCGCGTCCGGCAACAGGATCTCTGTCACATTGGGTGTCCCATCGCCGCTCGAGCCAATTTCTCCAGAGAAGTGCGTGACGTTCGCAAAGTCCACGACCCCGTCATACGACTCGCCGATGACAATATTGCGTCCGAAAGACGAGCACCCGGCGAGAGCTGCGTCGAGCTCCGTCTGGTCGCTCACCACGACGTAGGAGCCGGTCGAGCAATTGTTAGCCGCGACGGAGAGTATCATGGCAGCGATGGCAAGAAGCAGGGAGCTTTGTGAGCACATGTTGACTGAGAGATGAGATGAGAGAGATGAGAAGAGATGAGAGATAAACTCCCTGTCTATTCAAGGGAACCGCCAGGATTCAGGAGTCCTCGTGTCACATGCTGACAACGCTAGACCCGACAGGGACCCAACAGAAAGACCGAGTGCCTTTTCTTCTTTTCTCCTTTCTTTCTTTCTTCTCTCAGTACTCGGTAATATTATGAAAAACCAGGGGAACCTGGCAGTACAGCTCGGCGCAATCCTATGAGATTACATTAAAATTTAGATAAAGTGTCAATATCAATATTAGTTGACAGATAATAACTGATACTTGATGGGAGGGGTTTATTTTAGTCAGTTTTTACCCTACCTTTTGGACCCCTACTGTATAACTAATAATAGTTAGTTACTAGTTATATTAACTAATTTAAGCTATGCTGATCCATAATAAATCTACCTTAGTATTAGACCCTTTCTGTGGGGAATCAGGATTACTAAGTGAAGAGAGAAATATATAAACTATTGAATAGAGTATTTATTATAATATAAGATATCAAGTATAATATCTTCACTGCCTGCTATAATGAGCACTGCCTTCTTAATTTAGTATGTCTTACTTTCGGTTATAGATATTAGTATTATTGATGAAGTGAAAGACAAGCCTACTATTCTAATCATAAAAATAGAAAAGAGCCTTCTATTTCAATGAATTAGAATATCATTCTTATAATAATAATACATGTATTCTCGTATTCCTGCAGGCGATGCTGGAAGGCTGTACAGTGGTCATTCTCACGTCAGCTCGTATAACAGAAGTTACTGGCTTTCCATCACTCTTACGCCTCGATCGAGGTTCCTTTAAAAGCACAGAGTTCGCTGGTAGGAGAAAAAGAAAATACCAAATATCCCTTTGCTACCAACCCACCAACATGAAGCTCTCCATAATCCTCGGTGGCCTGGCTATTACCCTGTCGACTGCCGCTCCCCTCGCCCCGAGAGTCGTGGACTACAGTCCCTTCCCTCTGGCAGATGGCTTTCCCAACCCCTCGCAGGAGCAGATCGAGGCAATCCAGCAGCAGGCCCTGGGGACGCTGCCGAACAGTCCTCCGCCGCCGACCATCAGTGCAGAGGGGATCACCAATCTGCAACTGATTGCGCTGAACGAGATCTTCGAGGTTGCCTTCTTCACCGAGCTGCTGGCCAATGTGACCACCGGCTGTCCGGGATTCGAGCTGGACGAGACTGAAAAGGAACAGTTGGTGGAGATTCTGACGGCGGTGCAGGCTGTAAGAGGACATTCCATCATGACCTGATCTTGTTATGTTACTGAGTATTGTAGCAAGAGCAACTCCATGCCCTCTCCGCCAATACAGCCTTGAAAAACTTCAATGTCGCCGAAATCCTCCCCTGCGAATACAATTTCCGCGTGTCGAACCTCTCCTCCGCTCTCACCCTAGCCAGCACCTTCACCTCGCTCGTGCTGGGAACCCTGCAGGACGTGATCGAGGTGTTTGCAGAGAACGGCGATGCGGCCCTGGCAGCTCAGCTGTCCTCAGTGGTCGGACAAGAAGGCGAACAGCAGGGTTTCTATCGTTTCCAACAGGGGAAGATCCCCAGCGAGCTGCCCTTTTTAACGGTAGCGACGCGGGAGTTCGCCTTCAACGCGCTGATCCAGCAGTTCATCGTTCCCGGCTCGTGTCCGAATATCAATACTATCAACATCCCGCAAGTCGGGCCCTTGAACCTCATTGCTGGACCGGATATCGCCCAGAATATATCCACCGTTCAGTTCGAGTTCACCCTGAGCGGTCAAGAGGAAGCCACCGAAGTGGCAGCAGAGGAGCTCAAGCTGGCATACGTGAACCAGCAGAATGTCCCGATCGTGGAAGATCTGCAGATCCTGAGTATCGAGGGCCAAACGGTGCTCGTTCAGGCTCCGTTTCCGTACCGCGAGTACCTCATGAACGGACTGACTGTCGCGGCCATTGTGGAGGGAAAGCAGTTCGCAACGGCGCAGGATGTGTCGAAAGCGATGGAGTTTGGACCGGCGTTGATTATTATCAACTGAAAAAAGGTGATCTTCTTAGTATTGCTATTAATTCAATGGTTTATGAGACCTGCGTCGCAGAATGATAGGAGGTATTGCTAATCGACCACGTAACGGCTAGATTCGATATTGAGAGTTCCATTATATCTTCTAGATTAGTAGGATGGGCAGTTCTGCGAAGAATAGTTATCTTAATCAATATAATAGTTTGTGTACAGCGTCATAAATCGTCTGCTGGTAGTCTTTGAAGTTGTTCCTGGATCTGGTGGAACGGCATAAATCGGAGCCAAACATGGTCCCTTTCTTGCATGCCGATGGGCAAGAGTGATTTCCATCTTGCTGGAGAGCCAAGAAGAAACACATCGAGTAGATGTAGCCAGTCTTCCGGACTGTCCCTGTACATCCCTGGAGAATGTGCGTGTCTAGTTCCCAGCTCGAGAGACAGATCAGCGTGTACCCCTGTCTCGGCCTTTGCCAGAAGGTAATAAATCCTGCCAAAGAACGAACTCTCGTCTGGGTCAAATGCTGCAAGAACGTGAGGCATACCGTTGATGCCCGAGCTTCCTCTCAGCATGATGGCATCCCATCGAGCCCACGCAACACACGACCAGTACAGAATCGGCCTGGGAGATTGGGCACGGTTGAAACCCAGGATCGATGCCATTCGAAGGGCAGAGGACACCATGATGGAGCGCTGGCTGAAGCCTGGACACGCGAGGAGAAGCAATAACGCCTGCAAAGTAGATATGCTGGGTAGGGATAAGAGGTCTTCGGCGTCAAAGCACTGATGGATCGATTCCGTGACCTGAGTGATAAAGATCGAGTTCACGACCGGCAGAGATAGAGCTGAGAGCAGACAGATGGCGCGAACAAGTAGTGGAGACGCAAAGGGTTGATGGTTCAGATCGGACGGAACGACAACTTGCCATAGCGGAGCAACCACATCAAAGTATCTATTTGAAGGGTCAATAAAGAGATTCCCCGAACATGAAATGAACTAACCGGTCTATCAGCTTTGACGTATCTTCATAAAGACTAGGATGAACGTCCAAGGAGTATTTCCGCTTGATTTCTGCCTCGTTACCGGGGCTCTCCTCATTCAAGGCCTCATTCGGGGAAGACGTTGACATTGAAAGGGTGCAGGGCAATTCTCGTCGTTTACAAGATATGCATGGAATGCCACCTTCGCATCTGCAGGGATATTAGCTATCAATTCCTCTAATTGATTGTCAGGACATGCCTTTTCTTTGCTGTCCTGCATTGACTGCACGCTGTCGAGGCTGCCGCCCGGAGTCGTTTGGGGGGGCGATGATCCATTATTCATGGAGGAATCAACAAAGAGTATGCACATTGACTCGATCTACCGCCAGTGGACGCGCCATCAGGTCTTCTCGATGTCGTGAGAAACTTGGATTCAGCCGCTTCAAAGAGTTGACGTCGGGGGGACCTATCAGGTGACTACAAGAGCCCTAGCCCTAATCATGTGACCAGACAGCAGCCATCAGCAGCGCGACGACTTCAATTGCTCCCCTCCCACGACACACACAATTCATCATCCGACGATGGGCACAGGGAGATCGGTTCAACGCAAGCAGCCCCGCTGTAATGATGAGAGGCAAAGAAACATGTGACTCCTGCTCCAAGTACGATCCCCCCCTGCGTCGTGTGAGGAGACTGAGCAAGACTGACGGAAGAGACAGACTCAGGGTCAAATGCCACTGGGAAAGCACGGATATCAGCCTGCGGTGTCGCCGATGTAGCGAGTACGGCCTGGATTGCGTCTTCAATGGGATTCCCTGGACATCCAGCTCGACGAGCATCTTCCAGAGCTCGGCGCCAGATACCAGCACGCGGAGTATCTACTGGGGTCCTTCTTCCAATGCGGGCGGGCATCCGTTGGATCTGCATTCTTCACGGGCGCCGCTGTCCACGCCAGATGTGACGACATCAAACCAGATGGTCCCGTCTTTGAACCCGAGTTTCACGGACAGCTCCACTGCGAAAGGAACTATTCGTCTGGACATCAGCCCCCGAGTGAGAGACCATCTGTTCGGCATCTTCTTCGAATCCATTCAGCCGGCGTGGCCGGTGGTTACAAAGGACAGTCTGGTGCGGTATCCGCCCACTGTGCTTCTCGAGGCGGCAATCCTCGGCGTAGCAGCCAGACATCACACGGCGATTGCCTCGTGGCGAGACTTTGCACACTTGCAGGATGTGATTGACAGCGAGGTGCGAGCCTTGTTTGGCCTTCGGTGTGCCTATGAACCGTCTATTCAGACACTACAAGCGCTGCTCCTTCTGTCTCTTCGCGTCGAGCTTTGCTCTAGGAGCCACCGAGATTTCCAGCGATTTTCCTTCCGGGTCTCGTTTGCATGCAGGATGGCTCAAGACTTGAAATGTCACTTACCGGAGTCGACAGGTAACGGTGGCCCGGAAGAAGCTCTACGGAAGACGCTGTGGGCGGCGTGCATCTTCATGGACTCCTACTTCTCCGCGGTGTTGGGCCAGGATATGAACATCAGCAGAGCGCATGATGACGACTTTTCCCTATCGCGAGGGCCAGCGCAACCTGGTTTCTTCCGCACTGCTGTCGGGTTCATGGCGTGTCTACGCCCTGTGCTGCGGATGGGATATTCGGTCCTCCCTCACAGGGACAGCACGCTTTACCAGGAAGCGACTGCGAATCTAAGCACCATTCAGTGGCACCAGCAGTACCTAGAGACGCACAAGGGAGCCTATAGCGAGTACGAATTCAGATTCCTGCAGATGATGCATTCCAACACCCATTTACTGTTCATCTTGGGGCTGCGTCTGGCCACCACACCAGGGGACCCCTATCAGGACAAAATCCAGGCGATAGTCGGCAGCCAAACAAGCTGGGTGGTTATCCAGGCGTGCCAGACGCTCGAGTGGTCGACACCCGAACTGATGCACTCCATCCCCGGCCAGTTGCTTGTGACGCTGTACAGCACCACGCGCGCGCTGATGGTCGTGGTGGACGTGTTGCGCGACAGGAACTGCGAGACAGCCTTCTCGGAGTCGGTGGTGCGATGTCTGCGCGGGGCGGTCGTCAGCGCGAGGGCATTCATGGAGTTCCTCGCCTTGGACAAGACGTGGGGGAAACACTGGACACAGACACATACGCTCAAGGCGGTCTTTGCAAGACTCGACTGCGACTCGCCGGTGGACGAAACCGTGCCCTTGCTGTCGTCTTTGCCCGGTATGGAACCGCCATCTCTCGAGACAGCCACGGCAGAGAGAGATGCCTATGAGTATGTCGACTGGGACGGCTTCGAAGGCGATTTCAGCAACGTGATTCTCAACCCGGCGGATTGGGAGGATTTCTTCGCACAGTACGATCAGGGTTTGAACCTTTCTCTACCTGAATACCAGTCTTGAGCCCACAGAAAAAGAAAGTATCTATACATTTCAAGAAACAAGTCTTTAGTTATACATGGGGAACGATGGCCTCCTTCTCTTCCCCAACATGCTCGATTTGATCGACATCCACCTCCGTCTTCGCCATATCCGGCTGCACACCCTGGCAGACGTACGTGGGGAAATCTTTGATGGAAACACCCTGTACAGTTAGTATTATATCATGGTCATCTGGGACGAGTGGGAAACATACATTCGCGAACATTTCGTCCAGTTCTTCCAGGGATCGTCCCTTGGTCTCTGGGACCATGATGAAGGCCCAGATCAAGCCAATCAGACAGGTTGAGCCGAAAATGAAGCCGACCTATTAGTTCATTAGCAATGGTTTCTATATTTACAAGAGAATGGGAAGATACCTTTGCTCCGAGATCTGCCGCACTGGTGTTGATGAGATACGGCAGGATGATCTGAATAATAAGGGTGCTCATCCAGTTGGTGGTGGTGGCAACACTCTGCGTCTTGGACCGGAGGGCATTGGAAGAGATCTCCGAAGTGACGACCCAGGCGACAGGACCCCAAGCCCACGAGAAGGCGAACCCATACAGACAGCAGAAGGCGACGAGACAGCGTCCGGCGGCGACGCTGTTGGGCAAAGCGGTGCCGATGATCGCCACCAGGAAGATACTGATGGTCTGGACGGCGCCGCCCCAGAGGAGCATCGTGCGTCGGCCGAGATAGTGTACGCTGGGGAACATGACGAGGATTCCTGCGAGCTGGCAGGCTTGCGTGATGACGGTCACGAGGAAGGAGTCCGTGATGCCAGACGTGGTATAGAAGTATGTTCCATAGCTATGCCAGATAATGTCAGGTGAAGGGACGACAATGGTGGCATGGACAGAACTTACGTCGTGATGAAGGAGATACCGGTCCAGACCTGGAACAGCATGAGACCGCAAGCGATATGGGTGCGACGCAGATCGGTCCCCTTGAAGATATCCCAGTACGAGCTGGTCTCATCGGCAGCCCGCTCAGCCGCGAGGTGCTGCGAGATGTTGTCAATCTCCTCCACGATCTGGCCCTCGGCATACTTCTTGCCGCGCAGGCGACGGATGGATCTGGCGGCCTTCTCACGACGATCGACGGAGAGCAGCCAGCGCGGCGTCTCGGGGAGGAGGAAGACGAGCAGCGCGACGATAACGGGGAACACCATCTGGGTGATCAGGGGGATACGCCAGGCCCAGTCCGAGGACATGGTGTATGTTCCCTCCATGATACACGCACCGGCGAACTGGCCGATGTTGATGCCTGCCTGGTACAGACCGACAAGCATACCGCGCAGATGGGTCGGAGAGACTTCGGCCTGGTAGACGGGGACGAAGTTCGAAGCGAAACCGATGCCGGCTGTGATGATTAGCAAGAGCCTTATTTTCCTGAACTAGTCACACGAAAAGAAAGGGTATTACCTCCGCTAATGATACGACCGACGTACATGGTCCCGATGTGAGTCGAACAGGCCTGGAGAATAGGCCCGACCAGTCCACAGAGACCACAGCACAGGAGACCAACGCGTCGGCCATAACGAGTACCGATAGGTCCAGCGACGAAGCAGGCCAGCACGGAGCCGACCAGCATGAGGAGGTTGATAGCCAGCTGGACCGGAGTGGCGATGTTGTACGCGTCCGTTTTCGTGTCCCAGTATCCGAAATCCTTGAGGAAGCTGAGACGACGCAGTCAGTATAGTTCCTTTCACCTGTCAATAGCCACATGGCAACGACTCCTTCTTACCTGGTCATCGACATGAAGCCTCCGATTTCACCAGAGTCAATGCCGTACAGCAACGACCCGCACATGACAAAGATACAGATCAAGACGATCCGGGCCATGTTGCCCTGGTCCTCGGATGCCATTGTGAGTCAGTGAGAAACGGCCTTGACGGGTATCGACAAACTGATGATCTCGATGGAATATTCCACGGGCACACTGGAAACAAGTCAGACAGAGTCTGCCGTATTTATATATTCGCCCAGTCTGGCCCCCGGCCAGTCCACGCGTCCCCGCAAGCTGGAGAGTTGGGGAAAAAAACTGGTCGAGTGGGTAAAAGACTTGCCCGACATGGCGGTTTTCTCCACACTCGGAATCGGTCGGCTCACGACAATTGATGGAGGTGGTGGTGAATCTTCTTATTAAGAGTCTGTGCAATTGTTGGCTAGCATATCGATGTCTGTAAGTATCTCTTTCTTTCCGTCTATAGCTTTCTCCTCCCCCATTGAAAGTCCTATTGTCGTTTGGATTCATTTCGTTGCCGATTTGGAGGGTTAAATCCGAGCCGGTTCGGCGGCGGCCAGCCGCCCGGGTCGCCGCCGACGAGCCGACAAACGTTTTCCCGGGGCGTTGCGAAGCGAGAGATCCAAGAAAACAAAAGAAAAAAGGAGGATAGCCTCACTGACATGCTTTGACACTATCGCGAACAGACTCGAAATGGCCTCTCGCACCCCCATCACCATCGACAATAAAGGCGAAGGCCGCAGCGTGGAGATCGGAAAGCTGCGACTGCACGGCTTCACCTCGACCCACGGCGTGGCCAATTTCCTCAACGTGCCCTTTGCGACGATTCCTGCGCGATTCAAGACGGCCAAACTGCTCGATCCCACGACGTTGAATGGCGACCTCGACGCAAGCCAGTACGGGCCGCGGTGCCCGCAGCCGGCCGACCCGATCCATATCATCATGCACAACATGTTCGAGGTGCAGTCGATGGAACAATACAGCAGCGAGCTCGACTGTCTGCATGTGAACATTTATGCGCCAGCGGACTTTGAGTCGGGGAAGAAGTTGCCTGTGTTTGTGTATATCCATGGGGGGGCGTTCAACTGCGGCGACAACACGACCGAGTTTGGTAGGCTACTACTTGATTCGTGGGTTTGGCCTTGTTCAAAACTAATAAGAAATAGATGGAAACCATCTCGTGAAGCGGTCGATAGAGCTAGGCCGACCGATTGTCGTGGTGACGATCAACTACCGACTGAACGTGCTCGGGTTCCTGACGTCTCGCGAACTGATCGCCGAAGCGGAATCAGCAGGCGAGCGCGCGGTGGCCAACCAGGGCCTGAACGACCAGAAGCTGGCTCTGCAATGGATCCAGCGGAACATCCACCACTTTGGCGGCGACGGACACCGCGTCACCCTCTCGGGCGAGTCGTGCGGTGCGGCCTCGGTGGTCTGCCAGCTGAAGAACACCGAGCCCTTATTCCACCAGGTGATCATCCAGTCGACCCCGTTGCCCAGGCTGCGCACCCTCGACGAAGCCCAGCAGGTATTCGACACGCTGGTCCGTACGGCGGGCGTCTCCCTTTCGGCGCCCGGACCCGTCAAGCTGGCTGCCGTGCGCAGTCTGCCCGCTGCGACGCTGATCGACGCGGTCGATCTGGCGGGTCCGTCGTTTCCGATCGAAGACGCCGATTTCTTCCCGGGATACAACACCACCATCGATGCAGTGGAGTACTGGTCTCGCGTGCCGTCGTACTGTCGCCGAGTAATCATCGGCCACACCAAGGACGAAGGGGCGTTATTCTTCGTCCCCCCGTTGGACGGTCTGACGAGCGAGAAGCTGACGAACATCATCTCGTGTCTGAACCCGGACCCGAAATTCACCTCTGCGCTACTCGACTCGCAGCTGTTCACCTCCGCAACGTCCCCGATGCGCGCCCTGGTCGCTTTCGGCACGCGGTCTGTCTTCCAGCGTCCGGTGATGGAGCTGGCGGCTGCCATGGCCACCCGGGACAACGCTCAGCAGGTATACGTGTACGGGATCGATGCGACGGATCCGTTCCCCGGTCCGTTACACGGGTATTCGTGGCATTCGTTCGGGGTGCCGATCATGTTCTACCAGCCTGCATGCCAGAAACACGCCGAGCTGAAAGCCACGGCGGACCGAATGAGCGAGATCTACCTTGGGTTCTTCCATGGCGAGGAACCGTGGGAGGGATATGCCGTTGCCCAGCGCAAGTGGACGTGGAAGGGGGAACAGTCCGGCATGGTCACGCCGGAAGATCTCACGGACGAAGCCTTGGTCGCTTTACAAGGGGACCAGGAGTTAACGGAGGCGTATCTGCTTAAGAGGGAAAGACTGCTTGAATCGGTATTAGGCTGTGTATGTTAATGAGATATAGAAAGAAATATTATCTTGTATACTACTTGGAAGTTATACGCACCAGATCTGCATTGCTGAGGGTCTCCTTCTCGAACCCATTCACCACCTGGCAGTCTCTACTCGGTCGATGTGCGGTAGACCTGGTATCTCTCTCCTTTCTCTATCCGGGGCATCGATGAGTCCAGGCTTGACGACACACACTTCGACGTGATCTTCTCGGCTATATTTGAGGATAAGAGTTTCCGCTTCGCCCTGTGTATTTGTCAGTATATAATAGTTATAATTCTTCCCTTTCTTAAGGTTACTCCCGTGGTAACCCATAGTTGATCAACCCATGGTCGCGAAGAGTACTCGGCACCTCCTCCCAACTCTGCGGTGCAAAATGGCCGCTCATGTAGACGAAAAGAAGTCCACTGAGAGCCTGGATAGCTGTCATGGCGTAGTCGCGGGAACATTTGCATGTTTCTTCGAATGGGAGGGTGGGAAGCTTATCAGCGTCACGGCGATTGTCCTAGAATAGTCAGAATAGGCAGAATGTTCTTCATTTCTTTTTCCTTGCATGTAGCTACCATGTAAAAGCTCCACATCGTGTAGCTCCTCTTTCACACTGTCAGGGTATCTCTCAAAGTCATCGCAGACAACTGACTTGAGCTTGGCTGTCCCTGCCCGCGGTGGTGTAGGATCTCGCGTCGGCCAAGAGCAACGATGGAGGTGATGGCGGGGTGCTTGAGAGCTTGAGAGATTGACTCGGTGGCGACAAAACCGGCTGAACCGCTGATGACAAGCTTCATGATGAGGAGCAGTGATGTGAAGATGAAGAAGAGATGAGGGGAATGAGGGGTGGCTGCCTTATAAAATAGGCATTAAGAGTTTTATCTAGCCTTCATGGGAGGGATGCCTTAGGCTGCAATTGACTATGGCTACAATACATTCAAGACAGTCTATAATTACTATACCCTCATCAAAAAGGTATTTTTTTTGGATATACAATCCACTAACCAACTGACTGAGTATGCCACAGGCTAGACAACTGAGATATGAAAGCACCAATAATGTCTCGACACGTCAAGAGCTGGGATTGCTGTTCGTAATCATCGCCACCATGATGGCTGCGAAGCTATTCCGATGAGCTTCTCAATCCTAAAAGAATAGTCTATAAGAAGAGTAAAACTTACGCAGTGCCCATGGCGAACATGTCGACTCTTTTACTGGTAGCCATCAGCCCTGTGATGAGGACAAACAGCAAATTATAGATCAAGATGACGATGAGAGAAGCAAGCGTTTTGTGGCGGAGGAAATACATAAGGATCATCGCCGAAGCAGGGAGGACGCCAGACAGCAACAGAGTGAGAAAATACGTGGCGGTTCTGATGCGTTGGCCGTCGATGAAGTAGGCCTCTACCTCTGGATCTTGTTTCTGCATTGATTTAGTTAAATCAGCAGGAATTTTCACGACCAGTGATGATTTACCATCATTTTATGCCCCCATCGCTGATGAAACCATGGTATCAGATGAGAGAACACCCATCGTGTGAAACGGTCAGTGTCTTTGTGCTGGCTGCAAAGTGCTACCAGATCTTTGACATTTTCACCCTGCCACTGGCCATGGGGCGAGAAAGGGATGGACATATTCATGGCCTCCTCCCAATCCATCCAGCGCTGGAAGGCCTGCAAGTCACTCTTCTCAGGGGGGGCGAGCCGGAGCATCTGTGCGTGTTGCAGGAGAGCATTATCTGGTGGTCAGCTTGTATGGATAAATGAATGAATAGATGAAAAATCGACAGATTGATACGCTCATACTGTACTCGTTGAGCAATTTGCGCACTTCAAGAACCTTCAGCCATTGTGTTTGATTTTCAGGGTTGGGATCATTCAGGGACTCCTTCAAATCCCATACCGAGAATGGGTACTTGGCTTTCTCCGGGCAGCGCGACTGTTTGTCTTCTTCGATGATCTCATCGAGATCCTGTTGGAGATAAGCCAGCTCACCTTGGAGATACAGCAAGTTCTTGACGTTAAGCCTGGCAAACCGACGGAAAACGCATAAGCCAGGATCCAAGGTCATAAACGCAGCGACCTTGTCATATCCTTGTGCAGGAGGTTTGGGCATGGTGTATGGTGACGTTTATCCGATGGAAAGATGGACCGGAATCAGGGATGAGGCAAGGAGGGGTCAAAGAGGGGTCAAATAGCCATAGATTACCACGAGGCTAAAGTTCTGGCGCGGGCAGGGGGGTTTGCCCGTCAACGTGAGGGCTGAATTTCCCATCCCCAAGGCTGTGTGTGAGTCAATACGACGAGTGGCTGCCTTCTGGGGATTGCCATAGGATGACAGATAGTTGAGCAAACTGTGCATGGCTTTTAAGGGAGAGTATATACAAGGAAGGAGGGAAGGGAGAAAACAAACACCGAAAGCCTGTGAGAGTCGAGAAAAATGTGCAGGTCTGAGCCATGCAGAAGAGTGAATGGACACGTATTGTTGTAAGCCCAAAACGCCAATGGCCGTGCCTAAGCGTATGCCTGGCCGCTGGGCAGCTCTACAGGCTCATAACCAATACTAATGGTTAAAGCAAGGCCATAATTAAGGCAAGAAAAAAGAGGTTCCTCCTGCCAGCAAGAGGGAACTGCCTGTAGCTCGTATGCAACCAAAAAAGAGCCAGCCTTATGCCGCAATTTGCAGCCTCTTTGCAATCGCCGAATCGACCCGATACAGCTCCAGCTGCTTCATCGCCGTTGTCCCCAGCAACATATCGTATTCCAGATCACGAATGACGTTGAAAACCATTCGGTAGGTGTTGTTTTCGCGGCCGCAAAATGCCCACTGCGCCTCGACGGTACCGATCGGCTTGAGATCCGCACGGCCGTTTACCGGAGGCAATGGAGGACCGGCGTAGGTCTTGAGACTGGTATTGTCCATCTCTAGGCGACGATAGACCGTATCCGACATGATGTTGACGTCGGTACTGAAGCTGAGCACCAGCCGACGCCGCAGCGCACGGCCGCTGTGGCCTGGCGCCCGCACAATCACGTCGTAAACAAAGTCGAGGAGGGTATCTGGGGGTTTCTTCACGGCTGGCGACTGCGCTGACTCCGAAGCAAGGCCATATTGCCGGTGATCAGTTAGTTTTCCATGTTGTGAGCGTGGAACCGAGTCCTTTCTCCCGCTTGCAACAGGTCGCACACGAGATTCTCGCGGTGGTGGCGGCTCATGGAGTTCATTCTGACACAGGAACAATTTTAAGGACACTTTGTGGCATGTGCTAGAGGCACTGGATAGAAGGGATTTGGTGCGACGGGGCAGTCTGCTCGGTTCAAGATCTGTGGCATGATTGTGCGAAAGCCAGTTTCCTACGAAAAGTGGAACATTAGACGCTTGAACCCTCTACTTTCCTCCTATAAGAAAATCAAAACGCAAAGAGAGAGAATCCTGCAGCTTACTGATACTCCAACGGGCCATGGTGGGTTTCAAGGGGACTGGTAAGTCGAAATGGCTGACGAGAGTGAGAGGTGAGAACATACCAAGGTCCCTTTAATGAGGAAAACGCCCTTCAAAAACCGAGGCAACAAGGGAACTGACAGGGTATTTAAATTTCAGCAATAGGGATACTGCGTCGGTTAAACATTCTAATCAATCTCAGTGTATGAAATAGGTGTATTTTATATTTAGATTAAAGTTGTTATAAAAGAAGTCTAGTCTCTAGGCAGTGATTTTTATCTATATAATAATTTCTTCATCTCTAGGATACTCATCATCACTTCATCATAACATCCAGCTAAACCAAGGGGTTGGAAACCCGGCAGGCTCACCGTGACTTCCTATGCTAACAACCTCCTAGTTATATACTATGAGGTATTTATATGGAGCACTACGGAGGAATGGTCCTTAAGTAGCCAGCTATGATTGGGTTACTCTGTATATGCTTCGTATCTACCTAGTAGAATCATATCATGTGTAACTTATAGTAGGCTTGATCTAGAATGCCTTGGGGCTGTGCTTGATAAGACCAATTAGCAGTGCCTTTATGACAGGGTTCTTTTCTCGTGATTGGTCCTATTTTCAAGGCCTTGAGTAAGTAACGGAAGGAAAGCCCAGCCTCTCCCTGGCCTTAGATTAGGTTCGTGTTGGTTGAATTCAGATGCTCCTATCTGAGGCCTTCTTATTGACTGGTTCCTATCCTTTGACAGGATCTTACTGAGCACCGTGATATACTACCTAGGTATATAATACTTGGAGTCTCATTGGTCTCCTTTGATGGGAAAAAAAGCATTGCGATGGTCCAATTTGCAAATAGTCTGAGATTAGGGGATAGACAAGGATTATGCATGTGATATATCAAGTATTGATGATCACTCTGCCGACCAGGCCTGTAAACGATTCATACTCTTTCAATAACATAGCATAGTGTAGATACCCCAGAAAACAGTGATGGAATATACTCAATTAAGCAGCAGGGACAGGTGGCTGGCGATCCCTCCTCCTGATCTCCCGTTGCTTCGCTTCTTCCTCCTCGGCCTGTCTCTGTCGTTCTTGGGATCTGCGCTGCTGCTCTTGCATCTCTTCTAAAACCAGTCTGTCAGCCCTGTTCTTGCTCGCTCTCTCTCTCATAACGTACCGTTCGTGAGCACCCGCGGCTGAACTGGAGCCACGTCGATCCTGTTACCATCAGGCAAGTTGGCGTAATGAGCAAACTTGCGCCCAAGAACGGCATGGGCATTGGTATCAGTATCCACCCCTACCATTCGCCCGAGACTCTCTGCAGGGAGAGGGAAAAGGTAAAAATCGTCTTGATCGCTTGTCTTCGCGCCGTGTTTCCAGAAGCGAATTCGCGCCAAATCACAGACTGTAAACGCATCACCGGTGACCGGTTGCAGCGTCCGCTCAGGGCCCCGGTGGATGACGAAGTCAGGAAGGCTCTGACGGCCGTGAGGGGTGAGGAAGTTGACTGGTAGAGTATCTAGCACAACTGCTCGGATTTCGACCAAGGCTTGGTCTGGCTGGGAACAGATGATTTTTACAATCTCTGCCTACAGAAATGGTCAGTATTATCGAACATGAATGGGAGACGCGATCTGCTGTATATCTTTATGATACCATAGGTAAATATTAATCAAGCAAGCGCTGTGAAGGTTCCTTTCTTCTTTGATATGTCTGTTCCTCTCATTCAGACAGAAACATCAGCCATATTTATATGACTGCCAGCAGCAGCCTCGCCGACATTGACAAGAGCCTCAATCACAGCTGCTATCCATCTTTGGAGGGCTCCTTGACTCGCGCGGAAGCGGGGATAATCAGTAATGATCCAAAGAATGCTGTTGATTGGCACCATATCCATATGTGCAAGCAGCAATACCCAACAGACCGGGGTAGAGACGCCATGGAGAAAGAAAACAGATAACAGTACTCTGTACACATGATCAATCCAGGCAGGAGACTCGATACTGACTAGAATGCAAGCACGAGATAATATGCAATCTATAACCTCGATTTTGATAGGAGGCAAACATTACTAGACAAAACGCCACGCGCTAATCCGGCCCAAACAAACAAAGGAAGAAAAAGAGGGGGAATAAGGAAGGGACCAGGGTATTGCTCCTGGGGCAAATAAAAGATTAGATCTAAAAGCTGGCGCGTCGTCCTCTCTGTCTTGAGAGATAGTCAGCCTCGCAGGGTGCTGTTGTTCCCCCACTGGATTTTGCAGACTCATCTAATTAATCCAAGGTTCGCACCTGGACCCTTGGCACCGCAACATTGATGAGTCTGCACCGATCGAGAGTCGATTGACCGATCAAAAGGTCATACTGGTCCGTGTCGACGACGTAAAAGTCGGCCGTGTACGTCCGAGTTTCCTCGTCACCAAAGTGCCAGTCCACGTTGCGGACGAGTCCGATCGGCTGGATTTCGACATTGCTTGCTGAACTGGTATGTAAAGGAGTGAGCGCTATATCACTCTCTTCTAGGTCAAGACCCAGCTCAGTGAATATGTCTTTGCGCATGATGTTCACTCCTGCCTGTGTGTCTAATGCGGCCAAGGCATGTATTTTGCGGTTGGTGGCAGTGATCAGATAGACGGGACGAGTATAGTTCTCCTGGATGGAGTGCCTGCGTGTGGGACTTGACGACTGACCACTAGACGCAACGCCCGACGGTGGATCACTCGATGACGGATTCAAGCCAGATGGGCCGGTGTCTCCAGGCCCGCTCGCAGTGGCTTCCTCGCCACCAGCGCTCTGCCGAACACTTACCGCACTCGACGCACTCGACACCGCTTGAGAAGGATGACGAGGGGGGGTTGAGAGACGGCAAGGGTTCAAGGTAGCAGGCACAGAGCCCGGGGCAGGTACGGGGACCGGCCTGGGGGTGCAGGAAACACAGATCGTCCCGTCCTCTTTCGCCCGGGCTATCGGCCGCTCGTCACGCTCATCTGAATCGACAGCGAGTGTCGAGATCGATGAAATATCGAGGTTGGGGGGAACAGCGATACGCTCGCCAGAGTCCCTCTCTCTGTTTCGTCGGAGATGCAGGCTGTCGAAAGATTGGGAGAGGGCACCCGACAGCCACCGCAGGCGACTCCACCGCACGCTGGGCTTGCCACTCCGAGTTTCTACACCTGAGGCCAGCGTCAGTGATGAAAATTCAACGCGAGATGGATGACGGCATGGTCGGTGGCTTTCCTACCAGGAGCTGGAGAAGGCTTGGGTCGTCGGGGGCCGCAGCGGCGGCGGAAAGGAACCCAGGGCATTTTTGTATAAACGGCCCTCGACACGTTCGGAAAGGAAAAGGGGGAGTTTGGATAAAAGGAGAGGATGGGCAGAGCTGTTGTATTACAATGATCTTTCAGGGTGGTCAATGGTTGTCATGGGTGGGCTTTTGTGGCTGGAGGTGAGCAGCGGAACGGAAGCCGGATGAGGCAAATAGCAGGCTAGTGCCCCGGCCCACACTCATTACTCTAATTGAGGACTCAACAATCTATGCCAGGTACCATATAAATACTGATGATCCATTGTCCCCACGGGTCAGCCGATTCAAACCATCTATGCATCTGTTACTACTAGGTACTTATGTAATATACAGTACTCAATAAGTGCCCCGGTAGGTAGCACATTCAGTTGATGCAAGCCATGTGAAGACATATCCTCTAATGATACTGATTTCACTACTCAAGTTACTGGTTAGAGTGGAACAGGACTCGAGTCTGAATCTGTCAGTTTGATGATTCCATAGTTCTTGGTCTCCACTTGCTGTTGTACCGTCACGATGGCTTCTATCCCCTCGGGGTGATCCGCAGGTCTGTTTGGTTCCTTAGAGGGACTGGCACAACGGTCAATGAAAGAAAATTGTCCATCCGCTGAATCTGGCGATTGATCTGGCGATCTTGCTGCGGCATAATTAGATTCCAGGCTCCTAGCGTCAGAATCGGCGCTCCCATACCGAGAGTTGCTTCGTGTTTATACTTCCGATAGTATGCCTTCTGCTAAGCCGCTTGTGGCCATGCTGGATCCGACTTTTCTACGCAGAGATATCATTGAGGACATACAAATCTCATACGCAGACAGTAAGGTGCCCCCACACACTCTGAAAGATAGTGAATGTATTTATACTATATTATACCATAGAAGTAGAAATACTGTAGCTGTGGGTAACTAATATATGCTTGAGAGTTCAAGCCGTCGAATCGAGATCTCGCGGTTCCGTCCGTGGAGTCGAGACCCGGGGAAGGAATTGATACGTGTTGAGAGTAAACTGACTTATCAAGACATCGAAACGGTCTGTATCCACAACATCAAAGTCCGCCACGTAGGTGTGGGCTTGACCTGCGAAATGCCAAGTGACATTTCGCACAATGCCGGCTAGCTGGGCTTCAATATCTGATGGTATGGATTGCAGGGGGATCAAGGGACCCTGGTACTCTTCCATCTGGATATTGTTCATTGACGGAGGTAGGCTCTGGTCGAGAGACCAATCGACTGATGAGACTGCAATGCTCGCGATATCACTCCTGCTGAAATTATCTTGGCGAATGAAAATGACCCCAGAGTCTGTACTGGATAGGCCTGAACGACCAGACAGCCGATCAAAATCGACAGGCACAGTGTCCAAAGCGAGTCCATGAAGAGATGAGAATGTTCCTGTCATTCCGAACAAGATCTCCTCATTCAACACTAATGATTCATCCGACCGAGCAGCACCCGCTGTCAAGGGCGATCCCAAAGATTGCAAAGCCACTGGGGCGGGGGTGGCCGGTGAGTCATTGTGAAACTCGGTTTGCTGCCGAAGAAAACCAAATCGGAGGGAAGACGGTCGAGTCACAAGAAAGCGACGAACGGAGGATCGATGCAGGATGGGGGCGTTTGGACTGCTCGCCAGCTTCTTCACTATCAGTTCTTAACACAATTCGGCTCCTGAATGAAGAGAAGGAAATAGAGAAAGAGTATCCAGCAGCGATAGGATATAGAGTAATGATGAATACTACTAGAGTCCCTTTGAGGGCGATCGCTCTTACCACGGCGCGGCTGAGCCTCGGGGCTGGAGAACGGGTCCATCTGCCATGAGACGGTCGGCAGACTCAAGAGAGCGAAAGGGCCAAACAAGGCAGACAGCTCTATCTAAGGCAGAAAATGCGGAAGAGGGGGAAAAAAATAGATAAATAAAACAGAGACAAGAAATAAGATGTTTGTGTGGGAAGGAGAAGGCGCAGTAAGGCTCTCGTCACTTTTACACACTGGGAATCCCCCTCTGCTTTCGAGGCCCGATCTGCCTACTTGAGATGGAGTCTTTCGTATTTGGACGAAGAAATGGGTGTCTCGAGTTGAACCACGTTGCGGATGGGGGCTGCGTGTACAGGGCACCTTCTCCAGCCACCAATGATTGTTTATAAGTTCCTGGATTGCTATTGCACGCCTCGCCTTTCGTAATGGGATGCAGGAGTACTCTGACCTCGTGCTCCCTCTCTGTTTCGCATAAGCGCCAAGGGGGACTGCGAGTTCACCACTTCAATCACACCACATGACTTTTTAGATATTTGTCATATTTCTAGTGGAATAGCTCCCTGATAGAGTATGAAGCATAGCGAGTGGTAGTACTCCTCTATAAGACCCACAGTGTTTGCCAGGCAGACTGTGTGGGTCTCTATATACTAATATATAACTCTATGATTGGCTGGTGTGTCCTTGGAGTCACCTCACAAGACCCTATACCTAAATAGTAATACCTATGGCTGACTCAGCTTTCTTTGTACGTCAATCTCTTGAGGTACGGCATGGCACAGCGGCAAAAGTCTCCGAGAGCACGTGGCTGAGAAATGGATGTACCCGTTTGGACTGGCTCTTACTGTTGGTAGGTAGAATTCACGAATCCCATTTTAGGTCTATTAACTTGATTCTTTCCACATTTTATGCCGTCTGGAGATGAAAATAATAGCAGGTATGGTCTGGTAATCTAGACATAGTAAACTGTTTAAAACTACTTTGGCCAGACATATTAAAGATAATCATATAGTTGTCAATGGAAGTTGAGGCTCACAGACAATTGGAAAGACCCATGATCCTCGATATTCAATGTTGTTCCCCTGATGAGGAAAGCCGGAGACGTTCAATGCAAAGAGGGAGGTCAATATGAAATTGGGGATACAGGTCAGTATCACAAGGGGGGGACTATGGCTTTCCAACGTCTTTGCTTCTATGTTGGCATGCTTCTCCAGAGTAGATCTATGGTCTCCTCCTGACCGTAGGCAGCAGACACCACCAGAGATGTCACTTCTTTATCTCTAACCTCAGAGAATAGATAGCTGAGCCAGCTGTTTGCCAAATCGTCGTTCTTGTCCAGTATCACCTTGACTTTATGCACATCTCCTGTCTCAATGGCAGCTCCAAGGACTGCACAAATATCTCCTGTGTTTTCTGCTAGTATTACCTCTCCCTCAGTCTCCGGGGAAGTGTCGCCTGTCTGCGTTGCTTTGGTGATATAGTTCATTTCCGCATGGGCAGGATCATCCTCAGAAAGAGAGATACTTTCAGCCCTGAGGGGGCTGGTCTTAGTTCTCATTCTGTCAAATTTTGCAGATTTGACTGATGAAAGGGGGTTGGTCTTATTAGTAGATTATTATATAAGGTTAAAAAAGAATAGATATTTTAAAAATCCAATTTCACTCCTATCACTGATAGACTATCTTTAAAATAAATTTCAGGGAGAGCTGAGAACCCTCTAAACACTAGATCACTTGTACCTTATTGTGGAAGTTGATTAAATACATGCTATAAGAATCTAATCACTCAGAGTCATTATGATTCTTATAAATACACATCCATATATAAGTAATTGCTTAACAGGTTCTCCAAAGCAATACTTCTTTCCCTCTTAGGAGTAGAAGGTACAGAGTAGAATAAATCTGAGACTCGCCAGAATGTATGTAGTATCAATAAGATTCAGCGGGAGTCAGATAACTAGTATAAATTATATTCTATGGAGGCTTTTCTCCCAAGTGTCCATAGTTCTAGATTCTGTCTGGGACCATGTACTCGGTACTCCGTACCTAATGTAAGCGGGTATAGACATCATTCCCACCTGCCAATCAAAAGGTCAATGGTCAGATCTGTTATAATCTCATAGTTAGAGTGCTATAGGAATACAGTGTTCAGCTCTAGCCACTAAACAAGGGTGATACTGTAGATCAGTGAAATTTAAAGAAGTATTTGAGGAGCTGCACTACTACTACGGTAGCAAGTATTATGTCAAGTCAGGATTCTATTCGCTCATTTGAATAGTGGAGCATGTTCTAGAATATAGTTTTCCAGCTCTCTCACTTCCTCAAGTACTCCGTATCTATTCTGTGGATTATATCTCTGATTCAATTTCTTTCTTAGTTTGATCTCACTTTAGCTGCTCGCTGTAATCTGACCGTGTCTGTCAACCTCTCAGATTCATTATACATGTTTCGACCATGTGAGAGATCTCATAATATTAGATAAAATCTCCATCCCTGCACTTACTACCAGTACATCATACTCAGGTGTAATGAAGAATGATTGATCAAATTAGATATCAGAGATTGCTGATTGGAATTGACATTGAAAAATCATCAAGTATTTCCGTATGGAGAAAGCGGATGGCCCGGGAGGAATGCGTGGCTTGAGGCGTCGATAGTCTGCCTATAAATAGATTGAATAGGGGAGGCAAGAAATGGCATTAATCCATGAGGGACTTAGGAGTTGATTAATTAAAAATGCTAGGTGAATATAGAGAGCTGCTACTATTATTACCATATCCTCTGTGATCAATTATCGTACAGACAAGGGTCTCCGTTGAGGTGAGAGTTGTATGGAGTATATTAAGAGTCTAAATTAGTCTATTCTATTAGTCTCCAGCAAACAGTGACTAGTCTCATAGTCTAAATTACTCGGTAACAGCTCTTAGTCTTCTTAGCCTCCAGTCTAGAACTTTCTCCTTTCTTTTCTATTTATTCCTCCTCCTCCTCCTCCTCCTCCTCCTCCCCTCCTCTCAACCACTCCGCAACCAACTGCCTGCCCTCATGTACGACATTCGCGCTCTCCCGCCAGACCGCGACGCCCTCGGCGGCCAGCGCTACCAGACAGCGTTGCATTGCCTGTCTCTGGCTGCTATTTGGATCTGCCGCGTGTATTTCTGCTTCCGACTGTTGTTTCTTGTCTGCTATGAAAGCACATGGTGGATGTGGGTGACTCTGGCGGTCGAGGGAATATTTGCTTGTAAGCTGATTCTTTCCATCAATCACCACCTCAGTATCAGCTAACTCATCGAACAGACACTCCGTATCTCGAACAATGCCTGGTGGCAAGTACAAAAGCACCACCGCGCGAGAAACTGCGGATCCACGGTGAGACAGTTCCTCGCGTGGACATCCTGCTCCCCTGCTGCGGTGAAGATGAGGAAATCATCCTGCAGACCGTGACGGCCGCGTGTTCAATCGATTACCCTCGCTCCTCTTTCAGAGTGCGAGTGCTCGACGACGGGGAGTCGAAGATCCTGTGCGAGCGAGTCAAGGCGTTGCGAGAGGAGAAATACCCCCATCTGTCGTACCACACGCGCGGAAAACAGTCGGGCAAGGTCTTTGCAAAGGCCGGAAACATCAACTTCGCCTTGTCTGAGCTCGAAAGGGGAGAGAAAGACGACCAGCCTGTCTTCTGTGCGATTCTCGACGCCGATTCTGTTCCGTGCCCCGATTTCCTGCGCGCCACGATCCCGCATCTCCTGCGCGACGAGAGCGTCTCGCTCGTCACCACACGCCAGTATTTCTCCAATCTGCCGGACGGAGACAGACTGTCTCAGTCCCGCAGCCATTTCTACACGGTGATCAACAGCGCGTTGGATCGCGCCGGACAGGCGATCGACTCTGGTTCCGGCGCTGTCTTCCGACGACAGGCCATCCTCGAGGCAGGCGGGTACCCGACCTTCTCGTTCAGCGAGGATTGGCAGCTTTCGCTTGTTCTACGCGGCCACGACCGACGTATCGTCCAGGTGGATGAGCAGCTGCAGCACGGGCTCGTCCCTTCTTCGTTGCGCGGCCACATCGCACAGCGCAATCGCTGGATGATCGGACATTCGCAGCAGGTCTTTGCTCTAAAGGAAGGCCATATTCCCAGGAAAATCCAGTGGATGATTGTGCGGGACGGCCTCTTCATTGTCTGGGGGTTACTTTCTTCTTTTCTCGGCTTTGTCCTGCTTCCAGTCTTGGCTGTCTCGGCGTCTCTGTCCCTGCCTTTCCCCCCGTGGATGTCGGCGCTGTCTCTTCTCTACGTCGCTGTGCAATGGGGGTACGAGCATCTCCAGGCCGCATGTGCAGGCTGTGCGCCATTTGCCTCGTGGGAGAACCGGTGGATGGCCGGGATGAATCTGCTGGCTATCGCTCGCTTCCACCTCTCCTCGCACCGGCCCAAGTCGTTCGTCACGGGGAGCAACAACCACTCGGAAGAGGACTCTTGGTCTCAGTGGCTGTTCGGTCATGGAATGATCTACAACGTCGCTATCCTTGTCGCTATCTTGTCTGCCCTTGTCATCTACCGCGTCGACAACTGGGTTCTGCTTCACCTCTGCTATCTTACTATTAAGAACCACTGGGTGCCACTAGCCTATCTGTTGAGACAATAGCAGAAATAGAGATAATAAAATAATGGACAATCGATAGAAAAATTAGAGATAGATACTAGACAGTAGACATGATGAATGAATAATATAGATAGAACAATAAATTTATAATGTAGATAGTTATGATTCAGAGTATTAATAAACTTCTTAAAGTATCCAGATCACCCCCAGCATAAGCTACAATGCCATCTGGTCTAACCAGCATCATTCCATGGATATCAGCCTGGTAACACTTGATCCCAGGTATTTCGACAGCTGTGTCTGCCACGACCACAGACTCGCCTGTACAAAGCACATCTCCCAGGCGACCACCAGACTTCAGAATCACATCTGGCGCACTCTGTCCAACCAGCGAATCGGCATTTCCATGTCCAAGATCATATCGCTGGTTGATCCCCCACATGCGAGAGAGGAAGTACGTCGCCCCCTGGTCTGTGGAGATGAGATCCTGGATCAAACGCCCGACAGCCCGACTGTACGGATCACTTCGAAGAGTGACGACCTGGGCACGCGTCCATTCCAGCACGGCAGCTGCCTCTGGCGCCCGCTCTGCATGATACGTGTCCAACAGGCTATCTGTAGTAGATGGGGAGGTGACAGCGCGTGCAAGTTTCCAGCCTAGATTGATAGCATCGGCGATCCCAAGAGTCAACCCCTGCGCGCCCAGCGGAGAATGGATATGCGCACTGTCCCCTGCGAGAAAGACATTCCCTCGTCGATACTGCGTGGCTTGCATTGCGCGGTCTGTGAAGGAGGTAGCCTGGTGGAGAGACTTGAGGGTAAGGGTTTTTGTTCCCACCACGCGATGCAGAACAGACTCGAAATGCGCCAGGGTGATGACCGTGTTTGCCGTGCGGTTGAAGGGCTCAAAGTCGACGAGGTGGAGCATCCCCTGCCCCTTGTTGAAGATGTACATTCCCTTCTCTGTACGCATGAACCCTTCCTTCATTGCCCCGGTGGGATCGTTCACCTCGCAGATCCCGGCGTACCCCGTTATCTCGCCGGGTGTGCCTTGGAAATCGAACCCGCAGGCTTTCCGAACGGTAGACCGACCGCCGTCGCAGCCAACAAGATACGACGCTGTATACGCCTCTTTTCCCTTGTCTTGGTCGTGGGTGTAGACTCTCACTCGGTCCTCCTCACACGACACCTCGCACACAGTCTTCCCCCGTAAGATAGTCACGCCCAGCGCTTCCGCCCTCGCAGCCAGCACAGCTTCCATCCTGCCCAGAGTAGTCACGCCGGGCATGAAACTCGGCCCAGCCCGATGGTGAGGGAAGACGGAAAAGTCCACCTGGTTGGCGTTGACGGGGAAGCCGGCGAAATGGCCGCCAAAGGTGAACCCGGCCCCTTTCTCGATATAATTTGCACGTTCTTTTCCGCTAGACGAGGTCGGGAAGAGTATTTCGGAGAGGATGCCGCGTCGGTAGAACGCTTCGATGGCCGGTTTGAACAGACCGCGTCGACCGAGAGGGCCATCTTTCATGCTTGTCTTTTGCCCTCCTTTGACGGCTGGGGGATCGCGTTCGAGGACGAGGACTGAGATCTTCTGCAGGGCCAGTTCGCCGGCGAGGAAGAGGCCGACGGGACCTCCCCCGGCAATAATCACGGAGTACATAGAGGAGAGTAGAGTGAATGGAAAGAGGGTTGAATAGAGGAGAGTGAGAGAACTGAGAGTGGAAGAATGAGAGTGGGAGGGCGAGGGAATTTATAGGCAATGGCGGAAGATACGGGAGTTGCGGAAGTTATGGAATTTAACATCTTATAGCTCAACAACAGCTATTTTTTGTATTATTCATTATCGCTATGTTCTGCTTATTCTATTTCATTCCACCCACGCAAACCAGTCAAGCGTATCGAAGGCGTCCTCTGCAAATAAACCGTTCAGCTGCTCCTCGAAGGAGATTTCTGGCACTGCTTCCGACTCATTTTTATCGTCAACTGTATTGTTAGATAAGGAACTATGTTGTTGAAAAGAATGAATGAATATAGAAAAGACTTACCAGCATTTTTCACCTCTTCGAGAATACGTTCCGTGATGCCCGCCAACTTGGCGATGGTGGGATTTCTCGAAGCCAGGGTTGCTAGAAAGGCAGGGAAATGCTGGATGGCGTCAAGGGCGCGCTGGCTCTGCTCGGGCTGCGAGTGACTTTTCACCACGGCTTCACCCCAGAGGGTACCGAACGCAGTCAGCGGGCAGTGAATGCGTGGCCAGAGCAGGGAGGGATACGGTTCGGGTATAGTTATGGTGTTTGTGGTGGCTTTTGTCAATGAGAGCATCTTCAAGGCAGAGCTGGTCCAATTGGTCCGGAGATGCTTGGCCGACACGGTCAAATAGACCAGAAGGTAATAATAGTACAAATGGAAGGTCTGCAGGCTGAGCTCAACGCCTGCGATGCCATCTTCGTTCAGAAGGGGTTTCTCGGCCGTCGCCGCTGCTTCGAGGACCTACAAATTAGACTTGCACATTACATAAACAGTGGGGGAAAAGAATACCTCTCTGGCCTGACGATACCAGGAGTCGAGGTTCTCTTTGATTCTGTCCGCGTCGCTTGAATCCCGTCCGAACATGCAGTGCCAGAGATCTGCCATGACGACCGACAGCAGATGCATCTGGTGCATGTAGTGCGCGCTGAAGAGAGCAGGGATAGAGGAGGGGGAGGAGGAGGGGGAGGAGATGGTCAATAATTGATTGAGGGTGGGCATGGGAATCTCCTTGACGAGTTGGCGATGAAAGGCCGGCGGGCGGTTTAGAATCAGAGCGAGAGACTTGTCCATGATGTTCAGTCGCCAGAAGACCAGGATGCGTCGTTCACGGGTAGCGGTATCCAGCCGCCAGTGGGTGATTCCCAAGGCCTGTAGCATGGTACACGCTTTGTTGACCAGCGACCAGCAGAGGGACGGGGTCATGAACTGCTCGGCGTAGCAGGCCATGAGCACCAACGCCTGGATGCTCAGCACGTTTGGCTCGAGCAGGAGACGGACGTCATTAAAGGCCAGCCACAGGTTTCCCTTCAATTTTCCTCTTGTCGAGTCATCTAGGTTGGCTGCGGTGTGCAGGGTGATGCTGTAGAACATGACCAGCCAGGTGCGATCCACCTGGTCCGGGTGCGATGGTATCGCCAGCAGTTCGGAGGGTGGGGAGGTGACTAGCAGTTGTTCTTTCTGGAGAATCTTTATGAAGGCTGAAAGTGAGTATATAGAACTGGTATAGACCATGATGACTTACTGTCCACCCATTGACGGGCTTCGTCACCATCAAACAAGAAGAAAGCCGTTGGACTCCCCTCGGCCAGCGAGTCGAACGCCGCCGAACCCTGCCATGTCGCCGTGTACTCTTCCAACAGGGCAGCAATGGCTTTCAGCGCAGGACAATCCCGCCCAGCCAGCAGCTGCAGCCGCTCGTGTGTCGACCCAGTCATCTGGTCGTTTGGTTGTCGAAGCCCGCATGACTGGCCATCGGGGGAGACCTCACGAGAGCCAGGATGAGAAGAGACGCCGGTAACAGACTGAGAAGAGATGCGAGATTGTTTCCCCTTTTTGCTGCGCCTAATCACGCCGGAACGTGAATACGAGCATTCTTGTCCTTCTTCGCGACAACGGCGGCAGGTTGGAGTATCGCGAGAGCAGGCGGCCTGTTTGTCAGTGGTGGCCTGGCAACAAACTAGCAGCGAAGTCAAAGGAACAGACTGACCTTGCGGGCGCGGCATTTATCGCACTGGCCTTGGAGTCAGCAGATATTGCAATTGAAAGGAAGACGTACAGCGTATTTAGCGCGTTCTGTCATGTCGGAGAGGATCTGAGAGAGAGAGAGAAAGAGAGAGGGAGAGAAGGAGAGGGAGTGAGAGACGGAAGTTATGGAGACGGAGATTAGAGGCGGAGGTTACGGAAGTTGAGTGATAAACCTCAGGCAATAAATGCCTCAGGCAGGAATCGGGCCTCAGGCTAAGTAATGCCTCAGGCAACTTGATTATCCCACTTGTCCGTAACCCCGCGTTATTCTTCAACTCTCACTGCGACTCTTTCACTGCAACTATGATACCAACCAAACAACTCAATGATGGGACTGCCATTCCCATTCTCGCGATCGGGACGGGAAAATGTAAGCCTGCGCTTCTTGACGAGGAGAACTCGCTAATAATCCAGCGGAGGACCATAAGAATTACGTCGGACAGGACTGTCGGGCGTCTCTTACGCAGGCCTTGAAGCTTGGAATCCGGCATATAGGTACGTAGACTCCGTCTGTTAATATCAATACTAACCTTTAGACACCGGCGAACGATTCGAGAATGAAAAATACGTCGGAGAAGTCAAACAAGATGCATATCTGTCTGTCAAATGTGTGTTCAAGCCTTCTTATACTCTTCTTCTCTTCTTCTCTTCTTATACTTTGTAGTAGGAAATACTCGCCTCCCGGCTAAACGGATCGAGGAATCGCTCGCCTTGCTACAGACCTCAGCGGTGGATCTGTACATGGTGCATTCGTCCAAGACGTTGCTCTCCCTACTGGGCATCCCGCGCGGGTGGGCAGAGATGGAACAGGTGCATGCGGCTGGTAAAGCAAAGTCCATCGGCGTGGCGAGTTTCACCTATCAAGATCTGGAGGAGCTGCTTAGTTCTTGCAAGGTGCGTTGACTACAACTACATTCATTATGTTCATACATGAGAGGTTCTACGATGTTTATGCTGTTGGCTACAGGTCAAACCGAGCGTTTTCCAAACGGAATTCCATCCATATGTATACACTGCCAACCAGCCCCTCCTGGAGCTGTGTGCCCGGCACGAAATCACAGTCTCCTGCTTCGGGACTCTGGTGCCTCTGTACAAACACGTCGGGCCCGTGGACGAGGCGGTGGCGCAGATTGCAGAGCAGACAGGTCTGTCTCGAGCCCAGGTTCTCATGAAATGGGCTCTACAGGTTTCGAAGGGGATTGTAGTGATGTATCCATTCATTGAACTCCTTTTACCTGGTTTTTGCTAATAGAACAGGCGCTCGGGAAAAGAGGAGCATATGAAGGAAGCCGTGGAGGCAGTGACAGGCCCCCCCCTGGCAGAAGAACAGATTGCAGCCATCACTGAAGCGGGACGAGGACATCATTTCCGACGATATGTAAGCGTTCTCCTACTGGTTATAGAAACGAGCTGACCGTCAGCAAAAACACATGGATGGTTGAGGATAGTATAGGACTGTATATATAGTATCTATAGTGTCTATACTATCTAAGTATGCTTGAACAAGTCGTCAATCTCCGCATACGACCGCCCCGTAAGGTCAGGGATGTAAAGGACAACAATAACAGTGCAGACGACGCCAAACCCGAAAAACACATATCCCGATTTCATGTGCAGGGCGTCGATCAGGTACGGGAGCACGACATTGCAGACGGTACCAACCAGGACGTTTGTGGCGAGGGCGACGGCGGCGGTCTTTGCGCGCAGGCGGAGTGCAGACGACTCGCCTACGTAGCTGATACCGGCGACTCCGGGCCCCATGCTGGAGGTGAAGTTGTACAGGGCGATGAGGAAGACGGCGCCGTAGCCTGCTTGTTGGGAGATTGAACCGTGCGATGCTGTTTCGATGAGCCCGACGCCAACTGTAGTAGTATCAGTATCAGTAGACAGTGTTAAACGTAAATGTAGTAGATGGAACTTACGCATCGTCAACGAGGAAACAATAACGCCAACCAGGATGAGAGTCAACCGTCCGACGCGTTTGTTGTCCACAACAAAAAACGCGAGAATGGTCCCCGCCAGCCCGAGACAGGTGACGATGACATTGCTGCGCAGGGCACTCTTGAGGCCCGCCTTTTCGAAGAAATAGGTTGTGTAAGATCCCACGAGCTGGGTGCCGGTGAAGTTGCCGGCGACCTGTGGGAAGAGGGAGACAAAGGTACGGCGGCGGTTCGATTGATCGAAGCAGTGCAGGAAAGAGGTCTAGAATTAGCAACTGTAATTGCAACCTATTCAACCACCTCGGTACTCACCTTGACCTCCTCCCGCTGCACCGTGTAGACGAGCAGATCGAGCTGCTCGTCGAGCTGCCGGTCGGTCAGCGTGGGATACAGCCAGGCGAGACTGGCGCGGGCCTCGACCATCCGCCCACGCACCACCAGCCAGGCAGGGCTCTCGGGAAGGAGGAACAGCTGCAGGACGAGCGAGACGGTCGGGGCAGCGAGACCGACTGCCAGGGGGATGCGCCAGCCAAGGTTATCCTCGCTGTATCGCTTGTCCGCGGCGTACAGCGCCAGACTGCCCACCAGGCTGCCAAACGACACTGAAAATGAGCCGACACAGTAAGAGGATACTAGATAAAGAGGACGACGTACAAGCAAACGCAGCGAGACCGATGAAAAACCCCCTGGCCTCGCTGGGGGCGACCTCTGACACGAACGTCGGGACTGCAGCCTGCAACGCGCCCGACGCGAAGCCCATGAGGATTTTGGCGCCGGTGAAGTCGTTGTGGCTGCCTGAGGCCAGCTCGACCGCCACGCCGACATAAACGCAGAACAGCGTGAAATAGAGGGCGAAGCGTCTTCCCCAGCGGTCGGCCAGTGAGGCAGTGACCAGTTGGCCGATGATTTGTCTGGAAGTAAGCAATTGAATAGAAGATGATTGATTATCCGGGGGAAAAAAAAAAAAAAGAATTACCCCAAGCCAAAAACACCCGCCCATAAGGAGAGAACCCAGGGAGAGATGGCGTACGCATGAGAGGAGGGACTGTAGCGGCCCATCACTCGGCAAAAGGCCTGGTTTCCGATCAAAGAACTGAGGAATTGTCCTTCCAGGCCCAGCAGGGTGGATTGGAGCTATTGATTAGTTATAATTCAGGTGGATTGATGAGACTTGTTACCTGAACAGCCATCACGACCATCATGCAGCGGAAATTCCGCCTTTTTCCATAAAGCATTGAGGAGGGTTATACATTAGAATACTTGAGTATACATTAGTATATATAAGTATACTATATACTAGGATATATCAGTGTCATGATACTACCTAGGGATAGAGTAACAGTAATATGCAATTTTTAGTAATCCTGGAGTGAAAAAAGGAGATGCCAAGAGGTGGAGAATGCGGGGTTATCTTATTCATTAATATTTTATTATAATATCTATTATTCTATTATTTTATTATGCTCTATTAATCTTATTGATTAGATATTAATATTTTCTCATGCCAGCTACAACCTCCGGCCTGGTCAAAGGCACCTCCCATAACGGCATCACAGCCTACCTGGGAATCCCCTACGCGGCTTCCCCTGCCGGCCCCAACAGATGGCGCCCGCCTCGGCCGGCAGAGAAATGGACGGGCGTGCGGGAATGTGTCTCGTATGGACCGGTGGCGCCCCAGATTGCGTTTGAGGATATGCAGTTTGAGACGATGGACGAGGATTGTCTCAATCTGAATGTCTGGACGTCTGATCCTCAGACTGCTCTCCCCGTCTTTGTCTGGTTCTACGGAGGCAGGTTCGTCGCCGGCGCAGGGAGCCAACGGATCTACGACGGGGCGTCGCTGGCATCCAAAGGCGTCGTGGTCGTCACGCTCAACTACCGCGTCGGAATCCTGGGATTCCTGGCGCATCCGGAACTCGACCGCGAGGGTCTGGCGGCCTGCGGAGTCGAGTGCAGCGGTAACTACGGTCTGCTGGACCAGAGGGCCGCGCTGGAATGGATCCGCGACAACATCGCGGCGTTTGGGGGCGATCCGCACCGCGTCACCATCGCGGGCCAGTCGGCCGGAGCGGCGTCGGTAGGCTTGCATCTGCTGTCGCCATTATCCAAGGGTCTGTTCCACGGCGCCATCTCCCAGTCCGGCCAACGGTTCACGCACGACCCCATGCTGTTGAGTCTGGCGCCGGCGTACCGGAGTAAAGAGACTGCTCTTCGCCAGGGAGTCGAGACCGTGGCGGAAAAGGGATGCGCGACTCTCGCCGAGATGCGTGCCCTGCCCGTGGACATCCTGCTGCAGGGAAACAACAAGAACGAGGAGATCGAGACGCTGGGCCCGCCGAACCCGCCACCGCCGCCGTTCTACCGCCCCTGCGTCGACGGTCACTTCCTCCCCGCCGAACCCGGCGAGTGTCTCCGACGGGGGACCCAGAGCGATGTCCCCGTCTTGACGGGCCACAATGCCGACGAGGGAGGCACGATCGGCGTGCGCAAGTCGGTGGTGATGACGGACGAGCAGATCCGCCACGCCGCCCGCCGCAGATACACCAGCGACGAGATGACCGACCGGTTTTTCCAGCTGTATCCTTTGTCCGGGGGTGCTGTGCCCGCGACGTCATTCGACGCAGACCCCCGGTACGCGGCGTGGAATGCCCAGGCGAGAAACAACTCGCGCGTCACGGTCGCCATGTGGGCAGAGCAGTTCCACCAGCATGCCGCCTCGCCTGTGTACGGCTACTTCTTCGACAAGATCCCGCCGCAGAAGGCCGGTGGGAATGAGAAGTTCGGCGCCCACCATGCGGCCGAGCTGCCGTACGTGTTTGACAATTTCGTCTTTTCGCCCGAGTATCCGTGGAGTGAGGGCGACAAGCAGGTGGCGCAGACCGTGTCGACGTACTGGGTGAATTTCATCCAGCATGGCGATCCGAACGGTTTTCTCTCTGGTGAAAAGGAAAAGCCACAGTCTCTCCCCTACTTCCCCCCTGTTGGCAAAGAGATTATGCGGCTGGGCGAGAAGAACGGAGCGATGAAGCTGACCGAGACGTCTGCACGGGAGGTTTTTTGCCGCGAGTTTCTACTCGCAAGTAGGGAGTATTGAACAGCATATATATTGATGGAGATCAAGGTACTTTCTGATGCGGGCGTTCGAATCCCTTGTAGGTCGGAGAATGATATGCACAGGCATAACAGCGGTACCCTTTTTCTTCCCAGACCATCTGTGAGGAGCACATTTCCACCGGCCGTTCCGGGATAGCATGATAGAACTCTTCTCCTTCTTCTTCTTCTTCTTCTTCCTCTTCTCCCCCCCTTGTAGCCTCTTCGTAAGACGGCAGAGCATCGAGATCGTCGAGCTCGTCGGTAAGAGAAAGACCCTGGCGAGGCACCGTGTCTCTGTTATCGGTCACCTCGTCCAACAAAGCGATCTGCAGCTGTAGAGCGGCCGTCTCACGCCTCACGCCGCGCCGAAGGACCTCCACAGACTGATCATCCAGTAAGCGCGCAAAAGCCTCGTCGCACCCGAACAGTCTCCCCCTGCTGCGCGCGTACACGGCCTGCAACCCGCGCTCGAGACAGGAGACGGCGCCTCTGGCTGTGTTGAGGAGGAGGACGGTTTCCACGTCGTCATCGGCGACGTGGCTGCGGGCTAGGGAGGAGAGAACGCCCTCGGCGCTGGCGGCGAACAGGGCCAGTTCGTGGCGGATCTCGCCTGGGATGCCGGTGTCGCGCGCGGTGAAATGGTCGAAGCTGCGGACGGTCGTTTTCGCAGCGTCGTACAGTTTGATCGAGGCGGAGACTGCCATAGATGAAGAGGAGAGAAGAGATGAAGAGAAGAGATGAAGAAGGAAGAGAGAAGAGAGAAGAGAAGAGAGAAGAGAGAAGAGAAGAGAGAAGAGAAGAGAGAAGAGAGACGAGAGGAAGAGAGGAAGAGGATGTGGCTTACTAAGCTCGGTTCTTATGGCTATATTGGGACTAGCGATATGTTTACGGATGATATTAATAGAATAGAATAGTATAGTATAGTATAGAATGGTAATAGACAGTAATAGATGGTATAGAATAGTATATTATAGTATAGAATGGTAATAGATAGTATAGAATATAGTAGAGTATACTCAGAAGCCACTGTCGGTCAGAGTCAAAGGATCGTGGTGATTGACCATGGAGACAAGGCGGGAGAGGACGGCAAACTCGAGCTTGAGCTTGACCATGTAGAAGAAGGTCTTGAGGACGGTCTGGAGGATGAAGAGATCGAGGTATTCAAGGACGAGCAGGGCGATGTCCATGACGATGATGGCGGAGTTGATGGCGAGCAGCTGGTAGCGGAGACTGGTCCGGCGCACGCTCTTGCGCGGATAGGCCTGCAGCAGACGGGTGGCCTGGACGATGAAGACGGTGGAGATGATGACTTCCTGCAGGAAGAAGCCCGTAAGCTGGACTTTGGCCCAGATGTTGTAGGCGTAGAGGAAGCCGTGCGAGGCGACAAACACGGCGCCGTACGAGAAGACGATCTGGGGGATCTGCAGGACGAGGGCGTCGAAGACGATCATGCCCAGCACCAGCCGCAGCACCAGCCGGTTCTGCACGACAAGATGCAGGCGCGAGTACAGCACCAGGCTCTGGCCGGTGACCATGATGGCCCAGCCGGCGGTGGACAGGGTGACGGGCGCGGCGATGGGCGCCAGCTCAAAGTACTTGAGCAGCAGGCCCAGCGACTGCGGCAGCACGCCCAGTCCCGCCGAGACCAGCAGGCTCCAGAAATACAGGCCGCGGTAGACGTGGAAGGTCGAGAAGATGGCCAGCATCAGCTCCAGCACGCCGAACAGGGCGCAGCTCAGCAGGCCCACGATCGTCGCCTCCACCGCCAGGCTGTTGCCGGTGTACCCGCCGGCGATGCCTGCCACGGGGTTGGAATAGTCGACCATGATAGACAAAGCATTGATGACCGCGATGGACGTTGGAAGGAGAGAGAGAGAGAGAGAGAGAGTTGAGAGGCGGTTGGCTTTGGGCGGTGGTCATGTGACTCTGACCCGTGGTTGGCACTGTTGCCAGTTGCCACCGGCCAGACGGAGAATTGGAACCTAATGATTAATCATAGAAGATGGAATGGAATGCTAGAAGAGAGAGAGAAATTGATAAATAAAGAAAGAAATTAATTAATTAATATATGAATGAATAAATGAATGAATGAAGAAATAGTGAGTAATGATATGATAATATGAAATTATTACTATCTTGTCTTGAATTGATACTCTGGATACGGAGAAGAGGAAAAGAGGAAAAGTCCACATGATGATGTCTGCCGGGAACGGCGAGCTAGATCGAATCTGGACTAGTTCCCGTCAGTGTCAAGACGTCCTGAACTATACCATATGGGGTATATTAAACGAGGACGATAGATATGTAAGAATTAAAGAAATTACTCAAGTAGATGATCATTAGTTATAATGTACTTTGTACTATATATATAGTATATATATAGTAAATGCTTTTATCTCAGTTTTGTCTCTCTTCCTCATTTTCCTAGAGATGGGTGTTGTCTAGTAAACAAGGCTTTGGAGGTATATATATATTAACTGACTACACTCCCTACTTCCACTGTACTATCGTCTATATGAACTTCTGATATAATTCAGTTCTAATATTTCTGATTATCGAGTATGACTAGCCATGAACATAGTGAGAGACCTTAGACTAGGATTATTACCACATGCTCAGATCAGCTTGAATTACTGGATGGACTATTCAGCTTTTCATACTTGTAATCCTCACCTTTTGATCACTACTAATTATTGTATGGGTCTGATGGTAAAAAATTATACTACAGACCTCGAGTACTATTATTATACTACATAGTACAGAATGAGCTGCTTTCAAGGAATATAAAATTATTAGTAGATTATTATTACTCACTTTATAAAGATCATAAGGAATCATAAATATTTATACATGGTAAAAGAATCAAATTAAGCGAGCCTGTGTTGATAGGCTCAAAAAGGAAAACCATCTTCTCGCTACATCAACACCTGCATAACAGCCAAGACGGCCACAGCCACCGCCAGCGTGTTGGAGGCGAAGGCGAACTGCGACACAGAGTCGCCCGTGTACACACTTCCACTGGCGCTGGTGGTCGAGGAGATACCGCTTTGGCTGGCGGCAGCGACAGAAGACGAGGGGAGAGACACGGAAGCCGAGGAACTGGCAGTGCGGGTGTGGTTGAAGTAGGAACCAGAAGAGCCGAAGCCAGAGCCAGCGCTGACGCCAAAGCTAGAGCCAGAGCCTGAGCCGGAGCCAGATCCAGATCCAGATGAAGAGCCGGAGCTAGAGCTGGAACCCGAGCCAGAAGTGGAACCTGACGAAGAGCCAGCGCTGACGCCAGAGCTGGAGCCAGAGCTAGAGCTAGATCCAGACGAAGAGCCGGAGCTAGAGCTGCCAGAAGAACCGGAAGAGCCGGAAGAACCGGAGGAACCCGAACCAGAGCTAGAGCTAGAGCTGCCAGAGCTAGAGCTAGAGCTGCTAGAGCCAGAGCCAGAGCCGCTAGAGCTAGAACCGGAGCTTCCAGAGCCAGAGCTAGAGCTAGAGCTGCTAGAGCTAGAACCAGAACCAGAGGTAGAGCCAGAGCCAGAGCTAGAACCAGAGCCAGAGCCAGAGGAACCAGAGGAACCAGAGGAACCAGAGGAACCAGAGGAACCAGAGGAACCAGAGGAACCAGAGGAACCAGAGGTAGAGCCGGATCCAGAGCCAGAACCGGAGGAACCAGAGGTAGAGCCAGAGCTGGAGCCAGAGCCAGAAGAGCTAGAACCAGTAGGCAGAGGATAGACGCTGGTAGCAACAACCAAGGTTTCAGTAGTGGTAGAAGAGATGCGAGCCGTCAGCGGGCAGTTAGTGACACTAGCCGGGCAAGAGTAAATAGTGGAAACACGGGTGGTGTAGATGGTCTCCGTGGTGGCGGTGGCAGGGGCTCCGCCTGCAGTAAGGGGGTAGACGGTGGTGCTGGCCACAAGGGTCTCGGTGGTGACATAGGTTGATTTCTCGCTGGCGGGACAGTTGGTGACGAAGGAGGGACAGGCGGTGATGGTCGAGGTGCGGGTGGTCAAGACGGTCGAGGTGGTGGAGCCGAGTTGACCGGATTGACCAGGTTGACCGGTGATGGCAGCAGCAGCAGCAGTGGTAGTCGTGCCGGCAAGGTTGCAGCGAGAAGTGCGAATGGTGGTGATCAGTGTGGAGGATGTCGAAGTGGTAGCAGCTCCAGAGCCAGACAGTGCGCAGCGAGAAGAGCGAATGCTACGGATCACCGTGGAGGACGCAGAGGGAGTAGCAGTCGTACTTCCAGAGCCGGACAGGGCGCAGCGAGAAGTGCGAATGGTGGTGATCACCGTGGAGGATGCAGAGGGAGTAGAAGTAGTAGCAGCTCCAGAGCCGGACAGAGCGCAGCGAGACGAACGGATGCCGGGGATTACAGTGGAAGATGCAGAGGGAGTAGCAGTCGTACTTCCAGAGCCGGACAGTGCGCAGCGAGAAGTCCGAATGGTGGTGATCACCGTGGAGGATGTAGAAGTAGCAGCAGCACTTCCAGAGCCAGACAAGGCGCAGCGAGAGGAACGAATACCGGGGATCACCGTGGATGAAGAAGCAGTAGCAGCTCCAGAGCCAGACAGGGCGCAGCGAGACGAACGGATGCCGGGGATCACCGTGGAGGATGAAGAAGCCGTAGCAGTGGTACTTGCAGAGCCCGACAGGGCGCAACGAGAGGAACGGATGCTACGGACTGGCGTAGAGGATGCAGCAGCGACCGAGGAGCTGAGATAGGGAGGAACAGGTCTGCTGGACGGGATGACAGCGGAGGAACGGGGATAAGGCCACGACGACGAGGAGGCAGAAGAAGAAGAGGAAGAAGCGATGGAGCTGGAAAGAGCAGCTGAAGTCGGGCTGGCAACGGCAACGGAGGAATAGGACGTTGTGCAGACGCTGGTGACAGGGGCGAGTTCAAAGGCATCCAAGCCGATATACCAGGTATCGGTGTTGGTACATTCGACTTCGATGAGCAGTTCAGGATAGAGATGGCTGCTAGTGACGGCGTAGGACACCGAGTACTGTGTCCAGTCGGAGGTGCCGGGATAGGCGAATGCCACCGACGCCTGCAGCGTGTCGACGCCCGTGCCCGGATCCAGGTAGAGGGAGGCTGTACAGGAGCCGCTGTCACTGCCCTCGGCGGCTTCAATGGCGGCCCAGAAGGTGAAATCGTAGGTGAATCCAGCCGAAATGCCGCCCCCAAGCGACTGCTCGATGGTCGCGGAGATGTCGTCGCCGGTCAGCTGGAGATAATACTCTCCATCGGCCGCCGTGGCGAACACTCCCTCGCCGGCTTCCACCACGCCGTAGCCCGTGGTGGAACTGTCGCTGATGGTCCAGTCGGAGCTGCCATCGGTCTCGAAGCTGGGATTGGCAAAGACGTTGTCCGACGAGTCGATGGCCGAGACACAGCGGACGACGGGCACTGTCTCTGCCAGGGCCGGCAGGAGGTGGCCGAGGAGGACGGCTCCCACGGGGAGAAGACTCCCTGACGACCTCATGGTTTGATTGTCGTTGAAGAAGAGAAGAGAGAAAAAGAAACGAGAGGTGGTGGTATTAAAGAGCGACTGACAGGAACAGGAAAAAGATCAACAGACGAGGGGGTCCTGGCCTGATTGTTTTATTATGGGGCCGGCATCGGCTGGGATGTCCTGAACCGGCGAGTCCCACCGGCAAAAGCAATAGATTCAACGCCGGTTCTGGGCCCGTCGGCAATTTTGGCTGTTTTTATTGTGTGCCTGGATGAGATTCGTGCTGGCTGGTGTTAGTGAGTCTGTTTAGTGATGTTTAGTGACTGTGTGTACGTATACAGATAATAAGAAAGGGGAAAGAAGAAGAGTATTAGGGAGTATTAGTATTAGGAAAGGATTTCAATATTCCCTCGACTTGATGATATGCATAATCAATACAGAGTAGATAAGCCCTGCAAATAAGCTTATACAGTCTATGCAGTTCCACCCAAAGTAATGTCAAACATAGTGAAACTCAATAGTCAAACAGTAAACATGGTCAGTAGAAATAGTCAAACATGATCAAACATAACCCTGTCTCATCAGTCTCACAGTCTCAGTCTCGTCAGTCTAAAATAAATCCATGTACTTGCAACTGTGACGGTTTCTTCTTGTCTGAAATTACTAGTAATGGTATCTGTACGCGTCAGCAAGTATGTTCAGGGAAAGTACCTATCGACGACACCTTGCGACACTAAACAAAAGCCCAGTCGCAAAGAAAGAAATAAAACGTGGCAGCGCACCGATTTTGATTCCAGAGTGGGTTCGATGGAGCCGACTTTTATGGTTCGATGGAGTCGGCTTCTATGGTTCGATGCTGTGGAGATGGTTAGCTAAGGTATTATTCTGCTGTCATCAAGTAATGAATAGTTTAATGAAGAGTGAAGCAGCCATTATTTCTTGTCTATGATAGTGTATAGTGAAGAGCAGTAAAAGGCAGTAAAGCATAAACTTCCCGGTCGGCTTCCTTGAATCTTACTACAGTATATGCTTCTGGGAAATATGAAGAAGCTGTATGGGAGTATCTCAGCCTAGCTATGGTCTCACAGGCGAGAACTGCGAGTACGACAACAGGGTGGCGCAGAGACACGTCGTTGCGTTCTGACTCAGACACTAGAGCACTGGATTAATATCTAGACTCATCAGCAGGGTCTATCATGGGTATTAATAAATATTAGAGATGATGAGATGAACTTACAGAAATGACTGGCAGTGGGTTAAGTGGAGAGAGGTAACTGGGCCTAAGAGTGAAGCTATTCCCAGGCTAATCCTCAGGCAACCAGGCAGCCAGGCAACCAGGCAACCAGGAAACAAGGGAATATTTATAGAGAACATGTTTAGTATTCATTTCCAACTCTACACTGCTGCAGTGGAAGACTAGAGAAATTCTCATTATTGGTATAAACAGGTCTGAATATAGTTTACCTACTTCAAGATGTATGAGACCAAACTTTGCTTCTCTCAGTCAAGGTCATAGTAGAAGGGAGATAGAAATGCTTATATAGAGGATTATGTAGAAATAAGTGTGCAGCAATGATCATGCAAGGGTAGAAAAATATATATAGCACATGAAAAGGCCAAGTGGGAGAATCCAGTGTAGACAAAGTGAAAGTTGTTTTGGGCCTTGGATTGGTCCTCCTACCTGTTTGGGCAGGTCCAGTGACTTGCTTAGGGCACGGGACCTGGCAGCCTCAGGCATCGACATTTCGCCATCGCGACTTCCTCTCGAGATATTTTGGCCTCACCGTCACCTCCGCCGAGCCTTGCACAGGACAGAGCCATCGCTCAGCGTCGCTGTAAGTCGTCTGCAAGAAGAGAAACACTGCTGATCTGTTACTTTCGTCTAGCCATTCACCTCGCACTGCCCTTCTTCGACAGTTCTCGCTCTGCGGCCGAATGACGGCAACGCCGATTTCATCTTTCGCCGACGGCTGCCACATCACCACAAAAAGAAACGAGAGGATATACGATTCCGGGCAATGGATTCGATGGCCAGCTCACTCCAGCCTGGTCTGAGATAGTCTTGCTCTGGTTGGTGAGAAATCCAGTGGCTTGCATATGCAACCCTGCAAACAACACGAGGCTGTCCACGGTACGGCTGAAGATAACCGACCGTATATTTTATCGTGCCCCCGACCGGCATTTCTTCGTTCCCTCCATATGTAGCAGCTGTAGAGAAAGAAATATTATTGCCCGACTTGTCAAGTGTCTCATATCGTGAACCACCTGGTAGCCCAAGAGCCTCTCTATTCATCGCGAACTGCTGCTGACTTGCGTGTCTCACTTCTAGTCCCCATGGCTGTGAGCGAACTCCAGCGGTCGATCGAGCAAGCCGATATTCAGAGGGTGACGGAACTGCTAAGAGACGGAGCCGATATAAACGTCCTATTCGAATACTCGTTTCACGGTGACAGTTTCCCCACCAAAAAAGTGACTCCGTTAATCTTGGCGGCGGGCCTGGGCTATGAGCAAATTGTTCAGCTCCTCCTAGATCGAGCGGCTGATCTCAAGGCCCGCACCAAGGATGGAAGGAATGCATTGCACATGGCTTGCTGTTGTGGAAAAGAGCATGTCTGCCGAATTCTTCTGCAACGCGCCGAAGCTAACGGCGCCGAGCTGCTGAGGAACATGATCACCGCAGAAGACAAGGAGGGTCACACGCCGCTGCATAAGGCGGCGATGATCAAAAGTGTCCTAATGGTGTTTCGATTATTGGAAACATCGGTCTACTTCCCTCCCCTCCCGACACAAGACCCGATAGCCCGGTCGAAGAGTCCAGAGAAAGAAGCGGTGGCCAATCTGCTGTTGGAAACGGATCTGCCCAGTGGCGATCAGCATCAACGGGCTGCCATCACCTACTGGGCCATCCTAAATGGACAATTGGAGCTACTTGAGAGATGCATGGAAAGAGGGAGCGTCGCCCTGCACCGCGGAAAAGCCTGTTGGACCCATGTGGCTGCGATCGGGGGTCATAAAGCCATCCTGAAGTACCTGCTCGAGAACGGATATAAGGATGAATACATTAGCCCAGCTCACAAAGACCTCACACCTCTCCATCTGGCTGTAATGCATGGTCATTTGGATTTGATCAAGGGATTTCTGCAATGGCTGCAAACAGAATCTGATAGAATGCAGGAGGCCTTCCTGAGCAAGAGCACCGACGGCGCCACACCCATCGCTCTGGCCACCTCGCAAAGCATCCCTGAGCACCGGAAGATCGAAGATGCCTTATGGGAGGCATTGAAGAAGAGTGTTGCCGATGACGAGTCCTTTTTCCAAAAACGTGTGAAGTGGGAGCCCGTGGTACAACAAGCCGCGAGGTATGAGATCCCTAGAAACCTGCATGAGGATGATTCTCACCTCCGATATTTCTTGCTGAATGTACACCGGCAAAAACACACTACTTGTTCGGGGGGAGGAAGCAATACTGGTGAGAAATGGAACGCCTTACAGCTAGCCGTCTACCACGGATGTCCCATTGTGGTGTGGTTCATGCTCTCCCGGGGCGGCAATCGCATTGCAGACAACATCCGCAAGGGGCTGAACATTGTTCGGTCCTGGCATGGGGAAATAAAGAACCATAAAATAATCGAGGAGATACTCTTAAATCCGCCGCCACGCGAGATGGGCGGCCCTACCGGCCCAAAAAACGACAATCGTCAGGTCCCCGGGTTTCAACATCAAGGGGAGCAATACGGAGGGACCGAAGGGTTTATTGTCGACTTGTTCCCACTTCAGGGTAAAGGCCGAATCGAAACTACCATCAAGCAGCGGCCGATTAAAGAAATCATCTACAAACCAGGGCCCCAGGCGATCATGACCGCTAGAAAGTATCCCAACCTTTCGGCCCTCGAGCAGGCACTGAAAACTTCAAACGAGAAAGCAATCGGTAACCAAGACGGAAACGGACAGCTCCATCATCCAACTGAGCCTCATGTGAGATGGATCTATCTTCCAGTGAACGATGTCTGTGTTCTCCCCCCCTCTCTTCCCTGCTCATGTCCACTAACGAGAATTGCAGTCACGTTGTGTCAGGGTAGGTTCTGATCCTCGGCGGCTGGAAAATCTCATTTCTGATGTGCCCAGGAGCTCATGGTCCGACTGTCGCTGGACAGCGGCAGGGACAACTCCGGCCATAGGCCCCTGAATGGGTTTATAGACAGAACTTTGACGAGAGGCCGTAATAAGGGGAACAAAGACCATATAAAGCCTCAATTTGTGGTATGTCAAGTATTTGAAATGACATTGGTCCAATCTGCTGATCCACCAGATTGATGATATGAAAGTCTCCACGGATCGGCAAGGCAATAACAAGGCTGAAGGAGGGAGTCATAAGAGTAAGCCAAATGAAAGAAGCAATAATAATGAGATAAAAGGAGGAGACAGTGAGAATCAAGAGCCAATCAGAGAGAGGAAGAATGATGAGGGAAAAAGAGAGAATAATAGAAACAAGGAAAAGGAAGAGGGTAATGATTCACAGCTCCATGCAAGGATAGCAGTTCTTGTTTGTTCCATACTCCTGCCTTACCCTATTTTCACTGATGTGTTCTCTAGATGCCATTTATCTCCTGGACAGACTGGCCAGTCAAGGAGACGACGCCCACGTCGAGTCCCTCCAGTGACCTACCAGATAAACATAGGCTTACCTATGGATCAACGCCGCTCAACAAGTATCACTATGTCTTGATGTCTAAGAAAGAACAAAGAAAACGAGATGATGAGCAAGTTCTAATTAAGTATATTAAAGGGAAACAAAAATCTCCATCTAACTCCCAGGCAATATATAAGGTTCTTACGGTGAATCAGCTCTGGCTGTGGGTTGTTGATAGTAGTAAGTCTTCCCAACTCACCTATATAATATGCTAATTATATACTAATTTTAAGATACTATTGTGACATGTACAACCGAAGAGACAAAGGAAGTGGACATGAGCTTCCTTGAACACGTTCTTGAGACACTCAAGGCTCGCGAGAAGACCCTGTCGCTGTCTGTCTACTCGATTGCGGAGGTGATCATGCAGACGACCATGGATCTTCTTACCAAAAAGGATATTGATGTCTATGGAGAAAAAAAGAAGATTGATGTCAATGGAGAAAAAGAGGAGATTAATATCAATGGAGAAAAAAAGAAGATTGATGTCAATGGAGAAAGAGAGGGGAAACAGTCCCTGCTGGATATTTTTCGCAGCTCAGTGTGGTCAGTAGTAAGTTGTGTACATAAACATGCCTATCATCTTCACTTATCTAATGAATGGCAGCGAAATAAAGAAATACAGCTCTTCGATGAATTTCTCAAGATTTGCAGTGATGAGAACAAAAACAAAATGGGCCCTGAATCCATTGATATCACCAAGGAGCTGAAGCAGCTCCGCGATGCCAAACATATCCAAGATGAGCTCCGTATCATCAAAGCGATATGCGACGAGCAAGAAATGGTCTGGAAACAAATGCATACCCATATCAGAGGGCACCAGAAGGAGCAACATGGTCAAGTGAAGGACAAAATCATGGACCTGATCGACGAGACGGAGCTCTGCCAGAAGGACATCAGTCTGCTATTGGATCTCAAGCAGAAGCAGTCTAATGTCAATGAAGCAAAGTTAGCCAGGGAGCAGAATGAGGAAACGGGCAAACAGACCGACACCATCATGGTGTTTACCGTTGTGACCATTCTTTTTGTAAGTCTCGCTCGGCTGCGATGAGAGGCCTTCCATTCTAATAAGGATCAGCTCCCTGCCTCCTTCTTGACGAGTTTGTTTGCTTTGAATGTGACAGACTTCCCACACGAAGCTGGGGTAGTCACCTATAGAGGACGGTGGATATTTCCCGTTATACGTGAGTCTGCAGATACTATTATTGCTTGTTTCCCTTTGCTGACTCTCCAGTCGGGGTCTCTGTGGGCGTTTCAATCTTTTTCATGGCCATCGCATTTAAACAAGACGTATTGAAACAGATGTTGAAAGACGCCTGGAGCGGCTGGACTCGGCAGGATTCAGAGAATTCACCCAATGCACAGGATTCAAAGAATTCACCCAATGCACAGGATTCACAGAGTCCACAAAATACACAGAGTCCACAGAATGCACAGAGTCCACAGAATGCACAGAGTCCACAGAATGCACAGAGTCCACAGAATGCACAGAATCCCCCAAGCCCCTCAGATCGCTCAGAAAACTCACTTAATCTGATCAAATCACCAAGTCAGATGGAAAAGGTCTTTCGCATGTCTGGTCGGAAGCGAGAAGTGGCTGACATGGTATAGTATGCACTTCATTTCATATCCCTTGATTTCAATAATGTCTACACACTGCTCAGATCTATCAGAGTTTATGCAAAAGGAAGATATTCATTGAAGCCATCAGTGTGATTACTGCTGTAAATGGTCTAGCAGGGTGCTATCATTGAGATATTAGCACCCAAGCCCAGGGCCAAAAAACGCAAAAAGTTCTAATAGTATTGATTCTGACGAAGCTGGCATCAATAGAGGTAATGGTCTGCTCTGATAATATGGGTGCCTGCCACTTCTAGAGAATAGCGGCCTGTGATGGGTTATAAGGAAAAATTATAACCAATTAATGATAGACTGGTATTGTCGATTAGCTTCAAATCCGGTGGTCATGTTTACCGTCTATTTTTATACCAATTGAGACAAGATGTAGTTGGTGAGGGGAAAGAGGGGGACCGCGTGGCTCTAGTGGGGCGTATGCACAAGATCCTGTTGCCTACTTTCTATATAAGAGGGCTTATGGGGATGCTATATCGTTAAAAGGCAGTATAAAAGTGATGTTATTAGGATAGTAGATACTAAAATCTATCTACTGATGCAAAGGGCCTATTCTTATTTGATTCTATGATTCTATTATTCTGCTTTCAATACAAGCTAATATATATAGATTTTCTTGTAGAGATACCGTCAAGATCATTAAGATAACAGTTTTATCAGAACACTGCGCCAGTCGCTAAAGATGGCGTCATTTTAGGCATTCTGACCTCAGTCTTCATCCAGATCCTTCAAGTATTGAATATCATTCTGCTTCATTATGATTATTGCATTTCTCTACTGTTATAATTATGTAGGTGCTGAACTATCAGAGTATTATTTGAGTTATGGTTTTTATCACCAAGGTATATCATGTATATAGTGAAGTAACTATCTATCTCATGCTCCGAATTGAAGATCTCGGAGATAAGTACGCGTTTGGTATTAGACAGATGTGGGGTAGTATTAAATAAATATGATTACTTTACTAATACCTATGCTATGATTACATTAATATTTATTCAACACCCCATCAAAATTTCTTACCTGTTCTTTTTCAATTCCTCTCTATTCCTCTCATTCGCTTTCTCCTTATTTTCGCCGTCCACTATGACTATCCAACTCCCCACATATTTTATAGGCCACGGTATGTCTCCAAGAGCTATATTACCAGTCTTATTTGCTGACTGTCACTATTCAGGCGGCGTGAGTATCCTGTTCAAGCCCGGATACGAGCCCGTACACCGTGACCTACGCGAGATAGGCAAGGAGATCAAACGGATGAACCCCGACGGGATCGTGGTGACATGCGGCCATTTCCAGAGCGAGAATGATACGATCCAGGTGAACCTGAAGGAACCGACGGAGGTGTGGCACGATCTCTCTCCTGCGTGGAAGTCGACCTTTCCGCATGTGTTCGACTATCAATATGCGCATAAATCGTCGAGGGCGCTGGGAGAGAAGGTCCTAAGCCATCTGAAGGCGCAGGGGATCAAGGCCGAGGGGACTGAAAGAGATCTCGATCATGGAGTGTACGTTATATATTGTCATTTGGTGATGTACATTGTGTCTAACATGCTCAGATGGGTTCCGTTTAAACTCATGTTCCCTGAAGGAGACGAGTTGGAGATCCCAATTCTCGAGGTCTCGACGTATGCAGGGAACGACCTTACTGCCCATATCCAGCTGGGCAGGGCTTTATCAAAGCTGTATGTATAGTCTTTTTCTTTTGGAAAGATTACTAGATTCTAATCTTGCAGTGGCGGGAACATCCTTTTAATTGGGTCTGGAATGCTGAGCCATAATCTGGCGGCTACAAGAGAACAAAGCATGGACACAACGATTCCCCGGTATCTGGAGGCAGCATCCAGCGAGGCCCTTGCGGCCGCAACAATCGCCGAACGCAACGAACAGTTCCTTGCCCTGCAGCGGTACGAGGGCTGGGAGGGCGCCCATCCGACGGAAGAACATGTGTTGCCGTTGTATGTGACGCTGGGGGTTGGGCAGGAGATGAAGGAGTATAAAGTGTTCAACAAGGACCAGTATATTGTTGGACAGTCGTACTTTTCCTTCCGACTGGGTGCATTGCCATAGCCTAGTACATCTGATTTTAATATATTGTATTCAAAATAGCCAAGACTACGATTATTCTTACCAAGACCAGGACAATAAAAAGTGAATACTATAAACTCCTATAATAAACTAAAGCAGAGCCGCAACGGCCATGACGACAGGAGCGGCAGTGATCAGCGCCCCCGCAGCCGCAGCCGCAGCCCCCGCCCCCGCACCCCCGGGGGTCTTGGTGGCCTCCGGGGCCGTGAAGGACTTGACGCCGCCCGTGACGACAAGAGTATAGTATGAGCTGGCGGCAGTGGCGTAGCTGGTCTTGGTGGAGGTGGAAGAGGCGACGGTCGCGCCCTCGCCCGTGCCACTGAGGTAGAAACTCATCGTGCAGCTGGCGGAGATGCTGTAGGACTGGAAGGAGCATTCGTACGACTGGGTGACGGTGAGGCCGTAGCTCTCCGACTGGCCCGTGGTGATTTCGGTGTACACGCCCGTCATGCTGACCGTCCCGGGCCCCTGAACGATGGTCCACGAGTGTTTGATGTCGCAGTCGGTCGTGGCGGCGTCCTTGAGACAGCCGACCTTGTAGGTTGTCGCCTCGGCGTTGATCCCCGCCACGCTGGCCCCGGTGCTGGTCCACCCGCTGTAATCGAGCAGCTCGTTATCCCAGGCGGGGATGAAGTATCCCACAGTGGTGGTGCTATCGTCGGCGTGGGCTGCCAGGCCGAACAGGCCGGCAATCAAGAGAGATGACAGGCGCATGAAGAATTTGTATATATATATGTGTGTTTGTGTGTGTGTGTGAGTGTGCTTCATGCAAGGGAGAGAGGGAAGAGGGATTGGGATTAGGGGAAAGAGAGATTTAAGTCTTTTCATCTCAACTACAGACAGCTGACTCTTTGGTCAGGTTTCACCCGGTCATTTTATATTAAACTAATGTGCTTGGCTCTATTGCACAGCATCATTTTAGCGCTGCTGGCCTCTAGCCGAGGGAGGCTAAGTTCTTAAAGGAATACTATGAAATGAGATTAATCTCAAGTGAAGCTGACCTTCTGTAGTTGATATTTACATGTATCTACTAGGTAGATACTATCTTCTCGATAGTATAGAGTATTGATTTCTTGGATACCTGTAAGGTTACATGTCGGGCATTATTTCAATGCGATATATCTCATGTCACATGTGTAGATGAAACCCTGGCTGTTGCCTAGATCTGACAAGGACCCTGCGGCTCCTTTAGGCCAATAAAAAGCGCCTGCAGCCTCCGAAGGGTCCGACAGGCAAATTGGCATGTGGGGGCCGTTCTAGACTATAATAATAATAAGAGTAGATTCGAAAAGAGTTATGTAATCCGCATCAATAGTGCTTGAAGTGTATAGAACTGTAGACTAGTTAATAGCTAATTCTTGCCCAGGCATTATCAGATTAATGAGTATAATATTAACCTAAATCAAAGATCCTGTACTATATAGTATAATATACATTATATAAACTGCAAAATGCCCCCATACCTTATTACCCATACATATAGATACAGATTCACTGCCTAGTTGCCAGCCGCCGCGAGTGAAAGAAGGAAGAGATATTCTTGAACATGCCCGCCAGCGCCGCGGCGACAATCATGCGCGCAATCCAGCGCTTCTGGCGGACATGCATTCCGCCATCCCATTCCTCCTTGATGATGCGGCCAAACCGGCTGCCCTCCAGCTCGGCGGGGGTGACGCGGATCGACTCGCTGGCATGGCGCAGCTCGTAGAAGAGGGGACTCGAGCTCTCGATCCAGAGGGCCTGGGATGCCTTGAGGACGTTCCATTGGCGGTAGCGGATGATGCGGTGCACGAGGGAATGGCACACGCGCCACCCAAGGCCGTACTCGAGCAGGCCTACGATCCCGCCCAGCGAGTCCAGCAGCTCGTCAAATGTGATGTGCATCTGGGCGGTGGGTGTGCCGATGATATACAGGCCGGCGGTCTCGAACTGAATGGCGAAGCGCTGCTATTGGCGTTAGCACTGGAGCTGGGGTTGATGATGCAGTACTCACAGTGGGCATTATGGATTATTGCATGATATACGTAGTTACAATGTATAGAGAGATTCAATATTTTAAACAATTTCCATACCTTTGACAGTTTCTACTTTCCAGTATAAGAATACCCCTATTGGCTGGTGATTGGGCAGTGATTGGGCACATAGTGGAGTACCAAGGTCAATGATCAGCAAGACTCAAATCTTGAGCATATGAAACCGCTAGATTAGAGCATAATCCTATGATTTGCATAATCACTTCTTATTTTATACAGGAAACTTTCTCTAGTTTAATCTATTTTCTTGTGACTGTGCCGAAACGCCCCCACCATTGCCGAGTAGCTCTGGTACATACAGACTGATCATCAGCATGGATAAACAGTCTCTAGGCAGGTATAGGAAAACTTACCCCCCGGAATGACAATCCAAAAGGCATTCAAGAAAATAAAGTACCCCCAGTAGTAATACGCCTCTGGACGCGAGTAGGAGAGAGCATGGTATGACTCGTCGAGCATGCTGGTTGCGTAATACAAGACGTCGCCATAGACCTGGCCCATGGAGACGAGCATCTGCACCGGATGGCGGTGGGGCGATTGCACGACGATCAGCCAGGCGATCAGATAGGAGAGTGGCCCCCATGCAAACGCCGTGATGGTCTCCATGCCCAGCACAAAGGGCTCCATGGTCATATACCGCGAGTCGGCTTTGGCGTACTCCTTCCACAGCTGACCGAAGAGATCCGTCCTGCCCGGCATGCTGCGGTGGTTGTATACAAAGTCGCCTTCAAGGAAGAGGTGGATACATCCGGCTGCTAATCAGCGTGGTCCTTGAACGGAAGATCATGGTCTCGGATGAGAGATTACTGAAGATAAACCATCCCACCAGGATCTTGTCGAGACGGGAGATTGTCGGCCGGAAGCTTTTCAAGATCAGAGAAGTGACGACAATGACCGCTAGGGTTGCAAGAGCAAAACTGCCGAGCAGCGCAGGGACGCTGAGGGTGTTGGCAACATAGCCAATCACCTGGAGATCGGGGGGGTAGAACGGGTGGCTCGCCATGGGAGAGGTCTGGATTACCGAATGGCAGAAGGAGGATTTTTCACTATAAATAAGATCAAATAAGCTGTTATTTTGTCCAATAAACATGGGGCGATTCGGATGGTCATATCCCGGTTAGCCCCTATCTGTTGGGCTTAACCTGGTGAGGTTAGCCTCGATAACTTGATAATTTTATCCAGCATCACTCTCTGCAAGCCAATCATAATCCAAATATAAGGCTTGGTAAAACTAATTGGATTTACTGAGTTTAAAGAGTAATAGGCAGAGAAAAATAATCACTGTTATTATTAAATAGTTAGATGAGTCTAACTAATATAATTTATAGATTATGTTTGAGTTATAATGCCATCTAATGCTGATGAGAGCCTAAAGTAGTTATTATCTATAACTAGTTACTAAAGGGTGTAGTCCTCTGTGGCTAGTTTATAATAATATCCTGGTAATTATATCCTCAGAATCAGAATCAGCTTATGAGAAAGAAACCAATGATATTCCTTTGAAAGAAAGCTGAGTTATCTAGCTTTTCAATATGGTATCTTATAGAAATCATAGCCTTCCCTACTCACTATTTTTCTATATATATCTCCTTTGTTAAAACAATACTTCTAGACCACTAGTTTCTAATTTGATATATAGTTATAATTATAGTAAGAGTGAATACATTAATCTTTTATAATAAATCATATTAACCAGTCTATAGCCTATTTATTAAGACTATAATATTATATTATATAACCATGACCTTATGTTCTAGTGGGCCATTAAGGATGATGTCTTGTGAGGATTTACAAGTAGTATTTCTCTTATTCTCCCTTAATGTCTAGGCGGCCGGCCTCGCGACTCTGCATGTCCGGGTTTATAACATAAGCTCCCCTTCACTGTCTCCTGGACTGTAAGAATGGTGCCTGGGGCCACTAGACCACTGGACCAAAAGGTCAACATTAGCCGCGATTATCCTAATCGCGGCCCCCAGGGCCCGATATAGCATGTCTAAGGGGAACGTAAGGCCAATGCTTACATGGAAATGGGTCCTGATCTCATCACTTTCAGGGCCAGGGAAAGCATAAAAATAAGGAAGGGGATCAAATAAATGAATAATATCATCTATATATTCAGCTGCAGCTACAACACACATTCATCAATAAAGGGAAACAACAAAATGTCCACATATTAACATTAGCTTTGTGGAAAATGGCCGTACCCTATCTCCGGGGCTTCATCTAGCTCTGCAGGACCTGGCCAAACACTGGATTTCTTCGCGAATCTGCGCTTTACAGAATCTGGCTTGTCGCCCGCGTGCGTGGACTCAATAAGCTCCCAAGAAAACTCGTCTTTCGTGTATCCATGACATGCGGTGTGTGTGTTGTTGATGAGTTGTTTGTTGTCCTTGTAGCAAAATGTCAAATGCCAGCCTTTCGGATCTTCTCCAGTCTTGCCGTTGATGGTGGTTGTTTTGTGATGTTTAGATCTATAAATTGGATGGAATTAGTCACTGCATAGTATCAAACAACTCGGAGATACCAAAGTCAGCTCTCACCTGATCAATATTGCCCGCGGATAAAGCTTCATATCCCTTGCGGTTTGGTATGCTAGAGCCACCATATCCTGTAAATCTTTCGGGTTTGTCGGCATTTTGCCTTTGTAGAAGTAATATCTGACCATATTAACAGTAGACGTTATAATAGAAAGGGAAGTGGCACTTCAATCCTAATGGCACACAAAAGATATCTTAGAATGGAGATTAAAATGGACTTTATAGCCTGAGAACTTGCAGCTTGGAGGTCAATAATCACTAGGTAGTTATTTATATACTCAGTCACTGGCTAGTGCTTATCTAATTGTGGGTTGGCCTATAACTAACTAACTAAATATTTAATAACTAATAGGAAGGGAAGTGTGCATGCCTTCGCCCGATTTAGACGCTGGCGAGCCGCTGTTCTCCCACGCTCTAGCTATTAGTATGACCAGTGAAACAACCTGCACAGTGACCTGATCTGGATCTATTTAGGAAATCAAACAATAATTGCACCAGTAGTAGTATAGAAACTAATAATAGTTGGGTTTCGAGACTGGCATCAGGCGGCATATGAAACACCTGCAATTTAATAGTGGCGCTTCAAAAACTTCAAGTCAAACCCTGACCATGACATGAAGTAAATTGGAATAATATTATTGAAAGCAAGAGTAAAATCTATAATAAAATATCAAGAAAGATGCAGGTCATCGTTGTCATTCAATCCCTGAGATGAAATGCACTGGGGAAACAGAAATGAACGGGTTCTGTGACACCTTAGGCACCAACGATTAGTCAGACCCAGAAGGCATTTAAAACTAGCCCCCGACGTGACGTGTCGTTGCGTTGGATGTTGCTTCTACAAATGTTCTCCCGTACCTGCATCAATATCTGGCGAACCCAGAAACAAGTATGCAAGCCTGTCTTAAACCAACCTAATATCCTGAAAACATCATCGATGTCCAGCTCCACATCTCGAACATCGAACATTGGAGCTGGCAAGTCTCGGTACAAGTTTGTTGAAGACGTTGAAGATCTGGAAAGATACTGTCCAGGAGGATACCATCCCTTGAAGATTGGCGATGACTTGGATAATGGCCGGTATCGGGTGGTTGACAAGCTCGGTTTCGGGGGATACTCAACAATATGGCTCGCCCGAGATGTACAACAGGGTAGATATGTGGCTGTGAAGGTTATCACGGCTGACAGCAGTACCTGCACGCCTGAGGCCCGTCTGATGCGCTCACTTTGGAGTATGGACTCGTCCAAGGCACCAGGAAGAGAAATCATCCCACGTCTCATTGACGAATTCTGGATCACCGGCCCCAACGGGCAGCATAAATGCATTGTCACTCCGCCGGCACGGATGAGCCTGTTTGATGCCAAAGAGGCTTCAACGTATGGACTTTTCCAGCTCAACGTTGCACGATCGATCGTCGCTCAGCTCATTCGTGGGGTGGCATTTCTTCACAGCCAAAACATTATACACGGCGGTATGTATTTCCTTAAGTGCAGTACATGAGTTGTGTGGTAGCTAAGATCCTTTTCTTCAAGACCTCCATCTCGGAAATATTCTGGTGCAGTTTCCCGAGTCAATTGACCATTATTCCACTGCAGAGCTGTATAGCACATTCGGAGAGCCAGAGGCCGAGGCAGTCGTTCCTCTTGATAATGGCAGGCCCTTGTGCGATGGTGTGCCCACGCAGGTATTCATCCCCGGTTGGTTTGGTGTTGGCAGTGATGAGATTGCCTTGGGAGAGGAAAAGGTCGTGCTCAGCGACTTTGGAGAGTCATTCAACCCTCATCAAACGCCGAGGTTCGCATCCAAGACTCTTCCTCTCCTCCAGCCCCCTGAAGCCCGGTTCTCTGATCTGCCGCTATCTTTTCCCTCAGACATCTGGACTTTGGCCTGTACCATCTGGGAAATCTTCGGTCAGCGGCCTTTATTTGAAGCTTTTCGCCCAACTGCAGATCGTGTCACCGCAGAGCAAGTCGAGACCCTCGGCATCTTACCCCCTGAGTGGTGGGAGAAATGGCACTGCAGACGGGAGTGGTACGAGGATTGTGACTTGGATCTGAAGCCGAAGATGTCTGGCGGCGTGCGCAGAGACTGGGACCGCAGATTCGAGTACAGCATCCAGAAGCCTCGGGCTGAAGCAGGTCTGGAAGCCATGACAGAAGAAGAGAAAGAGGCATTAGAGACGATGCTTCGATCAATGTTGACCTTTTTGCCAGAGGAAAGAGCAACAGCGCAGCAGATATTGAACTCGGCATGGATGAAACTGGCTCAGGGTTAGGGTTAGGGTTTGGAATAGTATCATGTATTCAACTGTACGCTTTGCCATGGTCATGAGTGGAAATGCTTCTGCCAGAAGAAATAGCCATACACCCCCGTGGCCAGCAAGGGATACATGGCCTTGTACTTGGCCGGGCTCATGGAATTCTTGAGGTTCTGCAGCGCATAAAACTCGATCGTCGTCGCCGGCGATCCCTCGGTGAAGTACATCGTGTGGGCGACATCCGCCGCGCGTTTCTGGAAGACGGCAGCGCGGGCATAGAGAGTGTCCTCGTACCGACGCACACGGCTGTCGAGAGCTGCGGCAACATCACCACTGTCCGCAGCGGCCGCGTGGATCGCCTCTGCCAACTGCAGGGCGTCCATCAGGGCCTGGTTGACGCCCTCCCCCGTAAAGGGACAGATAACGTGGGCGGCATCCCCGATGAGCGTCACGCCCGGGCGATGAGCCCAGCGGAAGCCCACCGGCATGGCATAGAAGGACCGGCTCATCATGCGCGAGGAATCCACCGCCCGGTCGACAAAATGCAGCATCTCCGGCGCGTAGTCGGCGAACTCGCGCTGCTGGGCCTCGCGCACCGCCCGCCCGTCCGTGAGGTCATACTCGACCTGCTTCTCCCACCCCTCGGGCCGCACCCGCCACAGGCCCATGTTGATGCTGCCGTCGCTCAGCTGCTGCGCCGACATCATGCAGCCCGTCGAGTAGGCAAAGATGGCGCCGCGGTTGACCCGCGCGGCGCACTCGGGCGCCGTCTCCGCCGCGTTGGGGATGTTGAGCTGGAAGCCGCCCATCCCGGCGTACTCGGGCTTCGTGTCGCAGAGCAGCGCGCGCACTCTGCTCCAGGCCCCGTCACCACCCACGACGAGATCATACCCGGTGGCCGTGGTGCCGTCGACAAACTCCAGCGTGCGCCCGTCGTCGCGCACCCGCTGCAGCCGGTGGCTCCATCGCACCGTCGCCGCCGGCAGCGACTCCAGCAGGATCCGGCGCAGGTCTGCCCGGTCGATCTCGGGCCTGCCGCGGCTGTGGGCGGCGTCAGTCCCCTGCCCCAGGGTGATGTACGGCTTCATCTGCCCGTCGCACACCAGCAGGGCTTCGCCGTCGTAGCGGGCGTGCGCCAGGAAGGCGTCGTGCAGCCCTGCCCTCTTGATCGCCAGCAGGCCCATCTGCTCGTGTAGGTCCAGGGAGCCGCCCTGCGAGCGGTAGTCGATCGACGGTTCCGACTCGAACACCGTCACGCTCACGTTGGGCTGTTGCTGCAGCAGCCGGGCGAGCATACACCCGGCAGGGCCAGCGCCGACAATCGCAATCTTAAGGGGCATTTCTCAGTATTATCCTGTGGGCAGTATATAGGGCAGGAGATATGGAGAGAGAGTTGTGGTGAACAGAAGAATCTCACTGGGAGCAACTGGTTTATATAAGGGCGATGGCGCTAACCTAAAACGGTAACCTCTTGCGCAGTCCAGATTAGGCAACCAGTGCGCAGTACCTATGCTGATCTGGCTGTCATGGACTTGAAAAAGGAACTATAATTATCAAAACTGAATGAATAGAGTAGAAGTCTAATTCAAGTCATTCACTAATAATACAATAAGAAGTAGTATTGATTTTTTCTACTTCTTGAAGCACCAATATAATTTATTTATCTCCCAGCCGACCTGCCTGCGATCGAGGGCATTCCAGGCCATGACCGAAAAGCTGAAGATCATCAGCACGACATCAGATCCTGCGAGTTGCTGCAGGAAGCTCAGAAAATATCTAGCAAAAGGAGTAGGTTATTAGAAAATCAATATATCTTAGTGGGGTCGTGAATGGATCGGATGGTTTTACTGGCTAACTAGCTTTGATTGGCTGGCTTTGCTTAGGTCATCTTTCTGCTCCGGAAATGGAAATCCCTCATCTTATTCAATTGAAGGTCCTAAAGCCAACAGGAACAGTACTGGAGTAAATCCCATGTAGTAGGCTATGACTATATCTTTCGTCTTGGTTGTAGCTAGTATTTTGTAAAGACAGTCAAGCCTAGGCGGTATAATGCTTAGTGTCCCTCGAATGACTTGAACTAAAGAATCTAATACTATACTACATCCTGGACACAAGGACAACACTGAATTGGTTATTGCCTGGGAAAAAACTCACCAATTCCCAGAAGTTCTTCTGAAATTGAGGATAGTAGCCAATAATGAGGAGTTTGAATAGTCGTGAGATCTACGAATCCGCGATGTCAATATATATAAGCTGAGAGATGTTGCTTCGACTTGATACCCGGGAGCACCTCTTTTTCGGAAAAACAAGGCTATTTCGGATGAACGACATATGGCAGGGATAGTGTCTTCAATAGGGCCAGCGCCCACTGAGCTTTAGAAGGAGTGGAGATTATGAACAATATCGCGATGACCAGGGTACTCTGTATCTCCACCTTGCGAGTCAGCGTAGCTTGATACTAGTAAATAAGCAAGTGAAGAGCCCCTGTTCGTATCCCAGAATCGACAGGGAGATGAAGAAGATCTTCCTGGTAATGAAGGAATTGGTCTTGCTGATAGTGTGGATCAGTGGATAGAGATGAGTATATATATAACATCATTTATTATAATCTCAATATTACTAATAGATGTTGTGGTAATGAATAAACTGGCATCTGGATATATTTTATACTATGACAGGAATCATTAGTATAAGATGTTTGGTTTCTATTCTAGAGCTTATAATAGCAGTAAGTAGCTGCTGGCAAATGCCTTGCATCCTGTAGGTTCAATAAGTAATGATTCATGAGTTTGCTCAGTTTGGAGACAAATTATAAAACTTAATAAAAAGAAATAATAAAGAGAGCAGAGAATAGTGAGCTATACTGTTATTATAATTTAATCTATTTTATAATAAATGCTTTACTCTCATATACCATAGTCTTCTTCCCACAGCCTGCCCTGCTGCTTCTTCCAATCCACTTGACTGGGGTTCCCTTTTTCCGCCCACATCCATGCCTGCTCCAACTCGTCGTCAGCCTGCCAAAAATACTCCATGTGGGATAACGCTCAGTAGCGTGCATGATGCCTGGATCTGGACGATTTGTATTTTGATCGGGATCAGCGGTCTGTCCTGCAGATTGCAATGCATGCACGAGCTGCAGATCAGTGGGGGATGCTGGGTCAGGCAGTCGATCCTGGGATTATCACGAGGATCGCGAAGCGAGTAGGCTGGGGTTTTTTCTTAAAAAAGAGATGAAAAAATTGATGACCGGGGTATGTGCTCTATAGTACATCTCCACCCCTGCAAGTCAGTGCAGCACATGGCAAGTGGGAAGGGTCCCATTGATGAACCATGATGATGGAACCAGGGTTGTATGAAGAGAAAAATGATTGTTCAAGTCCTGCAACTGAGAGATTCCCAGGAGATGCCTGAGGACTATACAGAGTAATAGCAGACATCATTATAGCCTTATCTTACAGATGATTATATAAGACATTTGTGTGCAACCCTTTTTACCACCCTCTTACAAGACTAAGAAGAATCTGGAACATCCTCCGTGTACTTCTGTATTATGGAAATTCAATGGCTTTACAGTATTGCATACGGGATTCTGCTTGCGAGGTTAATTACAGAACCATGGCCAATAGCAACAACTAGTAAGCAGCAGCGTGCAGCATCTCAAGCATCCTGTCAGACCAGACCTGCCGCTGCACGGAGTATACGAAATGCAGTGGGTCAGGCCAGACTCGAGAAAGCGTAACCTCCACGGGCACAGTGGCCCAGAACCAAAGGGCAAGGCCCCATTGGCCGTGGTCAACCCCCACTGCTTCTTCAGTAAGGAGACATATCGGTGGGTCAGACTCGGATTGTGCCATCACGGGGGCGAGGATATTCCTTCAGACTGGAGAGAAAGTTAATTGCGATGTAGTTAACTGCTGTAATAATAGCTAGTGAAATAGTCTGGCTCTGACACGGCACAGATGGGGCACAGTGGGGGCGGTATGGGGCACCGGATGAGGCGATCCGGGCCGCTCCAGCCAATCAGGTTGTCACGTTCAAGGCATTACGTAGATCCCTGTTCGTGCATGACTCGTAGGATCCAGCCGGAGCCGACGGGAGTTCCGGATAGCGCCCGAGGAGCTTGAATCTACTTATTACCGCAGGATAATTACAGGGACTAAAAGAGCCTTAGCCCGCACTAGGGAGAGACTAAGGCGGTAGTGCAAACTTTCTCCGGAGTCGTACCCAACTTAAGGAGTGATATAAGTAACTATTGGTAATGCTGGTCTAACTGGTTACAGTAAGATCTTCGCCTCGCGCGCTCTGGTGAAGGCCAGATACCAGGATGCCGCGGTGTCCATCTCGTCGGTAAAGCCTAGCTCGCGAGCGCGGGTCAGATCCAGGGGCCGGTCGAAATTCATGAGGCGCAGGCTGCCCATGCGGGCGCCGGTGTTGTGCGTGCTGCGGTAGACGGTATCCTCGTGCAGGCCGTTGGCGGCACAGATCTGGCGCACCTGGTCCCAGTGGCGATCGAGGTAGGCGGTGGGATGCTCGCTGCCCTCGTGGGGGCCGACGCCCTCGAGGCCGAAGAAGGCCGTGAGGACGGGCCAGCGCTGCTCCCACGAGACCGGGGTGGCGGCGTCGGCGATGTTGAAGGTGCGGTCGTGCACCCGGTCGGCGGGCTGCAGCGAGGCGTGGATGCAGAAGCGGGCGATGATGTCCTGGTTCGAGTCGGTGGAACGCACCCGCCAGCCGGCTTCGCTGCCGGGGAAGGCGATGCGGGCCCCGGGGCCCTCGATGGCGCGGAACAGGCTCAGGTACACGCCCATCGTCTGCGCCATGCAGTTGGCATTGCCAAACGGGGCCACGCCGACAATCACGTCGGGCCGGACTTCGCACCACGACCAGCTCTTGCCGGCGGAAAGCGTCCGCAGGGCATCCACCTGGTGGTAGTAGAAGAGTTCGTTGGTATCAACGCGTGGCAGGCTCTCGTGGAGGGGCGTCTGGCCGCGGTAGGGGAAGCGATCCAGCAGATACACGCCGTACGCCTTGGTGCCGGTGATGAGGGTGACAAAGGTCAGCGCCGGCGAGAGGGCCTCAAGCGCCGTGACCACCGCCTCCAGCATCTCCTTGTTCTGCCGGCACTCTTCGGCGGCATTGTCATTGGCCAGGTAGGCTGTTATTTCCTGTCAGCCTGCAAAGCCAACCCTAAACCCTAAACCCTAAACCCTAAACCCTACTGGAGACTCACCTGCGTAGTACACATGGCTGACCGTCTCAACGCTGGGCACCTTCTCGGCCAGGGTCTTCTTCAGCCCGTCGGCCAGGAGGTCGATGCCTGTAACCACCTGCAGTCGCTCCTCCACTGGCCAGTGCGCCTCCTCGGCCGTCAGGGGACTGCGGGCAACGGCCGTGACACGGGAAAACGCGTCTGGGGCTGGATATCCAGCCAGCAACTGGTTCACCAGAGCCCAGCCGTTGATGCCGGAGCTTCCCAAGACAATGGCGTGGTTTGACATGGTTTCTTTTCTTTTTCCCCTTGCCTTCTAAAACTCTAACTTTTTTTTCTTTTGGCCTTCTCCTGAACGCCGCCACGGGCTAGGCCGGGTTTATATAATCCCTGCTCCCCCCTCTACGGAGTATATCGCCTGATGGCGCTAGTGTGGCAGGATTGGATATCTGTACGGTAAGAATCCTTGTCACGTAAATACCACCTAATTACAACCCTGTGGATCGATGATATGATATGCGAATGCCAGGGGATACAAGAATCGCCTTGGTATAGCTTTTTCTAATTAATTCTTTTTTTTTTTTTTTTTTTTTTTTTTTT